AAGCGGCCGGGCGGCGTACGGGCAGGAGGCAGATGGGTATAGATGGGGTCACGATGAGTAAGCGGTGTTGAGGCAGTCGTGGAGTCGTGAATAGCAGCCGCAGTCGCAAGCACAATGGCAGTTGCAATCTGGCGTGGGGGGGTGGGGAGGAGGGAGGGTTAGCAGGTGGGTGGGTTAGTAGGCTAGGTAAGACATCGAGGGGAGCAGAGAGATTTTTATTTTATTTTAGACTTGGTTGGGTTGGGTGGGATAGGGCGGTAGATGGAGGGTAGGTGGAGAGAGGTAGACATGTAGATGGATAGCTCAATAGACAGACAGATGGCTGGACAGACAGACAGACAGATGGACAGATAAACAGGTTTAAAACATTTGCGCCAAACGCACACGTCCAGGTATCACAAATAAACCCCTCTGCTATCTGAACCCAACCGAACCCAACCAGACCAAGGAAGACCGAGGCAGACTGAAGAAGACCAGAGTACACCCAACAAACATCGCTCGTGCCCCCCAAAAAAAGAAATCTAGAACCCAATTGTACGTGTATATCCATCCCAGTCCCTATACTGCCTTTCCGTTTTGCAGCCGTCCAGTCCCAAGTCCCAAGTCCCAAGTTTTAAGCCTCAAGTCCCACGCCTAACCCAACCCTACCCAACCCAATCCATTCCATTCCATTCCCATAAATCATCAAACATGCCAAACCGCCACCCCTCCAAAAACAAAACCCCCTCCATCTACCGATACATGTCAGACCGCGACTCCCCAAACCGCCCCTTTGGATACTCGCCAGGAATATGGAGATCGCTGACGCTAACATCAGTGTTTTGACGAGCGACACGGGGATAAGCCATTGCATCTGCAGTCTGTGCGAGGTCTGTGGGGACAGGGCCGCCGTTGATGGTGTCTGCATGGACGGGTGTGTTGGGCATGTTGCTTGGGGGAGGGGTGGTTGTGCGATTGTGGTGGTTTGGAGTGGGAGTCATGGTGGTAGCGGTCATGGCGGGCGCAGGCATGACGGTAGGTTGTGTGGTGGGCGTGGAGAGGATGGCAGGGGCAATGTGCTCTGCATCACGTGTGGGACTCGTGGGTGCTTGGGCGTCCATTTCGTGCTGCTGGGCGACTTCACGCTGCTGCATCTGCTGCTTGCGGTAGGCTTCGCCGGCTAAGGCGGCGGCGGCAGCTCCCCCTACCGCTCCACCAGCAGCGGGTGCCATCCAGCCACCGTAGTTGCTGTCGTTACGCTCAACGGGAACGGGAACGTGAGGCCTTGGCTGGGAAAAGGATGATGAATCTTGATGTTGCGGTGTTGATTGGACACGTAATCCCTCATAAGATTGCTGAGGCTCGTACGCCGGTTGGGCAGAAACTTGTTGCATGGGTGGGTAAGAGTTCACGTAGGAGATGGCCGGGTACTCCTGATGACTGGGCTGTGGGAGTGGATATGCTGGGGACTGGGTGAGTGGGTACGCTGGGGACTGGGCATAATACATTGAATGTACATCCTGGTGTGGACCTCCCGCGGCGGTCGTTAGATCATTTCCGACCTCTGAGCTGCCACTACTTGGCGAATGAGGAACTTGTAAGTTACGGTTGACATTCAGGTCAGATGGGAATCGCCCACCTGGAGATGGCCGTGAGGGTCGCTGTGGGGACTGGTCCCTGGCCTGGCTGAGAACCGAAGGGGCAGCCGAGTAGGGTACGGCGTCTGCTTCGTCTTCCTCGAGGCCTCCATCCGAGCTAGCGGACCGGGCGCTACCGGCACTGGCACTTCTGACACTGGCATGTCGGCGCACAAAGGCATTGCGTTCCTCTCCCGTCTTCTCGGTCAGGGTCTGGATATCGTCATACCAAGCCAGCATGGTCTCATACGTCTCCGCTCGAAACACCCAAGTGTGGCCACGATGCATGGATCCAGTCTGACGGCCTTTGATCACAAACTTGTGGGAGGAACTTCCGGGCTGAGACTTGGAGCCGAGCTTCTGGTCCAACAGATACAACGACATGACCGGGGGTTGGCTGTAGATCCGATCCGCAGACTTGAACTCATGGAGGTGAGTCGGCGACAACACATACCTGTAGGGTGTTAGTGTGGGGATCCAGCTGGATCATCGCAACTTACCATCCCGGCGTGTAGCTCTTGAGATACTTGCTCTTCCTCTCGAGCATACCAGCCCTCACTTCAGTAGTAGCCGGGTGGTGTTTGCCCGGGTATTCAATGTCTTCCAGTCGGCGCAATGGTATGTCTGGGTTCACAAAGTGAGGATCGCTTTTGACAAACTTGGTCCATTCGTAATCGCGAGGCATGGCAATCGGGCCACTGCGCAGTTTCTCGACAGTGTTGTACATTTCATCCGCATCACGCTTCAGGATGCTAGCCAGCGCATTGTATGCCTTTTGGACCTCACCGACTACAATCGATTCGAGTTCGCGGCCGGAATTCTCGAGGTTGAGGTAGGCCTGTCCTTGATTAGTCTTGCCTTGGCTCTGAGTGCTGACAACTCACCCTATGGAGATAATTCTCCTCATCAATCTGCCTCTCCACCTGGCGCTCCACACCCAGACGCACGACATAGGGATCACCCTTGCCAGCAACCGCGGCTGGGTCTGAATCAACCAGTGCGAGTGCCTCTTGGAGGGCTGCGACACATTTCCGAGTCGTCTCCTTTTCCTTCTCCACATTGTTCTTGAAGTCGCCCGAAAGAGACTTGATCTCCTTGATCTTCTGCGCAAGATCTGCACGCAGTCCACTGAGCTGGTTGATGACATCTGCTTCCATGTCGCGGGCCTTGTTGGCTTCGACAATGGCCTGCTTGTGGAAGTCACGGAGGATGCGGTTGGCATCGTTGAGGCCTCCCTCGATCAGAAGCGCAGCAGGCGCATTGGTATTGTTGATGACGTTGGAGACTTTGAGCAGCGATTTGGCGCGGTGCTCATACGATGACGCGACTTCTCGGAAATAGGCGATGAGGTCTTTGAGGAACTTGCGCCATGCTACGCAAGTGTTAGCAGCGTCTGGCGGACGGAAATCAGGTGCATCAGCCTACTTTGGAATCGATCGGCGAGGATGTCAGTGGGGGAGCCTTTGGTTGGCACAGGTGTGTAAAAGATGCTCTCCTCTCGCTCGTAGCCATGCTCCTGGTCGTCAAGGGGCACACCGCGGATGCTGCCAGCGTGCAAGCTCTTCCTGCTCCCACTCCGCTTGAGGCTCCCACTCCTCTTCACCGAGCCTTTCTTCTTGAGGGTGCCACTGCGCGAGGGTGTAGCTCCTTGGTTCAACGTCGAGGCTCTCGAGGAAGAGCGCTGCGGAAGGTCGCCGTCGAGCACCGAAGAGCCACGGGTGCGCGCATCAAAGTCTTCTTCAAAGCGGCCTAGGCGCTCATGGTGCGCACTGGCGGGCGTGTTTGCAAAGTCATTCATGCCGAGATTGAGCTGGGGGGTGCCGCCATAGCCTCTGCTGAGGTGCGAGGGGTCGTCAATGTCCGGCACAGGGTTGTTGTACGACATGGGTCGAGGGGCCGCCATGGTTGAACTTTGATGGAGCAAATTGGGGGGAGCTTAGTCCAACAAGGGACACCTTCGGAGAATAGAGAGGGATGCAGGAGGGAAGACGCTCGCCCGTGAGAAAGGGGAACATGCGTTTGGAGCGCAAACGACGACCGTGGGCTGTACAAAAGAAAGTCGGTCCAGTCGGTCCCCTGGGGCGCGTGGCTGGCGATGACGTGTGGAGTCGCGCTAGGGCAGAATGAGGTTGCGGTCGGGGGAGTTGGGAGAAGAGAAGAAGGCCGACTCTACATGCAGATCAGTGCGTACCGGTGCAGGACCAGATACCGATCATGGAAACGATGCAAGTAGTATAGAGTGTTGTACTGCACTTGTGATGTGCGTGCACCACTCACGCAGGGGATTCAACCACAGAGGAGATGGAAATCATTCAAACGCAGTCGCAGCCGTGGCCTTGCTTGTTCTTTGGGCACCGGCTCTGCGGCCGTTGTGCGTGCTGTGCCAGAGTGATGTCATCGTCACCCCCCCCCCGCCCAAAGTCTTGGCGCCTCTCGACCCTCAAACACCCACCGTGGCTAGCATCGTCGTCAGTGCACCACCACACAACGCGCCACCAGCCTTGGTACAGCAGGTTTGTGTAGGATCTGCCTCTTTGTACGTGCACATCACCATCGCACCGCACTGTGAACGAGTCGCGCCTCCTTCCATGAAGAGCACTGACAGTGACATGTGCCACCCAACGCCAGGACGATGATTGTGCTACGCTGACGGCCATGGCAAAAGCGTCCAAGGAGATCAAGGATCCTCTGTCAATGGACATGGCCCGCCAATGGCTTCATCCACCCAGACTGCCGGCCCCAACGCAACCAGCGCATCCCTTTTGGCCTACCAAAACACGTGGAGAACGCGCAATGTGGGGGAGAGGAGAGCAAAATAGCCGGCCATCCCGGACCGACCGGCGCTTTCGACTGCACCCTGCACCCACTGCTTTGCATCCCATTTCGTAGATCGTTGCGTTAGCACCAGCCAGAAATCTTGTGCCCGGTACTGGGTTGCGTTGGACAGGATTCGGGGAACTTGTCCTCTTCCCGTGTCGGCCACAGGACAGCACAGGACAGGGAACTGTGGATCCGAACATATGTAGTCTTGAGGGCATGGCACAGTCTACTTCAGTCTAATCAGATTCACCATCACTGCGCTCCCAGAGCACCACGTACTTGCATGACATGGACGACAGTACCATATGACTTCATCAATCTCCCCCCATTCATAAGCTTGTATTTTTTGGTGATTTCAAATAAAAGGGAGACAGAGAGAGAGGGCAAGAGGAAGAGGAAAGAAGAGAAAGACAGCACAGCAGTCCAAGCAATACACTTGCAATTTCCACTCTTCCAGAAAGAAAGCAAGGACAAAAAAAGGTTATATACAACAAGGTAAAACTTTTCCCCAAGTTTCCCCACGAATATTCTCAAAAGCCGATAGCAACAGCCACAGCCACAGCCACAGCCACAGCCACAGCCATGCCTAGACTATCCTCTCCCCCCTCTCCTCCATTCACCCCACACCTTACTTCTCCCTGTGGCCATGAACATGCATAATCCACTACCTCTTCAATCCCCAAACCACACAAAGACCACCAAATTTCACATGACATAAAGCAGGTCCACATCTAAATCCAAGTCAGCCCCCATCTCTTCTCTTCTTCTTTTGAAAAAAAAAAACACCCCCTTCACGCGCAAGTGTCAAGCAGGCAAGAGAGAACGACAAGACATACTCAGCGGGTGACTACAACTCAACTGTGGCTTCTGCGCGTACTTGCCCTCGAGCTCGTCGCGGATGCTGTTGAGCAGCTGAACGTAGCTCTGATTGGGGTTTTTGCGCAGCGAGGTGATGAAGGCCCAGGACATGGCGCCAGTCGCTTCGCCGCCAATGGAGGCGTCGGCGCTGTCACAAGTTAGCGAATCAAGGCCAATGTCCAAATTACTGCGTGGAACGTGGAACTGGAGTAATGGATAAAAAAAAAGGGGGCAACTCACGAAGTCTGCTGGTCCTTGCTCCCACTCCACATAATCACATCTGCTGGACTGGTCTTCGTCCTCAGATTCTTCTTGTATACATCGTCGCCGCTGACCGCCTTTTTGAACAACGAGGTCGCACTGCCAATCATACTACCAATATCCCCACGCGCATAGCTTGACACAATACCCAACAAACCTTGCCCTGCTTCTTTGGCCAGATTGGGCTCCTTGAGGACGCCCTGGGTGGAGTAGATGTAGGGGAGGTCGAGCGCGGAGCCCGAGTGGCAGGAGTCGAAGATGGCCGTTAGTCGGACACCGGGCTGCAGATTGGCGACCATGATGCGGTGCATTTCGTCGTCGACAATATGGCCGGCGGTGCGGAAGTCAACAGGGTAGATTACTTCGTCGTAGCCGTCGTCTTCGTCGCCGTCGAGATCTTTGGTCTGGCCGCCGTGGCCTGTCGTGTATTAGCATGTCGCTCCACCATCTTCCTCGTCTGGAATTGCGTACCTGAGTAGTGGAAAAACAGGGAGTCATTCGGCCGCGCGTCCTTGACCAGCCAGTGCATTGCTCGCAAGATGTTCGCTTTTGTAGGTTGGCTCATTGGGTTCTGCTGGTCGTCTGTCAACAGCACCATATCTTCTCTTTTGTACCCGAAGAATTCGTTCAGATACGTGCTCATATTCTTCACATCGTTGATACATCCGCGCAATTGACCCCGCTGGCCGAAGTAGTTGATACCAATCAGCAGCGCTTTTCGTCGGCCGTTACATGCCGAGTATTGGAAAGAGTATCCGTTTGGGGCGCCATGGCCGAAGTTTTGGGCACCGGTTGGCGGGGGAGGAGGGGCTTGTTGGTTTCCATGTGTCCATTGGTTGCTGTTGACCGTTGGCATCATGCCTGCTCAACTGTCAGCATTGTCAAGCCATACAGATATCTTAGACATACCAGGGCGAGGTGGCTGTGGTGGCGGTATCTGACCTTGCGGTGGTGGTGGGCCATAGTTGCCGTACTGCTGTGGAGGAGGACCCTGTGCAGTCATCAGTCAACATCCCATGCACCCTGCCTCACTATATCCTCCCACATGTCACGTACCTGGTTGTACCCATACTGCTGGGGCGGAGGCGTTGGCTGTCCATAGCCTCCATATCCTTGTTGTGGAGGACTGCACCCGTCAGCGCTCATCCCAACTCTACAATCCGCGCAACACTCACGGAGGGCCATAGGCATGCTGTGGTGGTGGGTAACCCTGTGGGGGCGGGGCACCATAGCCATTCTGAGGCGGCGGCGGCGCACCGTAGCCATTGTTGTGATATTGCTGTCCTGGATAGTAAGACATGATGGTTTACAATGCGTCCAGTCTTGCGCGAAAAGACGCTGGTTGTCGTGGTTGATGCTGGCACGTTGTGGTCGAGAAGCCGAGGATTAAGTTAGGCGTGAGTGATCGACACGCTGTGACGTTTCCCGGGGCGGCTAAGTCCAGCCCTTCAAGATGGCAGATCTCTCGGACAAACAGCGGCTATGAAGATGAGATGCTGAGGAAATGTCGTAGTCGAGAGGAGAGAATTAATAGGTAGTGTGATGTTCGTAAGAGCACGTGCGGCTGATAAGTGCAATGGCACGATGTTGGAGAATGGTGAGTCGTGACCGACCGGCGCGGGGTTGTCTGGTTGGCAAACGTTCAGGTAAGCTCTCTTTCCAGCTCCGCTCCCAAGGCTGAAGGTCGCAAATCTGACAGTTAGCCAGTAAGCAAGCGAACGACTCTACGGAAGCACGGCACCAGCAACAAGGGTATGGCTTCTTAGTCGCCGAATTCCAACGTATCCAGGATGATCTCCATTAACGGGATTGCTAACAGTGGAGGATTACACAGAGGCACTAGCGATCGCAGTCGTATGTAAAAACAATGTCGCAAAACTAGGGGGCGTGCGGAATAGGCAAGTAACGAAGAGAAGGAGACTTAGCCAGAGGTGACAGAATGACGTTGAATGAGGATGGAAGAGGTCGAAGTCGAATAGGTGGGTCTGATGGCGTTCTGCAGCATCACTGCCTCGTGGTCGAGGATGCGAAGACTTCGCATGTACTCTCCTAAACCATACCAGACCACGACGCGCACCATAGAAGCCAAACCATAAACAGCCAGCCCTACAGTCCACAATGTCCAACAACAGCCTCAGTCCCACACACGTAACCAAGCCTCAGCCACGCACGCCTACTCAATCAGGACAACAAGCAGCCTAGGACATCACTCGAGCCCAAACAAGGCTTGAACACGGCCAGAAGCGTACCGTACCTACGCAAGCGAGCGGCAACCCCGAGAGCCTAGTCAAGTGCGCAGCCACGTTGTGAATGGGGAAGGCTCCAAAAAAGGGGGGCCGTGCAAACGTGACGGAGTTTGCATGGCACGGGGGGATTCTTGGGGGAATTTCTTTTGTGCCCTGAGGGTCACGGTGCGGACGCTGGCAAGACTGGTACACTGGGTGGTCAAGTCGTGTTGGGGAAAATTTGGCAATGAATTTTTTAATGATGGACCATGGGATGAGATTCTAGGAAACTTCGGTATCATATCATACATCCCTTGACTCATGGCACTCATGGCGCCAGCGCCAGCAAGCGAAGCCAGCAAGCTACTGTAGGAATCCCAGCAACTCCATCAGCAGCATTCATACCGAGATGTTTTCTTTTAAAAAAAACCGATATGGTGTGACAACGCACCAGCCAACCCCAAGGACCGCACAACCACCAGCAAATACCACGTTTTCTGGCACAAGCATGTGAGAAGAACCATGTGATTTCTTAGGGGGTATATAAGCTGTGTCATGAGCTAAACAACGACAGCGAGGGGGTTATAAACTACCCTACCATCTCTAACCCCGCCCCGCCTGTCCTGATAAAACTACCGTAAGAAAGGGAAGAAAACGAAAACGAAAAACCAGCTGTCTGTACGGAGGCGATCGGAAAACCGCTTGTATGTGACACCCCGTTCCCACCGCCGTAAATATCATAAACCCGTAAACGAGAAAAAAAGGAAAGAGAAAAGATTCTCCAAACCAGAGCAGACAGAGTACGTTGCAAGTAACCTTTTTGTTGTCAACTCTATGACTTTGGGGCCGTTGTGATGCAGAGGCGAACTAGCTAGGAGATAGAAGGAAAACACCCGATTCTTCTCCCACGAAAGATTTCGCTCGTACACTTATGCTCATGCATGCTTATGGTGATGGTACAAAAGAGACGCTACCGCGTCAAAGAAGAGGAGGAAAAAGAAGAAGAAGAAGAACAAGTAGTAGTAGTAGAAGAAGATAGAAGTAAAGAAACATCGTAGGCTATTATGACGAAAAGAATATGACAAAAGTTCTAAACCGTGGTCAAACAAAGTTTCAGGCCACGGAATGCGCTCGCTGTCGCAAACAGGCCTTGGACGAGTGCAAAAGTCGTAAACGCCGCATGGTACGCCGCAGAGGTGTAAGATCTGGATGAGCAAAACAAGAGAAAAATGTCAGTGTTGCTATACCCCTCAACTGAAGACGAGGGGTGATTATGGGTGTAAGAGGAAATCTGGAGGTTCGGAGGGTTTTGAGCTGGGCTTTTCTGTGGTGCATTCGGAAGCGGTAGGGGCTTCTTTCGCACCATCTTCTCCTGTGGCTCTGAGCCCATCACCTCCTTCTCCTTTGGCGAGCTCTTCTTCGCGCTCACGAGCTTCGCGTTCAGCATAGATTTTTTGTTTTTGGTTTTGGGCCATGGTTAGGGTGTCGATGTAGGTGCGGAACTTGACAATCTCTCGGAGGAGATATTGAGATTTGCGTTCCCAATTGGCCATGGCACGGGCCGCGTTGGGATGTCGTGGTGAGAACTGATGGTTAGGTCAGCACAGAGTCGTCTTCATCGAAAGCCTCAATACTTACTGCGATCAGGAGAGGCGCCCTCAATTCGTTGTGGTGGGCCAGCTCGCTTTCTATATTCTTAACATAGTCGGTCAATGCTCTCAGTTGGTCCACTTCCATTAGATTGCTAGCCATCATGCTTGAAGTCGGTGGGCTCCAGTCTGAAAGCACAACCTTGTCGCCAGGAAGTCTGGGCTTGGGCGTGCCTGGCGCATGGTCGATTGAGCTGCGGAGCGAGCTTGTCACGCTGGGACGAGGCATGTGACCTTTGACTGAGGGGGCGCTGTCCTGTCGAATGAGAGCTGGGTTGATCACAGTGTCGCCCCATCCGTATTCCATGCTACTGACACCACCCATGAGGGGTTCCTTGGACAGACGAGCTGACCAGTAATTGGCGGTACACACAAATTCTCTGGCAATGTCAGGCGTCCCCACTTGGAAGAGGTGAACAGCACCCGTGGGTAGAGATAGAGCGAAGACATAAGGCCGCGACTTGGAGTAGCCAGGTGGCGGAAGAGCACTAGCAATCGTCTGTCGGAGCGGAAAGCTTTCCAGCGCCTCTGCATTGTCCATCCAGTTGCCACCTCCGACAACACCGCCAATAGAAGGCCGTAGCTTACTTTTGTTGCGTACTGACCTCGAATTCATGTTGAAGGAAAATAGACGCATGTAACCCTTTTCAACAACGGCAAAGCACTCGCTCCATGCTCGGTCCTTGGCCTTTTTGTCCGATGACTCCAAGTGATGTTTGTGCTTGACGATACCTTCCTTTGCCCAGGGTGCACCTACAAGCTCCAGCGTCTCGTCTTCCAGGAGCGGCGCAACGCGCGAGAATTCCTCGTCACTAGCAATGGTCATTCCTTCTTCACGAATGATAGCCTGGCTCAGCGCATTGGCAAAGCCGATGGCTTGTTGGTAGTCTCCAGCGGCGAAATGAGAGCCCAAAGAGTCCATGGACATTGATGTTCCGGTTTTGCCGTACGAGTACCGACTCCAGGTGCTAGATCCTGCTGGGCTCCAAACCGAGCCATCGTCCAGGCTGGTCCGACTTGATGCAACAGTGGATGAAGGATACAGCTTTTGCTTTGAGCGGTTCTTAGTAGCCCAGCGACTGCCTACACTGCGGAAGTCGCCCTGTGCGCGGCTGCGGTAGCTTACGTTGTCGGACGGAGCCTTGCTCAATACACTCGGTGTACGGCGAAGCATATTGCTGACAGAGAGGTTATTGCTGGATGGCTGGTGATGTACAGAGAGATTGGAGACACCGTGAAGTGGCAATCGTTGCTTACGAATGGAATCATAAAATTCCTTGAGCACAATCTCAATCTGAAACTCCCAGCCACGCATTGGCCCGTTGTATGGCGCGTTGACGAGTGTATTAGATTCGCCCGTAGCAGAATCATGGGAGAGGATTCCATCGGATCCACTTCTAGCCGGTGGTCTGATCGATAGGCGGCTGCGAGCCCTCTTCTCCGTCGGTTCTTCGGTTACATCTGCTGGGAAGACTGTTGCGTCAACACCCGGCGACGTTGGCTCTGACTTGTCATTCCATGGTAGAGAAGGCCGCCTGAAGTGAGTGGATTGCGGTCGCAGAGTCTCGCCATCTTCAGCCTTGATTGCATCTTTGCAGACCCGGGTGACCGTCGGAAGCGTGTTCTTGACGAATTGGCTGCGAGTCATTCTTGATTCAATGTCCGCCATGTGGAGATCGGTGTTCAACAGGAGAATAGAATAGCAGATGGTGTGAACGACGTCGACGGCCTTGAATCCATGATTGCTGTTGCATTCGCACCAGCGCTCTGACAGGCTCATCAAGATACGATCCACTTGCTGTGTCTCGGCCTTCAAAACAATCTTTCCGCAGAGGTCACGCATAGCTGCGAGAATGGTGAAGCCAGTCCAGTCGAACAGGTCCATGAACGCTTTCCGGATTCGCATGCTGCTTAGGGTCACATCACCCAACATGGCAGCAGCCTCAGCTTTGAGGACAGCAGAATCGTTGCCACTGTAGATTTGGAATGCACGTTCGCGATCCGAGTCGGTGGGCTCCGTATGCATTGAGCGGTCCTCAACGATGGAAGGCATGGCGTCAGACTCGCGACTTTCGACTTGCACGATGGGTAGGCTCGTGGCGGAGTGGAAAACGTCATTGGGCGACGTGGGGGAGTCTTCTTCCGGTGATGCAGATAGCTGAGCGAGCGAATGTTGTGAGGAACGCGCGCTTTCCAGGGGTAGCTTGAGGTCGTAATTTGTATCACCAGACTTGTCTTCCGGTAGGGTGGTATCCAGCCACACGCGTTTCGAACCAGCACTTGGTTTGCGATCTGTCGGGGGCCTCTTTTCCTTTTGTTCCGTGAGCACCCAACCGTCGTCTTCCACTTCAGAAGCAGATTGAGACATTGACCCGCTTCTGGACTTGACGGGGTCGTGGGGTGACAGTAGTTCGGACCGTTGTTCGCCCTGCGTGTTTCGGTCGCTCCTGCCTTCCGACCCAGACTGCTCTTTGGAAGTGGGGCCACCAGCACCAGGACTAGGTTTCCAGACTTCACTCACGCCACTGCGCTCTTCGCTGCAACTGCTGCTATCCGCCAGGAACGAATCTCCTTGCTGGCTGGCCTGTGTTGCTGCTTTACCGTGCTTCAACTTCAGCTTCAGCTTGGGGCTTTCGGTAGCAGTCGACTGTGCAGCTTTCAGTGGCTCGCCCTGCGACGATGGTGGAGGCAGCTCGTCCTTTCCACGCGAGCCCGGTTTGACTGTGCGGACTATGGCGTCTTTGTGCGGTTTGTAGCCTGGAGAGAACCCACTGGATCGATCGCCGCCCTTCTCCTCGTCCGCAGATTGCTGCTCACGCTTCTCGCGGCTCAGGTACGGGTCCATGACCTGGCGTAAACTGCTCACGCCAGGGCTAGGCTGGGCAGGTAATATTGGTTTTGGCGGACTGAAGTCAAGAGTCATGACAGGGGGCGGCATATTCTCTGACATGGACTTCTTCCTTCGCCTGAAGAACGAGGATGGTTTCTTGGCCAACGAGGGCGGCGGCAGTTGTGTTTCTCGTTGTGAATTTGCCGTTTGCGGAGCCTTGGGTAGTGATTTTAGCTGAGTAGCGATGTGGCCATTGTTGCTCGGTGTGGTACGCGGCCGTGTTTGGGAGAAGACGGAGTCGACTTCCGAAGCTCGTTGCTCTGTCGAGCTTAACATGGAGTCTGGCAGGGTGCTATTCGCACTGCTTGTAGAGTTGGACTGTTGCGGCGAAGCTTTGGAGCCTCCACCAAAGACACGCCTAAAGAAACCTGGCTTCTGTTGTGGAGTAGTGGCTGGCGTCTGTGTAGGGAACAGCGGCTTGCGTGTGGAGACGGTGGGTGAGGGGGCAGGTGGATCCTGGAATGAGGGTACCATGGGCAACTCGCGCAGTGTACTCGCATTGACAAACTCTTGTGCTTGCGCCCTCATGCTCGGGTCTACCTGGCTCTTGCCCTTGCGCAGGGTCCTGTAGCTGGTGTTGGAGCGTATGCTGTTCCTGCGACCAGGTGCTTGCGGCGGTGCAAATGGTGACTGTGCGGAATAGGTGACTGGCGACTGCGGTGGTTCCTGCACCCTGCGTGGGCCAGCTGGTATCGTAGGCTCGGGGGCTGCATCGTACTCGTCTGGGTAAGTTTGATAGGCCATTCTCCCCCTGTCCAGCACGGATTCAACCTTGACAGGCATGTTTCTTGGCCGATCACTGAGGCCACTATGATCAAAGCTGGCGGAGCGTTTGCCAAATCCTAGTCGCTGGTTCCCAAGTATGCCAGTCTGGCCAAAATCCATACTCGAAGACCCGCTGCCCTTGCTGCCCTTTTTGCCAGTTCCCCTCAGGTGGCCTGCTTGCTGAGGCTGTCCGTTGGGTCCGTTCTGTTGCCTGCCATTGTAGACATCTCTCATGCTCCCCTTTCTACTCACGGTCGTTCCAATATTGTTACTGCTGTTGCTCCTGCGGGCGCGCGAGTGGTATCGACCCGCATCATCGTTGTGCACGTCGTAGTCGGATGAGCGTGAGGACGTGTATGTGTGGCCGCGGTGACGGTTCCCTGGGGGGCGGTAGGAATTGTCTCGCAGGAAGAAGTCGTCTTCGCCGTAGTCGGCGTAGGCAGGCCTGCTGTCTCCAAACAAATGGCCGGTCGCGAACTGGTCCAGCGAGAGCAGCATGTTGTCGACAACCGAGTCCCTGACGGTAGCCCCCTCGGCAAAGGACAGGTCGTGGGAGTCGCGGAGCGGGTCGTAGTGGCCGTCTGTCCCTTTGGTGGCCTTGGTCCTCTCTACAGGCGTATCATCGTCGAAGAATGTGTCGAGCGAGGTGTGATCGGTGTCGATAGCTCGTGTAGGTTTGTGAGGCCTCGAGGAGCCCGTAGGCGTAGTCGGGCGCGCTGCATGGCGCGTCTGGTCCTGCATTTCGTTTGGGAAGGCAGTGGCTAGGGCGTGGATGATGTCTGCGTAGGTTTCCTCTCCAGGCGAGGATGCTGGAGCATTCTCCGAGGACGGCCCAGCAGCAACAGTAGGGTCGGATGAAAGCAATTGAGCAATACTGGAGAGAGGGGGGCAGCCGGTGGCACGCGCAGAGGAAACGGGACTGTGCAGTGCAAATGGGCGGGTTCGCGCGTCTGCTGCGTACTATGATGCGCTGGTAGTACTTCTGTGGTGCCAGATAGGCGCACCCGTTAGTCTGGTTCTCCACAGAATGCCAGGTGCTCTCTCTCTCTCTCTCTCTCTCTCTCTCTACATCAATCGAACCAAGGGCCTTTTGGCTAGGGAGGGGGAGGCCAGAGCCCACACAACAAAACTTGGTCGAGACTAAGTTTGGATCGCGCTGCGCTCGCTCTACGGAATGGCGGCCCTGACGAGGTGGCCCTCAGGGGGTTCGCTCACAGTCGGTGTTGGTGATGTCGCAACAATCAAGCCAAAATGAGCCCACACGCAAACTAGAGGCTGCACTAGGCCGTGCGGATCGGTGGAGAAGGGCCTGCTAACCCGCTGCTGGATTGGATTGGACGAGGGGCGGGCAACAGAGTATAGTAGTCTCCTTAACGGTATGTAAAATGGTCGAAGGTGTAAAATAGAGCGCCGAGGCAGTGCACGCGTTCTCGCGTATAGCACATGCAAGGCGCAGACAGGAGGATGGCCAGGGGGATTTGCAAGAACAGAGGGGGGAGGGGGGGGGAGAGAGAGAGTGTGAGTGAGTGAGTGAGTGAGTGAGAGCAAGAGAGAGAGAAACAGAGAACAGAGAGAGAGAGAGCAAGAGAGAGAGAAACAGAGAACAGAGAGAGAGAGAGAGAGAGAGAGCATGGGCTAGCCACCTTTTCCAGAGAGAGGTGCAGGACCGACCTCGACAAAACTCTTTAGTCGTGTGCCATCTAATCCCTGACCATTCAATACAATCCACCGCGCCCGTCGACGATGACAGCGAGTCAAGCCTGGTGGAAGGAGCCACCGCCAGACTCATGGCCGGGTCGTGTATTGTTTGGTTTTGTTTACTTGCTTTTACGTACGATACTGGCTTAGCTAATCATTCTCTTTTCAACAGTCTCAGGTCCCCCCCCCCCTTCTCCAGTGAGTCCCCTGAACATCCCCACCCTGAATACATACCTACCGATACCCAACATGTCTAAGACATACAAGACCAACTTCCGTCCCGAGCATTGATTCCAAGGGCCAACATCACCCTTATGCCAAAAGACTTTTCCATGCGAGAAAAGGGTTCGGGATCGAGACTTGGTAGCCCATGAAACCGCTTTGAGATGTGCGGTACCGGTATCTGACGGACAGCGGTCAGTGAATCGTCGAGGTAGGTGGTCTATAACGGCTTACCTACACATCGATACCATGCTCGTGGATAGCCTGGTGGGCATGGCTAGCTTGGATGCAGTTGGACGGTACCAGTACTCTACTCTATAACTTACATCCATAGCACTAGCATTGGTGCTACCTTCTGAAACGCTGTCGTTGAATGGCATGCTGCAGCCACAACGCGGAATGGCGACACAACAGAATGCCCCTCGCGCTCGCCCCCCACCCCTCAGGCACCATCTCTCCGCCCATGCCAGCCCTGGCCCCTCAGCCCAGAACGACCCATGTCGCTCCTTCGCCACCTTAGAACACGTCGGTATAAGATACCCCATATATTGCCAACCTTAGTTTTTTTGCGACTGAACCCTTCCATTGTTCCAGAAGTCAGGAACCAACGGACCGACAGCACATTTGGATAGCCCCGCCCTTCGTCGGCTGAGCTGCCGCCCGATAATGACGGCCACTCGCAATCTTTGCATCGTCCAACCTACTCTACTTCTACCGACACATGCACACGCACCATCTACCCTCTGTGAAGAAGCCGTCATGGCGCCAGCATATGCACGCTGTTCTCGCTGTGTCTAGTGGCTGCATGGATCTGCCCAGCGTGAGACATCAGGTCCCGCCTTCTGTACGACATGCTGCATGCCCCTCCGCAACATTGGCGCGGTCCGCACTTTGTCATCGTTAGACTTCAGTGTCCGGACATTGTTCCTCTTCGAAACAGAGGCGGCCCGGACGCTTCATGGGCACGGCTGTCCTTCCAATATCCCAATTGCTCAAAGGATTTTGAGTCGTTGTGATGCATGATTCAGCTCTGTTTGACCACTCTTTTGCAGGTACGGTAGGGCAGTGGTGAGAAGAATCTCCGGAAATGGGTCCTGCATCTTGAACAATTGCATCCTGCAACCCACTCACAAGAAGCATGAAGCATAGATATCCTTCTTCCACTCTCGAGACAACTGTACGCTCGATGAAAAGTCCAACTATAAAGCCGCGTCCTCAAGTGGTCCCTCGTTGCCACGTATTTTCCTTCTGCGCGAAACGCTTCAGCAGCCATCTCCCCCACCATCTCAGCCAAAACCCCACCTCGCGTGTCATGTCCAACGTCCTCTGTTACAGCCCAGGATTACAATCTCCAGGACCCTGGGCTATTGATCTCAACGTGGAGTCTCACAAATCTGCCCTCATGACCAGGATCCTGGAAAGCAAGGGGAATAACGGCCCGAACGACCAAAAAGGCTGCATCCGTCATCATCAGCCGTGCATCTTGTGTACATCATCCTCGATTGCCGAAGACTAACTTTGTGCCCTACATATATCCTTCAATGATTGGCTTTTTTCCTGTTCCCCCCAACCTTTTTCGACTTCAGACTTCACACGTACACTTCGGCTAATGTATTGAGAGGTGCTGATTTTCGCACCTTTTTGCTGCGTTTTGAGCTGGCCTGTGTGTTTGTGTATGAAAATGCCATGTTCGATCCTTTCATTACTGAGAAAGCTTGGGACTTCGATGTATCAAGATGACGAATCGGTCGTTTCCCTTCTGCACAGACTGCACGCTGTGCAAGAGATGGCAATTTCACCACACTCCCATGTTCCCAATAGCACGTATCAGCACTTACATGCTTGAACGCTAATATCCGTTAATACCATGAGAATAGGACGGCCTTCGTCTTCGTTTCAAATCGACTCGTCACCTCTGTATTCCGTCTCTCGTGTCTTGAATGCTGTATAGTCCTCCACGAACTTCTTCATGACTCACGTGCTTTGCGAGGTTTGGTCGCAGTAGATATGAAATTCGCAGTATCATACCATACTACAAACAATCCTATATTACCAATGTCGTTCTCCCGCACCCTCTTTTTACGCAGGAGTTGGAACATGCTTTTCATTACTGGTTGGCCCAACTTAGCTTTGTACGGCGCGTTCGGAAAAGTCAGATTGAAGGTGACAAGAAATTCATGCCACTCTATGTATTGAATTTGACAGTGTTCTTGGTAAGCCATGCGTGTTCTTGGTAGATCTGAGTAAGATTGCTGTAGATTCGCTTTTTGAAAACGACACAGGACGTCACTTTATACTGTGAGAATTTTCGAGGAATTCTATGAGACTGCGGCGCTATTCAACTCTGTCTGATCATGCGCATTCATCATCTCTGTTCTGACAGGAAAATCCCCCGGACAAACTTTCGGAATGCTGATATGAGTCTCTCTCGGTAAATCAGTGAGATGACATAATATGGCTCTAGACAATAATGATCTGCGAAAAGGTAAAGTAAAATATTTACACAGTAGGGTCCTAAAAAGAAGCCTTACTGGCGAACTATTATAGTGATATATATATCTACAGGGGCATGGTAACCCTAGCCGTTCGCTACCGGAATCCATGCGATGTCCAGATCGACTGGCCCCTGCTGTCATAGATTCTCTGCTATTTTTCCACCGACCTGTATGATGCAATGCTATATCTTCTCGAACACTCAAGACCCTTAAATACAGCGATATTGTTCTTCTGTTATGCTACTAACCATGTTCTTGGTGACACTGAGTGGAGATTCCGGCGTCCTGCAAGTCTGCTGTCAATGATGTAAATCCCTCAGCGTCAGATACCTCAAGTTACCGCTCCAACCAGCTGCACGATGATGGAGCATGCACAATGAGGAATAGAAGCGCAGATGATGCGCCATTTGTTTTTGGGTTTTGGAAGATCATGTGCGGAACAAGGCGCAGCTACAAGCAAATGCTTCTTTTTCTCTACCCCTCTTCTAATACCTATATAATCTCAAGACCATGTGTGTAATTTGAAATCTGCTTCTCGTCTTTTCTGGAGAAAACACATTGGGTGAGGCCGCGAATAGTGTCGCGAGTGACGTCGATCGTGAGAAGAGCATCAGATCTCTGCTACTCCTATAAGCGTTAGCGCGGTCCAATTAGCGTCAAACCGTAGCGTCAACCTGCATTTGGGCATCTCTCTATCCTACGCTTCATTCCGACGCTTTACCACACCGACTTTGCTGCACTCCCGAACACCATCAATCTTCTATTGACTTGGAGAAACTCAAACGTTCTTTAATCACACTTGCTGATACAACCACAACCTGAAATAGGGCGACTGCCACACCTCGTCTATCGGATATCCCTTCCCTTTCGAGTGCTTGCAGATGAGCTTGCTTATCCCCGCCCATCTTGGATTATAAGCCGATACTGGATTGCCGCATAGCACTAACATTTTCCTATCCGTCTTGACCACTTCCGGTCTCACATGTCAGGCCCTACCTCCGATCCGGACTGGAACAGTGGCGGCACTGGCACCGCGGCGTACGGGACATTTACTCGACCAAGAATCGACTCTACTCCAAGCAATCATGACAGTCAGGACAGTGTAGCGGTGCAGAGCAATGGTGGTGACGTCTCTCCAACGCATACACCCTCTCCGTCGCGTAAATCGTCAAGACATATTGAATTTCGAAAGTACTTGAAGAGACCGCATCTCACAGAACCTCAGCGGACGCTGAGTGACGCTTTGCGGGCGGCAAAGAGCAGAGAAGAGCAGGAAACGCTACTTCCAGATGATGAACATGCGGGCGCAGATGGATGTTTCAATGGGCAGGGTGAGCCTGCGGGCCCACGAGATGCACTTGGGCCCAATCCGAATAACCATCTGAGGGTCTACTTCAACATTCATCGGTATTTATCGTCCAAATGGAGATTTTGATGATATTTTACTGACCAATATACAGTATACGACGGCTTGTTCTGGCTGTTATCGAGGACCCCTATACAACAGAGCAACTAAGAGAGCCTCGTATGAACGTTCTCATCGTCAAACCACTTGTGGACCGTCTGTACGACGAGGAAGACATCTCCATTGTCTACTGTCTACTAGTCAATCGCATGCAATTTCTGCGCGAACAGCATTTCCAACATAACCACCAAACCGTCGACTTGACGCGCGCAAATCTTTGTGAGCTAGTAGCCATGAAAGTCCTGCGACGACATGACGAAGAGAGCACTGGAAAGGCAGGTCTACTTCTTCTAGCGCAGATTCTCGTAGCGCCATTCCAGCCATTCCAAGGTGCACCAGAAGAGCGATGTCCAGCGCGCCATGTCTCGGAACACCAAGGGCAAGGCGACAACGAGGGAAAGCTGACTGCACTCGAAGTTGCCATTGTGTCGGAGAGTAAGGTCTTGCTCAGTAGCTCGGCTTCCCAGAAGGTCATCGATGCAGTGTATCGAGGTCGTATCGTCTACACACCAACCACATTCATCGACATCATCCCGGATCACTACAAGTATAAGCCAATTTCACTATACGATCCGCGGAGAGCACCTCTGCTCAACCAGTATCGTCTCATGGTGCCCAAGACGCGCAACATGATCGAAGTCGTCCAATTCATCGTACTTCTGGCGCTATACAGCTGGTGTATGACAGTGCGCAAGGACCACTTCCTCACAAACGCCGAGGTCTTTTTCCTGCTCTACGGCAGTGGCTGGGTCCTTGACGAAGTCTTGTCCTGCCTCGAGCATGGCTGGGAAGTTCACACTCAAGAGTTGTGGGCCTTTCTCGACGTCACCTTCGCTGGCATATTCATCGTCTACCTCTGCATGCGCTGCCACGGATGGTCTACCGGCAACGACGAACTCGGCCGACAAGCCCTTGATGTCCTCGCTGTTGCATCGCCCATTCTCTTCCCACGTATCGCCTTCAACCTCATGCCAGAGAATATGCTCTTCATCGCGCTGCGAGCCATGGTCAAGGAATTCACAGCACTCAGCCTAATAGCAATCTGGTGTTTCGGTGGTTTCCTCCTGGCGCTCAAATGGCTCAGCATCAGCAACCCGGCCGTCGGCTACGAAGACTCGCCCAACAGCATCACAATCTCCAAATGGATGCTCTGGATCTGGTTTGGTCTCGACGGCCAGGGCATCGACGAGGCGCCCGAGTTCCACGAGATCCTCGGTCCAGCCCTCATGGTCATCTACGCCTTCCTAGGCAACACCCTCTTCCTCACCGTCCTCGTCTCCATCCTCTCCAACACCTTCAGCAAAATCGCCGCAGACGCGACCGCGGAAATCCAATTCCGCCGCGCTGTCCTCACCTTTGAAGGCGTCAAATCAGACTCACTCTTCGCCTACCGCCCCCCTTTTAACCTCTTCGCCTTCATCGTCCTCTTACCCCTCAAATTCCTCCTCTCCCCCCGCTGGTTCCACAAAATTAACATCACCGCCGTTCGCGTCCTCAACTTCCCCATCCTCATCGCCATCGCCCACCACGAGCGCCGCGCCCTCTGGCGTCCCCACCGCCGTCTCTCCCTCTCTGGCCCGGGGCCCTCGAAACGCTCGACCTGGCTCTGGGAAAACGGGTGGTGGAGCTGGAAGAAGATGAGCCCGCACGCCGATCTGCAGGCCGTGTTTGAGGAGGAGCCGCCGGAGAACGTGGTGAGCAAGATTGAGGAGGAGGATGATCTCGAAGACGCCATTCTGGAGAATAGTTTTGCGGCTGCGGCGGGCGCGGAGAGGAGGAGTGTTAGCCCTGGGAGTGCGCTCGGGAGGCGGAGGAGGCTGAGTAGTGTCTGGCCTGGGCCTGCGGGATGAGAGTGTGGTGATGGAGCAGGAGGTCGGGGCGGGGCGGGAGGGGGTTGAGAGATTCTGCCCCCTTTTTTTTTTTGAAATTTTGGGATTGGTGACTTGACGTTGTTGGCAGTCTACGTTTCTCAAGACTGACACAACCACATACACGAAGCATGAGATTCTGAAATATCTGACCCGAGAATAGACGTATTGAGGGCGAACATGGAGGAAGAAAATGTGCAAGTGTGTAATATCATCTCGAGGCTACAACGATTCAATATCTCACGAGAACCCAATTTTCTCACTCCATCCTTTATAGTCGCTCAACCCCCCATCTAACCCCTCGCCAACCCCGTGCCCTTGACACTCCCACTCGAAAACGTAGCCTTGTATTTCCCATCCATAGCCTTTGATCTCTGCTTGCTCGTGATGCCCGTCCGATCAGTCGTAGGCTGTGCAGCCATGAAACTATCGAATTCATCATCACCTTCGTCACCCTCTGGCTCACTGCCGTCCTCATCCTCATCGTCTTCAACGGGCAGAGTCCCAGGCGCTGGCTCAGTCCGCGGTATCCGCTGTGGGGTTTTCTTCTCATCCTCGCTGTCCTGTTCTTTCGGTGTAGGATTGGCAAAGGGTTTGGAGGCGAGTACGCGTCGTCTCAGCTCTGCCATTTCCTCTTCGTCGTCTTCTGATTCGGGGAGATTGTATGGGTTTCCGGGGTCGACTTTGTCTTCGAGCTCGGCGGTTTCCTCGGCGTCTTCGCTTCCTTCTTCGTCTTCGTCGTCATCAGACTCGTCGATGATCCTTCTGTTCATGTTCCCGCCCGCCCATACATCCTCGACAGCACCGTCTTCCTTGGCCTCACGACTCTCATTCCACTCCTTTTCAATCTTGGCTAGCCATACCTCCTCCGCCTTCTTAATCCCCTCTTCATCCTCACACGCCGCATACCGCTTCAGCAGCGCCGCATTGATATCCAAAAACGCGCGTCCATACGAAAAAGTACTCAATATACTCTCTGCCCACTCCGCATGACCACAAATATAATAGCACGCAGCAAGCGCCTCCACACAGTTCAACCGCCACGGTTTTCCATAGTTGGTCGGGTTCGCAGCGACAAGATAGGGCAGCAATCGTTCACATTTGCCTCCAATCCGACCAAAAGGTACTTCGTCAATGCGCTTCCAACTCGCCTCCACGACTGCGGCGCCGTATTGCTCCATGATCGGCCTATCCTGCGGACTGAGTATCTTGCGAGCCTTGGGGCTCACCACAACGCCAGCAAACTTTTGGCCGACGTGTAGTTCGCGCATCATCCCGAGGCGCATGAGCCGTTTCCCTGAGCACCGTTTGGCGTCGCAGTGGCCGAGGTCCCAGCATGCAGCTTTGTAGGCGGGTTTTTCAGGGCGGGGGCCATTGTTGGCATCTTCGTCGACGTCGGAATCGCGGCGGGGACGGGGTGGGCCGCGGGCTTTGGCCGGCTTGTTGAATTTGTTGTTCGCCTTGAAGTCTTTCTTGTGGCGGACCATGGTGAGAGATTGCGGGCGTGGTGAATAAGCGGGGTGGTAGTGATGTTGATGTCGATGAAAGTTTGAGAGGGGCAAACTAAATCCAAGTCACTTTACAAATCGTAATCGATAAGCTAACCCCAGAGGCGATGACGTTGTTGGGTCATTGCATTTGCAACCACAACAGTATCAACACTCTGGGAACACTTAAAGTAGGACTGTGCTTGACCAAATTTCAGACCATCACACAAGGTGCATTGAGGGAGGCTTTATTTCAATAATCCCGGCCATTAGCTCTTGTACAATATGTATAGTGCTATGAGACACCTAGGCTTGGAATCTCGCCCATCTCATTTTTCTGTTGGCCACCAAGCGAGTACGATGCTTTCCACCTCATCTTTACGCTACTGCCTGTTCCTATTCGTACGTTGTTGACTCTAATGTTCTGTGTAATACCAAACTTCTGGTTGGGCGCGAGATTCACACCGGATTGCGGCTCCAATTGCAGTTGGGCACCCTAGAGAATATTTAGCTTCGCATTTAGGCACTCGCCCACAAGTAAATACCTTAGATGCTGCGACTTGCAGTGTAAGTCCGGAAATTGGCAATGATGTATTGTTAGATATCCGCGATTGGATTAACAAACATGTGTCGTTCTCTCGCGAGACGTTAAAAAGCACATTCACTGTAGTGTTGGTTACAGTGATCTCCTTGCTGGTGTCAGGTACCGAAGAGGCAAAGGTCCACTCATCCTCGTCATCGGCAGCACTCTCCTGTGTCACATTGGACGTCGGCGGAGCGATGGCGCCACCTAGCAGGTCAACAGCAGCGGACGCAGGTGGCGAAGGCTTGACTGATTGTTGGTATTGAAACGGGGATGCTTGTCGCGGTGCTCCACCAGACAGGGACGCAAAAGGATCAGGTGTGCGTACCGGCTGAGCGGGGGCCTGTGCAAATGTTGATGGCGGCGGTGTTGATATCTGTGGTGGCGTCGAGGTTGGCCCTGCTGCAAAGAGGTCGTTGATCGCTTGTGCGGAGGTTTTTTGCTGGACTTGCGATTTTGGGACGGGCATTCCAGACATACCGAGAACTGATAGAATTAGCAATGGGCAGTCAACATTTTCTCCACACCATACCTGAGCCGTTGGAGCCTCCTAATGAGATGCTACCAGACTGTCCATAGTTGTCTCCACTCAAAGACAGGCCTAGTAAATCGTCTTCCAAGGCATTGCCCTTTGCTGTAGGTTGTTGTGAGGTTGCTGCTGAGTCTGTGGTTGCAGCAGGAGCAGGCTCGGGATCCCCAAAGTCAATGAGATTCAGCGTATTATTTGGACCCTGTGATACACCTGCACCAGTGCGCCCAAGCGTTCCTTGGGGTATCTTATTCGCTGCTTCGATATCTCCCTTCTTGAAAAGCTTGTATCGTTCTATCGTGCGGTGGATGCTATCGTTGATTTCGAACAGCTTGGCTACTGCCTCGTGATCTTCCGAGTCTTCTTCGCACATCTTCTGGATCTTTGGCTGAGCACTTTGGAGGGCATTGGCTAGCTCCTGTCACACTGTTAGTCGGCCAACTGCGATGCGGCCGCCAGCAATCTCACCTCGAAAACATCGCCCTCCTTGATTTCGTCGCCTGGCTTGTAGCTTTGCAACATCTCTTCCAGTATCTTGGCTTTCTGTTGGATCCGCCCAACTTCCTCAGCGGCTTTTGCGCGCCAGTTCGTCTTGTTCCTTGTATCGTATCCCGCCATGACCTTCATGAGCTTGTTTGCTTCTTGCAAGTCTTGTGGGCCCCCTCGTCTAATCAATTCCTGAAGTTTTGCCGACTGTGCCTCGCGCTCCTCGGCCTCCATCTCTTCTGCGGATCGAAGGTTCTGCCTGTATTAGCACATGAGTTTCAACATTTGATCATAGGAAACGTACGTCGCTTGGGTTGAGAACGGCTGCATCTTCCTTGCGTACTTCTGGAAATATGTAACCTTTGTAACTCAGCAACCTGTGCATGTCCCTGATGAAACCTAGATCGTCCTTATATCTTGACGTCTGACATATTGTTTGCCGCCATTCTTCTATGAGTTCGAGGATCTTGTTCTGGACGCGCGACGAATGTATCGGTGGACGCTCGGGGAAGCGGCGGACGAGCTCATTAAGAAACTCCTTGGTGCTGATCTGGAGGTGGAATGGGTAGCCGCAGTTCTTTACGCATATGTCTAGAAGCTATATGGTGGTTAGCGATGGCAGCCAACACGGGGCTCTAGGCGTACATTGAGCGCGAGGAGGGCGACGTTCTGGTTGCGGTGATTGACATAGTGCACGATTGTGACGGCTGCTTCCCGAGGTCTACATGGTCGTGAGCATTTCGTATTATGTGCGGGATCAGCAGAAGATAGCCTACGCAGTTCCTTTCTTGCTGTTGATTAAATCGGCGATCTCCAGGTTCAAGGCTAGGTTCGGTTCAAAGTTTTGCGGATCGCATGCTTGTACTGTTGAAGAGTACGTAAGCCATTACTATCAGCAGAAATGTCTGATGTGTGCATACTTATGAAGCGCTGCAGTGGAGAGCTTGGGGCCTGCTCCCCAAATGCGCCGTAACGATCCCGGGCGGCCATGCGCGCAGACGCTGCCTCCATTGCGCCGCCGGTGAAATCTCGTGCTCTGGGCTACAAATGTTGGAAAGAAGTATCCTACGCGATTAGGAGAAGAACAAATGCCCGTAACAAGCTGTTGGTGTGAATAGCTGTTACTTATGCAGGGATGTGGTGGGGGATTCGGAGGGTAGCAACAGCCTGAGCGTTGAGTCTGGACTCTGGCTTGGCATCTTAGCCGCCCTCCGTAACGAGACTGCTCTGCTCATATAATCAAGAGCGTCAATTCCATATATTTTGACATGCACAGGGGAGATGATGAAGGTGGAGGTTGAAAAGTATTTACGTTGCGCATAATGCTATGGTTTCTAAATGCTTCTGGCCAAAGATGTGCCCCTTGTCGAAGGAACCAGGTTTCTACTATCATGGGCAGATATCATCGCCACGAGAAGAGGGAAAATCAAATCATCCAGTAGTCCTTGATCAGATAGGCCGCGTAACTGGACAATCCCACCAGCACAGCCTGGGTACCGAAGTAGCCAATGGGCCTCCCCACTCCCGCCGAGTCCTTCAGCATCAGGCCGAATTCAGCATGACCTACACGGAACGCAAAGAGAGCGCCAAGTGCCCAATTGATGTACGACCTGGAACTGATGAGCATTACCACTCATCGCATTCTCGAGATTGAACATACCTGCTAGCACCATTGAGCTCAGCGAGCAGTGCTACTGCAAGCACCAAAGGTACGTTTTCCGCAAAGTTGACTTGTGCTCGGTTGGCTACGTAAAGCGGGTCATTGTTGCCTTTTTCTGGGTCGGTGGTATTACTTGTGAAGCTGTCACAGATATCAGTTTGAAGAATATTACTGAGTGCAATGCACATACTTGTTCGAACGAACTCGATGGAAGACAATGCGATTCTGCAAGAAAACGTAGTACAAGGCGAAAGGTGCAGCCCAAGTTGCTGTCGCTGGTGCGAGAAGGGGTAGCGGGACACCGAGTCCGACTTTGGAGGCCATGGTTGTAGTAGAGGGAGAGACGATTGGAGTAGAAAGGTAGTTGACCATCGAATGGCCGATGATTACTAGATATGTAGTTGATGAAAGTGGAGCTTTAGTCAGGGTTGAAGTTTCCAGAATTCAAAAACAAACAAGTGCTTCCCCATGTCGTCATCAAGGTCCGACTAGCGCGAGTTTCCGGACGAAAAATGGCATCTCAATAGATTACCTGGATATTTGTTTTGGAAGGCTTGGGTTGTTATACGGAGTAAAGAGAGAAGGTTGGCCTCCAAAGTTCATGTGTTACGGGCAGATTGCAGTCATGATGTTGGGCAATATAGGGTAAACTTGAACAATATGTCAGCTACATGAGCACCTCCAAGAGTTCGCAGCATTGTGTGATATGTGAGTATTAGGTGGACTGACCTGAATTGAAACAGCATGCTTAGATCTCACAGTAATGATACCATCTGGAACTTGATGCTCGCCATGTGCTATCGAGTCTGGACGCAAATCAGCGTCGTTGGTAGGTAAGCCAGCATGGCCAGGTACAGAACTTACGGGCTTCATATGCTCAGCATCGTTTTCTTTATTGTCTTCGCGAACCTCTTTGAGCATCTTGTCGATGCCTCGTTCCTTGAGAACACGCTTCATGCTCTGTTAGACACACAATCTCCTCCATAAAGCTGAGCGTGACTTACGGAGAGACACTTTTCATACTGCTCGAATAAGGGTTTGCATTCATCGGAAGTTGCAGTACCTCTCAGAAACTCTACAATCATGTCAAAAAAGAGATCATTCATGTACATGGTTAGGTTTCAACTTACTCTCACTGTACCACTTCAGGAAGCAGTTATCGTAGCGCCTGCGCTGGTGTCAGGGAATGACGTGGTGGCGAGTGGCCAAGAACGACGATTGACTTACTCTTTGATTTCATTGCACTCTGGGGCTAAAGAGGCCGACATATTCAAGGTTTGCTTGCAGTGAGATGTTCAAGTTGGAGTGACCGTGTATACAGAGTCGCGCTCGCCTGCTCTAGAGTCTAGCCTCTAGTATAGAGTCTATCCTGACCTCGCTATCGATAAGCCTAGCGCCAAGGGTGATTTTCTTGTATGTTTCTTTCTCCCAGTCCCCAAACAATGCGCCATCCCATTCTTCCACTTTCCACCGTAAAACCCACACTCCCAGAAAAGTTGAGACCCCGATCCCCGACGACAAGAAAGCAGGCGACTATAATGAGCAACCGCTAACCTCGCCATGGACGCCTTCAAGACTCTTCAGGACGAAGTCTCCAAGGCTCTGGTGTCTACCACGCGCTCTGCTTCCCGCGTCGGCAGCGCAGATATTCCCTTCCAGCGATCTCTCAATCCACAAGCAGGCGCGCAGCTTGATGCTCAAAATGCGCGCCTTCTCCACCTCGCGCAGCGTCTGCTTGAGAATGCTGCAGCAAGCTCGGACGCTGTAGGTCCCAAGCTACCCGACATCGAAGCCGTAGATGGCAATTGGAGGGGGGTTGTTGATGTCATCGACAGCTTGCTTGAAAAGGCCGATATTAGTCTGGATGAGTATACCGGTGTTGTGAAGCGCTTGAGTCCAGCAGGAGAGACAGTAAGCGCGCAATTCTGGGCGCAAAAGTTGGCTTCTAAGAATCACAGGCTGCCGCAACACCACGACCGAATATCGCAGACCGTAAAATCATACCAAAACCGCAACTACAGTTTGAATATGTTCCAACCAACGACGAGAGTGGTGGCTTCCGGCCGCTCGTGACGGCAAAGCCACATGCGAAGATCCCGCTGGAAAAATGTCTTCAAACGTTCAAAGACAAACACGGTCGGGAACAGTACGGCCCTTATAATTGCTCCTTGGCCATCGACTTACGTTGCACAGATACCCTCACCCATATCAGACCGAAATCGAGACGTACGAGTATCCTCCTTCCTTGTACAAGCATGCCGAGCCGCAACGATACGAACCCTTTGAATCCACAACAGCCATCTTCGTCGACACTCCTGAAGCGCTTGCAAGTATGCTGGCTGAGCTGAAAACAGCAAAGGAGATTGCCGTCGATCTCGAACATCATGACAACCGATCCTACATTGGCATAGTTTCCTTGATGCAAATCAGCACCCGCAATCAGGACTGGATAGTCGATACATTAAAGCCATGGCGGAGGAAGCTTGAATGTCTGAACGAAGTATTTGCGAATCCCGACATCATCAAAGTCCTGCATGGTGCCTATATGGACATCATGTGGCTACAACGAGACCTCGGGTTGTACGTTGTTGGCCTATTCGATACATATCACGCAGCGCGGTCACTTGGATATCCAGGTGCAAGCCTGGCCTACCTGCTTGATCGATTCATAGGGTTCAAGGCGCAAAAACAATACCAGATCGCGGATTGGCGGATACGACCTCTTGGGAAAGAGCTTTTCGAATACGCGCGAGCGGACACTCACTTCTTATTGTACATTTTCGACAACATGCGAAATGAGCTAGTCGAGAAGTCTGACTTGTCCAACGTTGAGAAGAACAAGGTCAGGGATGTTTTGGAGAAATCTAAAGAAACTGCTTTGCAGCGGTATGAACACCCCGTGTACGACGAAAAATTCGGTCTCGGAACTGGCGGCTGGTACAAGCTGATATCACGCACGCCTGTTCAATTCACGCCGCAGCAATTCGCTGTTTTCAGAGCAGTGCACCAATGGAGAGACGAACTCAGTCGGCAAGAGGATGAGAGCCCACTATTCATTATGCCAAATCACGCTGTATTTTCTGTGGCCCGAGCCATGCCTTCAGACAAGTCCGCGCTATACAATGCAGTACAGCACGTTTCACACATCATCCGAGCGCGTGCAGATGACCTGGTACGCGTCATCACCAAGGCAAAGCAAGAAGGAGTGAATGGTCCTGAATTAAGTGCTGTTCTGCAGGCGATCACCGACATGAAAGAAGCGGAATGGGCGGCCAAGTCAGAGACGATCGAAGCACCAGCGCAGCCCATAACAGCAGACCCGGCAGCCCAGGCAGTACTTCTGCAGAGTACTGTTGCAGTACCAGCTAGTCGTGCTGCAGCATCAAATTTCTGGGGCAAATTATGGAGCGACTCAGAACCGCAAAATACGCCAATAGTCAACGTGGACCTCGCTCTCCCCCTACCCCCCCTGACCGCGGAAGTGTTCGCCGATACAAATGGATTGTCAAATACAACACAAACCGAGAAAGCCCAACACACTTTTGTACCAAAAGAAGACAGGCCAGCGGAAGATCAACGCACCGACTTGTTCGTAGTCAAACAGCTCGGTGGCCGAAAGCGAAAGCGCGGTGATGCTGCGGAGGAGTCTACATCTACACCAACTCTCGACCCCATGGTGAATGATGAAATCATGCTTGACCAGCCCGACGAAGACTCGGAGGAGGCGACGCGTGCGCGGGAAAAGGCAGCACGCAAAGCAGCAAAGAAGGCTAAGAAGAAGGAATTAGCTGCTGCTGCTGCTCTAGATTATGATAAGCCGGCTTTTGACTACACTACTGCGCCGTCGGTGTTACATGCCGAAGACAATGATGGCAAGGACAAGAAGAAGGACAAGAAGAAAAAGAAGAAGGGGTTCAACGCTTTCTCCGGTATGACGGATGCACCGAAGGGCTTGCCCAGGGCGCAGAAGGAGATTGCAGGCCGCAGCAAGACTTTCACCAAGTGAAAGTTGATGTGGATGAAAGGTCGAGCAGGGAGATTTTTGCGCTGCCAAACTCCATTGTACATGTATTTGCATTGCATTGAGATACCTCATCATCGTCGGCGTCCCTACTAAATCACGCGCGAATCCATCAGGTCTCCTTCTCTGGGAAGGAGCCGGTATCTACTAGAAGTCAATTCCCCCTTGTTGAAATCTTCATTTCAACCATTCCTCCATTTCTCTTCTTCCAGATAATCCACTCTCACACAATCTCCCCATCCAGCACCCGCCAAAACACCCCGTAATTCCCCAGACCATGCTTCCCCGCCTCCGCACCTTTTACATTATCCAGCACCGCAAACACCACCTCTTCCCACCAACCCCCGGCAAACTCGCGCTCCCTAAACACCTCCAAAAAGCACTGCGCCACCTCACGCGGTGGATTCGCAAAGACCCCGCACCCGAGGGCCCCGAGCACTAACTTCCCATGGCCCTGCGTCGCCGCCACGCGCAGTGTCAGGCGAATCTTCCTCTTCGTTTCGGCGCGCTGGCCCGCGTTTGCAAAGGTCGCGCCGTTGGCGGAGAGCCGGGGTTGGCGGAGAGCGGCGACGGAGAGGACGCTGACGACGGGGAGGTTGGGGATTGGGGTGTGTGGTGGGAGGAGGGTGTGGCCTGTGGAGAGGGAGGAGCGGAGGACGAGGACGGAGGGCGTGTAGATTGTGGATAGAGGGGGGATGGGGTAGTGGTTTTGGTGTAGGGAGAGGGAGAGGGAGGAGCGGTAGCAGAGGCATTCTTCTTGGGCGAGGGCGCCTTTTGTCCAGCCGCCGCCGGGGGAGCGCTCGGATGCGAGGTTGAGGACTAGGACGGGGGTTTTTGTTCTTTTGGTAGTGGTTGTGGTTGTGTTTGGGGCGGTGGAGATGGTGGGGTTTAAGGGGGTTTGTGAAATGGGTTGAGGTTGTGAGCTGGGTGTATCTTGCCTCACTGTGTCGATTCCGTCTGGAGTTGGTTTGGCTGAAAATTGCGCAGAAGAAGTTGAAGGTGAGAGTAATACTGTCGTATCCACGGGCTTTGACAGTCCCAGATGCGTGTGAACTTGATAGTCTGGATTCAATTGCAAAGCCGCATCCAAAGAGTCCACGTCGTAGACCCGTATCCTGGTACCCTTTTGTCCAGCGCACTTGTCGTCAGGAGGCAAGACGTAACCCGGACAGTTGAGAGGATTGAGTGTGTTTACATCTACAAGGTCATAGATCGAGGACGCTGTAGCATCAAAGTCTGGAATTGCACTTAGCATGATGGGGAGCTGTGCTTTCGTCTCATCTGCCACTAGCTTGAGATTGTGGTTGCGGCGACGATTGGGACCATGATGTTGGTGATTGCCACTTCGATGTCCATGGCTATGGCACCCATGACCACCGCGTCCTCGACGATACTCTGATGGTTCTGGCCTGGCCTCGCGGTTTGTTCGGGACCGATATGGCTGGCCTGGCCTCGAACCCTCGGGCAGTTGTGGTTGTGAGTTTTCAGGGCGTGAGGGTGGTGATTGTGATGGATTTTCGTGTTTGAAGAAGCCGAGTATGGAAGTTTGCTGCATCGTGAGGTGTGTCAAGACCAGAAGAAACTTTTGTTTAGGTGATGTCGAATGGCGAGAGAAACAAAGTTGAGGCTGAACACAAGGTAGGTGGATGGATGCTAATATCAGGCAACAACAGGCAGGAGGAAGGTGAAGTGAAGACCAAGTCGAAGGTGATGAAATTTCCATGCCACGCTCTCTCTTCCACACACACACACACACACACACACAACTGGTAGGCAGTATGTAGACTCGCTAGCCTACCCTTGATGTCGTCCGTCCTAGAGTGACAGGAGTGAGAGAAGACCAGCGGGGCCTGACTCGGTGAAGGGTCCACACATGACGGCGCATCAGGGTGCCGGTACCGGTACCGGTAACTATCGATCCAGGGTCCAGGACGAAAGGCTTCAGCCCTATGGGAAAAGTGCAAAGCATCCCATGTTGCCACCCCCCTTGTCTCTACGTAGTCCCTACTCTTAGTCACCCTGCCTGCTACTCCGAAAGCATCACCTAACCTATCTGTCTCTGCCCCACATTCGCTAAGAGAGCGGACCACCATAACTAGTAACAGACCATGGGAATCGACAATGCGCATCTTGCCAACAACGCCACAATCCAAGTACACTCTACACATAAGTCATCATTCACCTCTACAAACACCATGGCCACAGTCCTCATGTAGTTCCCAGCGAGGCTCGCTCACCCCCGCCCTCCCCCCGCCCAACCACCGGCGAGATGCCCACCCAACTGGCTCAGCCATCGCCCAAACGCAAACGCGACCAACCCCCGCCGGCTGCCCGACTCCCACTGCTCAACACAGCACTGGCCATACGACCGGCCCCAACTCCCCCTCGCAACAGCCCACCGCCTTCTGGGGATGCCGACAGCCCCCGTACTTTGGTCGCGGACCAGCTGCGGGACATGAACATCGCCTGGACCGCGGCCATTCCCATGTCGCCCCTCACACCGACCGACAATGGGGTTCACAAGAAGCCCAAGCTGGATGCGATCCGAGCCGATAATGGGACCTCACTGCACACAGCGACAGAGGAAGAAGAGAGGGTCATATCCCCCAAGAAGAGCAACACGCTGGACACGATTGCCGTTTTGCCTAGGTTCGCCGCCTCCAGAGAGATCCCAGAGACCCCTCAGGCGTCGCAACCCCGCATGTTGCCAGATATTGCCTCATTCGCACAATCTACGCCATTTGTCTCAGCGCCCAACTGCACGGCACTCCATCATCCAGAGCCCAAAGATATAAGTTGTGCAAAGAATGCGTCGTCGCACACGCAACCCCGCGCGCGGAAGTCACTGTCGCCCCCACCATCAACCCTTACGTGGAAGGATAGTGAAATCACGGGACATCTTGCTGATCCTTCGACCGACCCCGACGATGATGGAACTGGCCTGAACGGCATTGGATTCAAGCCAACACCAGCGTTGGCCTATGCTAGATCGCAAAAGAGACGGCAGCAGCTCAACGAGTGGAGGCTACGGGAGACACGGGAAGCAAGAGCTAAGCGCAGCGAGAGAAGACGAAGAGGGGTCCATGGAACGCCATCGAGAGAGACCACTGTGGAACGTGAAATGCCTGCCAAACCCGTCGACAGCAGCAAGAGGTCTGTCAAATTCGCCGTCTAATGAAATGCAAGACGACACGTGGAGTAATAATAATAAGGGTCTTGGCGCATCGGGGAAGGAAATCTGGATAGCTTGCCTGTATGATAACGATCTCATGAAATTTGTGCTAGGAGTACCAGGAAACAGGTTTGGATTTAGCGACACTGCGCGTCTGGAGTATGGTGCAGTGCAGGAGTTCTTTTGGGTATCGGTATTGTTTGAGCAACGGTTTGCGACTCCCATTAGGATTCGCTAGTTTGAGAATCTACTCTCATTATACTTTGCAGCGTGTGCCTTGTGTGCCTATGCAGGTTTCCTTTCGCATTCATCAGCAGTGTTTGGTAACGTATGGTGAAATCAGGCGCACGTGAATGGTCGTATCTATTGATACCGTACTCCTATTGATTATGATTCATCTACATCAAGTACTAGGAACATTCCCTTCCACAACTTATATAAAAATATCCTATTGAAACTATTTCATTGAAAAGCAGCATCCCTACGGTCACAATGTAAACTCGTTATTCAGACGTATTCAAATATATTCGACGAATCTCAGAATCACGCGTCTTACCTACGGTACGGCTCGCCTCCCCTGTCACACCACACCTCATCCATCCTTCTTCTTTACAATCCTTCCACGATGAACCACCATTTTACCTAAAACTTCTCACGATTCCATAAAAGCTTGAATCAGGCATTGGGCGTAACAAACTTCCCTATCGACTTCCCGAACGCAGCATCTCGCCACGATGCGCGTCTCACGCCTCGCGTCCTTGCTCCCGCTCGCCGGGGCTATCAACCCTAACTCCGGTGGGCTCGATGGTCCACAACCAAAGCGCGTCGCCATCATAGGTAAATTTACCTTCTAATGAATCCCATATTTCCTATGATTCTAACAGGTTCCAGGTGCAGGAGCTGGCGGTGCCTCTGCAGCCTACCACCTTGCGCAATATGCCTCCAATGCATCCATCCCTCTCCAAATCACCGTCTACGAACGCAACAACTACGTCGGCGGTCGCACCACCACAGTCTCACCATGGGATAGCCCATCCCTTTCCGTTGAACTTGGAGGCTCCATCTTCGTCGACGCAAACCTCATCATGGTCGGAGCGGCGCAGCGCTTCAACCTCACCACCGACTCTCATGACCTAGCCACACAACTCGCCCTGCCCGACCTAGGAATATGGAATGGAGATGAATTCGTCATAGTAACAAAAGCCGATAACTCGTGGTGGGACACGGCGAAGTTGTTGTGGCGGTATGGAACTGCGCCATTATGGACGAATAGGCTGATGAAGAATGCGGTGGGCAAGTTCTTGACCATGTATGAGGAGCCGGTGTTTCCATGGAGAAGTTTGAGTGATGTTGTGCAACAAGTGGGGCTATTGGAGGCGACGGGCGTGACTGGGGAGCAGTATCTCAAGACTAATGGGATCGGGGAGGCGTTTGCCAAGGAGGTTGTGCAGGCAAGGTATATAAACTACGCCACAGTCTTGTATGAGAACTGGAAAGCTGACCTGACTCGAATAGCACACGCGTAAACTATGCCTCAAACCTCCCCTACATCCACGGTCTCGAAACAATGGTCTGTATGGCCACCAACGGCGCCACATCTATCGAAGGTGGAAACTGGCAGATCTTCGCACACATGCTCGCCGAGTCGTCTGCTTCCCTGCACCTCAATACCAGCGTCTCGAGTATCTCCAAGCAGTCAGACTCAACCTACAAACTCACCACATCTTCTGGGCAAACCGAAACGTTCGACCAAGTTATCCTCGCAGCACCCTTTCAGTACACAAACCTCACCATCGCCCCCGCACCCAAGCATACACCGGAAGAGATCTCCTATACAAAGCTATATACCACTCTCTTCGCGTCACCGCATCGCTTGGACCCCAAGGCGTTCAACATGGACCCCGGCGCAGCTGTCCCACAATACGTCCTCACCACCCTCCCACCCAACGAAACCCCCACCGACTCCGCGGGCTCCCCTTCCTTCTTCTCCATCTCCGTCTCTTCCTTCTCTGTAAACCCGCTCTCCTCTCCTCCACGACCCGAATACATTTACAAAATCTTCTCCCCCAACCCCGTCAACTCTACCTTCCTCTCGCACATACTCGGCGTTCCAGTAACCAAAGAAGAAGGCGAGAATGGCGAGGCAGACGGTGCGGTCAGCTGGATCAAACACAAATTGTGGCATTCGTATCCACGGGAGTACCCCAGGGTGACGTTTGAAGAGCTGGAGTTGGATGAGGGTTTATGGTATACCAGCGGCATCGAGAGTTTCATCAGTACGATGGAGACGAGCGCTCTGAGTGGCAAGAACGTGGCGAGGTTGGTTCGGGATGCGTTGATTACGGGGAAGCAGAGGGTCAGTATAAAGGACCAGATGTGGGAGCAGCAAAACCAGATATTGCTCTAAGTTGGCGCGAAATGGAACATGGCAGTTAGATGACCTGCAAATATCACAACTTGTCATATTGGGTTCCTATCTGCATTTTACGTGTGAGTTTGAGTGTAAATGATTATGCTTTGGATATGTGCGTGCGTCACATCCGCTAGACTTATCCTTGGTCTGGTAATACGGCTCAGAAACTATCCCGAAGAAGCTTGCACTATGTCCATACCTATCGTTCCGGCAAGTTGGACCAAGTGGCTGTGTGCTGTCTCCTTGGTCCGTCGTACAATGCGTCCCAGCTAGCCGAGGACGATCTCCTTTTTCCTTTCAAGCGCTAGGTATCGCGAAACATTGCTCGAACACTCCAGTTTGGACTATCTTGTATCTTGGGATTCGTTTCATACTAGTAATCACGCCTTGTTCGCTAATCCTGACAACACATCAACCCAGCCATACGAGGGAAGAGCATGATCAAAACGACAATTCCCTGTCTAAACACATTCAGGATTGGAAGTACCTGTGTCAGAATTCAGCACAGTAGTCTCGCAATTTGCGATACGGGGCCAGATGCTGTCGGAGAGGCGACAAAACGAAACGATCTGCCTGATGCGCGAAACCGAACATGTTCAGTAAACAAGGCAATCACGGCGGATCTACACTGACCCGATCCAGATAACGAATTTGTATGAAGATATCGTCGTGTTTTGGCGAATCAGCATACCCGACTGTACATTTATGGCGACCGTGAGCCTGGAACAGCCTCGTAAGGCCCTTCAGATGCACCTCCGTGTCGCTATGCCAAACAGCGCGACGTGACGAGCGAAACTCGACCAGCGGAAACCTGCATCACCGAATGTAGCCCAGCAGCTATGCGTCAGACTTGGAAAGTGACATATTAAGGCAGGGCGCCATGCAGTGTAAGTATCCTGTCCTGAGTAAGTTTGGTCAGTCGCTGCTTCGGTCTTTCTCTTGCGTCGTTTATAATATTCTCATTCTCTCTTTATTTATAATTCTTCTTCCAAAGCCCCGGTGGCCTTTTTTTTTTCAAGATGACGTCCGGTACTGTCCCTGCATTATTGGTGGCCCTTTTGAGCTGTTCGCTGGTGTTTGGCCAGACTCAGCAAGTTCAATTCAATCAGGTGCTCAATATCAATGGCGATGTATGTAGAGTGGCATGTCTAATCCACTGCTTGGGGACTGACCGGTTATACAGATGGCTCTCAACTCCTTCCAGTTCCCCGATCGCTCCAAGGTCGAAACCTTCTCACAGAAGCAACAACAACTAATCGTTAATCAACAAACTCCGGCAATTCCCCCTAACCAAGTCACGGGTACCACCGGTCAGCCCTTTGTGGGTATCTCGTCGCAGTCTATGACCATTAGTACCAATGGAGCTACCGACCTTGTGGGTGCGCAAATCCAGATGTCAATGACGCCAGAATCCCTCCAGGCAGTTGCGGTTCAGCCTGACAATACCTATGTGGCTATGCTTTCACCGGATAGGCAGACTTGGATGATTCAAGAGAGTATCAGGACGGTCAACGGGTGCGTACAATTTTGTCTTGCATCTATGAGCAGTTACTAATAGAGCACAGCACCGACATGACCGTCCGCATGGTGAAACGTAATCAACTCGACGGCGAATACATGATCGTTGGTCGACAGACTGTAGAGACAAATACACTCGTCGTCCCATTTGGCAGTGATTCCGCTACCTCGGTGGCCATTCAGGGCACAGGACTCCAGGAGAACGAGTTTGAGGATGGGTTCAGGATGTCCACCCGTGCCTCTCAGCCCATGACCATGAATGTCGACGTAAAGGACGGTATCGACTCTAGCATGCTGGCTGCTCTTCAAGGCCAGGAGATTGTTAGTGAGTACCATCATCGTCTGTGAAGTATATAAATGCAGTGCTAATCATGCGAAGATGATTACCGATACTCTGTCGTCACAAACCTGGCCGCAGTGACCCCAGATCTCAATCAGCAAGTCACTGTGATCCAGATGCCCAGTAAGTCTCCCGTTATAATTTCATATTCTTCAACTGACATGCAACAAGTCAACGCCGTTCGAATCCAAAAGATGATGCAAACAATGGGTACGTTGATCTTCAACGCCCGGTACATTCGTGTTCGTAATGTTTACTAACCATATTCACTTGAGCAGGTGTTCCTCCAACTGGACAGGTAGCCATTGCTGTTGCACAGCGCGGTGTCTTGCAGAATCCTGGTGGTGCCACTGGAAATCTCGGAGGCGCTGCTGCTGGTGCTCGTGCTCGCCGTGGTGAGACGCGCGATGAATTTAGGAAAAAGGTTGCTCGTCAGGTACAAGCTGGACAGAGCGGTCAAACTGGTCAGAACGGTCAAACTGGACAGCAGACAGGCACTGCGACCACGGGCAACAATCCCGTAGCCGTCTCACTCCTACTTGCACCTACGTTTACCCCTATCCAGGCCGACGCCCAGCTCGACCAAGCCAATATGCGCATCGCAGTCCCAGTCCCCCAGGTCGATGGCGAATACATACTCGTGATGCAAATGATGAACGGTGCTGCTGCTCAACTCCAACCCACCCAGGACCAGACCCCTCCCGCCGAAGCTCCCCAGGCTCCCGAGGGCGAACAAACTGCTAACAATGGCACCGAAACCGCGCAACCTGAACGCCGCCAGGAGAGCACTGCTACGGATAAGTACGGGCTTCCTAAACCACCGCAGGGTGCTGTCATCATGACTATGAAGGAGATTGATACCATGGCCGATGCGGTGAAGTGGGGAGGACAGTTAGGGATTACGCAGATGATGCAGAACTATGTCAAGGCGCAGACTGGGAATGATTTGAGCCCTGCTAAGGCTTCAGCTGGAGCGGAGACTAAGATTGTGGTTTAGCATAACTAAAAGTGTAGTCAGCTATGCTCTTGTCAGCACAGGAGGTTGTTGGAGTGAGGAAGATATCAAGTACGATAGGAGTAAAGAGATTACATTGCTGTGTCATGAATGCCTCGGTCACGTGTGACTCTTGAATGGGTTGGCCCCTTGGCGGTGCTTGCCCATAGATAGCTCCCATCCTCCTAGACTAGGACAATGCGATCACGTTACACTCTACTTTTGGACCTCTCATCCCGTCGGATACTGCATACATCTCGTAGCATAACATACATCCAAGCCACATGAATACATATAGTTCAACCAAAGCGTTAGCTAGCTATGGGTGTTCATCACAAGATCTAGTTCCAGTCTTACTATCAGCAATCATCCTTACTCCGGACCCAGCGCGTCCCGTATGCTACAACGTGACCCAAAGTCTTGATCCGATGCGAAGCATTCTCAATCCAGTACAAATCATGCACGCATGCAACCTGCAGCGTAGTCTCTCACGCACCAGACACAGATGTTTCACCTATCAGACAGCTCATAAGGCCAACCCCCCTTCCCTCCAAAATACCGCGCGCCCTGCTGCACTAGGTAGGGCACCCTACATGCACACGTGGGCGCAGTTCGGCGAGGTTTGAAAGATAAGCAGAATGTATGTACGTAGATGTCATCCTCCATCTCCCACGTCCCATAAGCCCTAGATACGTCACCCTAGAATTAAACACACACCTACACACATTGACAGCCAATAGAAGTTATCCGCCCTTATCCCCTCCATCCCTCAAGCCCTCGGATGAGAACAAGAAACCCCCAAACCCACAACTAACACACAAGGCTGAAAGCAAAGTCGCACGCAAAAAGAAAAAAAAAGACTCCCCATCCCCTTCTCTCGGACAAGCACGGGCGAGACACACATTGGCGACACACCCTGTCTCCCTCCAGCGTAATCCCCTTTTTTCTTTCTTTCCCCTCCCATCTCACACACACACCCAGCTCCTCTTTCCCTCCCATCTCACACACACACCCAGCTCCTCTTTCCCACCCCTCCCAAACGCCAAAAGCGGGGCCGGACCAAAGCGACCCAGAAAAAAAGCAAATGTGGGTTTTTTTGGTGTTCAAAACGCCGCGTGTAGATCGATCTGCAACCTTGGATACGGAGGTTACACGAGAGATCTGGCTGGGTTGCAGGTGGAGGCGCTGAATACGAGGGTGGGAATGTCGCCATTGCTTTGTGGGTGTTGCTGAAGGGCGGCCCTTGGGGAGGGTGGGTGATGGCGCTGCACCAATGATGGGATTGTTTGTTGGGGTTTGGAGGGAGGGGTGAAGGTGGCTGGGTGATGTGGTGGTTATTTTTTGCTGTTTATTGGTGATGACGATGGAGATGACGACGGGGGCAAGGAGAATTGATAGGTATTATGAATGAGGAGCCGAGGATGCGTGGGTTCTACATTTCAAAACTATTCATTGCTGATTGCGGAGCGCTCCACCCACGCAACTCCAATGATACGTGGAACCCTATTTGGTCATTTGAGACTTGACACTTGCGATCTTGCCCTCCTTGGTGTGTTCTTTACGCCTTCTATTTTTTGTTCTTTTTTGCTTTTTCTTTTCTAGGGCTAGGAATTGCCGCTCCACACCTTCCTTCTGCGTGAAAAGGATGTATGTAAGATGGTGCTGCCTTGCTGCTAAATCCTCTTCTTTCCTCTTGTTCAACTATTCACTTGAATATACTCGCATCATCAGCATCATCAACTCAACTAATTGTCAAATGTCAGTCATCATGTGCAGCAAGGCCACGACGACCCCAGAACCAGGATGCAAGCCAAAGTCCCCTTCATTGCCGTGTCCAAATCACTACACCCATCCTTACCACTTCGACGAGCTCAGACTAGGCGGCGGGTCAAACCAGCAACCGTATTTCCGCGCTCTCGTCTTCTTCAACAAGAAACCTGAGATTACGGATGACTTCTTCCACGAGCATTGGAAGAGTGTACATGCGGATCTGACCATGCAGGTGCAGGATAGCGGCGTGTTTTTGACGAGATACGTGCAAGTGAGTGGGCCAGTCCAATTCGTGTTTTGTTGAAAAATGCTGATGAGATCATGTAGTTCCACCAAGAAGACCAGCACAAGATTGCCCTGGAACCGCTGCTGGAAGCAAGTATAGGCAGCATGCAAATCGCGCCGTATGATGGGTGCGCAGAGTTCCATGCAGAGAGCGCGGAGCACTTCGTCAGTTTCATGAAGGGTGTATATGCTTCGGCGCATCTTGTCGGTATGTATATCCTACTACTACTTTAGCCGGTCATTGTGAACCAATCTGACAGAGAAGACAGGATGTGGCACACGCTTCGTGGACTTGGTCAAAGGGTACCATGTCATGGCCGGATACGACAATCTGATCTTCGGCCCAAAGATTCGTGGCGAGAGTGGGTCAGATGGCATTATGAAGGGGGATAAGAGATTGAATGTGAGCGAGAGGATTGCAAAGAGGGTTAAGGTTGAGCCGAGGCGGAAGAGGAAGCGTGTTGAGTTTGATGCTGATCGGACCGGTAATGGAGCAGATGGAGAGGGCGTCTAGAAAATCGGGTTTAAAGGGCCAAGGGGTGCGTATAGGAATTGACAATGTGAGATGTGTAAAGTGTATAAGATGTAAATGAATACAGAACAAATAGAAGCAAGACTCGAGTGAGTCAACATCTCTGGCCAATCCCTCGTCTGGCATACAAATCAGTGATGATGAAAGATTCGGGCGCATCTAACAACGATGACTCACCCTAAATACAGGACAATGGGCCGGAAACGGTGTAATCGGGGTGCAATCATCGCAGGTATGAATAAGTCTGGCCGATGAAGATGAAGACAAGACGCTGCGAACCAAGAGAAGCAAAATGACTGTTCGCACAAAAGAGTAACGAGCAAGTAACGAGCAAAGTGTGCAGGAAGTAAAGCAATCGCACAAGTCCTAGCATACCTTGTATCTCCTCACATCACGCCAATGCCAACAACGCACGACTCAGAACCAAAACCAAGGAGACGGAGAAGCAAAGAGAGGAAATAACACACGAACACCCGTAAGTTTAATACCGCCGAGTATGCAAACACGGACGTGACGATATTGGAACAGTCCTGGCTTGAATAAACAATGGATTCATTTCCAGAACCCTTGGAGTACCTTGCAAGTTGGTGAGATACGGGGTAGTACTAGCCGGAGCGGCAGCGGGCCGACGATGGACCAGTCTGAGTGAAGTAACCTAACATCGAAGAGAAACGAGACTAGGTAGTGTATACTAGAGATTTCTAAGCGGACTTTTAAGCGCGGTAGTTTCGCTTCTTGTGGCCGAGTTGGTAGTCGGTCGGGGCGGGAGAGCGTTCTAAGCGACGCATCCGTAGGTACATAGGTACCGGTAGGGTAGGCATCTTATGTCGGACCGAGATACACCATCACATGTACCTATCCAGCAATCCGTGCCAAGTGTATCGGTGACATCCTAGGTATTTCGTTTACATCGCGCGAGTGCTCGGGTAGCTGCATGAAGCGGGATCTACGCTGGGGTATGGATGGTTTCCATTTCGCGAATGTGGAGATGTGTATAAAAATGTGGGTATGGGATCCAGGGATGTGGTCTGGTTACTTGGGGAAATGGCAATAAGCTTGGTACCTACATAACATCCTAGGACCTATACTCGGCATGTAAGACTGTGTCCCGAATGTCTGGGAAACAGTAGATCCTTCTTGTGTGGAGGCATTTGCGTGCCTTGATGCAAGCTGAGGAGCACCATATGCGAAGATGCATGGAAGATTGCCTGTTAAGGATCAGACTGATCCATAGTACAGTAGGTACATACTTAAGGTATCGTAGATTCAAATAGTTCTTAGGCCGCGATCTATTCGTAAATGAAATGTAGAGATGGCGTGTCTCACGGACCGAGAATTCCCATGAAGGTTCGTCTGGACAGATGAGTAAAAGTGAAAGCTCTCAGAGGCCAAAAGTCGTCTTATTTGTACATAGACGGGGACGCAACTGGAAGTATGTGCAATTTAATAATGGCCAGTCAATTCACTATAGATCTGGGTTGCTTGACAATGACATACAAGCAGGGTGGAGGTGAGCGCAAGCTACCGGTAACGGAGACTGTCAACAACTGACACGTGACCGACCACCAACCGCATGTTCTCAAGCGTCTCCGCTTTCTGCATGCGCATTCTCACTTCAAACAGCACCTTTTTCCGCGCTGAAGACATGCTGTACGATCGCATAATTATTTAAAGCTCACACATGCCCTCTTAATTATCGATGTCTGCCGGCAACGGAGTTGTTTTAAGGTCAAATATAGTGGTACGTAAGTAATGTCAACATTCAACTTCTCTTGAGGAATACTGCAGTAAACTTGACGAGGAATGGAACAGGCATACCTCTTCTTCCGTGTGCCTTAGGGCGACTGACATGCATCCTTTCATCGTCTTTGATACACCTGGAACGTCGGACGCAAGAAAAGAGCCGATAGCTCTTTCAAAGAACAAAACACTCAAACGCTGGCGTCGGCTAACTCTTTCTGGTGCCTTTTCCGCTGCATCGGAAGCTAGATCTGGTACTAGTTTTTTTTTCTCGAAAAAAATACACTTGACAGACCAAGCTTGTCTCAAGATAGTAGTAGTCGCTTAGGAAGCTCATAGGTACCATGACTGTGGTCTGGCCATTGCCATCGTGCCACCGGAATGTGGGGTGTCGCGTGGATGTCGCGCGTGGGGACAAGATGATCCCAAATGATTGATTCTTTCCGCTGGGGTCAGTGAGTATGCGAGATCCTGAGTCACAGGATAGACCAACGGATCCACAGCGTAGGCATACTTCAGGCCTCCTCTTTGAGTCCCCATGCGAGCAGATGCGATAACCCTAGAGGCGGATGTTGAGAACAAACACTGATACGCGATTCACAACAGTCCAGTTGCACTGTCGTTTTGATGGCAACCAGGTCAGGATCAATCATGGTTCGACACAAACAGTACAATCTGCTTCTAGAGTGAGACGCTTGAGCATCGTGCACCTCCCCTAGTCAAGCCACGACAAATCTGTTAAGCTCAAGCTATCAAAAGCTTTGCTAACAGAGATCTAAGTGGGCCCCGGGATCGCATCTCGATCCTTGACTCTTGTCCTTGAGGACTCCCGACGGAACCCTTGGACACTTGAATCAGTACTTACTCGTACACATCCGAGCTGGCTTGCTGGTATTTCACGCTAAAGGCCTCCTCGCGAACACGCGCAACCCGGCACTCGACCGTTTCTTCCCTCATAGGGGGAGTTGGCGGCTCGGCTTACCGTTGACAGCGGAACTAGCACAACTTTCATGGGCTATACGGTCCGGAATCTTCAACACGTACATGGAAATGTGCGCGCTGTCCATAGAAAACGACGTGTTATATGTGCATTGCACAAAGCCGTGCTGTTGTAGCTATCTTTCGGCAGGCCGCGCCGACCGTTGCTATACCATGTCAAATTGCTCTTGTTGGTTTCTGGGATGGTCACACTCGATCATCTCGAGGGATCGTCCCTCCGCGGTCTGCGAAACGTTCACGGCAACAAAATTGGATGACATTGGTGGCGTGTGTCACGATATGCCTGCTCCTCCACTTGTACATCTTGTCGGCTGACATGAGGCGCCGGGAAGTCGCATCTCCCTTAGATCCCCTCAATGACAGGGGACCAATTCGCGGAGAGTGACAGGGCGCACCTGGTGACTTGCATGTGAATGAGCGTGGCCTAATTCGTTCATTGTCGCTCCGAACAACGACTGCGCGCCTGAATGAAGAGTTCTACTCACGCGGCCCACGGCTATGGCAAGAAAAAGGGAATAGTCGCAACAATGCTACAGGTAGAAGTACGCCGATGAATATTTTGATTGGTTGACCGATCTCCGTTCCAAGGTTGGCGGTATCACGTTCATGGGTACATTGAAACGGAGGCGAAAGAGACGACCCTCAGCTCTTGCGGTCGCTCAGCCTAAGACAGGCATGTGGTTTGTACAAGACAACTAAGGTATCGGAACGGCCGTGCCTACATATTGACCACGGCGTGTCCCGATGCAATTCCAGTCCCTTGTGGGCCAGGAAGGTTGGCCAATCAATATGCAGAAATGTCTGGAGAAGCGCTGGCACCCTGGCCATCTGCCATCTTGGAGATGCGTTCGACCCACCACCACGCTGGTAAAGGCGGGATGCGCTTGCTAGGAGGTAATTACATGACCCCAGGCGTTGCATCAAGGCCTGCAGCCGTCGTCACGAACGCGGAAATCTATTCTGCGGCACAGTGGAACAACAGCAATCCAGTCGGTTTTCGTGTTTGTGCTCTCTGAATAGGTATGTATGTCGGTACCATAGCATACCATAGCATAGCATACCATACCATGACTACCTAACAAAGCCTAGAGAACGTACAAATAAGCAACCACTGGCGCAACCTTGATTTCGGCGTCGGCGGTAGGTAGGGTAGACTCTGACCATACCGGCACATAAGGCTAACCACCCGCAGTCATGTGCTTTGAACGTCCATCAGCCCGTTGCATAGACCTCCAGACGAACGGCGCTCGGCTGTGGGTGCCTGTTTAGCGTACGCCTATACGGCCTGGTCTTGCTTCCTGTGCCTGCAAAGTACCAGCCTCGGCATGCTACAGGGATTGCCACAGGAAAAATCTGCAGGTCTTGCCCACTAAGTCCCCAGGTTCTGCCCCAGGTACGTCTGTATTGGAAGCTGAATATTGTGTAACCTCATTGAGCGACATACACGCGGCGCAGACATCTAAACACCCAGCAATCTGTCGACCGCGTAGCTCTGGCTCCACGTCAAGCCTTGCCATCTTAGACCGACTCTAGTGACCATCAGTCTAGACGCGTCTGCGTACCAGCCGTACAGGTAGACGCTCACTCCTACTGGGGGCGGCTGGCATGATGCGGCCATGGGGAACCCGCGGGCATCAATCCTTCCAGAAGGGTGAGATACGGAGGATTACCCAGAAGGAGTCTAGCATTACATGTGCAATGCTACTGTACCCATTGTCCAGAAGCCACACGTCGGCAACCTGGCTGCAGTATCACAGTTGCTGGTCTCTACATTAAAAGCTTAAGAAATCCCCGCCAAAGACTTCGTTTTTCTTGCAGACATTCGTCCCCTCGGCATACATCTTTCCATTGCTGCGCGGGATTTGTCTTCTTGAGACGAAGCGTCTCTATACCCTTTGTTTCTTTCAATCGTTCCCTGCACTCGCCACTATGCCTGGGGGTGCAGTCATTCCCGTCACTGGCACGGCTGATGTCAGTCGTGTCGAGGCCCCTGTGACGATTCGTGCCTACTTGATTGTCGCCTTTAGCGCAACCGGTGGTCTCTTCTTTGGCTATGATACGGGTTGGATGGGTGGTGTTCTCAACATGGACTACTTCATCAAGCAATACACCGGCCGCGAATACCCCGATGTCCTATTCCCCGGTGTCGACGCCTTGGACCCCCGGGTTGTTGCATACCGCAATGAACAATTCAGTATTTCCTCCCGTGACCAGTCACTCGTCACCTCTATCCTGTCCGCTGGTACCTTTTTCGGTGCCATCATGGCTGGTGATCTTGCTGATTTCATCGGTCGTCGCTTCACCATTATCCTCGGCTGTGCTATCTTCTGTGTCGGTGCTATCCTCGAGACTGCTTCTACTGGTCTGGGTGTTATGGTCGCTGGTCGCTTGATTGCTGGTTTCGGTGTCGGATTCATCTCTGCCATTGTCATCCTATACATGTCCGAGATCGCACCCAAGAAGGCAAGTTTATTAGACTCGGAATGAAAGACAAGCACAACTAACTCCCTCCAGGTCCGTGGTGCCATTGTTGCTGGTTATCAATTCTGCATCACCGTCGGAATCCTACTTGCCAACTGCGTTGTCTACGCGACTCAGGCACGCCGTGATTCTGGCTCCTACCGTATCCCAATCGCTGTTCAATTTCTATGGGCCATCATTCTGGCCACTGGCCTGGCTCTCCTCCCCGAGTCTCCCCGTTACTGGGTCAAGAAGGGCAAGCTCGACAAGGCCGCTCACGCTCTCGGTCGCGTACGTGGCCAGCCCACCGACTCTGAGTACATTCAGGATGAACTTGCGGAGATTATTGCCAACCACGAGTACGAGATGTCTGTTCTTCCTCAGACCAGTTACCTTGGTTCCTGGGCATCTTGCTTCAAAGGTAGCATGATGAATCCTGCTTCCAACGCTCGCCGCACAACGCTCGGAATCTGCATGCAGATGATGCAGCAGTTGACTGGTATCAACTTCATCTTCTACTTTGGTCCCGTCTTCTTCACCCAGCTCGGTACCATCAAAAACCCCTTCCTCATCGGTCTCGTCACAACCCTTGTTAATGTGTTATCCACACCTGCTTCCTTCGTCATGGTAGAGAAGATTGGACGTCGACGAATTCTCATCTTTGGAGCAGCTGGGATGGTTGTGATGCAGTTCATCGTCGGAGCCATTGGCGCCACGGCTGGCAAGAGCACGGCTAACCACCCCGCCAACCCGGACGCCACTCGTGCCATGATTGCCTTTATCTGCTTGAACATTGCCGTTTTCGCCACAACCTGGGGTCCCGCGGCTTGGATCGTCATTGGCGAGATTTTCCCCCTGACCATTCGTTCACGCGGTGTTGGTCTCTCGACCGCCTCTAACTGTAAGCACAATCTTTCACACACCTTATCTAGACTGAGTAAATCTAACACCAATCCTAGGGCTATGGAACTTTGTCATAGGTTACATAACTCCCTACCTCGTAGCAGAGCGCCCTGACTCCGCCCGTCTCGGATCCAATGTCTTCTTTCTATGGGGCAGCTTATGCTTCGTCTCCTTCCTCTTTGCCTACTTCTTCGTCCCGGAGACCAAGGGGCTTACCCTCGAGCAAGTCGACAAAATGTTGGAGGAGAGCACGCCCCGGACGTCGCGCAAGTGGAAGCCCCACAGCACCTTTGCCTCTGAGATGCACCTTGGCGAGAAGCATATTGAGATTCCACTAGAGAACGTCTCAGCTACTGCCAAGCACGATGCTGTTTAGGGGTGTCCCACTAGATGGTGAGAAAGACTGGGCTGCTCGGTGTGAACGCGCCGGTTCGAGGAAACTTCGAAGTCATTAGGCGATGAGGCTGGGTGGATGAAGAACGGGCGGCCTACTTTCCAACTGTTGCATCAACTTACTGGATGCTATTTATACCCAAAGACAGTTCTCACATAGCTTTTCCTCGACTTTTTAATCGTTAGGAGAGGGAACTGTCATGAACCAATATTAGTACGTAGGTGCTATAGGCGTAGTAAACTACATTATACCTTTGTGCTGTGTACAAGCCCAAGTCTGATTGTTGTTAGCTTCTACTATCACTACCTCTTCTACTACTACCTTAATACCCATCTCGATATCGCGATATATCGATACCCACCTTGAAAACACACACATACACACACACACACTTATACCCCTGTGATCTACCAGCCCACCCGTGTAACCCAACCCATCCCCTCGCCAAACAAAACAGCCCACACTTCCACAGACACCTCAGCAGGGCTGACACACAGTCCACAGTCTAGCAGTCTAGACTGCACCGTCGGCGCCGTGTCTCTGTGGTACCCTACACCTACCCCCCCCCCCAGCAAGACAATGACCCAGGAAATTAAAAAGACACAAGGGCATGCGACGTGGCAACCAGGCCCGTGAGTTGAGGAAGTGTTGGCTTGCCCAGGTCCTCGGGGTGAGGGGGGTTTCGGTTTAGTGGAAGGAAGACTGAAGATGGAAAATAGGAGACGCAAGATGTTGTACCAGCTGTACTCAGCGTACAATATACGTCGCACTACTATAGTAGCAAAGAGCTACCAGAGTACCTACAGGACACAAACAGCTGTCAGCTCATACGCCTGGGACACGGTTCACAAAACTACCTTCTAATTTGCAGAAGATGAAGGTGTGCGAGTCCGATGTGTTGGGTGTGTTTAGGACTCAAGGCGAGGTGGCGCTGTATGTCGGGATGGGATGGGATGACGAGTGGTGTTGCATGTGTTGTCCCATCTCCCATCAGTACATGCCAAGTACAACGGTACTACATCCTTCATCTCCCACACAAGAATGCAACATGCCTTCTAAAGATCCAAATCTCTTGATATCACCACTACAATCATAATATTTACAGCCCCCAGCCTCTCCGCGCCCTTACCCTTCCCCAACCATGCCCTCCCGTTCCCGACAAACTACACACCCCCTCCCGACCGCACTCTTAATAATATGCGCATGCGCCACTTTGGCGCCCACACTGCGATTCCATCGCAGTCCGCCTGCCAAAGCATCGCTTGCAAGCGTCTGCTGCAATGTCGCGGCGACACTAGCACTCGCGCTCGTCTTGGGGAGGAGACAGCTGAGGTGGAAGACATGGCCGCATGCAAAGCCCACGAGTGTGTCACGGGACAAGGGCATTGGGCCATCGACAATGTCGTCTTCCTCCGGAGTGGGTAGGGTAAAAGGACGGTGGCAACCTGTGCAATGGCCAGGCGGTGCCTCGCCTTCTGGTGCTTTGGCTGGTGCTGGGTCAAGGTTTGGCGCAGCGGTCAGGGAGGATACGGCGGTGCTTTTGTTGTCTGCTTTGGCTGTTGCTTTTGCGGAAACAGTGGGGTCCACGCCTTTGGTTTCAATATCAATGTGCTTCTTTCCAACATGCTTCTTCTCGTCGTCGCAAGGCATGACTTCGAATTTCACGGCTCGCTTCTGTCCTGCGCGTAGTGTGTCCATGCCTGCTGCTACTTCGCCACGCAGGACTCTTGCTACGCCTTCAGAGATGGAATATTGGATCTCGTATTCTCGGACCATGCGACCGATGCCTTCTCTTAATCCTTCAATTTCGAGTCCCTCGGGGATTCGACGGACAAGTTTTATGGGGTCGATTGCGGTTCCCACTTCCTCGAGCAGGCCACGGATGAAGTGAGGTTTATCCATGGAGTACTCTAGGAGATCATTCCAGAGGTCGGGGTCGTCTTGTTCTTTTGCAAAAGAAATGGCGAAGCTGACGTCTGAGAGTTTCTCGATGATAAGTAGCAAAGCTCGTTTGGTTTGGCCCGTCTTCGAGAGGATGTGCCTGCGCTGTGTTAACTTCTCGTCTACGACATACAATGCTCAGTACCTACACAAGCTCTGGAATGTAATCCCTTCGGTCGCATTCACTTGTAGCCTTGTTCAGATCGTAGCTCTGCGACTTCCGCAAATACTCCATCAGCAACGGTCGATCGTACTCTGCAAAGAGCTCCACCATCAGGTCGGCAAACTCTTCTGCAACAATTTTGCCGTCGGCTGCCAACCGATCCTCAGCTACCCGCTCTTTTGCTGTTTTCGCTGTGCGCTCGTGCATCTCAGGCTTCCAAAGTCGACGAAGATAGAAGAATAAGAAGGGCCTGAAGATGGCTTCTCTTGATTGGAGTTGATCAACAACGTCACCAGCAGGTATCGTTCCGCGACAACCTTCCTCAACGAGCACATTGATCGCCTCTGTCGAAGCTTCTTCCAGCTCAGACATTGGCGCAGATTTCATTTGCTCCTTTGAAACACCCATGAGTATGAAGCCCGGGATATCATCGCGTACCGCTTCCACGAGATGGAAATCGCGTATAAGTGTCATCGTAGCATCTGCATTTTGCAATCGAATAAAGCATCGCAGTGCTTCCCTTTGCCGACCGCTTGCAAGAAACAACTTTGCAAGTCCATCCTGCAATATTCGCCAATCGCGACCTTGTTCCCCTCCCTCGACAGAATCTTCTGTAATGTCGCCGGTGGATAGCTTGCTCTTGATGGCTTCAATGACACTTGTAATGTCGAATAGCTCTGGGTCCCACTCTTCTAGTAAATTTTTGAAGCGTATTCGATCGTGTATAATGTAATGACCAAGCACAACTTCATAGACCATGGAGGGTAGCGGTGGCTGGATGGGCTTCTTTGGTATGTATGCCGCGATCTCGTTGAAGTGGCTGGTTTCAGCAAACTTCCACACCCAGTGTTCCCAGCGTGAGGAAGTGCCTAGCACGCGACCTGCTACCTTACCTGCTTGTTTCCAATCACCAGCACTGACAAGCTGCTGCACCCACAAGTCACCAATACGCCGTTTTTCCTTCTCCACGGCAGAATTTTGGTTTGCTCTAGTTGCCGATACCGTCGTCTGTGACTCGCCTTCATCGGCAAAGAACTCATGCAAACTCCCCTGCTGCCTCAGTGGAGTACCAGCGGGCGAGCCTTCCGAAGGTAACTGAGAGACAGATGCAATAATTTCTGGGTGATCTTCCAAAAGCTCCCAGGCATCCTTGTAGTTTTCGTGCTCCAACTCCCACTGGAAGTGATCTGTCAGTTCTCGTTTGATGGCCAGGACGCAGTCGTATGGGCTGTGTATAAAGACTTTCAATCCGGCTGTAGCCGCATTGGGGTGAATCAGAGATGGACTCCGGCTAGCAGCTGTTGTTGTAGTCCCTACGCTTGCCGATGATGTAGATGGTGCTCTCGATGGTGGTTTACGATCCGAACCGCCCATTGGGATATTCATCACATTGGCTCCAGCAGTGAAGATGCGGGCCGCGTTTGCACCAACGTCCCATATGCCACCACCTATAGCCTCGAGAGCACTCCTTTGAGCGGGAGTCATCGTCTTCGGGTGTGGTACGTACAGGGTTCCAAGGTGATAATCTGCCGCCGAAAGAGTTTCGAATCTGCTGACCGTCAAAGAATCGACTTCCACCTCGTCCGAGGTTGCAGCATCAATCAGCTTGAGTTCAGGAGAGAGCCCGTTTGTACGTCGATGCATTCCACGGCGAGGGGTTGTATCAGCACCAGTGATAAGGTTATCGTCATCATCACGGGTCCGATAGGCAAGAACAAGAAGCAAGGAAGGGGTATAGAGCGAAATGCCAGAAACAACACAATCGTCAAAACGAAGGAAATGAACCACTTCGGCACTCCCTACCGATCTCGTGCCTGCATCTTTGCCAACTCCCGGACCTCCTGCTTGGATGTGAACAATCCATGCAGCGTCTCCCCATCCTATCACTAGCTTCTCGACCTTGTTCTTCCGCAGGGCTTTGGGCTGCTCAGACGAGCGAAGGTGCGGCAGGGTAGTCTCTGGCTTGTCATGATGACCGTTCATGCTGATGATGGCATCGTCATCAGACTCCAAGGATCTGTCGTCGACCCATTCCATGCGGGCCTTCCAGACTCCTGCCATCTCCTGCCAGATACGACGATTGGGCTTGTCGATGAAGCCTATACGCTTCCAAGCTGATTCCGAGTCTGCGCTGTCGAGATGGAGATTGGTTCGCATGATTCGAATTCCATGCTCGTTTGACCAGGCCACAAACTTGCCAGACAAGGACCATTTGATGGCGCTGATGGTGCCTTCACCTGAATGCAAGATCGTATCCCTGCCGGCATTACCACCAAGTCCTATTGCTCCAAGCCAACCTTGTGCTGTTTGTGATGCCGAGCTAGTGTTGGCCGTCGCGCGTACGCCCTGCGGACCGCCAACGGTGAGGATCAGTTCGCCTGCCAGACCTCCCGAAAGATAGGAGCGATCGTTCTTGTAGTCGGGTGAGAGCGCAACAGATTGCACGGGCCGCCCAAAATTCCGCAGGGTAACATCTTTCGGATCTACCAGCGACGAGACACAGACGTGTCCGTCGATCGAGGACGAGGCAATGTATATCTGATTCGAGGGTATTGCGGGGACCTGCGCCTGCCGTGGTGTACGCGGAGACGAGGCATGGCCAGCCGCGGGCGCTGCTTGTCGCGAGGGGGTGCCTTGCCGATCTTCGAGTGCGTTGGGGGTAGTAGCTTGGACGAATGGCTGCGACGCAAGAAGGGGCGACACCGATATCGCCGTCACTGAGGCGGCAGGATGCGCATTGTAGGTACGGAGACTTTGGAACGAAGGGATGCTGAGGGCGTGCTGGTCAACAGGTTAGCACAGTATGTCGGTACGTTTGTAGCGGAACCAAGCGAAGCGGTGAAGGGAAAGGAAGGGAAGGTAGGGCAGGGCCAGGTCAGGCCAAACTCAGAAGACTCACTATGTTTCCATTGTGGGTGCCGACTATCTACACAGATTTTAGCCATGTTTCGCACAATGTTCGCCAGACCATTCATCCCCCAGCGCAACTAAGCAGTCGAGCATTCATACCATTTTGTCCCCGGCGACCATGAAGGTGCTCGTCGCGTCGCCATTACGGTAGACGGGCCCCAGGCTGCTCGTCAGACGGCTATACTTGAGCTTGGGCTCCTCGTCCACCTCGTCGTCGTCGTCGTCCTCTTCCTCACTCTCCTCCTCGTCGTGCTCAACTTCATGCTCGACCCTGTCTCGGCCCTCGCTCGCTGCCTTGTCGAAACGTGGCCCGTCGCGCGCCGGCGTCCGCGGAGCATCTTGGGTGTGTTCCGCAGCCATGCTGGCGGGGACATGAGCTGCGGCTTGAGGGGGTTGAGTGGAGCGGCTCGGGAGTGCTTGCAGAGCTTCGACGGTGCTGAGGTGTTGAAGCTTCGAGATGACGCTGTTGGCCAAAGGCAGCCAATGACGCGAGCACTACCGGTAACGGGCCAAGCGAGCGACGACTGGGGGGGGAACGCGGGCGTGGGGCAGCATTGCAAGGCTCAAAAGCTCTCCGCCATTGAAGATTGCTCCACCTCGGGACGACGACGGCTAGTTTACTTCACACACACACACACACACACACACAAACACATGTTGCCATTGCTCCTACTCTGCACGCAAGATGCCTTATTCTGGTCGTCTTGAGCAGGCATGGCACTCCTAAGACATGCTCCCCTCTATGTCTCCACCAGATTGGCCCGATTGACGAGACTCGTTGCCTTCCCCCACAATATTGCCGGCCCCTTATGGTCAACATGTCGACCACGGCCACCAACAATATCTGCATCTGCCACCGCCATTCGCCCCTTGTCAGCAGCAGCGAGCAGATTGGGAAGAAAAGTCGAGGTTGCACAGCAACAGGACGTCAGCGACAACGATGAATTGGCAAAGGAGAGCCAGCTTCAGCATGGCCGCAAGGGTGCGCGCAAAATAGCCGGCAAGACGTCCTCTCTGCGAAGCATCGCCGTGGAGGCACAAAATGCACGCAACTTCGTTGTAAAATCCAGAGGCGGGACACGCTTCATCGACCCTGACGCCGAAACCAAGACGGTGACCGCCTACTGCGCCGCTGAAATCTACGACCTTTCCACGGCCGCTCGACTGGTCAAAGCCCAAGGCTACGACCTCGATCCTTACCAGACAGGCCTCTTTCCCCAAGTCATCCACGTCCAGATCAGCGAGAAGCCTTCCGAAGTAAAGGACTACCAACAGGGTGACATCTTCATCTTCCCCTCAGGCACAGTGGTCGCTTGGAACGTCCGCGAGCGAGAAGCCCTCAAGTTCATCAACCAAATCCTCCCTCCAGCAGCAGAAGGCTCGCACCTCGATCTGCTCGAGACAGAAGATCTAGATTACCTCGAAGATCCCAGCAAGGAAACCAGCCAAGTGGTTGGCGACACCATTGTCCTCGGCACCAAAGCCGAACCCGCAGACCATCATCCCTCAGACCCCTCATCCCCATCCCACCCAAACACGACCAACACATCCCCAACCACAATCCTCCATCCCACCCCACCAGACCAACGCCACGAAGTCGACACCATCCTTGCCAAAATTGCCTTCTCCTCCGGTCTCGCCCGCTCCACCAAGCTCGCCGTCCTCGAAACCCTCCTCTCAAACTACCAACACTCGACCCGCGACATCCCCACCATGCTCGCCTCATCCCAACCCACCTCTCTCCCCAAGCGCACAAAAGCACCCTTCACCCGCTCCTTCATCCTCCGCAAAACCGGCGAACTCCTCTCCATCCGCGCTCAGCTCAACCTCTACTCCGAGCTCACCGACAGCATGCCCGACATCTTCTGGGATTCGCGCCACGAGCTCGGCCTCGGCGAGTATTACGACCAGGTCGGTCGCGCGCTGGATGTCGGCGTGAGGATCAAGGTGTTGAATGATAAGATTGGGTTTGCGCAGGAGATTGCAGCCGTGCTGAGGGAGCAGTTGAGTGAGAAACATGGGTTGAGGCTCGAGTGGGCTATTATAGCCCTCATTGCTGTCGAGGTCGTCTTGGAATTCTATAGGCATTGGGTGGAGAGGGTGGAGAGGGATGATCCGGGTAGTGTAGAGGCGCTGTTACGGCAGTATTTGACCAAGGTGATGAGGGAAGAGGACGAAGAGACTAAGGAGAAAGCAAGCGTGACAACGACGAAAAACCAAATTTAGACTCTCCAAGACTGATCCAATAACGGTCCATGATAGATACAAACATATGATACCCCACTCCATAGATATACATGAGCCGCACATCTCTAAACCAAAACAAATGCCCCCTCCCTCAGATTCGATCTCTACAAATCATTGCAGTCGGTCGGTCGGCCAGCCCAGATAGTGAGCACGGATATATACACACAAAAAGAAAAAATTCCATTTTCTACCAGCAAAGCGCGTCTATTGATCGTCGAGAACATGAAGATACTTCCTCTCCTCCCGCTTCTCCTTCTCCGACATGGGCGGCAGATCGTAATAGGACGAGCTGCGGTATCCGCGCAGGTACTCAAACGTCATACTCCTCAGCTCCACGGGCTCAATATCGAGATCCTTGAATGTCTTTGCCTTCTTGTCAATGGTCTGGTCAATGAATTCCCGCTCCACCTCGTCGGCAGAGTGGATTGGCCACCAGAGCAGCTTGTTGGCGTAGTGTGCAATCGGTTTGAGGATTCTCTTGGGAATGTTGATGTGGCGTCGAACCTTCATGGCTTCCTTCTCGACGAGCTCGTTGAGTTCGGCCATGGAGTACTCCGAAGGACCGTAGAGTTCAAAGGTTTCGGCTGCGGTCGTGTCGTCGTGCAGCATCTGCTCGAGCGCCATGCCAACATCAATCACGTGAACCGGTCGGAGGCGCTCTTGAAGGTGGTTCGCGGTGATGACATACGAGGGGTAGGCAAGACGATGGAGAAGGCGATCCTCGAAACCAAACATGGGCGCTGGGCGAACAATAGTGGTTTCCGGGTAGATGGAGCGCGCTACCTGCTCACCCCTGGCCTTGGTGCGGTAGAACTCGGATGGTGAATTGACGTCCGCGCTATGCGACGAAACCTGGACGAATCGGTCGATATCGTACTTTGCAACGGCTTCAGCAATGCGCTCGGTACCCTCGACATGGACATCCTCCAGGTCGAAGTTCTTGGTGGGGTAGTCGCGACCAATGAGATTGTAGACAATGTCAGAGTGTCGCACACTCTCTTCAATCGACTGCGTGTTACGGAGGTCCATTTCGATGAAGATGACACGACCCAGGTCTCCCGTGACTTTGAGATGACGCTTCGCCATTTCCTCTCGGTAGGGAACAATGACGGTACATCCTGAGCGGGCTGTTCTGCATATTAGCACATGGTCCACTTTGCGCCTGTAATAACAGTCCACACACCCAGTCTGTTCACAATGTATCTTCCCAAGAATCCCGTGGCTCCGAAGACAGTCGCAGTGTATCCTGTGGTTTGGTGTGTGAGCAAGTCTGTACTGGACTGCGGATGCGGGCTGCTACACACCTCCGATACTTGACCGTCCGCCTGAAACCGTCAAAATGGGTTTTCCTGTCCTGGGCCAGTATTAGCGACGTATTCCCGCGAGACATGTGCATCCTCCTACCTCGTTATCCTGACATCGTGGTTGATCTGTTGCGGGCGGTAGACGGAGGTGGAGAATCGTGCTGCGCGTGTCGACGGTAGCTGGGCCGGCAACGCCGCTCCCTTTCGAGCAATGCGGAGTGGCGTGGCCATGTTTGCGGCAGTCAATGGCTGGAGAGAGAGGGTGGTATGCAGCGCTGCTTGGGGGGCAGCTCGGATGAACCGACGTCGATGGTTCCTGGTCTTGGCGGAGAAGGGTGCGCTAAGCCGTGGTAACTAGGTAGCTTGCCGCCGCAACGCCATCACCAGCAATATACACATTGTGCCCGCCCTCACACAAACATCTGCGCCATCCAGCCCACTCTCCCCGCCAACACCACCACCACCACCATCACCGAATCCAGACATAACCTCCTTGGACGCTCCTTGGACAGACAATCCCCCCACCATCATGGCCATGGACACGGACACGATTCCGAACCTGCTGGGCGATGCGCGGGACCAGGCACCAGAGGAGCTGCAGGAATACTTCATCACCTTCGAGGACTACTGGGAGCGAAAACTGTGGCACGAGCTGACCGACAAGCTCATTGAGTTTTACGACCACCCGGACAGCGCAAAGCAACGGATACCCTTCTTCGAGACGTTCATCAAGAGCTTCGCGAACAAGATCAACCAGCTCAAGCTGGTCACACTGGGTCTGAATGCTGCAACGCAATATAAGGGCAAGTTTCGTATCTAAGGGGCCACTTATAGTTTTACTAACTTCCACAGATGACAAGGAACGCCTCACGTTCGTCGACAACCTTGCAAAGAGCGTCAACAAGCCCGCATCACAAGACGCCTATGTCTACGCCACCGTAGCCGCGGCCAGTATCCAGCTGAGGTTGCGGGACGAAGAAGGCGCCAAGAAGAAGCTCGAGGAGTGTGAGCAGATACTAGACGGTTTCGATTCCGTCGAGACGGTTGTGCACGCGTCATTCTACCGTGCCAGTGCAGAGTACTACAAGTCCAAGCACGAGTTCGCCGCCTACTACAAGAACGCCCTCCTTTTCCTCGCCTGTGTCGATGTCGCCGACTTGGAGCTCCGAGAACGCCAATCCCGTGCTTACGACCTGAGCATCGCTGCTCTCGTCTCAGACTCGATATACAACTTTGGGGAGTTGCTGTTACACCCCATCCTCGACTCGCTAGTCAACACCCCGCACGCATGGTTACGCGATCTGCTCTTCGCCTTCAACCGTGGTGACTTGATCGCATATGACGTCCTTGCAGGCAACATCTCCAAGGTCCCGCTTTTGAAGGAGCATCAGACCTTCCTTTACCAGAAGATCTCCCTGTCCGCACTGACAGAGACCGTCTTCCGCCGACCACCACATGACCGCGCCATGACCTTCTCAGAGATCTCGCAGGAGACCAAGGTCCAGCCAAACGACATCGAACACCTCATCATGAAGGCACTGAGCTTGGGTTTGTTGAGGGGTCAGATTGACCAGGTCGCAGAGATTGCACGCATCAACTGGGTACAACCAAAGGTGCTGGATATGAAGCAGATTGAGAGCATGAGGTCAAGGTTGAAGGAGTGGGATGCCAGCGTCAACCAGCTTGGTAACTGGATCGAGGGTGTTGGCAAGGATGTCTGGGCGGCTTGAGAAGCTAAAAAGCAATCTCGAATAGCATCATTGTCAGCTCATTCCACCGCACCACAGGTTGTCTCCACATACACAGGCGTGGCATGCAGAAGCTGTAAGAAAGATACCTACGTGCCTTGTGATGATAGATTATAGCCAGTGTCACCAACAAACTGGCCCAAGATATGAAGAATCATGACTCTAATTCTTTCTACAACGCAACCGTGATGTACAATCTTTCCTTCGCTCTCCAGGTATCATCATCATCCTACCCTTTACTCAAAAGCTCCCGTCGCAATCACACTAGTATTAATCGCCCAAGCCGGCAACCAGACCAAAAACACCACAACCTGGGTCCACAGACCCCAAATATGCCATCCCTGCGCCGCCTTTTCCAGAATCAAAGCCATATTGCCGCCCAGCAAATAGGTAGCCGCATGCATGACCAGCAAAGGATTCAGCAGCGCCATGAGGCCCAACAAGGCTACATTCAAGCCCAGACTGCCCGTCCGCCTGATGAAGCTAAACGGGATACAACTGACGCCGACCAAGAAACTGAGGGAGAAGTTGAGGGTGGCGAGGACGGCGAGGAAGACGCCGAGGAGGAGGAGGGAGAAACATTGGATCAGGGTTGTTTCCTGAGTGGAGAGGGGCCGGTTGTTGAAGAAGACGAATGCGATGCCTATGGGGATGACGACGGTGATGTTAGCGGCGGTTAGGAAGAGGCCTTGCAGGTGGTCTTCGTCCCAGTGGTTGAAGACGTAGAGGGGGATGAGGCCGGCGAAGTGGAGGACGAGGACGAAGGCGAGGGGGAGGAGGAGGTGGCGTTCTGAAACTGTGGTTAGGGATTTGGGGACAATGGAGACGGCGCCGTCTTTTTTAATGACCTCGACAGCTGGGGAAGGGGGGTTGGGAGGTTCTTTAACGGTTCCAGGATCTGCAGCGGCAGATGTTGATGGGTTCTCGCTAGAGGTTGAGGCTGGCTTGTCGGAGATCTTGTCTTTTGGTGCGGTGGATGCAGGGTTGGCGATAGGCTCTGTGGATCTTCCGCTCTGTACCCAAAGTGCGATAGCCGCGATGCTGAAGTTGACAGCGATAAGCATAGCCGAGGGAAGGTAGGTCCCGATGCTGACGAAGCGGTTCGAATGGAGCAAGAGGTAGAAGAAGAAGCTTTGGTGGAAATGCTCCAGCAGGTTGTTCAAGCTGCGAAACAGAGACTCGACCGTCTTCCCAAGTGATATCTCGTCGTGCCAGCCATCACCGACCGTTTGTAGAGTAATGGCGTCGACGTGGTATGGGATGAATGATGAATGCGGCCCGGTTGCGTAACCCATACCCTGCGATAGCATGCCTCGAAACATGGTCTCCAGTCGCACCTTGTATGCGTCGTTGTGTCTCCACATGTTCTGTATGCCACAAGCAATGCCCATCTGCCCGGATGCGATCTGCACCGCTGTATTGAAAAGATCCAGATTGGGGAGCTGGCCATTGACCCCATCGTACACAATGTGGAGCTTTTCATATCGATGACCCCAAGGCCCTGCGGGGTAGTCGACCGCGACAGCTGCTTGAAGGGCTCCACTCTTGATCTTGAGTCCCTCGACGTAGCGCTCATCGTGTGCATCATGGTAGGCGTCCACCCAAGCTTGAGGACCTATGGTACTGTCTCCAGAGACTAGAAAAATGATGTCCTTGCTCCACAGACTCCATCGTTTGAAGTATCGAGCCAGTGTGAGAACCAGAGCTACCCCAGAGTTGTTGATCTCATTGTCCATGTTCCTCCATGCTCCGACGAGGACAATTGCCTCGGTAGCGTCAGCGCGAGGGCCCTGGAGGATGGCGTACACATTCTCATTCGCGATTGTGCGGTTGGAAACGGTAAAGTTGTACTTTTGAGTAGCAACCTTGAGGTTCTGTTCCTTGAAAATGGTCTCAAGCTTGTGAGAGCGCCTGAACTTGTAAGCTTTCTTCTTTTGCAAGGCCCTTTCATGGGACTTACTCTTCCACAGGCTTATCAATCAGCCCAAAGACTTCATGGCGATAGGCACGAAAGACATTGTGCTCGCTGCCACCGAAGTATGTGTGTACTTGACCTGGTAAGAGAGCATTTTCGGAAATGTAGGTCCCGCGCGAATATTCATTCAGAGGAAGGACGAGCAGCCATGCTATGCCAACAATGAGACACAGCGCCGAAAGGTAAGGTGGGATCTTGAGAATGCGGGCATCTCGGCGGAGCGCCAATATCGATGCTGCAGACGTTAGCCGTCACTCCTCAAAGCGCATGTAGAGCACAACCTACAGAGCAACGCCATCACCACCACAGAGTCAATTGTACCTTTGGAAGGAAAGGAGAAGGGAGAGTCGAGTCCTCTTCTCTTCTGCCCAGCATCTGGCGCAACTCCGTCTGGGAAGGTGTTAAGGCGGGAGGATCGACGCTTAGCGCAACGCGGTTCCTGAACCCTAGTGACGAGGCGTGCTAGGCTGCTTTCTACCGCTAAGCTGTCTTTCACACGTCAACGCGCCTGCATCTCGTCTCACACCAGTCGCGCTCAGCAATGCCGTCGTTCCCGCAGTTCAGTCCCACGCGCATACGGTCGTATCTGTTCCGGTTGCCATTCTGTACTCGACTGCTTGTCGTCGTAATTCTGGGATTATGGATTGCGACAATCCCGTTCCCATGGATCAGGGAGTTTGGGCGGCTGGAGCCGGCTAAGATGGATTTGACACAGAGTACGTTTATCTTGTATGACAGAGAAGGAGACGGAAGAAGTCGATCTGATCGCTGGTCTCGAATCTTGCATCTTTGGAATTCTGTGCTTCTAGATTGACGGTCAGGAACAAAGAGGACAGATATATGGGAAACCTATATCAGATTGCTTTGGAATATTCTTAAAGCTAACATACTATACTACACTGTAGTGCATCGACTCAATTTGTACCCAGTGTTACATTTGAATTTCTTCCACATGATCTTCAACTTGGTTGCGGTAACGCCTCTCGTCGAACGATTCGAGTCCGAATATGGAACCCTAGTCACACTGGTGCTATTCACAGGGCGTAAGGAATATCAGGTCTTTGGTTATCGGTTGCACTAATGATTTGGAAGCATTCGGAACGATACCAGGAGGAGTCTATACGCTCCTGGAGAAGTTCGTTCTCAGGAGCAACACCATTGTCATGGGAGCAAGGTCTGTATAGTCCAGGCATACACCGATATGGGTTGAAGACTAATGAATTTTAGCATATGGGTATTCCTTCTTCTTTCAGCAGAAGTCATGAAGACACAGAAAACAAATCCTTATTTTAGGTGAGCCAAGAGGACTATGATTTCCCTACATGACTGACTCCCTCAGTGTTGGCCCGTACAGAGTCCCCACCTGGACGACACCCCTCATGCTCGTTGGCGTCACGAGTATCCTTGTACCAAACGTAAGCCTCATCGGACACCTCTGCGGCGCCGGCCTCGGATATCTATGGGCATCTGGTTATATCAAATTCCTCGTACCCCACGAGAAGATCCTCAGATGGCTCGAGACCAAGCTGAACTTGCTTGCAAGGCTACCACACTATGTCAGTGTAGACCAGAAAACATATGGTCGTTACGGTGTCCTGCCCACCGCCGCGATACCGTTAGGCAACATGCCCAGAAGTCCTGTAGTTGGAGATGGACAACGACTGGGACCGTAAATATGCACTTTCTTGAGAATCCCTCACGATTTCGGGCGTATTAGCATTATGAGAACAATGAGCACCCGGCGTTACAGGCGGTGCATATGAATGGTAGTATCTGAAAGTTTGGCTTCAGTCAACGTGCAGGTGCGATAGACTTCATGTAAAAGTAACATGTTTCACGTCAGATATGTATTACATACTATAGACCGTTGACACCAGCTTCTGCGCACTCCATTTGTCAGTGACGTACAACGCTCTGGTAGTTTAGCCACAGTTAGCCCTGGTTGCCCCTCATCGACCCAGCAAATTTCATCTCCTCGCCCCACCACCTTCCGCAACCACCCACCCGCAGCCAAATGGCTCGATAGATATACTAGGACAGCGTAGAGATAGACCTCTCACGCTTTCAGTTTGCTATATAAATGGTTTAAGCGCCAAATTAATCATACACGCACAACGCGAGCTTCCAAGTTCGCAACGTCCCGTTGGTGTAGTTGGTTATCACGTGGGTCTCATATCACCATATATGACTACTCTTTGAGTAGAAATCCCAAGGCCGAGAGTTCGAGTCTCTCACGAGACAAAGTGGTGTCGTTCTTTTTTTCTTTTTTTTTTCTTTGTTTTTACTCAAATTGTCTGCCAACAGAGAGATTTTGAAACTGGATGTTAGGATCTTCATAGATGATGCAATTCAGAATTGCATGGCATGCAGGCATCCTGTTGTTGGATGAAGTTTTGTACGAGACAGTTTCTTTTTACGCCATCGCCCCTTTGCTCGTCTTTGATATCTGCGGATCTCTGATATTTGCGGTAGGTCATGGTTGTGTTTTTGCACCATCTCCAGAACATGTCTCACCATCTGTGCAACAAGAAAGTCTTGCAACACGCTTCTACTAATATTCCATGAGGTGTATTGCACTACCAATCAAGAAATACTCAATATGTGCTAGCACGTGTTTTCATCAAGACTGCAATTTATCTGGCAGTGTCAGGTAGGTATGTAACATCCTGATCCAGCGATCCAGGTTCGCAGGTGATCGCAGCAACAACGGAGCGCGGGGCAAGCGACTACTTGAAATGGAAAGTCTCAAGAAAACCGTGGATTGTAGAGCTATCTGAGGGGCAAAGGGGGCAGCACATGGCGAGGGGCAACGAGGGGCACATCAAGGGGCAAGTATCGAGGGGCAGCGGTGGCGGGGTGAGATGGGATGGAGGGGCAAGGTTGGTATCAGGGGATGCGAGGTGAGCGAGCGACCCTTCCAACCCAGGACATGCGGGGAGGGGTCGGGGGAGTTGAGAGCGATGGAGATGCGATATTGAGACTCGTGGTGTATGGGTGAAGTATGGTAGGAGGTTGTGGTGTGGGTGCTTTTTATTGATATACTTGGTAGTGTGCGCAGATTTTTGTCATTGTGGTATGGGATATGTTACAGGTGGTTCTTTTCTGCTGGCTTTCATGTCGTTTTTTTTTTGATTGATTTTTACGACAGGCGGCAGTGTTTGTTAAAGTATCACTCAGGAGGAGAATCATGCAGGTGCCTTCCTTTGATACCAGAATTTCATTAGGCGGATGTTGATCTGTTTGCTAACTCGTTGTGTTGGAATGAAATGTGTGGACTGAATCATTGGGAAACCATGATAGAACTATGTTCAGATCGTTTTGATTGACATGGTCTCTGCCTATTCGCATTACCGGTACGCAGCCTTAGGTCTCTGCTGTGGGCGGTCATCGACACGGAACAGATGAGCTCACTTGCCTTTGAATTCACTGTCCGTACGGTCAAAGAGCCTCAAACCCCTTCAAGAACTCGCTTCTTTCTTACGATGTTCTTCAAGAGCTTTCTTGGAAAGAAACAAGTCTCCGTGATAATCACAGGAAGTATCAATCCCTAAACTGGCCGTCTCGTTCTTTCACGCGTCGAGCAACTCTGACATGGCATTAGTTTAGCTTTTACCAGCTAGCAAGATCGATCAACTGGCTAGAATTAGAACATGAAAACTGGCTCGGACAAGGACTATCTAGTCCAAGAAGAATACTACTTCTCCTACATCGCGCAAGATCAGGAAAGGCTGAGAACGTACTACTACAGATTTAATTCAGGTCTATAAAACAGCATCGTCTTGCTGGTTTTCAAACACGATTTTCACCAGCTTATCTACGTCAAAACCTATCAGTTCACGCAGCTAGATTGACTCACGAGACGAGATTACTCCACATCGGTTCACTTCAATAATGCCGGAGGAACTGGGACCAAATTTCAAGCTCACGATTTGTTCCTCCTCTTCGAATTTGAAGCGCTACTATACTTTCACATCGATGCTGTAAAGATCTTACATGATAAAGCGTTAGGCATCTACCACACATTATGCTGAACAGCAGCGAGGCTGAGTACCAAATAGAAGTATCCAAGGTGACGCCAACCACCATGACTGCCTCCTTATCCAAGGCTTCTATAACAAGTGACACCAGCTCACTGTGCGTATGGTTGGTTCGAGCTACGCAAGTGCGAGGAGGAGAATTAGCTTTCCTCGTTTGTGGAGCTGTAACCAGGCTCTAGGTACCGGTAGGTAGGTCACAAACAGCTAGTATTACCTCCCGACCGGTACATATCACACGTCGCTAGCTCATCCCAGCGGTAGCAATAAGAAATGCGCCGTGCATGTGGTATATGTTATGCTATTCTAGCCACATGCATGGCAATATCCGTATGAGCTCGAGTCACCACTGTAAACGCCGCGCTGATGTTGGAATCAAGATGTGACTGCAATGTCTGCCACGACCCCTTCTGTATGTATTGATACTCAGTCGTCGCTGAGCTGACAACGAAGGTGTAGGAATCCGGGTTCTGAAGGCTCTCATTCTATGTTTGATGATCAGTCACTCCCTCTTGCGAAGTAGGTATTGACCTCGGGAGCCGGGAGTCCCGGGTATTGTGTGACGACAAGGGTGACAGTAACTGCTCGACACTTCCCTATATGTTGCTACTATACTGCTGATAAATACTAGAGATGGCGCGTCGCTATCTAGAATGATCTACTACCGGTAGTAGTCCACGAACGTCGCCAGCAGATGAATGTCGTGTCCAAAAGACCAAAGCAGCACCACCATATACGGCAACGGCAAATGCTCCAAAGCCAACCATACCAGATTCAGCTAGTTTCCGAGCATCCAATCAACAGACCCCAAGCTCTGCTTACCGTGAACAAATAAAGAAATGCCTCGGCTCATTACCCCAGCTTTGACGCGCGCTCCATCTCCACCAAAACGCGGACATTGTCCGCGAACGAAGCTAGTCTGGTTCCCCCTAAGCCGAGGACCAACAGTGTCCAAAGACTTGTGGAGGTGAAAAAGGTCGTGTGTCCATTCTTTCCCTTTCCGCGAATCTCGTCGCTCTTGTTTGCTCGCGCACTGAGAATTGCGAATTCTTTTCTTGTTGTTATTTCGTCGGAGGAGACTCTGTTTTGACCTGGTTCTGGTTCTTGATTCATCATGCCCCACGCTACTGCACTCACGCGCGAGTCCGTCGCCACGCACAACAAGCCCGATGACCTATGGTGCATCATTGACCACAAAGTCTACGACCTGACCGACTTTGTCGATGCGCACCCCGGCGGCTCCGTCGTGCTCGAGCAAGTCGCTGGCACGGATGCGACGACGGCCTTTTACAACCTGCACCGGCAGGAAGTGCTTGACAAGTACGAGGCCGAGTTGTGCATTGGCACGATTGAGGGGGAGAAGGCCGAGGTGATTGTGGGGAAGCCCGGGGATCTGAGTCCGGTGCCGTATGCAGAGCCGTTGTGGTTGCGGCCGCAGTTCAAGAGCCCGTATTTCAAGGAGAGTCATCGGGCGCTGCAGAGGGAGATTCGCAAGTTTGTGGATACGCACATCACGCCAGAGGCACAACAGAAGGAGAAGGATGGCACGTATATCAGTCAGGAGCTTATTGATAAGATGGCGAAGAACGACATGCTGGCTATGCGTCTCGGGCCGGGGAAGCATCTACATGGCAAGACATTGATGGGAGTTGTCAAGGGAGAGGAGTTTGACTACCTACACGACCTGGTGCAGGCACAGGAGGGTGTTCGGGCGAATGCTCGAGGCTTTCAGGATGGTAACATGGCTGGTATGACGATCAGCTTGACGGCGGTGTTGCAGTGGATGCCAGAGTCTCCGCTCAAGACGAGAGTGGTGAACGAGGTGTTGTCTGGCAAGAAGAAGATGTGTCTAGCCATCACCGAAGCGTTTGCTGGATCAGACGTGGCGGGCATCCGGACGACGGCGAAACTGACGGCAGACGGCAAGCACTACATTGTGCGCGGAACGAAGAAGTGGATCACCAACGGCATGTTCTGCGACTACTTTGTCACCGGATGCAAGACCGACAAGGGCTTCTCCGTCCTCCTGATTGAGCGAGATGAGAATGTCGAGACCAAGTTGATCAAGACGAGTTACTCGACCACGGCAGGAACGGCCTTTGTCGAGTACAACGACGTCAAGGTGCCCGTCGACCATTTGCTCGGAGAGGAACACAAGGGATTCGTGGTCATCAGTACGTCGATGTGGTGAGTCTTGTGGCCATGATGGTCCGACTGACTTGGTTGCAGTGTCCAACTTCAACCACGAGCGCTTCATGATGGCGTGCGCCGTGATCCGCCACTCGCGCACCGTAGTCGAGGAATGCATGAAGTGGTGCAACCAACGCATCGTTTTTGGCAAAACGCTCATCGAACAGCCCGCCATCCGACAAAAGTAAGTACTGTAATCCGACCTCCACAGCCCATTGCACACAGACGCCATTCCCAGACTAACCTCGTCCCCTCCAGACTCGCAAAAATGATCTCCCACGTCGAAGCCAACCAAGCCTGGCTCGAGCAAATCGCGTACCAAATGTCGCACATGTCCTACGCCCAACAATCCAAGCAGCTCGGCGGCCCCATTGGCCTCCTCAAATCCTTTGCCACTCGATCCGCGCACGAGATTGCCGACGAGGCTGTGAATATTTTTGGCGGCCGCGGGCTCACGCAGTCGGGCATGGGTCGCGTGATTGAGCAGTTTCACCGCACGTACAAGTTTGATGCCATTTTGGGCGGGACTGAGGAGATTTTGGGGGATCTGGGGGTTCGGCAGGCGTATAAGGGGTTCCCGAAGAGTATGTTGTAGATTTTTGGGGTGGATGGATGGATGTAGTACATGATGGTAGGTAGTGCAGGCTATCCTATTATTGGACCACTCGGCCACGAGATTTTCCCAATCATCGCTTTTAGATTCCTCATCCCCTTTTCGGATTCCTCATTCCCTTTTCGGATTCCAACGCTTCCCCATCCCTTTTCGGATTCCAACGCTTCCCCTTTCCAAACGCTCTGTGACCCGTCAAGCTTGGAACCGGGCAACCCTATCTGGCAAGCCAGCCGTGGTGACAGCCTTGCCCCAAGGGGGAAACCCACGAACCTCGACGCCAAAAAGGGGAAAAAACGAGAGTTTGACAGCGACCGTCCGGGTTGGGAATTCGTACCAGAGTAGAGTTTCACCCGGCTTGCCCCCACGAAACTTTAATCGTGCACGAACCGAGGGTGTGGTTTCCGACATGGAGGACCCAGGACACCAACTGACTGGCTGGCTGACTGCAGCGCCCACACATGTACATCCAACGTCCATACGCACCCCGTTCCCATGCAGGACGCAAAGCCGATATTGCAGGTTTGTACGTGGCTTGTGGAGAGTGATGCAGTGGAGAGAGCAGGTTTTGGGCTGGGAAGTTGGGGTTCCACACTATATTGTTCATGCATTTGGTGTTGCTTGATTCTGCTGACTCGTGGGGCGGAAAGGGAGGTGAAGGGGAGAGGGGATTTGTGCGCGGTGGGTGTGGTGGTGCATTGAGGAATGGATGGGTTGCATGGATGAAGGGGTGTGTGTGTGTGTGTGTGTGTGTGTGTGTGTGTGTGTGTAGAGTAGGATAAGGGTGGCTTGCGACAGTGGACAGTGAAGGTCAAGACTGGACATTCGCCATTTGCCACCAATCAGCCTCGCACTCTGGCCCTGGCGCGATCCGACCAACTTGCACCTGCAGCGCCACTTCCGGCATGCCAGTCTGCCAGGCGCTGTCGTCCACGTGTTACACGGCCGCTAGACATGGGGGCCCTTCACCCTGTCCTCTCCTCTCTCTCTCTCCCTCATTTGCCCACTCAGACATGGTTGTACGTACAAGTACACTCCAGTTCTAGTCCAGTATCCATCTTCTCCACCCGCCTCCCCGACCTGCATCGCATGATTCACAGCTGAGATTTGCATGTCACACGGGCCCTAGGACTGGCGTGGTCCAGGAGGAAGAAGAAGAGGAAGAGGAAGAAGAAGAAGAAGACTGACGTGCAGGTTTGCGACGAGGACCAGAGACGTGTCACATGTGCAGGACAGGGCGAGGAAGGGCAGGACGGCAGGATGGGCTAGGGATGGAGTAAGATGGGGATGTGCATAGGGCATGGTAGTATGCGGTGAGTGTCTTGGAGGCTGGGAACACAGACGTACCCTACTACTACTACTCTATCGGTACTGCATACCTGCCCACTACTGTAATGTGATGCACAGTACAGAACACTACCCCCACCCATCCACCTCCACCTTCAAGTCTTTCGGGTCACGGGGAAGGAAAGGAGTCCAATATCGGAAATGTTGGGAGTCACGGTAGGTGGGAAAGGGAGGGGATTGGGTTTCTCTGGTAGGGTAACAACAGGATGCACAGCAAGTAGGAGGCCATCGTTGAACTGCGGTCGTCGGTTCCTGAGGCTGAGGCTGAAGCTTGGGGCGCTGGACAGGGGATGTGGGGAGCTCCCGTTCCTGTCTCTCTCTCTTTCTCTCTCTCTCTCTCTCTCTCTCTCCATGGAACACGATGGAAGAGAAGAGGTCGGTGACAAGTTTGGTGTAGGAGTATGTTGTGTAGTGTGGAGGCGGGTGTAGTCAGGCGGCCAAGCGTCGAGTGTATTGGTGCTGGGCTGGGTGCATGATGATGGAGGATGCACGGCTGCATGGCGCCATTTGGGCTTTGTCTGTCTCCTGTCGTGTGGCTTCGGCGACCTCTTTGCCATCGGAGCCTTGTCCAGCCTGTCCAGCCTGTCCAGCCTGTCCACTCTCCACTCTGCCACTGTCCAGGCACAACAAGGGCTTTCTTTCTTCAAGAAGCGCCGCAAGCCCGAGCTGGCCTGCGATTGCGTCTGCCCTCTTCTGCCTGGCTGCTGCATCCCCTTGAGGTCGCCCTCTTGACTGTTAGTTCGGCTTCACAGGCTCCTAGCAGGCCCCATAACCTAAACCCTACCCTACCCTTACCCTACCTCAACTACTGCACCCGCCCGTCCTTTCACCTGTCTCTCTTCCCTGTGCACAAAATCGACCCATCCCCCCGACTGGCAAAAGGCCACCCTTTAGTCATCGGCCTCCTTCTCTCTCTCCACTCCCACTACTACTTATACGTCACCAAACCCACCCCCCCCTTGGCCGCTCGACTCCTCGCTCTTACCACTCACTTGCACTCCACCCTCCTCTGCTCTCCCACCGTGCCATCTCTCCGTCTCTCTCCATCGCTCCATCTGCTCGGCTCCATCTCTCCGCGCTACACACTTGCCCATCCTCGTCATCAGCCCGCCCTGACCGCCCATCATCGCCACATCAGACCCTCTCTTCTTCAACAAACCAAAGACGACGCCTCGCCACCCAATCATCATGCGCCGCACATGCAGCATCTCGAGCATCAGCTCCTCTAGCTCAGAAGTCGAAGACACGATGCAAATCTTCGTCAAGACTGTTTCCGGCAACGACAGTACGTTCTCGCCCCCGTCCCCATCCCGCCGGCCGTTCCGAGATTCGGAACGAGGTGTGCGGGTGCAGGTGCATTGTGCATTGTGCATTTGTGCATTGTGCATTGTGCATTGTGCATTGTGCATTGTGCATGTGTGCTTGTGTGTCTCTGGTGTGTCTGTGTCTGTGTGTGTCTCTTGTGTGTCCTCGGCACACGACAACAACGACGAACAGAAACAGAAAGCCTCCATGCCAACAAGCCACGCCACCCACCACAGCAGAACAGAAGCAAAGCAAAACAAAACAAACCCAAAAAGCTAACCAAACTTCCCCCAGCAATCCCCCTCACAATCCCCTCCACCACCTCAATAGCCACCCTCCGCTCCCTCCTCGCCCTACGCACAAACCTCGCCTCCCCCGCCGACCTCCGCATCGTCCACGCCGGCAAACACCTCGCCTCGCCCTCCACCACCCTCGCCGACTACGCAATCTCCCCAAACTCGACCCTGCACATGGCCCTGCTCCTGCGCGGCGGCATGCCCCCGAGGAAAATTCGCTGCTCCTTCAAGGACTGCAAGGATCGCGCGCAACCCATTGTCGGCGACTGTGGCTTTTGCAGCGGACATCATTGCTCCAAGCATCGTATGCTGGAGGATCACAAGTGTGAGGGCCTCGAGGATTGCAAGAAGGAGAGTCATGAGCGTAATGCGACAAAGTTGAATAGCGAGCGTACTGTGGCTATCAAGGGTGTTTGACCGGCATCACCTGTCTGGCTCTCTCTCTCTCTCTCTCTCTCTCTCTCTCTCTCTCTCTCTCTCTTGTCACAGCTCTTTGGACTTCTGGACGGCGCTCTGGATCGCCATGGTTTCCTCTTTTTCGGCGCTGAAGCGATTTTGACCCCTTTCTTTCTTCTTGTTCTTTTTGGTGGCCACGCGGGACCTGTTCATGCCTCTGCGTCCTCTGACTCCTCGACCGATGGCGTCTTTGCTCTCTCCCTCCCTTGTAGCGTAACAGGCGGCGCACGAGGCGCTGTCATTGTATGGCCATGGCTAGCTAGATGAGTAATCGAGATGTATAGTCTTCACCTTTTTCCCCTCCTCCCTCCCCTTTTTCTCTCCACTAACACCCCCTCCACCCCCCTTTATTCCCCGCGTCCTCGCAGCAGGCGGGGAGGTTAGGGATGCTGTGGGATGTGGATGTTGTGCATGGCTCGGACGGTGCTGTGGCATGCGGCTGGCTGTGGCTTGGGTGTGTGAGGTGGGTTTGACGTGGCGGGGTGGGATTTGTTGCTGGGTTTAGGGTTGGGGGTTGGGTCAAGGCAGCTTGGGGGTGGATTTGTGGAGGGGAATGGGGATGTGACCAGGTGTGGGTGTAAGGGGGGTTTGCTTGGGAGGCGTGTGGTGTTGTTTATTCATCCATACATTATTGTTGCTTTTACTATCTTGGACGATTTTTCTTGTCTTCTTGTCTTCTTTTTTTTTTCATACCTAGTATCTTTCTACATTTATACCCTCTTTTTCTTCTCCCTCCACACTCCCCTCTCCCCCCTCCCCATCACACCCCAAAAACCCCCCCAATCTCCCGCACCCCCACCTGTCCCCCCTCCTTTACAAGCCCCACAATCCGCTCATTCAGCGGACTCGGAACCCCCAGTCTCCTCGCCTGCCCAACAAGATACCCATTGATATAATCAATCTCCGTGACCCGACCCGCCAGCCGATCCTGCCGCATCGAACTCGTGTTTTCTGCCGTTTTGGCGCCGACGGCGTAGACGAGGGTGCGGAGGTGGGATGGGGTGGTGGTGGTAGGAGTAGGAGGAGCAGCTTGGTCAGCCAGAATAGCCAGAATAATATTTGAGATTTCGGCAACCAGACGGTCGATGAGCGGGATGATTTCCGTTTCGGAAAATAGTTTGCCGTTTTTGCAGGAGAAGAGGAGGGTGAGGGGGTTGATGACTGCGTTGATTGTGAGCTTTTGGAGTTGGGCGGGTAGGAGGGCGGAGGCGGGGATGAGGGTTGTTGAGAGGTTTGGGCAGCTGGATATCAGGTGGGCGAGGGTGGATGGGGTGCTGGTGTCTGGAACGGGCTTCCCGGTCGAGGATGGGAGAGATGGGGATGAGACGACGGGACCGATGACCGCATCGGCTATACCCGCGTGAACAGAGGAGAAGGTAGAAGTCGCATAGACGCCGTGATTGAAGATTCCGGCAAGATAGTTTGGCCGGGTGGTTTTGTCTGGGAAAATCTGCGTATTCACCTCGTCGATTGTACCTAAGCAGGGGGGTTTTACGTAAGCTTCATAAACACCTCTCTTACACCCATCCATCCATCCATCCATCCACGCAAACAAAACACCGCGGAAAGAAAAAAGAAAAAACTTCCGTACCCATCCCATTCTGCAAAAACAACACCGTACACCCACCCCCAACCCTCTCCCTCACACCCCCCAGCGCCCTCACCGTCGCATGCGTCTTCGTCGCCACAATCAACTGCTCAATCCGACCCCCTCCACCCACACCACCAGCACCAATCTCCTCGTAGCCAAACCCGCTCTGTCGCTCACACACGCCAGCACGCACAATCTCGATGCCTTGTCCCGCCCGCTTCCACTCGTCGACCAGGCTGGCGCGGTGGAAGAGCAGGGTGATGGGGAGCTGGGGGTGATGCTTTCGGAGCGAGTGGGCGAGCAGTTTGCCTAGGTTGCCGAGGCCGAGGATGTGGATTGTTGAGGGGGGCATTGTGGGAAGGGGGGGTGGTTTGGTCAAGGGGAGGTGTGGTGGGTGTTGGCCTGGGTTAGTGTCGTGTTTGCATTCTTGAACATTGACTGGTACGTGTGCTTGGCGATGGTGGCGCGCAGATTGTCCCATGGGATTTCTTTGGATGGTGGGACCAAGGTTTGTGTTGTATGTGTGGGAGTTGTATTCTACTCTTTGTGTTCAACATGGAATCTAGGCGGTTGACAAGGATTACCTACCTACTCTAGCTAGGTACCGGTATGATCTGCTTAGAGAAGATGCATGTACAACATCATTTCTGTCGTAACATCAACATCCCACCATATCCCAGTATATATATCCCACAAAGGAGGTGGGGTAACAGTGTTCACTTTTGCCCCGTTTTCTGCGTGTGACAATATTCTAATTGCACACCCTCTGCACATCCTCCTCTTTGTAATAATTCCCCGCCAGACCTCTGTATCTAGAGCCATCTCCGCAAAGACAATTCACTAGTGCACATTGTTAGTTCCGTAGATGCCAACTCGAGAACTAACGTCTATTCATCCCAGCCAGATCCGGTCTGCTCCCCCACACCAACAAATCCGCAATTCCACCTCTTCAAACATCCAACATCAGCCTTACCCAAGATCACCAACCACCACTCACCATGGTCCTCACAATCCACCACCTCGGCCTCTCCCAAAGCGAGCGCATCCTACTCCTCCTCGAAGAAATGGCCATCCCCTACACCCTCACCAAGCACACACGCGACCCCACAATGGCCCCCGCATCACTCAAACAGCTCCCAGGAAACCTGACCGGCCAAGCACCCTTGATGCAAGATCCAGACACCGGCATCACGCTGGTCGAAAGCGGCGCCATCTGCGACTACATCCTGGCAAAGTACAAACACGAGGCCAAGACCAAGATGTCGCGCGAGTATGGCGAGCAGGGCTATGCGGATTATGTGTATTTCTTCCACTTTGCAAATGCCACGCTGCAGCCGGTTATGGGGCAGGTCATGTTGCTGGGGCTTGTAAAGGCGCCGCAGGATCATGTCATGGTGCGGTATGCAACTAATAATATGCATCAATCTCTTCAGATCCTCGACGACCATCTCGGACACAAAAAGTGGCTGTAAGTTGGGAAAAGGTATAGATGCTCGTTCATGTCTGTCTGCTTATCCTTGTGTTAGTGCGGGTGATGATTTTACGGCAGCTGATTGCATGATGATATACTCACTGACTACAAAACGCTATTACGGACCGCTGGTGAGCTATGCAAAGTATCCCAACATGGTAAGATATCTCAAAGACGTTGGTGAGCGGCCCGCGTATAAGAGAGCCATGGAGAAGGGCGATCCTGAGATGCAGGTCTTATTGGGTGCGGAGCCACCGGAGCAGAGCTTGGTGGAGGTTGGAGGTGTGACTTCGGATATATGGAAGAAGAAGACGTGATGTAGAAAGGGGCAAAAAAAATTCAAAAAAAATTCAAAAAAGAAGCAAAAAGAAGGTCGAGTACCCCAAAGCGGAGGAAAGTCGTACCGGTACTCGAACCGACGGTGAGCTCGCAAATCGCTGTTGCTTAACACCCTTGCACTATGTGGATCTCCGCTCCGCACGTTTGCCCATCGGTTGCTTTAGAAAGATCCTCCAATACATCGGTATATGTGCTCTGCATCAAATTGGAAAGACGTGTTTCAGTTAGTACGAGTATCTTCTAGGTCACAAGTATGAGGTCATTGCGTGCAAACAGACAACAACCAGCCCGTCCCCTTATATCATTAAAAGCAAGAGCAAACGCAAGCTGTCTCCCCTAAGAGGCCTAGTGGCTCATATTGCCCTAACAACTACGGTTTCTAAGATATATGCATGGCGGCGTTTGTTGTTTTGCTAATGCTATCCGATTTCACTGTACTGGAAGTAACTTTGGACACTCTTGGGCCGTGGTTTTTTACATAAGCTGCATCAGATCTAGGTGACTCTAAAAAGCTGATAGAACATGAGCACAAACTGAGACCTAGGAGTGACAGTGAATGGTGAACGTCCACGAGCCAAATATCTACAGTCACATCAAACACAACAAGTATTGAGAAGTCTGCAACCACACTTTGCGTCTCAACCTCGAACAACCGATCTTAATACGCGCTTATCGTTTCCTCGCACCCGCACCATGGACGCTTCCGTCAATCGTTCCGAAGTCGCACTCGACACCACAGCAGCGCATCATGTTCCAGCCACGGCAATAGTTTTGAGCACATTCGGAACCTCTACACTGAAGAAGCTAACATCCAGATCAACTGAAGAGATTGCGTTGTTGTCAGAGATGTGGCAGGATGTGCAAATCATGAAAGCGCAAGAGACGAGCGAGGAGAAGGGTTTCACGTACCGGGATGCAGGATTCCTACTGGCTTTGCCTGGTGGTATGGCAGAAGAGTTCGTCACGTCCATTTGTGTGGAGAACAGCTATCAGCAGGGCGCTGTGAAGACGAATGAGATGCAGGAAAAACAACTGAAGCTTCAGTACGACAGAATGAAGCTAAGGAAAATGCCCAGAAACGGGGCTCTCCATGCTGAGCATATCTACAAGCAGATAAAGGGTTGGGGCGAGGTGGAAAACAAGCGCGTGCTTCTGAGGGATCTTGCCTCGTTGATGCAGCTGGGCGACGGTCCTACAGCAGAGATATTTCGACGACTGAAGAAGGCGGAATCCGAAGAGAAGACAAAAGGCGAGAAAGATACCCGAGGGACTGCACATGACGGTGAGTCCATGCCAAAGAAACACACCGCACATGCTCACCCTCGTCAAGCGGAGCCTCCCGGCTTGGGCAAACTCTCGATACATCATGCTCTCAACATCCAGAGCTCGGCTGGCATGTGGATTCCATCCTCGAATGATGCCACTCACGACAAGCGAAAGCCTGAAGCAGACAACACCGACGACAAAGCCAAAGCTCAAGAAGATCTCAAGACCAAAAAACCAAGAGGTAGGTATCAGCCTTGGGTAGGCGAATGGAAGTGCTCCGTCTGCGGTTACTGGAACAGCCCCTCCTGCGACACCTGCCTGGGCACCAAGCCAGCGAAATGCGAAGGGAGAAAGGATTTGCATACTGCCGAGATCCAGCTCGACGATGGAAATCATCGAAAGTTCCACAACCCAAATGAAGATCCAAAAGTGTTTGCTGGTGACTGGCAGTGCAGATGTGGGCGTTGGAAGCCGATTTATTGCAAGGAATGCGGCTGCGGTTGGTGTAGGAACGCGTCCAATCGAGTGATGCAGCCTGGCCCGAACAAGGTCTTCCGGCGTGAAAGTTACGTCAACAAACGCAACCCTGCATTTGCATGGTGAGGCGAGCTCTAGCTATGGCTATCTGGGGCCCTGGCGCAGAGTAGGTATACAGACTATTGGTGTTGGTATGATTCCAAGATAGTTTCTCTGGCCTTTCAAGAATTGCGAAAAATTGTCACCTTCCTCTCACTGTGTCATACAATCATTATAACAAGCCATGGAGTTTTCTGTGGCTCACTGCGTGTACTGTTAGCTTGATCAATCGAGCAGATAGACATACGAGGCCTGATGTCGATGTCCATCATCACAGATCTGCCACTGTCTAGCCATTGCCTATGGCTTAGCCATTATTGCCACTACACCTAAACCTCGCCGTGCTAATATCAAAAGTGCCACCTTTGGTGACATGGTGTTATGGTCCCTAGAGATACTGGCTAAATTAGACTTTTCAAAGTGTGTTAGTAGGTGAATATCGAATTCTGGGTTTGGGACGTCACTTTCTGGACCCTGACGGGATAGGTCCCTGCTAGCGCCCATCCATACCCCAGACTCAGGTAACCTGATCAACATTCATCTCCAACCACAACACATTGACACACGCATGTCGTCTTGAACAAGTTCTTACAAGTTTACAACAACATGAGTTTCCTCCCCATAATCAGTGACCTGATATCACCGTTGAGACGACTGCTCGGTCCAGCTCCTCCACCACCACCCACGGGCCCGTTCACACCAACATACAAGGATGTTTGTCATGCGCGGGCCCTTCTCAGAACCCTCGATTTACCCACAGAACTTGTCCTACAAATTCTAGATTACGCACAGTATTGGCCTGTGTACGAGTATTCGAGCCATATTCCTCGTGAAGCAAGCGCAGAAACACGCCACTTTAGACCATGCGTCGCAACTGTATGTTACGAGGCCGCCATCTTTGACAATGTCATCTACGACGATATTCGTAAGAGCGGCGAGCGGTGTCAAGTCAAGAGTGTGGAGTTTGAAGTTGTGAGCCGCGATCAAGGGTGGACATCGCAGAACACACAGGGTACATTCGAGACCACGTCGTGGACCGAAGTGTCGATTATGAGAGATACGACGGGCAAGCCTCATCGATCATGCAATTTCACACTAGAGGGTATCTACGACAGTCCAGCATCATTGCACGCTCGTCTAGCGGACCAGGAGAGGGACTGGGAGCTTGTGAAGAGGCCCGAGAGCGCGTCGATGGGGCCGCAAGATGGGGAGGGGCATTTTGCGTGGTATTTGCAGGGAAATTGCGTTGCAGCGGGCAATAGAGAATATCACGTCTCCTGGACTGGGGATGGCTTTCAAGGCAATGAAGGGTCGGGTACTGGAGAAGGGTTTGTACGAGAGTTGAAAGATGGTGACCGGATCTTGATATGGGCGAGAGCCAAGGTAAATTTCCTGTCGAGTGGTATGATCTGTTCCAAGCTGACCAGACTCTAGTATCCTGGCTGGCAATGCCATGTTGATTATATCAAGATTGTCGTTCGATATGGTTTCTGATCTGTTTCTTTCGCTGCAAATCTCGTTTCTCTTTGCACCTACATGGGGTGCTCTTGGCTGCAGTACTTTCAGGGATCGGAACTTTATAGGTAGTTGTTGCACAACATTAGGAGTGATTGAACACAAGGATTCTAATGTCCACTATTCTGCAACTTGGACGACTGCTGTCTCACTGTAGTAATGCGCAATGCTCACGTCATCTTGCAACAATACAGCAGTGGAAGGACCAACAGAAGATGTAATGCACATTATACCGCTCGTATCACCAAATGCAAGAAATAGTAGCGGATGGTGAAGGAGTCAAGTTGAACCATGGCGGGGGGCCGGCGCTATCAAGTCTCTCGGTAAATGGGTAAACCCGGAAAATGAGGCTAAGATTTTGGTGAGCAACACCAGAAAGCGATGTAATAGTAGGCTGATTTCTTAACGCACTTTGAAGATATACGTAGATGCTGCTACATAGTGTTGTTCTGAAAACCTCTGGTTTTGGACCTCAGCTCTATTTCCGGCTTTACCGGTACCCATTTACCGAGAGCAAGTGACGACGAAGTGCGCTAGTGGCATGGAACAGGGATCGTTGTGGGCGGGACGTTCCATGTTCAAATCTTTTGACTGGGTATTGCCAGACTTGACACCACCGCATCCTCACATCACATCACATCGTTCACTATGCGCAGAGCACGTGGCCTTCGGGTAGGGACGCAATGGGCTGGATGAGGGAACGTATCTAATCGCTAACCGCAATTGACAGGCATCTTCGACTCGCGATATTTGCGTCTTCTGCGCCACCCGTCAATTGGCAACCGTTCCCTTGTCGACATGCTCTTCTTCAGCACAACAGCGACAATTCAACTCGTCGAGCCGGTCACCAGACTCGGCCGAAGCAGTACTATACAAAGATGCAACCCCACCCTCGCAACCGTTGTCCCAGGCACAGCGAATGCGCCTGGCCCTAGCTGCGAGTGCTGCAAAGGCTCCACCAGCCCAGCCACAAGGCACACACATGTCACCTGCACAGCGTATGAGGGCATCACTAGCATCGCAGGCACCTCAGCAGAATACGCCACAGTCGCAAAGACATTCCCCATCGAACAGAGGACCGGGGAGTAGAAGCGTGGTCTTCGAGGGGCCTGGACGTAATCAGAGCAGGGACAGATTCGCTCCCATTGGCACTAAAGGGGGGAATATCCGCGGCAACATCGAATACCGAACGACTCCACAGCAGAACCGATATAAGATCAACATGGACGCTCGGCCGCAAGTGAACGCACCAGCATTCGACCCAGGACACTTACGGCGGCGGAACGAGCTACGGTCGTCCGGAGCCAACCAGGCGGGAGCGCCGGCGGTCACCAGGCCTCCACCGAAAGGTAGAGGGATGCTGGACCAGGATGAGATTGCGAAATTGCTCAACAATTCCACGACTCAATCGCGAACACAATACCAGCCGCTCGCCAGGGACTCTAACGCCCAACGCAAATGCTTCCATTGTGGCTCGCTAGAGCATCAGTCTTTTGCATGCCCTGTCAAGCCGACACTCCGCGCACAACGACCCGTCGGAAAATCCGACTCGAGAGCGACAACCACATCTATGCCGCCCCAACGCCACCAAGAATCCGTTGCGGATGCAGCAGAGGCCTGGGTACGCAAATCAAAGAACCTTGATATTGAACCAGCTTCTTTGAGTCAGATACAAATGGAAGAGGAGGGCAAGCGTCACAACATTGATGGGAGGAGACGCAAGAAATTCGAGTTTGACGAGCCCGAGGAATCTGTGAATCGCTATGAACAGCCAGAGAGACGACGAGGCGGTGGGCGAGGTCGACGAGCGATGCGGGATGAGGATGATGAAGACGATATGCCCCGGTTTGACAGACAAGACCGCAAGAAGCAGCGGGCAGCAGCAAAAAAGGCGACTCAGGTGGAGGCTCGGAAAAACACGCCCACACCCATCTCACTACCGGAATACATCAGTGTAGCCAATCTAGCTGGAGCGCTGAGGCTGAGAGTCGAAGACTTTGTGCGAAAACTAGAGGATCTAGGATTCGAGGACGTGCAAAACGACCATATTCTCAACGCCGAACACGCTGGTCTCATCGCCCAGGAATACGGCTTTGAGCCCATTTTCCAGGACTCGACCGATGATGGAGATATCTACCCTGCTCCGGCACCGGAACCAGAGGCTTATGCGGCACTGCCTGCACGGCCACCTGTTGTCACGATCATGGGCCATGTTGATCACGGAAAGACCACGATTCTTGACTACATGCGTTCCACAAGTGTTGCTGCTACAGAGCATGGTGGCATTACACAACATATTGGAGCTTTCAGTGTACCTTTGGCCAATGGCAGGAAAATCACTTTCCTGGACACCCCTGGCCATGCTGCCTTCGAGACGATGCGCGCTCGCGGCGCCAATGTTACGGATATCGTCGTGCTAGTCGTTGCTGCCGATGATTCAGTCATGCCGCAGACTATCGAAGCCATCAAGCATGCACAAGCCGCCAAGGTTCCGATGATTGTCGCCATCAACAAGATTGATAAGCCCCAGGCTGATGTCGATGCTGTCAAGCTCGATCTAGGTCGTCACGGCATCGAAATCGAGGATTTTGGCGGAGACGTGCAGGCGATTGGCGTGAGCGGAAAGACGGGTCAAGGCATCCCTGATCTTGAAGAGGCCATCACCACACTTTCCGAAATGCTCGACCACCGTGCCGACCCCCAAGCACCAGTCGAAGGATGGGTTCTCGAGGGCACGACCAAGAGCCGCGGCCGTGTGGCCACAATTCTCGTCCGCAATGGTACGCTCCGTCAAGGCACCACGCTCGTCGCAGGGAAAACCTGGACTCGTGTGCGTACGCTCCGCAACGAAGCCGGAGCTGTCGTTGACGGGGTAGGGCCTGGTATGGCTGTTGAAGTAGACGGCTGGCGCGACCAGCCCATTGCAGGCGACGAAGTCCTTCAAGCCAACGACGAACAACATGCCACTTCGGTAACGGACCTCCGGACCGAGAAGTTTGAACGCGAGCAAATGGCGCGTGACATGGAAGCCATCAACGAATACCGACGCACAGAAGCGGAGCGTCGCGCCGCCGAAGAAGCAGCCTCGCAGGCGCAAGAAGCCGGCGAAGAAGTGGCAGCCAAACCGGAAGCCAAACCCAGCGGCCCCGAAGTCATCAGCCTCATCATCAAGGGCGACGTCTCGGGCTCGGTAGAAGCCGTCATCGACTCTGTCAGTTCGCTCGGCAACGCCGAAGTCAGCACCCGCATCCTCCGCCACGGCGTCGGCCCGCCCTCTGAATTCGACGTGGCCCACGCAGCCGACGCCGGCGGCCACATTGTCAACTTCAACACGGCCATTCCCGCACACATATCCAAGCTGGCCGAGGAAAAGGGTGTCCGCATTCTCGACTCCAACATCATCTACCGCGTCGTGGAAACTGTAAAGGAGCTGCTGAGCGAGCGCCTCAAGCCCGCCGTCATCCAAAAGGTCTCGGGCGAAGCTGAGATTGCGGCGCTCTTTGAGATTGGCGTCGGGGGGCGCAAGAAGATCAAGGTGGCGGGGAGTAAGGTGCGGAATGGGGTTGTGGGCAAGGGGGGTAGGGTCAAGGTGTTTAGGGGGAGTGAGGTCGTGTACGATGGTATGTTTTTTTTTTCTTCTTCTTTTCCCCCTTTTTCTTCCCTTCTTCTCATTCCTTCATCCCCATCTTCTCTCTCTCTCTCTCTCTCTCTCTCTCTCTCTCTCTCCCCCATCTTCCTTGCCTTCCTCGTACCCCGCTAACCCAATCGTGCGTATAGGAACCATTGCCAATCTCAAAAACCAGAAAAAGGACGTCGACCAGATGCGCAAGGACACCGAGTGTGGAATCTCTTTTGCCGACTGGGAGGACTTTGAGGTTGGTGACAAGATTCAGTGCTATGAGGAGAGGTTTGAGAAGAGGAGTTTGTGAGGTGGGTCTGTTGGAAAGTATGAGGTTGGACGTGGGGTTGTAGGTTTTGTGGTTGTTTCTGTGTATGTTGTATTACATGTGTATACTATATGTAAGAATGCATGTATGATGGATGATTTGTATATAAGTAGACACCATTGTACATGGCACATTTCCCATCGATTCAGCCAAGTCTCGCGCAAACATGCCCCTTTTTTTTTGGTAAATCGTCGACGCGCCCTACCGTAGGTAGTCGCCTTGCTAATTCCCTTCATCGAACCATCTCACCCTCGACATCCCCTCCCTCGTAACAGCTTACCCATCCAAATCAAACGCCTCCCTCAACTCCTCCCTCTTCTCCGCATCCGGCACCTGATCCGCAATAAATCTCCACATATCCCTCGCGATCCCGCCCCTCTTCCTCGCCAGCGCCCCAAACCGGCTCCATTCCCTCTCGACCTCCTCGCGCTCCTCGGGCGTCACCATCTTCGCTTTCCCCGCCCTGAGCGCCCCCAGGCGCGCCGTAAGTTGCACCTTTTCCGCCTCGAGGGCAGCCACAGCTTCGAGCAAGTCAGCGGTGCGGAGGGTGGAGTTGAGATTGGAAAGCGTGGAGCGCATGGCTTTGGCGGTGGCGTGGAGAGTTGCAGTGTCGGTGCGCAGAGAGGCGATTTGGGCGTCTAGAGCAGCGAGTTGGTCGGTTGTGCAGGTGTTGTTTGCGTCCTGGAATAGATGGTTAGCATCAGTATTTTATGGATATAGGGGGCAGAGTGGGACACCACGGTGCGGGATGCCGACTTACCTGAACAGCATGATAAACAATCTGCTTCCCTGAACCGTACAATTAGCCATCCGACCACCATCTTTACTTGGTTCCTCATACCAGCCGCCCGCCCCTCAATCCGCCTCTGCTCATGCAAATCCTTCAAAATCTTGGCCGCCGCAGCTATCACACTCTTTAGCCGACCAACACGTACCCTTTGCTTGGAACAGCACCCTGGTGCTTACTCTTCGTGACCTTGTTGTGCAGGTTGGCAGAGACGTCGATTGCAGAGTAAGGACGGTTTTGCTTGACTGGAAATGCGTTAGATTGGAGGAGAGGGGAGGGCAGGGGTGAGTGGGTGTTTGGCAGGGGAAAAATATCAATTCGCAGCAGAACCATGAAGTGAAACGCGCGCGCGAGAGAGAAAGAGCTTCTGGGCCAACGAACGGAGATAGTGCAAAACGAGATCCGAAGCCTCATTAGCCGAAGCCTTCTCTTCAGTCTTCTTGCGTGGCGCCATTGTGTGTGCGCGTTGTCTTATTGCGTGAAATAGGAAAGAAAGAAAGAGAAAGAAAGAAAAAGAAAAGAAGAAGAAGAAGAAGAAGAACAATGTCGTCCTGGCAGAAAAGAATGATATACTGAAAAAGGCGCGACCGCTATCAAGAAGGAAGGAACCATGCACCACCCACTGACGTAGGGCAGGTGAGGGGCATTAAGTCGGACGTACGAACGTACGAACATGCGAAATAGCATCATAGATTCAGACTTGAATTATACAGCGCATCGTCAAGAAATTGTATTCCGCCGATGAAGCGTGTGATACGGATCCTAGCCCTTGACACCACGCCCCACAAATGCAACTGCTACTGCAAATGCAAATGCAAATGCAATCAAAGCCTTCCAACAATCAACCACCACGCTCGCCAAACTGCGTGGCCCAATCCTCGAATTCCTTTAAGCCTTGCTTGCTAACAGATGGCCTGATGGTCTGGAGGCTGGCTACAAAGTCCTTGTACTGTATAGGTCGAATCTGTTCCATGGTCATGGACAGGAGTTTCTCACCCAGCGAACGTAGGGGCCCCATGGCGGCATCCTTGGCCAGCGCTGTGATATCAGAACCAGAAAAGCCTGGATAGCTGTCAGTGGCTTTCATTACCAGCCAACATGCCTCCAAAGGAAATGTGAGCAACTGTTTCCGTACTTACCTTCAGTGAGCTTGACCAGTCTGTCCATATCTCGCTCACTCAGCTCGTGCTTCTGATGGCTCAGCAGCGTCTTGACCTGTTGCTTTCTCACCCAGTCCTCGGGCAATGGTATATACTGTCTCCTCACGAAGCGCCGCCTTGCAGCCTCATCAATCGCCCAAGGCAAGTTGGTCGCTGCAAGGACAAGCACCCGGGTCGCATCGCCCTTCTCTCTGTCCTTGTCGCTCAAATCCCGACCAGCTGCTGCTTTCTGCAAATCAGACCATTGTATGAGGAATTCAGTCTTGATCCGACGTGTCGCTTCGTGTTCCCCTCCACTCCGTGAGGAAAGAAGAGAGTCGATCTCGTCCACAAAAATGATGGAAGGTGCTAGCATCTTTGCTAGCTGGAACAGAGCGCGAACCAGCTTCTCCGACTCGCCCAGGAATTTCGAAGTCAGGCTACTGGCCGATATTGCAAAGAAGGTCGACTTTGATTCCGTAGCCACCGCTCGTGCCAGCATTGTTTTGCCCGTCCCAGGGGGCCCAAACAGAAGCATGCCGCGTGCCGGTTCTCGAAGTCCCATGAAAAGATCTGGTCGGAGGAAAGGGTAGACGACCGTCTCTTTCAAGGCCGATTTGGCAATCTCAAGCCCAGCCACATCGCCCCAATGTACCTCATCTCCTTGAATGACAATCTCGTTTAGAATCTGCTGTGCTGCCTGCTTATCCACACCACGTGGAAGATTCTTCATGATTTCACTCGTCCGCCTCTTCCAATCGTCTGATTCCTCGGGTTCCTCTTCCCCTGAATCATCATCTGTAGCTGGTATCGCCGGTAGTTCTGCGCGCACCGAATTTCCTCGAGCCCTGCCCTTTCTTGTTACAGTCGTGCGGGCCTTGGTAAACTCCTCTTCATCGGTAGTCTCCCATGATAGCGGCTCAGGCAGGTCTTTCCGTACTTCATTCCGTACTTGCGAGTTGGCATTTGAGCACTTTGGCAGCAATTTACGCGTGCTCGGATCCCAAGTCATTCTACTACCCCTCTCATTCGCGTTGTCGCTATATGAGCGGGCAGCTGCAGATGCCGCAAGAGAGCGCGGGTCAGGCTGCGGCGTTGGATACTCCTTTCTATAAGACGGAAAGGAAGAATTGCTTCCCTGGGCGTAGAGGTAACGGCTCAAATCGACAGACTTGCGTGGAATTGGTGGCGCTGGCTTCTCTGGAACCAAGGTTCGAGGTATTTCTACATCGTTTCCGTCTTGCGGGGGTGGAACCGCATAGGCAGTGGGCATTGTGCTATCGCCGGTCCGGAAATAGAATGGTGCCTGAGCTTGTGGGTGTTGCGGCTCCATGTAGGAAGAGGAGGATGTCTGCCTTTCCGACGCAGGCTTCTCCAACGACGACCGGGCTGACGGAGTTAGCGTTGAAGAGGACGGGGTGGGTGCACCCAAACTCGGTCGACTAGAATTCGAAGTAGCCTTGACACTCCATGCCTGTGTAGCCGCTTTGGAGGCATCTGGGCGCGCTCTCAGGGAGCTGGGTAGTTTGGAAGACGAGGGCTTGCTCTCTCTGCCTGGTCTCAGTGTGCGTAACATGCCGCCCTTCTTCTTTTCAGGCGATGGCGTGCGTGACTTTTTATTTGCTGACGTCGTCGGGGCCAGTGTAGGCGCACTCTTAGTCTGCGTCAGGCTGTTCTCGCGTACGGAAGCCGTGGCCGAGCTTTTGCGAGGGGCCATTCCAGGACGATAGGGTAGTGGCGGTGGTTTGGAAAGATCGCCATATTCTATGGGCGGGACTGAGCCAGCTCCGAGCCAGCTGTTGCCGACGGCCTCTGTGTTTTGCGAGTATGTTGGACCAGCGGCGTGGGGTGGCGGAGTAGGCGCATTCGCATCGGTCGACAGCGAGGCCAGGCTTTCCTTGGACTCTGCGCGACTCTTCTTCAATGCTTCGAGCAGATCGACGCGCTCCTTGCATTGTAGCTCGAGCTGGCGGAGGGACTCTAGCAGAGCACGTTCCGTTTCCGAGGCGGGGCGATAGGTGGAGGGGTTGCGGCGGGCATTGTGGTAGTAGATGTGGTCGAGCGCCGTCTTCCACGACCGGAGGGCTTCCTTCTCGTTGTTCTGCCGTGTTGCTGGTGTTAGTGATGATCAGACCATGGCAGACCACCGGCGAGAGGTGGGCTGGGAATGTATCACAAACCTGTCCCTCAAAGTACACAGCCGTCGAGCAGGCAAGAAAGGCCTCATCATACGCCTTCTGCGTCGTGTTGGCTCGCATCGCAAATAGCATCAACAGCTCCAGAGCATCTAGTCTGACGCCGACGCACGCAACAATGGGGAGAAATTATAGCCAAGAGAGAGGCTGTGCTTGCATGTAGAGTAAGTAGCTAACGTGTATATGTGTATATGTGTGTGTGTGTGTGTGTGTGTGTGTGTGTGTGTGTGTGTATGTGTGTGTGCATGTGTTTGGCGATCGCTCTGTCTGTCGCATGCGCCGGTCTTGGTTCGCGCTTCTGTGTGACGTAGGGTAGCCATGGCCCATCCATAGCCCAATACCTCCCATACACACCTACTGTAGTGCGAACGCTGCGGCTGGCGACAGAGCCAGCTACGACCAGAGGCGACGCGTACTATGCCAAAAGCCGCCAATGCTCAGCCACGGTAGAGGACATACACTGAACTGACAAGCTTCAGCCCGAGTGTCATGATGGGCACAGTTCGCTTACCATGGGGGCCTCGTAGCAGAATCAACAACAATCCCGTCCAGAACATAGCTTCATCGGGCGTCGTCGTCACGTGTGCGCTTGCTTGGCAGACTGAAGCTTAGATAAGCAACAGAGCCCACGTCGCCCAGAGAGGCTTGCTTGCTGCACGTTGGATGATCGGACCGTTATCGATTACGCACCTTTTACCTTTCTGCGCTGTCGCTGTCGCTGTCGCTGTCGTTGTCGTAACGACCTACATCCGTCCCACACACCGTCTGCTGTGCTGTGTCCACGAAGAGCCTATACACACGTCCGCGAGACCGCCCCGACGCTGGAATATCTCAAAATCGTACAAAGCATATCTCTGCGCCGGCCGTAAGAGAAAGAGAAAAAGCAAAGGAAAGAAAAAAAAGAAGAAGATCGTTACGCTCAAGGAGGCGCCTACTGTTTTTCCCGTACGCCCGCCACATGGTCTGTCTTTCTCAAATGGGCAAAAGCTTGCAAAACAAAGCCGCTCTGTCTATACATACACTGCCACCCCAGATCCGCAACACCCGGATGTTGTTTTTTTCTCTTCCCTTCCTGTTCCGTGTGGCACAATGGCTGAAGCTTGATCTTGGGTCCCTAGAAATGCTGTGGATCCTTCTTCTTCCTTTGTGGGACCATGCATACGTCGTTTGTTGGACTGTGTGCACATATTCCGTGTTGATAGAATTCGAAATTGGCAAACAGCGCATGTGTGTGGTGTGCATGTGTTAGGGTTCCTATATGGCAGTGGCAGCATTGGTGCTGCGTCGAATAAAGAATGCCTTGGCCATCTCGTATGCCGACCTAAAATACCACGTGAGACTGGGCAGCCTACCGATGCAAAGTCGAATACTACTCACCAGCAAATCGCCGTACTAGGCATCGTCGTAATAATTCGGGGTTTCAAGCCACGAAAATAGCCCCTCCAACCTTCTCTTTGGTGTATAATCTTGGCTGCCTGCATGAGACCTGACACGCTCCTGAGCTCGGCATCCGTCGCATTTCCTCTGGTTTGTAAAAGCGTTTTGATGACATCTAGGGGTGTCGTAAGCCCGGCTGCAAATCCGCCTGCAATTCCACCGGCAAAACAGTGTGTGTACGGGTCATATCGGCCCGTAGGATTCATGACTTTGGACATGGACTCGTATGCCATAAATTGGAGCGCTGTGAAGGGTACGGTCATGCATAGTGTGGTGGGGTAGGAGACGTAAAAGGCGCCAATGCCTTCGGTGCGGAAGACGTGCTGAGCGCATTGAGGGACCGACTTGTAAATGGAGCCATGCAACTGCATGCGCTGCTTGATGACTGGGGGAGAAGATCAGATCAATTATGCACTTCGTCAAAGGAGGGGGTGCAACGTACCGTCAAAGGGGTTCATGAGCGCGTCACTGGAAATTGTCGCCGCTGCGCCACTGGCAGCTTGAATGCACGTTAGCCCATGTCCGCTTACATCGCATCGACTGGAGGTAGCGCACCTGCTGCAAAAGGATGGTGCTCCTCGCTTCCACCCTCATTGCCTCCAAGGGCATGTTTTGTGGCTTCATAGGATGCGAAATAGACCGCATGCGCCGGTCCTGAGGCCACTGTCAGTTCTCATTTGCGGGGTAATGGCCCCAGAGCAAACCTGCCTGCGCCCATGACCACACTAGATAATCCCCTCCATAATGACCAGAAGCCTTCGGCGCGGGATATGGTGACCATGGCATTGGAGATGCCACTGTACATGGCGCTCGGCGAGGGGTTGACGATTTGCATACGCGTCTATAGGAGTCAGCGCACGGCACCATGGGCCATCCGGCAGAGACAACAGAGTGGCACACCTTGAGTAGATCCACGGGATACATCACCGAGTGTTCCTATCATGGGCGGTCAGTTGTGCTTGGACAGTCCACAGCGGCGAATTCGGAGTCGTACGGCGATGCCTGCGAACGCTCCCGCGAGCATGTTCGCAGAGAGGGAAAAGTTGGGCGGCAGTGCTTCATAGCTGTGCGCAGGTCAGCGACGGACAGACGGCAGTCGTGGTCGTGCAATGGAACCCTACTCGTGTTCTTCTTCGATGGGAACTGCTGGCCCATCGCGGGTGGTGGCCATAAGTCGGCCGGCAACGGGCGCCGCAGAGTCCAGGGTTGCGATGGCGGGGAGACAATGTTTCAAAGGGAGAATGGCAAGCTCCAAGGCGTGGCGCAATCGGGCAGACGCTCGTGATGGGCGGACAATGATCACAGGTGGAAGTTTGGGGTTTTCCCTTTTGTTAGAAAAGCACCTGGGCTAGGCGCGAGCTGCTTAGGGACCTCCCGTCCAGCCTCTACCGACGCCGCCGCCGAGGCGGAATGATAGGTAGCGTAGTCCCGCACAGCCGCTCAACCTCTCCTCGCAGCAGTCTATATGGTTGCAGCTGCGATGCCGGAGAGACAGAGGGCCCATCAGACTGTGAATCTACACCTGCAAGCGCACAGTGGAATGTCTGCCTGCTACCCTTCGACGTCTTCCCAATCACCAGCTGAAGCCTCAACATCCTACTTTCGCACGTCTGCCAGCCTGCACAAAACAAAACCCCCCTGCTTGAACATTTCGCGCCTATATTTTCTCGTGTGGGACTGCGCGCTCACATCATACATCATCGATACGACAGTTGGCTCCCGAGTCCCTGATGGCGCTGTTGGGGTGGTGAGGGGTGATTTGTTCCTCGGATTTGACATATCTAATCTGATCATCTCCGCCCGCACCCACCACTTTCACCGAGCCAACCACACTGGCGTCTGAGTCAGTGCATATGGATGATAACGGGATGACTGAATACTCTGCAATAAGGCGCGACAGGCCTTGGTTGCTGCTGCAGTCATTTGGCCGCAAGACGGACGTCGCCATAAACATGCGTGTCGCGCATCGGATGGCCGCCTCCTCCTTATGCCTCGAACTCGTACAGGTCCCACGGACGCGCGCTTCTGGTGCCCTCCACAAGGGCTCCAATGCCCGGAAGCGTAGTAGAGAGGGCACGTTACGTTGCAGTGACAAGCACTGTTTCGAATCATCTCCATAGTCTTGCTCACTGCATGCCGTACTTCAGCAGTCGCATCGCTTGTGCCATCGTGGGAAGCTAACTACGTCCCTAATGTTGGAGACACCAGATAGGTAGCACAGAAGCCGATCGAATCCAAGGCCGAAACCACCATGCGGGACGCTGCCGTACCGTCTCAGATCAACGTACCACTGTAGGGCGTCTTCTGTTGCCGCTTCATCACCATCTGCTGCTCCTTCCGCTCCTTGAAGTCCATGTTCCTTCATAGCTTGCAGCAGCTCGTGAAGACGATGCTCACGCATCGAACCTCCAACAAGCTCGCAAATCTCCGGCACCAGAAGATCAAAGCAGGCCACCGTGGTGGCAGCTTGTGCTTCTGTCTGCATGCTAGTTGATGGCGCCATATAGAATGGCTTGATGTTGCGTGGATAATCCGTCACAAAGACGGGCCCGCCCAGTCCTACGCTTTCAGCCAAGTAGCGTTCGTGTTCTGTCTGGAGTCCGTCTGCATGACCAGGTGCAAACTCAAACGATACCTTGCCTTGAGCCACTGCATCCTTGAGATGCTGCACTGCGTTGCCGTAGGTGATCCGGGGCCAAGGCCCAGCTACCAGTCCTTGCCACCGTTGTACAAGTGTGTCTGGTGACACGCCTCCGTCTTCTTGCTCATGTGCTTGTGCTCGCGCTTCGAGTAGTTCGTGACCTACAGTAGAAGATTTAACTTCTGATGTGACAGAACGTAACATGTCTTCCACAACGTCCATGATTTGATTGACATCGTCCACGAAAGCCAACTCAGCCTCCAACATATAAAACTCGCTAAGGTGACGGGCAGTATCACTTTTCTCTGCGCGGAACGCTGGCGAGAGCGTCCATACCTTATTCACAGACTGTGCCAAGGCCTCTAGGTGGAGCTGGCCAGAGACAGTGAGATATTTTGGTGAGCCAAAGAACAAGTCTTCTCTCTGCTTCATCTGGTTCGTGGACGTTGCCTCGGGAGTCGCTGGTGACGGGACTTCAGGTGCTACAGTGAATACCTCTCCTGCGCCCTCACAATCAGACGAGGTAATGATAGGCGTGTGGCATTGAACAAAGTCATGCTTAGCGAAATAGCTGGTCACGTGTGCGGTGACGAGGGACCTCAGCCGTAAAATCAATGAGTTGAACGGCAATCGACTGCGTAGGTGTGGAAGGGTGCGAAGAAACTCAGCCGTTTGGTATTTCTTTTGCATTGGGTAGGCCTAGATGGGGAAAGAAAGTCGAATCAGGACTCTGCCTGTGTCGATTTCGAGGGTATTGATGTAGTTCATTCAACTTACCGCAGCATCATTCTCTCCCAACAGCCGTACATGGTCCACCTGGAGTTCATGAGACTGTCCTTTGCCCAAGGATGGAGCCCATGTGCCAGTGACCGCAACGGCAGCACCATTGGAAAGTCTATCCAATTAGACTGTCAGCAAGAGCCCGGCTTACACTAATCCTAAGGTGCTTTCACGAACCCTTCGGCGAGTTGAGGTGGCAAAACAGCCTGCACTGTCTGCAAGGTCGAGCCATCCCCTATGACGGCAAAAGCGATTCGTTTCTGCTTTCGGACAGACCGGACAAATCCATTGATTGTCAGCGGTTGGCCGTCTGAGGGAGCATTCTGCGGAGATGTGGAGAGTGGGGCCGGTTTTAGCAGAGCAGCTATGTTAGTAGGGGAGAAGGTTGAGCTGCAGCGTGGACGACGTAAAGACAATGCCTTTGCGTAAGGAGTTGCAGGTAAGCTCCGAGGGGACAGCGATTGGGGGCGGAGAGCACTCCGACGAATTGGCAGCAGCCAGTTCATGGACGCGGAGAGCAGATTGAGTCTGGCAGCCACTGAAATGCGGATGGCGGAGCTTGAGGCAGCACAGCATCGATGTCGTCGACGAGGCTTCAAAAGGGAAATCTGAAGCTCGGACCACACGCGCTAGAATCTGAACGTCTCGTCTCGTTAATCGTTAATCGAGCATCGTTACACATAACCCTACTGAAACACTAAAGTCCTCTGGGCACAAGATGATAGAAGAGGTGGAAAGGTTTGCGGCGTATGAGGAGTACGGTATTGCCTTGACGGCTGGTGGGCAAGGAAAACTCGCCTTGATGTACGGTAGGTAGGCACCGTACCGGTCGGACGCCAAATTCCCGTTGGCAGACCAGCCCCCCCTTTGCCAGGATCAGAAAAAAAAGCACCATTTATCACAAACACTACAGCGTACGGGTCACAACAGCCGTTGTAAGCTCGATACTCATCGTGCACAGAAAGGCTGGCGAGGCAAGGGCCCGTTATTGCAGTACCCTCGGCGGATTTGCTCGCTACCTGGGCGTTGTCCAGTGTAACGTGGTCGGCGGTGAAGTGTCAAAGTGTCGCTGAGTGGTACAGCCCATCCATCCGATCTCAACCCAGTGAATTTACCCTGCATGCGGATCGTAGTGCCGACACTACAGCTGCAGCGCTATCTTGTGCAGGATCTGGCTTAAGCAGCTGTCATCTTCGGATAGCATACATGAAGCACCGCCAGATCCTTCTAAGCTGCTTTGACCGATATGCAGATCGTTTCAGGCCCGAAGGATCGATCCAGCCCATAGCATCCCTGCCCTATACAGTCCCCAAGATCCCGACACACGCGGTTTTGGCTCTATGTGCCTGGCAACAATGGTTTGACAATCGCCTTGAAGGTCCAGGAAACGGTCCACAATCACAGGGCGCTGTACCTTCCGGGTTTCTCAAGCCCTGTGCCTACCCTAAATTGCTGATGGTCACGACTCAGGTCATGTCAACTGCGGACGCTACAGACCGGCGCAAACCCCAGCCGCGTCCATGTCAAAACCCTGTATGGACCCGGACAGGCTTGATTCACGCTGAGTACTACTACATGTGTGTTGGCGCATTCTGAATGCACCAAACTAGTCTCCGGCTCGATCTGGGTCTATTACTTAGTTGCCTTATCACACACACACACACACACCGTGAACACCTGGGCAGATGATATACATACTGCTCTTTCGCCGGCTGGGGTCCCCAGATCACAAACGTCGCGACCTGCTTGCCCACCTTTTCCCACACTGCTTCTGTCCCATACTGCTCCATGTACCCATTACCGTCCTCTCGCACTTGACAAGACTTGTTCAGCCTTCTTTCCTTTATAACACATCACTGCCATGCCTCCATCAAGACCAAAGCCCTCTGAGATAGCTGCCGAGGCCAAAAGAGTATGGATGCCTCACATCTGGAAAAACTATATTCGAGACTCCAAGACTTCCTATCTCTACCCAGATGCATCAAAAATAAGAGTCAATATCGACAAGCGGTCCTCACAACGGACGAGAGTAGCGGTTATGGAGGGTGACCCGGTCAACTACGCCTTGGGCTGGTACCAGAGCGCAGTGAACGCAGAGCCCAACTGTAAACGAATACCGGTAGTCAACGTGGCCAACGAGAAGCGTGCTGGAGGTGACTGGGAGTCTGGCCTGATGGCTCCAGAAGAGTGTTTTGCACGGCGAAGCAATCTCGTCCATGCTCTCACCATGCCCTGGAACGCACAACTTGGGAAAGAAGAAAACTTTTACCCAATACCACAATGTGGTGGCATATACTCCCCTGACGTTTGTATGAAGAGCCGATTCTATACTTTCAACATCATTTGCTAACGAAGCCACAGACGTCTTCCGCGGAGGCCCAGATCAAGACTATGCCACTTTCAACGAAATTGCATCGCTACCTGTCATCTCCGTGGCACCAGTAAGGAGGCCAAAACTCGACGAGAGTGGCACGAAATACTCATTTGCCCAGGAGAAAGAGCTGATGAAGGAAAAGATGCGGACTGTCCTCCGAATCGCTTCTTACTGTGGCCACAGAAACGTCGTCCTGGGCGCGTTTGGCCTAGGCCCCATCTTCCGCAACCCTCCCGCAGAAGTCGCGCGTATGTGGAGGAGACTCTTGTTCGAAGAGGAGGAATTTCACGGTGCCTTTCAAGACATTGTGTTTGCGATAGACAGCAGCATGGTGGGTGCGCCATCCAAAGGGTCTCTTTCAGACGTGGAGATCTTTAGACAAGAGTTTGACCCCGCAACCATATGGCCGACCAAATGGTGACTTTTGCGGCAGAATACAGTTTGTTTTTTCTTCTTCTCTCACGGCCATGTGTTGCGGTGTGAGATTTGAGAATGATACACAAGGAAGCTGAAACACGAATGCAGTCCTCGTTCGGATTGGAGCCAAACAGAGGGGAGGGGTAAGAGTTAAAGGACTTGGTGTGACGTCATTGAATGGTGTGGGGGGGCAGATAACCGAGAATCGTTAGGGCCCGATCTGGCGTCCCGAAAAGTTTATTCACTTTGGGAGGCTAGATCACAAATGAATATCAACCGTGGACAGCCAATCAGATATCTATCCAAGAGACAGCAAGTCTTCTTTTTTTTCTTCGACCTCAGCTATCCTACCTGAATCACATGAATGTATGACGCTGCTGGCAAGTTTCATGGCCGAAACTCTAAAATGTGTCTGTCCAGGCACCTGGAAGTATGCAGGCATGTACTCTATTCCGTTGCTAGTACCAGCATACCAAGTAAGACAGCTGATGCAAGGGCAAGCGGGGTCCGGCAAATCCATGGCGGTATGCTGGCTTGGCCTCTTCCTCGCAACGTGCAGCAGCGATCGCAAGGTGCATTCGCATGCAGATTAAGCCATACAACAGTCCTCTCAGATCGGTTTGGGGTTGCAGACACGCACGCCGTCAAGGATCTGCGCGCATTGCCAAAAGTCGCCAAAGGCAGGCCTACGGCAAAAGAGATTTGCAAGAAAAGACAAAGATTTGCCGGCATGGCGTTGCCCAGCTGACTCTCGCTTGACTTTCCTGCAGAAAGATGGCTTACATTGCATGTGTGCCAGACTAGTACCGGCACTCTAAGCTCTCTCGCAAGACTGGCTTGTGGCGTTCGCGAGCGGGTGCTGTCCGCGTATCCGCGATTCGCTACCCATTCAGCTTGACGTGAAAAGCAAGGAGTTGGCATAGTATGTAGGTTGGGGAATTTGGTACAGCCAATGATGAGAGGCTGTGGAAAGATGATATAGACCAACTTGGCCAATGTCCAACTTGTGTAATCATGACCTGCCCGGAAGACGTTTCCGCCTTCGTCTTCGCGTTTCCTGCTGTTGGCGTGGGCCGAGTCGACAGGTCAGCGTCTGCCGAACAGGCAACATCGCATACCGAGAAGTTGGCGTCGCACACAAAACAGGCCATATGTACGATAGTTTGGCATGATTCGTATTCCTACACTCACGCTCACCAGCTGACTCTTATCATTACAGTCGCCTCCATCATGTCGAGGACAATATAATTATACATAGTGTACAACATCGTAAACAGTATAACGCGCAGAGCCTGCATAGCTCACTTGGATCCAGGCAGAGGTAACTGTGGCGCGGTGATCTCGCCTCCTTGTTGCTCAATCTTTTTTATCGTCTGTTCTCTTTGGTAGTTGACCACTCTTTGCTTCTTGAAGTACTCAACCTGTGAGCTGTTAGTTCAGCCTTACTTGCTATAATACTACTGTGCCACCCGACCATGTTGGGCACTCTGACACAAAAGTCATCCAGAGCATGCAGTTGCTATATGCTGCAGTCCTATGGGGTGCTGAAAGCCCGGTATCACATCCAGTGTTCCACTTACCCAACTGTGCGCACAATTCTTCTCGAATTCCTTGTCCAATTTTCCGCAGAAAGTCGCAGCCTTTTCTCTCCCACTCTTTGTATTGATACTATCCAGCACGTTGTTCTTGTCGAGGCACTCGAAGAAGGCATCGCGTGCTGCATAGCATTGCTTTCGATTTGATCTTGACGGAGATTCGAATGCGCCACCTGATGTCTTCTTCACCCCAGAATCATCCGATGCTCGCGAGAACCAGCCCATGGTTGCGTTATGCGGTCGTATGCGGTCGGTATATGTAATGAGCGGTAGTATGGGAGGCGAAATGGGAAACTGTCGCAGCCGTCAGCACCGAACAGCGATAGACGCAGTCCCGATATAACCAAACGGAGTCCTGCATACCTGCGTATGGCTATGTACAGCTGGATCCTGGGACGGTCGGTAATCTCACAAGAATGTTGATGTGAGGATGGTTAGAGCACTGAATTCATCATATTGCTTGGCAAAGGCAGTTAGCGGAGATTACGTTTCGCCGAAGCGTCACGAAATCCAGGGACGCGAGCAGGCAGCCTTTCACCACACCACCGAACGTCCTGCACAGTTTCTTCTCATATGTTCACTTCATAGCGCATTGCGCGCAACTTGATGCCACGTCGACGCCGCCCTCCTCGACCTGGCGCCCTTGCTGACCTTTCTCCAACCCGGATCCTCACTCAGATCGTCCTCCTCCAACTGGCATACTATGCATGCGCCGCAATACTCATTATCTTCACTGCGCTGGTAGCAGGCAAGGAGGTCAGCATTGACCTCCTATTTAGTTGGCGCACGTTACGCGGCGACACTACGGTTGGTTGGACACTGGGGCTGGTTTGGGTGTTGAACAGCCTCACTTGGTGAGCATCATGATGACAGATCTCGTAACAACGTGCACGATTAACGCGAAGCAGTGCCATATTTATCTTGTTTCTTATTGCGCGTTCAAAACTAGTACTTGACTTCGCTCTGACCGTACACTTCATCCACCTCGTCGTTACATCCTTCTATTCGCATGCGATACCTGCCAACTTATTTTGGTGGGCGCTGCAAATGTGCAGCGCAACCATCATGACCTCCCTCGGCGTATGGGCTTGCCAGCGGCGCGAGCTGAGGCCCATTGAATTCGGTAGCAAGACACCAGCTACTACACTACCACCTGCGGATGAAGAAGCCGAGGAGTCTAGGGGTAGAGGGAGAGGCAGAGGACGGGATGGAGCAGGGGATTACGAGTTAGTGGGCATGAACGACGGTGGTAGTAATACCTGATCATCCTTTCTTATTTGCATACACCGGCGTTGCAGCTCTCACAGGCAACGCCTTTCGCAGTTCGTGGTAATATACCCTTTTTTTCTTGACAACGTATTCACTTGAAGGGCATGCGATCAACACAGTAACACTTGTTCGATATTACTATTACCAGCACTGGTAAGCGCTCACGCCGATGCCTCTCAAGAACCACTTCGAGTCACTCCTCTCAAACTCGACTATACCGTCACCGAGTGAAACACCCTCCCAAGATTTCCTTCCCATTGCGAGTTCGACTGCTTCTCTATTGTTCGCCGTCATTTTTGGCTCTAAATAGCACACGATTTTCTCGAGTCTTTCCAACGGCATCGCTTGTCCCAGATTGTTGGCGGCTGTCAACACCCTCAATGTCTTTGGGTGCACAGGTAGGTTTCTGCCTGGGCAGATGGTCAATACGGATGTTCGCTTTGACTTCAGAAGTGCATGCATACCTGATGGGATGCGGGTTCCCCACGGGATTTCAATTGCTTTTTCCACATCGCTCCCAGTTTCCTTGTACCCCAATAGGACGGTTCCTCTAGCCGAGTCTTTGTTCACTCGGGAACTTTGTTTGGACGGGTGAAGCGGTTGTTGTTGTCCATGGTTATATGGAAGCTCGAGTGCCGAGATGGTCCGGCATAAGAACAGACAACTTACGAGGCAATAGAAAAGCATCGTGGTGGTTGTGTATGGGATTGAAGGTGTTGACATGCGTGAGGGCGGTTGATTTTAATAAACGTCGGAGTGCCTCCGGGGAATGAATGTTTGTGTCTGCGTGACAGAAGTGTCGTGACGACTATGTACTATATGAATTATATATCCTTGCTGCGCGCATCGGGCTATGCCTTGTATGACGCGTAGCACTCACTTACCATGAACTTTGAAACCATAGCCAAGTCTTGGTAGAACTACTCGTTCCGGAATCGATGCCGGTAGTTTTCACAGCGCTACCGGTACCGGTACATGGCGCACGGCCTGCTCAGGCGGACTATCGGGATTCTGGATGAATAATGCAATACGCCATCTTGGTGAAGTATGGCGCGTCATTTCAGCATCGGCTATCTTTCCTATGATACAAACCTACATCAGTCAAAGAGGTTCAAAACTTCGGGAGCCGCCGTTTATGAAGGGGTGGTGTCGTTCATTTTAAAGATAACTTGGGAAGTTGCCGGCGCTCAAAGTTCGCCTAGTCATGTTAGCGCTTACACGTGACGCAGGAACTTCCGACCACTCACAATCCCTGATATCGGATGCCTACTCTCTCAGTTTACCACCACCACACTGGCCATTCAAAAGATGGCCACCAAACGTAACACAAAGTGACAGGTGAAGGTGCGAAAACCTGCACTCAACCAGAATGGATCCTAATAATGAATACTACAATCGGTGGCTTGCCGGCCAGCAATCAAGCAATAGGCGCTTCTTGCCCGTCGCTGGGACATTTACAGATGGCCAGCCAAATTCGGCTAGACCACCGCCGTTCAGCAACAGACATGTATATCCAGGACACCTTCCGCATAGCCAGCAGTTTGTTCAGCCCAGCCAATTGTTCCAGCAGCCTCAACCGCGTCCAAGTCATATTCCCCAACCGCCATTGATTCCTCTCAGCGCGGTGGAGGAGCTACAATCGCCCAACAATCCCCTCACTACAGGTGGCTTCCAAGATCCTTTCAATCGTGCATATGCAACAGAGGGCCCCGCAGTCTTTGAAGGTTTCATCCCAGCACCTGGGCACGAGGATGACGAGGAATACACTAATCTTACCAATGGCGAGCGGGACCAACTCCGTTCAGACCGAGGTTTTGAGAGCTCAGACGAAGAGGATGAGATGGACCGTATGCTTCGCGAGGCCGAGGAGGAGGAAGAGCTCCGCAGAATCGAAGAAAGAGACGATTCAGAAGTCGACGCTGACTATTCATCCGAGGATGCACAGCATGATGAAGGCGACCCAGAGGAAATGGAACTTCTTGAAGAATTCGAAGACGAAGAAGAACGCGTCACGTACAAGAAGAACAAAACTGCAAACCGAGGCATGTCAAGTACCAGAGGCCAGACAAGCACTAGGGGAACCTCCAGCGCCCTAGGCATACGTGGCCGCAAACGAGGGAGGCCCCCAGGTCGAGGTAGAGGCGGATATCATGGCTCTGCTTCGACTCGTGGAAGAAGAAGCGGGAAACGTGGCAGGCCGTCAGGCCCACGAGGACCTCGCCGTGTGGCTGACCCTGGTCAGGAGTTCAAAGAACTACAGAAGCAGGCAAACGAGAGATTCATTGCAAAGGACTACGAAGCGGCACTAGGCTACGCACAGAAAGCAATCCAGCTCAACCCGGAAATCTTTGACGCCTACAATATTGCTTCGGAGATATATGCCGCCATGGGTGAAGAGGAGAGTTCTATTGCAGCCTTGATTGCCGGCGCACCAACCAAGCGTGATGCTGGGTTATGGCAGTTCATTATCGAACGGATTAACAAACTAGATCCTGAACATTATCCTGGCTACAGTGAAACGGCCAAGAGTACGGCAATCCTGGCATGCCTGAACCAAATCATCCTTCTAAATGACAACTATGAAGCACGCAGTCATAAGCTTGAAATTGAAGCACAATTGGGACATGCATCCCGATGCATGGTGCTTGGTCTCAAGATGCTGAAAACGCGGAAAGAGCAGGGTGAAGATCCTGATGTAGAAGTTTTGAAGATCATGGCCATGATGGGCACGTCGTCTCCTCGACAAACGAGAATGCATCTCCACAAGCTCATAACAAGTTTCGAGGAGGCCATCAAGATCTTCACTGATGTCAGCCGGGATGTAGAAGATAACGAACTAGACTGGGAAATGATCAATATTTACCTGGACCTCCTAGACAGAAAAGGTGATTGTAGCAAAGGTATAGAACAACTGAGGAAACTAGCCCGATGGAAACAGGGAAGGCGGGAAGAAACGTACTGGGACGATCAAAAGGACGACCGCGAGTTTGACGTCGAAGATGAACCACGACGAGTTGCTGTACCCCAGTTCCAGCGCAAGTCGCAGGATGCCAAATATGGCCAGACGCTACCGCTTGAGATTAGGACCAAACTGGGTATATTTCGATTGCGTCACAGTCCTGATGACTTTGCAGAGGCTATGGTACGTCTATCGGGTTTGTACGTTTGGCAGCCTACTGACACGTTTAGCGCCATTTGGAAATGCTTGAACCTGACCAGCATGGTCCAGAAGCTCTAGTATGGGACTACGAAGATCTCTTTCGTATCATCGCGGATGCCCTGCATGCGACGGGTCACGATAACAATGCTCTGCGCTTCTACACTCCACTATACGCCAAAAAGTCGTCGGAACTTAGCTTGATGAGCTACATTGGCCTCCACACTTGCTTCAAGAACCAAGGGCAGGACGAAAAGGCAGCTGAGATCATTCCGATTTTACAAAAGTGGCCCGCTGAGACGTATGACGAACTTGCCGTTCTAGCCAAGTTTTTCGAGGACCAGGGGCTGTGGCAAGACGCCATGCAGCGTGCGGAAACTATCTATCGCGACAAGTATGGTCACAAGCTTAGGAGACTTGGCTTCAAAGCTTACGATGAGCTAAGAGTTTACTACTACAATCAGAGAAGACAGGCTCGGGGTCACTATGGGTCCAAGAAGAGGACAGTAAGAAGAAACCGTAAAATGATGAAGAAGGCTACAGCCCAAGAGGACGATGCAGACTCTGCACTTGAGGCTGGAGACAAGGAACGTCCGTCACTCGGCCCATTGACCGAACGTCCTAAGACAGGGCTCTTCCGAATCAAGAGGCCGAAGCCTCTCAAGACACAGACTTTTCTGCCTGTCGAAGCCATCACTGAACCAGACCCTGAGACAGAACCAAAACGTGCCACATTGGAGGGCACAGACGTTCCGTTACGTTCCATTGATCATAGGTTTTTTCGCAGGAAACTCGAAAGACTTGCTGCAGACTTCGCCGACGATCTCACTGCGGCTCGGAATCAGCACCGAGAGATTCTGTCTAGTTTTGAACGCCTCGAAAAACTGGCCGAAGCTGCAGAAGACGGTGATGAAGAGGCGGTGAATGAAAGCATATCCATCACTCGCGAGCTCATTGAAGAATTTTCGACCTTTGACCTCTTCTATTTCAACAGGAAGGAAGATTTCACAACCTACTTCCGCCGTGTTGGCAGCGGTGACATTTGGAAAGAGTCCGCTCTCATGGTCCTCGCCGTTGTAGCAAATAACGTCGAAGATGGCGAGACAGACCCAGAACTGAAAGAAAAGCCCGACACACCACCCCAAGAGTTCTGGGGTATCCACTTTGACCGCTGGTGTGATGCCTTTGGTCGCTACGCCCTCTTACTCGCACGTCAAGGCGACGACGAGCAATGCTTTGCCGCACTCGACATCGTCATCCAAGCCAACGTCTTCCACCGCTGCCAAAAATACCACCAACAACTCCAACTCACCCGTCTCGCCTGCGCGCTCGCCGCCGACCACTCCAAGCAAGCCTCGACAGCCGTCCGCTGGCTCCTCAAAGAACACCCCTTTGGCACCGACCTCCTCCGCCTCTACAGCGCCGCCAACCGCCTCTGCTCCTTCCCCGAAGGCTTCGCCACCGGCCCCGCCCACAAGGCCTTTATGCGCTACGTCAAAACCATGGACTACGCCAGTCTCACGCCCGAAGCACGCATCTGGTACAATTTCCGCAACACGGAGCAAAGCACAGGCGGCTTCCACAACGGCATCAACATTGAAGACGTCGACCACGTCCACGGCCTCGACCCCGTCCTCCTCGCCCTCTACGCCCACATCCTCATGTGCGGCGGCTCCTACATGGCCGCTCTAAACTACTACTTTCGCGCCTACGCCCTCTCCCCAGAGGATCCAATGATCCATCTCGCCATCGGCACCGCATACATCCAACACGCAATGAAACGACTCTCCGAAAACAGACAGTTTCAAATTCAACAAGGTCTCGCCTTTGTCTACCGCTACTACGAATTACGTACCCGTGACGACGTCGCCGTGCTGCGCCAGGAGGCAGAGTTCAACGTCGCCCGTGTCTGGCATGCGCTTGGGCTGGTGGCGTTGGCGCTGCCGGCGTATGAGCGCTGTGTGGAGTTGAGTGCGAGGGTGAGGGAGGAGGCGGGGACGGCGGGCGCGGGTGCGGAGGATTTTGCAAAGGAGGCGGCGTTTGCGATGCAGAGTATATATGCGATTGGGGGGGATGTGGAGGCGGCGAGGAAGATTACGGAGGAGGTTTTGGTTGTTGAGTGAGGGAGTGAATGGATGGATGGATGATTGAATGAATGAACGGGGAGAACTTTTTATTTATTTTACTTCTTTTGCAGTTTTATTTCTGCATGACTTGACTTGCGTGATGTAGCGCAAAGTAAAGTATAGCTAGCTAGCCAATTCCATAACGGTAATACCAGCCCCCCAAAACCCCCCCTACTTCCTAACCCCCCAAACCCCCCCACCAACCCCCACCACCCTCCCCCCCTCCTCTAACCCCCCCAACAACCCCTCGACCTCATCCTCACCAAACGGAAACCCCCCCTGCACCATCATCCGCATCATCAGCGCAATACGCTGCGTACTCAGATCCCCCTGATTAGTCAGCATCCCCAATATAAACGCCTCATACACATCCCTCTTCTCCGCGAGCAAATCGGCGTGCGACTTGACGGCAACAGTCGACTCTTGGGCCTGCATGGAAGCCAATTCCTGGGCGGCGGCGGCGGCGTCGTGGTCTGCGGAGCTGCGGGAAGAGGGGAGGCGTTCGCGGACGGTGTAGGTGTGGGGGGCGGATTCGACGAGGACGTTTTTGCCGATCCAGAAGGAGAGGGATTGGTGGAGGAGGGCGGGGTCCATGGAGAGCATGGATTGGAGTTGGGGGAGGGTGCGGGAGATGGGTTCGTTGTTGTTGTTGTGGTTGGGGGGTTTGGTGGTGCGCTTTTTGGATGTGGTTGTATGGGAAGGTGGTGGTGGTTGTGTTTGAGTTTCCGAGGGCAAGGGCTGAAAGGCGTGGATGAGGCTGACTTGCCAAGGTGTGAGGTTGTTGAAATCCTCAGTGCGGTCTTCAAAGGAGAGGGTGATGGAGGCGTCGCCGAGCGCGTTCATCCAGCGGAGCTTACGCATGCCCTTGATCTGTTCGAATCGGGCTTCGTATTCCTTCTGGAGGCTTTCGATTTCTGCCGGGACGCGGAATGTGTCGTCGCGCAGCAGAGGCCAGAAGAAGGAGGACAGGATTTGGGCATTGAGGGTTGGGCCGGCGGATGGTTGGGCGGGTGGTGTGGTAGGGTGAAGTTGGGCTGTTGATCTCGTGGGACGGCGTGGTGTACGGAGATGTCGATCAGGAGGCGTGTGTGGTTCTCTGTTGTGGTTTCCCGGTGTGACGGGGTCAGTGGAGGAGTCGAGGGTGGCGCGAATGGAAGTGTTGATGCGTTTCGAGTCGAGCACGTCACGCAGCATGACTTCACATGCTTGCAATTTGTCGTCGCCCAATCGCATCTTGATCAGCTCGAGCAGTCTGATCTCCTTTTCATATTCCGGATCTTGACATCGGAGAAGATGGTCTCCGTATATGTTCTTCAGCTCATTGACGAAATCGTCTCGATCCCATAGAGTCAAGAGAAACCAAATCACATCCTCCACCTTGGACTTTTTGTATTCGGGCGATGCATCCTGTGGCAAAGGTTGCCAGTTCATGTCTCCCCAATTCAATTCCTCGTCTGCCTCTTGCCCAAAGTTGGCAAATGGTTTCGCCATCTCGCTAGCAATCTCATACGATAGCTCACTGTTGGAAGAGAACTTGCTACCCGTTTCATCGTTGATGTCGGTAAGCAGACTGGAAATGATGATCCTAGCCGTGTCCTCTCGATCCTTGAGATAGCGCCGGACAGGTCTCGCAACCCTCTCGAGCAGCACTCCCTTGGGCTCCAACGTGTGGAACGAGCGAATAATGGAAATGTACACGTTGAGAATATACGTCGTTGTAGCGCCGGGATGCAGTAGCCGTCTCGATATTTGCTGCGAGAAGCTCGATGTGAGATGTTGCTTGGCACCAGCGACTCTAAGGTACTCTTTGATATCAAGGATAGCACCCAGACTGGCATCCCAGTTGATGACGAAATCAAAGAGGTTGTCAACCCTAGCCCGTCCGAGTCGGCCCAGGGCCATTTCTTGCCACGAAGAGACTTCGGTGGGCAGAATAGTACTCTGCTCACACCGTAGACACTCCAGCACCAGCTCCGCGAGCGGACAGAAGCCGTCTCGGATCCACATGTAAAGCTGCGGGACGACAGAGGTCTGCGAGTACCAGTCCACCTTCAGGTAGTGACTGGTGATGAAGGAGTCGAGTAGCTTGTTCATGGTATGCGCAAACGCTCGCTGTGCAATATCACCACCTAGACCGACCTTTTCCAGACCTCGCAAGAGCGTAGTCATCCGCTGCCGGACTTCCCGCGTGTCCTCGGGCGTCAGACTTGGTTGCACACCATCATGCCGCGTATAGATGCGAAACAGTCTGCATCCCGCATCATACAGAACATAACTCAGCGTCTTCGTGTACCGCTGCAACGGCAGACAATGTGCAAAGACCGCATGCGTGTCTCGCTGAAACTTCCCACTCGCAACATCCGCCGCATTCGATTCGTCGACCTGAGTAGGTCTACTGGTCCGGAGCGTCGTATTCTTCGCACCCTGCTGAAGGAACGGCAGCAAGTGTTCATTGAACAACTGCAAGTACAGATCCTGCGCCAATTGCAGTATCCGCTGCGTCTCTTCCAAAACATTCCACGCATGCTGAAGCTCTACTTCCTGCGCCCAAAGCTCTTCGAGATCTGGCCTGACGTTGCTTGCAAAGTGCAACCGACACTCATTCGTATACCAGTCCACTAAGCCCTCTTCCCTGCCGTCCTCGCTCCTGCCATCGCCGAGTAGCAGGTAGTTGAGCGCGTCTTCCGTTTCTCTCGTCCGATGTAGACCCGGTGGCATCGTGACACCCTTTGGCAGACTCAGGAATCGCGTTGCGCAACTCCATGCCATGCCCCGCCGGACCGCTCTATGCTGTCCATGTCCCTGTGCCTGCGCATCGGCGGCGCTCCTTGTAGCATACGGGCTGCCAAACGAGGCTCCAGGCGCAGTGTACCCGATATCTGGAGTGGCAATCGGCGTCGGCGTCGTGTGCGAGAGCGAGAGGACGGGGAAGACGGAGGCGAAGACTAGGGCCGAGTGGTCCATGACGGGGGTGCTGTAGGTAGAGCCCCCACTGCGTGCTTGTGTATTGGGAGGGTAATATTGGTGGGCTACGGTGTAGAGGCTAAGGCAAGGGTGGTGGAGGAGAAGGATGCATATCTGAGAGCTTCCAATGCCTTGGTTGATTCAGTCCACGGTCCACGATGTTGTTGCGCTCGTTCGTGTCCTGTCGTTGTTTGCAGTTACGTCAAGTCGCGCAGCACAGACTCTCCGGAACGCGAACTCACGTGTGGCACCAATTCACGCCAACTTCCCTTTACCAAGCGACCACGTTGGCTCTTGGGACAAGAATGCTGCATTGGAATGAAACGATAGGACGACAAAACATGGCAAAAATATAGATGCGAAGAGATTTTTTCTTATAATCAAACATCATCTGCCATAAACTGCACATAGCCTTGAACGCCATGTAAAAACCGACAAAGCCAATTCTAAAACTACATAATTAATTCGAAGTGATCAAAAATACGCCAGTTAAAAGTTTGCCCTAAACTCCCCATCCCAATCATCTGATGCCAGAAACGATAACAAGGAGGATATCATCCATAAAGCGCCGTCCAAGCGCCTCTTCATTTTCCCATTGCATACGCTATCGAATGCAGCAACACATTGATCTCTGGCGGCTGCAGCTGCATACAAGAATGCCAGTCCACTCTGATCTGTCATTTCCCCATCACTAGGGTCGTAGTACGCCGTGTCGACGTCTAAACGCTTCGACGCGTTCCTCGTAGAATAATATCTCCCGCACCCGGAGCTTGGGTCCCTTCTGGGAGTCGTGCATGAACGATTCATCGTCGCTTTCAGCCTCTGCCTCGTCGCTCGCTTCGCTTTCTGTTTCTTCGCCGGCGGCGGCAGCTACTCCATCGTCGATGTCGTCATCGTCTTCATCTTCCGTCGCCTCACTCTCGTCATCTGATAGCATGGGATCGTGTGCCACGTAGCCTGACCCGCCTCCGTCAGTGTGCATGCCGTCGTGTCGCAAATCGTAGTTGGATGGTCGGTTCTCTAGAATCTCAAAGCACTTGTTGGACAAACCCATGTAGCAGAGTTCGATTTCTGGCCGTAGATGTACAATGTCCAGGATCTGGTAGGCAAGTTCTCGTGGGTCGATATTACTGCCATGTGCGTGGTCGGCAATGTAGGGGATGTAGAGGGAGCGAATGTGTGGGATGAAGGGGAGACGTTGTAGGAAGTGATGCTATTACGTTCATTAGCCAGATTCGACTGTCACGGTCCATCAAAACTTACCCAATCCTTGTAATCAATCGACACCGCCAGTTCACGCAAGTTGTTCATTCGCCCGCTGGTGATGAAGGTCAATATTTCACGGTTCAGCATCCATCTCCGCCACCTTGAGCTTGTCGTATGCCCATCTGGCCCCTTCTCACCACTATCAATCATCAACTTCTTCAGACTGGCTCGATGTCTTCGCATTGGCCCTCTATATATCGCATCCACCGTTACCGTAGACGAGTAAGATCGGCCTTCTTGTAGGAAGAGGACTTCAAGGCTATTCGGTGCAAGCGTCTCCTTGAGAAAGGATATCAGAGAGGGCGATACTGTGTTCGTGTGTATTCGCTTTAGGTTGAGCTGGTACTCGGATCTTAGGGTATAGGAAGCTTTGAACGCCTTGGATGCGGAGGGTGACCCAGGGTACGCTGATCGCGGAGTATATGTCCTCCGAAGCACCTTCCATAATTGCTCATGATTACTGCAATGTAAAAGAGTCAGGGTCGATAGAATGGTCCAGTCGAATGCCCGACGGAGCACAGACACTGAAAGCGGAACGCGTTCCAGCTCCAGGACTTCCAGCTTGAGTTTGCCGGTAAGCAAAGGCTCTGCAGGATCGCGACCTTTGTCTTGAGCGTTTCTAGCTTCTGTCGAAGGAGGAGGCGAGACTGCCGGTTTCACCGCTGGTTTCTGTGTATTTCCGGACTGCGCAACGTGATCGCCATCATCCGTGTGATGCTCGCTGAAGAGACTGATACCTTCAGTCACAGACGATTCATCCATGGGATTTCCAAAGTGATCGACATCGGGTTCGGCGTCTCGATCGTGCAATGTAAGTGAGGCGATTGATGGCAAAATGGCAGCCGGGGCCTCCTTGACTGGCGCAGCCTCGGGATGCCGCTCTGCGCTGCTGGTCCCGGACTTCTGAGGCTGCGGTTCCTCGGAATGGCGCATATTGTGAATGCGTCCAACGAGAATACCCAACACTCCTCCCAGTCGTTTCTCGCCTATGGAGCAGGATGCGGTGGATATCGTACTGTAGTCGACCTGTTGCAGCCCGTCTCCCTCCCAGACCGTCACCCAGTCCCGTTGTTGTGCGTGAGGTGCTATGCCCACACGCAGCTCTCGTAGCTTTTTCTGCGATCTTGCAATCAAGATGCTCATTTCGTCCAGGTAGGGCAGCTCATCTATATCCAGCACACTCAGGCTCTTCAACGCTGGGATGGCGGAGAAGGTCGGATATTCGACGCGATCGAGTGTGGTCAAACTGCTTGGAGAATAGGATGGAGCGACTACCATGGGTGTTTGCACGGTGCCCAAACCGCTAGGAAGGGTGGTGTTTGGTGGTGGAGGGAGATTCTGATTGTTGAGAATCATGGGAGGCGCAGGCGGGGGAGGCGCATCGATGGTGTTGTCGTGCCAGCGAACCCAGAGGCGCTCCAGACGACATTCCTCTCCGTCGCTACGATGCGCCAGACTCGACAGTGCAAGCCAGACGTCGCGGAGTACGCCTGTAGGCATGTCCCATACAAATGTTTCGAGGTTGATCATGCGGGCGATGGCGAGCGCGACCAGAGTTCCCAGCATCTTGCCGCCCTCTTTGGTGATCATGTACTCCTGCACCCATGCCTGCGGTCCATTGCCGAGGGAGAACTTCTTGGTGAACTGGCCGTAGTAGTTGCCAAAGCGCCGTCGTGGGACCGGGTAGGGGGTGGGAACTTGGGGGATTTGCGAGTTCGACGTTGTTGTTCCTTGGTATCTCAGCCGGGTCTGGTGGGGGAAGCAGTCATCGCCCATGACCAGCGTGGCCAGGCCGTAGGTGAGGGCATCCACGCCAGACCGAGGCTCTGTGTGAGTGCTCTCATCCGGCCAAACGATGTCGAAGCGCGAGTAGATGCATGGAATGGTGAGGCGGTGCAGGGCCGAGTGGCAGAGACAGAGCGAGGTGAGGTCGTTGGTATGTGGTAGCTGTGGTGGAGGCAGAGGAACCCCACGGTCAGCCCATTGCTACGGCGTTGGGAAGAAGGAAGAGGGGCCGGCTTTGTGCGCAGCGCAGTTCCAGCTCGGTTCGTTCCAGTCGCAGTCGGTACTCACCTGCTGTATGATCTCCTTGAGAATATCCACGGGCAGGTCCAGCAGATTCATCGGGCCCTTTGCAGCCGCCTTCTCTTTGCCCTTGAGCGCCGCCGTCTCTGTCGCACTCTCGCCCGGCCGCGGCAGACTCATGGTGTCGCTCGCGGCGGGCGGGCTGGTTCGCAGGCTGCAGGTGTCGAGGTCGCGCTGGGTGGGCGCGACAGTAGTGTGCGCGTCGTCGGCTACCACAGGGGAAAGTGGGCGCGTGGGCTCGTCCATGGCGATGGCGGCGGGCAAGGGTGACGCGGTTCTTGGGGTGCCGGGAGCGGAGGGCGGGGACGAGGGAGGCATGATGGTAGCCAGAGAGTGAACCCTGGTTGAAAAGGTCACGTATAGAGTCTGAGTCTTCGTCTTCAGACTTCAGTTCGACTGCCCGGCCTGTCTGGAGGCATGCAAAGCTCCCCCCCCCGGACGAGAGAGCGAGAGCGCGCGAGAGAGGCCAAGCGAGCATACAGCGCATCAGCAGTGTGTGGCTCTTGCGATTGCATGTGCGGTCGCTGGCTTGGGCGGAGTACGGTAATGCGAGCCAAGTGAGTTAGTTGCTGCAACGAACGACGACGTTGGTTCGCATCCGTCCAATCTCACTGCAGGGATGCCCGTGAGTCCGCCTCACGCCTCACGCCTCACGCCTCTCACCCGCCTCCCCCCTCCCTATCTGCCCCCCCACATCCAACTGCTCTACCAACCAGGTCCTCTCCCAACAGAATGCCTGGGAGCACACGAGATTCATCCCAGCTTTACATCATCTCCAATCATAAAGCCGTTTGCAACCCTCTCCCGAACAAGTGATGACATTGCCAATACATGTCCACCCAACAACGCCATCCCATGTATACACCGACTAACTGGGTATCTCCAAGCCTAAACTCCTAGAGACGCCACGCCCCAAAGATATCAAGTACAATGCAAGCATCACCAACATGGACCATCCTTCCACACAGCCTCTAGCCCTCAATTTCTTCGAACAGGCAAACCCGTCTGGCCTCGCTCTGGATCACTCAGCTTGATAATCTTGACACTCGCACTCTGCTTCACATTGTTCATCGACTGTGGCGTGATGAAGATGAACTGTCGGCCAATCGAACGACCGGCCATCTGGATAATCATATTCATACTCCGGTCGCGATTCACGCTGTCCATGAACACGTCAAACTCGTCCAGGCAGCGAATCGGCGAGCCCATGGCCTCCCAAAGGGACAACAAGAAGCAGACGGTCGAGTACGACTTCTCGCCACCAGACAGCGTCTTGGTTTGCCGTCCGTCTCCACTGCGCTCCATGATGTCAGGCTGGACGTGGATATCCAGCAGATACTTGTTGTGGTCGATATTCAGTGTACCTCGGAACTTCCGTTCACTCAGGAGATAGTTGAACGTGACCCGTGCTCGAACAGAGATGCCGGAGCGAAACTGCTTCCACCGCCGCCGTCGAGTATTCAGCGTGTTGATGAGATGCTACTCCAGAGTTAGCATTGGCATGTCTTGAAAGGAATCTGCAAACGTCTTACATTGCGTAGACTCTCAATCTCCTGGATTTCCTTCATCGCATCCTTGTGAATCCGCTTGGCTTCGTTCGCTTTCCGCAGAAGCTCGTCTTGCGATCCGCCAAGCTGCTTCTCCTGATTTCGTCGTGATGCCACCAGTCTGGACAGCGTCTCTGCCAGCGCCTCCGACGTCGCGCCTTCGGGAACGCGCACTCGTTGCGGGCAAACCTTCTCCGCCATGTTGATCGCTTCTTCAACCTTCAATTGCATTGCATCCCTTTCCTTCTCCCAGATCTTCTTATTCTCTTCGGCGGCAGCAACTTGAGCTATAGCTTTGTTCTTCAGCTTCAGCTGGTCTTCACGGTTGCCCTGGAACTTCCGGACCGTCGCATGTGCCTTGTTCAGTCTGAACTCACATTCGGCGACAAGGCTCTGTGCTTCCTCTAGTTTCTTCTTCATCTCCTTGGCTTCTTCATTAAGTTGATGCTTTTGTACCACCATATCCTCGTATATACCCTCAGCACGCTGTAGCTCGTCTCGTGCGCTAGCCAGCGATTCCTCGAGAACACTGATGTCGGCTGCATCTGGCGCAGCGTCACTCAACTCTGCATCAAGCCGTTCTTGGAGATCCTGGGCGCGTTGGAGTGCGACTTTGAGCCGTCGTTTCTCCACATGATGGTCTTGCACGCGAGCTTTACACTCCCTGACGTGTTTCTGCGCCTTGTCGGATGCTTGTTCAAGATCACGCAACTTTCGTCGAATCTGCTCCAATCGCATTTCATTCTCCCTTATTTGAGCATCTTGATCGACTTGCATGCGCAGAGCGAATCTATATTCATCAATTGGAGAGTCGTTTATGCCCCCGTTGCTTGTATAGTTGATGACACGACCCTTGCGTTTGTCACCGTCCGCAAAAGTGAAGCACATCTTGACGTTCCTCACTCCTGGGCCACGTGCATGCATGAACCGTGAGCCTTCGGTACGACTTTCAATCAAGACAGTCTGTTCGATTGACTGATTGATAATGAACTGGTTACGAACGAGATCATCATCGATCTTGACAGCTCTCATCCACGTTAGCAGATTCCGGTCTTCAGGCTCATTGCGTGAAGTGTCAATAGGGTTTCGTTTGCCAATGAAAATGGGCGAGCTCCAGCCATGCTGTTTCATCAGCCGCGATAGAATGGTGGAATCCGCTTTGCTTGTGACGGCGAAAGCATTCAGGGATTGACCAAATTGCTTTTCCAAGATATAAGCCCACTCCGGCTTGAGTAGTTTGACGTGGCGCCCCAAGGGTCCTACAGGCTTCTCGCGAAAGCTCCGTTCATTCGTAATCGCTTTCAGCAGCCGACTTAGAGCCTGTGGATTCTGGTAGGAATCTATCCAATCTCGCTGGCCACCTTTCAACTTGGTGATTATATTTTGTACGCGCTTCTCCTCATCGCGGGCTTTCCTGACCTCTTGATCGGCTACCTCCTTGTCGGTTTCAGCCGCGCGTAACTTCTCAAGTAACTCTGGAAGAGCTTTATCATGGTCCGAATGTGCGACCCTCGCTTTCTCATGCGCTTGCTTTGCCATTTCAAACTCCCGCACTTTCTCTGCATGCAAGCCATTATCTGCTTCGGCCTGTCGTTGGCGACGCTGCTCAATGTCCACTTCGCACTTTTTTACTGCTTGCGTTTTCAATGTGACGTCGGATCCGGCTTTCCGCTCGTCCGATTGCAGAAGCTTCAACTTCTCTTTCGATTCTTTTAATAGAGCCGCTGCCTCAGCTTCTGCATCCCTTGCAGCAGCGATTTCTGGAGTGAGGTCCGTAACTGTCTGCTGAGCGGCAGACAAGGCCTGTTCAGCACGGTCAAACTCCTGCGAGGCCTTTTCTGCTGAAGCAGTCCTCTCCTGGATGATAGTCTCCACATGTGCTATCTCCCGAACTGCTTTCTCGAGCTCCTCCTCTTCTTCTTGAACGCCCGCCCAGGCTGCTTGGTTAGCAAATTCCGTCTCTTTGGCACGCATCTTCTCCAGACCTTGTGCGAGTCTGGCTTGCTTTTCCAGCTGCTCCATGCGGGTCCTAAGTTCTGCCAAGTCCTCATTCTTCATCGTAGCCTTGGTGTTCATCACTTCCAAGGACTGCTCAATTTGCTGGTAATCCCGGTTGAGAATTTCAAGTTGGGTACCCTGAAGGAAGAATTTGTACTTGTCCTTTGGGGTGGAGTTGTTGAGAAATTGCCGTGCCATATCCTGGGTCAGCACATTCATGGGATTGTCGAGTTGCATAGAGAATGCATCGAGGATGTCTTCCAACTCGGCCTTCTTTGTCGACACGATCTTGCCATTTTGATCCTTCAACTTGAACCCAGAAGTGCCCGATCTGTTGAAGTGGCGTTCAACGGCGATAGACTTGCCGTAAAATGACGGCTTATATGCTAGTGGCCCCTGGTTCTTGATCCAGACTGTCACAACCGAATGGTCTTTACCTTCCTTGATCAAGCTCTTCAGATTTTGCGCCCGGTTTGTTGCCGTTGCCTTTCCACCCAAGCAGATTGTGAGAGCCGTAAGCACTGCGCTCTTGCCGCTACCATTATGACCAATTATGAAGTTGATATTGGGTCCCAGAGGTACTGTCAAGTGCTCGTGACACATGAAATTTATGCATTGAATCTCCTCAATTATCCCGGAATCTGCCGCCACATTCTGCTTATTTGTAGAAGCCTGGAAGTCCCTCTGGACTTGTTGTGTGGCCCAAGCCATTTGTTCCTGCTCCTGAACCTGCTCACGATCGGCAGTAGGGGCATCGCTGTCGCTCGAGGCATCAGATGCCTGCTCATCAGAAGACTCGTCGCTCTCGTTCGGGGTCCGTCGTGGTCGCTTGTTCTACGATCCATCAGCCCTGTTTGCTCAAAACGCAGTCGGATGACCTACATGGCCTGCGCTGCTGGCAGCGTCCACGTCATTAGTGAAGGCGCGATGACGCTTTGCAGACATGACTGCAGCCATATTCGTGAGCCTGCCAACAGGGCGATTAAACAAGGAAATTTGGTGTCGCGCGTGGAGTGAATTTATCAAATGTTACGGGGCATGTTGGTAATTAATTGGACTACCTCTGTTCAGACGCGTCACTTCCCCGCTAAGCCCAAGCGCGGCACGCGAGCACAGCGGACAACCGTCGACCAAAGTAGATGCCAAGCGTATCTCTCACTCTCCAGGTCGACGTAGTAGAACGCTTACAGGTATCAACAGCAAATGACAGACATATGTAACGTCCAACAGACACATACATACAATCTGGATGAGGCATAGACACACGCATTGAGCAAGCTGCCAAGCCCTGGAGAGCAACTCTCTGTAGATCACGTGAGCACGCGTTGGGATAGCGCGACAAGTAGTGACCACATGCGATAATCCGAGCCAATCCCAAGATAATACATAAAACTCTATACTTTTACTTTACACTATGCTACGCAAAATTCGATCAAGCTGCGTCCTGAATCATCCAAAGGGGGTATACTCAAAGTCCAGACATCACCGCATGTTTTCGCTATATGCACGGTGCTCGTTGACTAGACTACGCCTACTATGCAAAACTGGCTCTTTCTGAATCCAATATCCTGGCTGCTGGGTATTTACATGACAGTCTAGATGTATCATTAGCATGCGTTCGATTCTGGCAAGGGAACATGTACATACACAATCGCTATCTTTGGGCGCCTGGCCGATGCCCATTTCATCGAACGTCTTCGGACCTTTGCCTGGCGTAGAGGAAGCAGATGATGGAGCTGCCGGCTTCGCGGGCTGAGCTGGTGTAGAGGGTTTGCCTGACTGGGCAGGCGCTGGTTTAGGAGCCGGTTGCTGTTGCTGTTGCAAGGTCTGTACTCTGTTGGGCTTTGGCGCAGAGTCGTAGCCAGATTGACGACCGGCTGAGCCTGGTCTCGAAGAGGGCGATGGCCGATCCATTCGTGAGGACGTCCTGCTTTCTTGACCGGGCTGTACAGTCGAAGGCCGCGTATGTTGCCGTGGCTCCAGCGGCGCAACATAACCAATGTCAGGCAGTGTCGGCTGTTTGTTCGGTTGCTTTTGCAGCTTATGCCTTCCAGATTCAGGTGCACTGAAGCCAATATCGGGAGGCTGCGTTGTAGATGGACGATTCTGTGGTTCAGGACGCTGCGCACTGGGTCCACCAGGCTGTCGGTAGCCGGCTGCTCCAACTGGTGGTAGAAGCGCCCCACGGCCACCGCTGGACATACGCCCCCCTCTTCCAGGACCCATACTATCAACACTAGTATGAGGACGCATGGGTAGCGGGCCCATATCAGCGCCAGGTCGAGGTCCGCCACGGCCGTACGGGTCGTTGGGAGGGAATATCTGGGGATTAATGCTGAAGGCTGATGACGAAGAGGACGAAGGGGGACGGACGCTCGCGGCTCGCAGCTCAGGGGCAAATCCACCAGCCATAACAGGTCGCTGTGGAGCAATTCGCGGAGGTCCATTGTCCATAGGATACGGTGCTGCCGAAACAGGGCGCTCGTAAGGTGCAGACGACATTGATGGATTACCAAGTACTGGAGGTTGATCAGAGATGGGATAAGGAGTCGTTGAATCACCACGGCCTGGGAACCGGCCTCCTGGTGTAGTAGGCGAGGCATTCGATCCGTAGTCTGAAGGAGTGGTATCGTTGATTGAAGCCAGCGTCGGCACTTGGGGTTTCTGAAGCCTCGCCGGCCGCTGCCCTCGCATCGAACCGTGCTTTGACTTGATCATGCCAATTGCAACTTTTTCGTGGTCCTTTTTTGAAAGAGTGCGTGACAGCTTGGAAATACTCTCTATGCGCGCGGACGCATCCTTGTTGCCGTTCTTCTCAGCCTTCTCATACCACTCCAATGCTTTTTCGATATTCACTGGAGTGTTCATGCCGATCTCGTTGAAGTAGCCCATGGCGAACTCGGCTGTAGCGAGACCCGCAGTGGCTGCTCGCAGTGCGTACTGGTAGGCCAACTCCTCATTCTTTGGAAATTCACCTTCGTGACCACACAAAAACCACTTGCTAATGGCCATATCTGCCTCTGGTTCGCCTTGTCGAGACGCGAGCGCGTTGTAATGGAGCGAGAGTGTGGGGTTGAACTCACAACCCAAGCTGCAGAGTTCGTACGCGGACCCCATCTTCAGCTGAGCTTTCGCGAAACCAAGGTAGGCAGCCTTCTCAATGTTCTGTCTTGCAGCTTTCTCGTCGTAGGGCAGGTATACTTCTGGAACATTGATTTGGGGTAGCTCTCTCGCTTGAAGCATACCGAGGACGTATGCGCCCTGGGGAGCGTTCTCGTCTGCAGTGGCCGCGGCTTGTCGTATGAGCTGAACGCCTTTTGCGAAATCCTGCAGCTGTCCATGTTGACCAAGCAAAGTCATCATGCCCAAGCGGTAGTTGGATGCCGAGTCGCCCTGCTCTGCGCCGGCCTTGTAATTCTGCAAAGCCTTGATGGGGTCGTTCGACTGCTCGAATTGCATTCCCATGCGGTACTCTGCTCTCGCATAGCCCTTTGCTGCGGCGCGCGAGTAGCAGCGAAACGCCTCTTTCTTGTCGACGCGCATGCCGAATTTCCCAAATTCGAGCCACATGCCCCTCATGAAGGTGGCTTTGGGGTGACCCTGGTCTGCCAGGAAAGTCACCACATTCATCGCATCGACGCGCAGCTGGTGCTCGACCTGCGGCGTCGCTGGCCTCGCGCCTTGGATCTCAGCGATTCGCTGTTCGTGCAACTGCGCGGCGTCGACGTACTGCAGCGCATCCTGCGCCCAGGCCAGCTGCATCTCCGGGTCATTGGAGTTGAGCACCGGCAGCCGGGCATTCTCCAAAACAGCCTCCTTTTCATCGTCCGAGGGAGGCACATTGGGCGGCTTGTTTGTGAGCTTGGGGAAGGGCGAGAAGTTGGGGGTCTCGTGTTGTTGCGCAAACTGATTGTAGTCGTGCGACGGTCCTTGTTGCTGTACCGATTGCGGCGGTACATTGGGCGGCTGGCGGAAGGCGGAGGAGATGCTGGGGTGTCGGGACGGCTGCTGCTGTTCGGGCGCGGGCAATTCGTGGGAGTAGCTTGAGTGTCGCGCCGGGAGGGCTTGCGACTGCTGGTCGTAGCCCTGGGTGGGCGACATGGTGCCGTTCATGCTGCGAGGGCCGTTGGCTTCCAGCTCGAGGTGGGCGAGATTGTCCTGCATGTTCTCGGGCACTTCGGGCATTATGCTACGGCGCAAGAGCCTACGTCAGTTGCAATTTCAGGCGCGCACTTTACTTTGGGCTAGGACGAACCGCTGGGGCGCTGGCGAGATGACCTCCGGCGAGCGACCGGGCATGTAGTAGTCATCGAAGCCTGGATTATACAAGCAGCCAGGTCAGTCAAGGAGGCCTCCGGCGCGCTGCGAACATGGATTCTTACCGCCAGGCACAAAGGTGGCCCCCAGTTGTGGATGGCCTGGGGGGTAGCTCATCGCGGCCTTTTTTTAGGAGTGGGGGAGGGGGTGGAGGATGAAGGGGGTGGAGGATGAAGAGGGTGGTTTTAGTTCCTATGAGAACTGGACATCTGCCGTCAGCCTTTGTCTAGGAGGAAGGGCTTCGCATGCAGCCTCCAGTCTCGCAAGTAAAGCGCGGTCTGAGAAGCGCTCACGAAGGCTGCTGGGGCTGGCTACCATGACGCGCGCATCAAGTATAGGGTATAGGGTGTAGGGCGACGAGCATACCTTGACCCTTTAGAGTGGGGTACCCGTACCGCGGTACTCAACCGACCCTTGAGTCGCCGCTTCGAAAGGCCCAGTGCGACGACCACCTCTTTTCTGCCGAACTCCTGCGTGCTTCGTCTGCTTCACGAGGGCGTGGTAGGTACTCGCCCAAGGCACGTTGTCGTATGCGAGCGGAAAGAAGAAGAAACAAGTCGCCAAAACAAGACCAATACGCAAGGTAGCACGGTAGTCAACTGTCAGAGACGTCGGCGAAGGCTCCAGGGAGCTCGAGGGCCAAACGACCAAGACCAAGACCAAGGTAGAGACACAGTAGTACGGAGCCTTGTACGTTGTCGTCGAGAAACACCACTCGTTGAGGCTGGCTGTTTGCTATGGAGACAGAGGCCGAAGTGTTTGAGCTTGAGCGGCTGGTCGTGAAGGGCGGGTTGTTTGTAGATTATGTCGAGACCCCACCTAAGCTTCTCGAGCTGGACACATGCAAGCTTTCAGGGAACAGGGCGAAGGAGGACGGTCATGTGTGACCACAATGACTGTTGACATTGCCGTGTGCCCCGAGATTGCCTTATGATGCTATATATACCATGTCAGAGTCTGCTTGCGTGCGCGTCGAAATCAAAGTTAGTTGTTTTGGTGCGGCGCACGACCGTTGCTGCGCCCTTGGATGCTGAGAGGCTGTGCTGGGTAGGTACCGTTGTCGCCGTGGGCCTCCGCCCCCGGATGAGAATAACATGGCACGTTTCACACCATCCTAGCCTATCAAACACAGAATCCAGATTGCGAACTGCAGCGTGGAGAGCTCGAGGAAGACCAAGTGCCGTGGACGCTGCGAGTGCATAGGTCAGGCTCAACGTAGCTTGGGCTCGTACTATATACAGACGCACCACAACTTTGAACTTCCCGACCAAGCCAACTACCCAACATGCACACATGGTGAAAGTGGGCCATTCGGAGAGACATGCGGTGGTCCAACATGGCTTTGCATCTTGCATCCCACTACACAGCTGTCACTTCCAAAGACAGTAACAAAATCCAAGTACACACTCGCGTAAAACCATCCGACCGCTTACGCGCCATCGCTCTGCACTCACTACTCAACAAGCGCTTTGAAGTATGCCAATAGAATCAAGATATCAGCATGGCAGACGAAGCAGAATCGCATCACCCGGGTGAGAGTCTAGTGCACCATGACATCGGCGCCTTGCTGCTGTACAGCATCGGACTTTTGCTGGGTCGGCTTGCCGTTGGCGGCGCTTGTTTCGGCGTCATCCATCTCCATCTCGTCGTCGCCCCCTTCACCCTCCTCGCCTTCCTCTTCTTCATCATCCCCTTCTGAATCCTCAATGTCGATTTCCTCACTGCCCGCCTCGGATTCAGCGTCCTCATCGTTTGCGGGGCCTGCCGTATCGTCGGCGCCAGCCATGGCAGCATCTTCACCCTCGACAACGGCACCCTCAGCCTCTTCCTCCTCCTCTTCTTCCTCGATGCCGTACTGGTCGCCGTCTGCTGTCAAGTCGGCCTCGGGCTGCTCAGGGGGGAACTCGGGGGGTGCCGACTCATCAGAGTCCCTGCTTAGTTTAGTTCATGCAATGCGAACGTAGAACATGGCCAACTCATACCACTTGATGGCGAAACGTGTCACACGCGGCTTCTCCGCCAGAATCTGCCTTTGGACCTTCTCAATGACGGGCTTTGTGGGAGGATCTAGTGCCAGCGCTTCATCTGTATACTCGTTGTTTACATAGTAGCCGACGCGTACGAATTCGCGGTCTTCGTAGCTGCAACTCAGCAGAATGACGGTGACGCCGATGATCTCGCTGTTTGGGATGCGTGATAGGTCAGGGGGATCGGCGCGGAAGACGAATTTGTTTATGCCGATTGGCAGAGGGCCAACAAGGACAGAATCAAGCTCCTGGTCATATTCATGTCTGCTGTGTGTTAGGTACGGTCCATCTCGGCTGTTCCGCCAGACGTGGGAGTGTCGAGGGAGGGAGGGGCACTCACGAAGTCGCCGAACCAACATAAGTCAATTTCCACTCGAGATCTGACTGGAGTTAGTACTGATTGCCAGTCATCGCATGTAGACTCTTGTACCTTTTTGCAGCTGTTCTAGGCACTCAAAGGTAATCTCGAATTCGTAGGGCTCGTCGAAACGGGCGGGGTTGTTCTTGACCTCGACGCCGAGGAGCGAGACAACAGACATGATGTCGAAGTTTTGTTGTGTGAGGGTTGGGTGAGTGAAAGGTGGAAGTGGATGGGAAGGTGGGCAAGACTTTGTGAAGAACGTTGATTGCTCAGGCCTTGTGGTGAAGGTGAACAGTTAGCGAGACCGGTGTTTGTTATGAAAGCGGTGAGGACGTGCGTTTAGAGAGAAATCGCGGCGGCAACTATCGAACAACCTAGCCCTAGCTATCGCGGGTCGCGTACCGGTACAATAATAGTCGACAGTCCACACGTGCCCAGGCGATGCGCGACGCGTTCTGGGGGTGTGTTGTACTACATACTCCCGGCCTTACACTGGCACTTGCCAAAGGGGATTTGAGGGCGAGACATCCAACAGAACTCCAAGTGCTGCCTGCCATGTGCCGCATTTTCCTTGTCATGGCTTTCTCTCCAGTATTCTTGGTGTTGGCGGGGTCTCATCTCATGTCGAATCCCAACAACCACCGACGTCGACTTAGAACAACAACAACAGCAGCAACAGCAACAGCAACAGCAACATACTATAACTTACTATTGAGTTCATGAACCTCTTGCAAAAAAAACAGCCACAGGTTCTCTCAACATCAACAGTCACTGCAAGGAGAAACAACCCCATACATGCTCAAAAATAACCTGTCCTCCAATAGGACCGAAGAACGGTCATGATGTCAATGCTGACTAAGCTTCCTCCCGAGGTCTTTTCCACCAAAAACTCTTGACAACATGCGGCCCGTCTTCTGGAGATTGACTAACCAAGTGATTGACGAGGCTAGCGTGACTTTGTCAGTCTTGAGAACACTGCTCCACTGGCGTTGCTTCAGCATCGCAGCAGCAGTAGCATCATCATCATCATCATCATCATCATCATCATCGTCGTCATGCTCTCGTACAAACGGAAGTTCTGAGCATGGATCCCATCTCCTGTTGCTAGAACATACTTCAATGTTTCAACTTTCTATCGTACAGTAACCATACCATACCTGGTCGCCTACCGGCATTCCGTTATCCCCAAAAAGCCATTACTAACCTCGCTTTCCATCTCCCTAGCCCAGCACCACAAAGATCGCTCTCAGTGGTACTCAAAAAGGAAACCATGTAAGTGGCAGTGCAACATTCTAGGTCTGTTACGTAGTTAGTAGATACGACCTTGCACATATCTACTTAACTAATACAAACAAAGATACCCCCGGGTTCTTCGGTCTGACTACCTGCCTTTACGTCCGTAAGGCTCCAACAGGCATACAATCTTGCGCCTCCTGGGCTACCGCCACAAGGGGTGGCTAACGAGCTCTAATGTCTAGCTCAACACTTCCCCTACATGCTGGACTGCCCAAAGATGTGCTTTCTCCCTCTGCAGCTGCGCCAGAGAAGAAGTCGCCCAACCCCCAACAACGGGTTCGTCGGCGTAATCGGCTCATCACTTCATGCCTGGAATGTAGACGAAGAAAACTCAAATGTGACAAACAGCAGCCATGTACGAACTGCACCAAACTTTCGCGTCAGTGTGTCTTCATTACCTCAAGTCCCGATCCGGAGACGCAGGCACGGCTGGCCGCTGTCAAGGAGAAAATGGGCATCCTTGAGAAGAGTCTTGAGGAAGATGTGGCCCGCAAAGCGCAATTGAAGGATCCAATCTCTCCGGCTTCCCGAAAGTCCTGTACCTATGGTAGGTTACCTGGCCAGGACGAGTCCTACAGTGATCAAGAAGAGGATGAGGACACCAAAGACTTGATCCCTACGACTATGGCTACCGAAGATGCCTATTACGATAATGAGGACGATGACAATGATGATGTGGTTGACCTTGGGTTTTCCATGGGCAAAGTACGCATCACCGAGCGCATTGTCGGCCTTGTGAGGCCAAGATTTACAGAAGAAGTGAGGAAACCGTCCATATGGGTGCGATGTGATACTGACTGAAATTTGAGCTTACTCAATCACTGAAAGAATTTCCAGAGCCTGACAGATCCTCACGTGTTCCACTCTTCAACCAGGATCCTGCCGTCTGGTTTGCGCCAGATCGAGACTATGTTGCTCCGTCTTCGAGCTTCTTCTTCTCCTCAGGCCTTGAACGAATCTCACTCTTGAATCATCTCCCCTCGAAACCTTTGGTGGATAAATTGATCGCCCATTACTGGGTAGCGGTTCATCTCATTGCGAAATGCGTGCATCGTCCCAGATTCGAAAGGAATTATCAGAAGTTTTGGGCCAATATCAACGCGGGTGTCGAGCCTCGTAACTCGTTCCAAGCTGTTTTGTTTGCCGCTTTGCTTAGTGCGGTCGTGTCAATGCCCGAGGACAAAGTCATGGCCGAATTCCGCGTTGACAAGCAGAGTCTGGTAGACAATTTCAGAGAGGGTACTGAGGCTGCACTCTCAAGGGCTAATTTTCTGCGTACTACCAAATTGGAGACCCTCCAAGCTTTTGTGATGTATCTCGTAAGTTCAATCCCTACCCAACTGGATCGATCACACTCAGAGATCAAGACTCACGGTACTGATAGATACCACTTTGCCGCAATGACATCTCACGTGCGCATTCAGCGCTGATTGGATCTTTAATCCGCTTGGCCGAATGTATGGGGTTACATCGCGATCCTACTACCTATAGCACCTCGCCAGTCGAACTCCAAACACGGCGTCTCATTTGGTACCAGATTTGCTTCTTGGACCTTCGGATTTGCGAGGGAACTGGCCCACGCCCCCAGATTCGACCGGATGACTACGACACTCGTTTTCCACTCAATATTAATGAGAATGAGCTCGAGCGCGCCGAGAACGGAGACAGCACCGTAGATGTAACAACAGATCGAAACAACATCACTGACGTTTCCATCTCGCGTATACGATTCGAGTGCTACGAAATGCACCGCCTCCTTTGGTACGAAAGCCCGAAGACGGAGCACCGTCGACGGGAGGGAGAACGCAAAGTCAGCCTGACTGCAATGCTCGCACGCGTAAATGCCTTCATGGCCGCTCAACAGAAGAAATGGGTTGCTTTATTGGACATGTCCAACCCGATACACGTCGTGGGATCCGAAATGTATGGCATTGTTTCAAATAGGCTATACGTCATGGTTTTGCAGAAATACATGAGTACGGACAAACGCAAGATGCCTGATCGCCTGCGACAAATCATATTGAGTGCATCCGCTCTCATTCTCGAACACTCTGCGAACATCCAACGCCAACCTGAGCTAGCCATTTGGTCGTGGTATGTTGGTGCCCTACATCAATTCCAGGCGGCGCTCATCCTACTCAATGAGCTGTATACAGGACCACGAGAAGCAGCCATGGAAGAGCGAGTATGGAAGTCTCTCAATTACGCCTTTGAGATTACAGATGATCGACCAAACGCGGAGAAGGTGCGGTTGATACTGGAAGATCTCATTGTGAGATCGAGAACGTATGCCACAATGAAAAAAATAAAGGCTCCAAACAACATGCCCCAGCCCGGGCCGCGCATACACACGCACAGTTACCAAGCCAGGGAACGAGAAGAGAGGGAAGAACGTGAGCGAAGTGCCAGGAAAGGTTCTGGAGCAGCTAGTGTCGACAGCACGCCTACAAACACAGAATTCAGTCCAGTCTCGGTACAGCCATGCCAGCATGCTGCAGTCGGTCCCATGGGGCCATCGACACCGAGAGTGGATTGGGGTAACATGGACCTACCCGCATCGTTGCCAGCCTTTCCAAACACTCTCAACACTGCTGGGGCGGCTGCTTACAGCAACTTTGCCACCTCGGGAGCTACCAACTTTCTAGCAACGACTGCAATGGCAAGTCATGCAATGGCAAGTATGGTCTCGCGGTACAGCAATGACAGTGGGAGTCCACTCGCAAACACATACCTAGGCATGAGTGCAGCAGCTACGGGAAGCAGTCCCATGGACAGCCTCAACGACGTCGATTGGGTACTTGAGCCCCCTTTTTTGAGAAGTGAAATTCTCCAGATGCTAACAAGTGGCGCAGAATGAGATCGAGAAGATGTTTGGAAGCGCAGATGTGGGCGCTGGCAATATCCTCATGCCGCCCTTTTCCTTTCCTGAGTTTTCCGCCTCGGACTTGCAGTGGCCTAGACAAGGTGAGTCGTGAGATGGATCGACTGGTCATGTGGCATGTCGCTGCAGATAGTGTGATGTTGTCTAAAGTAGTGGGGCGGAGGGATGCGTATCCCGTGTCTATATCGTTGGCGCCGGTTGGATGGATGTATTGTACAAGTCGTTGCTATTTTTAGACAACGTGTTGCTCATGAAAGAGGGCGCGACTTTAGGATGAAGTTGCTTCGGTGTTGGGCTCTATCATTGGCATTGACGTCTATAGACGTGGAAATCGAATTGCAGATAGAAGTGGAATACTTCTCATGTTCTGCTATTTATTATACGGTAGTGCAACCTATGGCCATGTGCGCCCACACTCTGATGAAATGGTTGCTGCCCACTTTGACTCCATAACCATTATTAATCATTGCCTCTTCTCACAAAGAGATGCTGAAAACAAATCCAATCAACGACTTCCTATCCCCCTACCGGTACCGCTATACCAAAAAGAAAACAAATCCCATCACTCCTCCCGCGACGCCCAACTATTCCCCACACCCTAACACGTGACTCCTCGACTACCGGTACCCGAGCACATGAGTACAACGGGTGGCTGCAGGCACCCGAGCCGTACCGGTACGGTAACACTGCCCGAATGAATTCCCTGTTTTGGTCGCAGGCTCGAGGCCAGCTATCCTACTCTACCATAGTAACGTTACCGGTGCCTTTCGTGAGGCCTAGCTCCTAACGACATTTCGCGGCTATCTATGGGTGTCGCCCATGTGGCAGCCGATTGACCCCTCCAACGTGGTGAGTGATTAGCTCCTCGTCACTTAGGGAGTAGCACTGTTGCTTAGTCAACCGAGGCCCCAAACACTGGCGAGATCCAACAGATCGACATGCGCGGACGCGACGAGTTGCGGACCAAGTCCACGACACAGCTTTCCTAGCATACAGCCATTCCTGGCAATGTCTAAAGCACATCCAGCACAGCCCAGAAATGCCACGCCGCCCACCACGCTCCCACAACAGCCTCCAACGCCGCCGGCTACTGGGGAGAAACCATCTACGGGGCCGCATCCCGTTGTCGCGCTCTTACGACAGCGCCACCAAGGGCTGGAGACGACGGAGCTGGGCTCGCGGAAAGCGTTTGCTCTTGCCCCGGGAGAGTACAAGAAGATCAAAAGCGAGCTCCAGCGAGACCCGCCGCTTTGGGCATACGTAGAAGACAAGGTACAGTGCGTAGACCGTAGAGACGGCGAAAACCATTGAATCAGCAAAGACAGTCACTAACTGAAGAATCTGGCAGCTACGACTACGACGCGGAAAAACACACATTAGTAGTCCGCATGCCTAGTGAAGTCCACGAAACATTCATCGCGGCTGTCGACGATGAGATCCATGCTCAAGTAAAGGCATGACGTTTGAACCCAGGCGGTCAGCACAGCATGGCTCGGTTCGCCCAAAAGGTGCGCCCTTTCCGATCGACCGACATCCATTTCGCCAGCACGACTTCAATTGTAAAATCAAAATACTGTCCAGACTTATCATTCGGGCATGAAGACGCTAAGTTTCCGGGCGTGGTCATTGAAGTTGGATATTCACAGGATAAAAAATCGATGAGTCGAAAAGCCGAGAACTATATTCTCAACTCAAATGCCAACATCCGGGTCGTGATTGGCCTCGATCTTGCGTACTCTATTGGGTCGTTGAAAGCAACCTTCTCAATCTGGCGACCCCGCCTGTCTGACACGGCGGAGGGACGCGAGCTGGTAGTCGTCGAAGAAATCGCAGACATGGTCAGTCCAACACTCGCTACTCTGATCCATCGCCACTGTATTGACATCATCACCAGGCTTTTCGGGACGACACGGGTAATCCCGTCCTAGGCGTTGACCTGCAGTTCAATGTTAGCGAGTTCACCCACAATAAGCTTGTACCAACAGAACTGGACGATCAAGATGGTCAAATTATCATCTCTGGGAAAAAACTCTACCAATATCTTGAGGTCGCCGAGAGTAAACCTAGACGAGAACTAAGCGAGTTACCGTTGCCCGCCGACGTTAAGAAGCGGAAATGAGCCGAGACTCCCCCCGAAGAGATTGGCACAACTGATGAAGAAGAATATGCAGATGAAGAGGAGAAGGCAGAGAAGAAAGCAGCACACGGTGATTCCGAGTACCGCTAAGTCTTATCCGCCAATAGCTCAGACTAGCTACCATTAATCTGAAGCGGAAACAATCCAAATACCCTGTGAAGAGATGGGCACAATACGTGGAGCAAGAGGAGAGCAATGACCAAGTGTTTAGATTAGCTATGTCCCTGAATTTAACATCAGACGAAGGCCGCCAAGTTGATACTGTCGCGTATGTTGTGCTAGTCAACTGTAAAAGTGCACTCTTGCTACAATGCCATGTAAAGATCACGTTATCTTCTAAAGTGCCTCCTACTACATCTACAAATGCCATATCGCATAGCGTCCAAAAATTGGTATTAAACGTAGAGGTTGAGTTAGTAGTGGCGCATGTGTCTTGATTGATAGCTGTTTATAGACAGTTGCGCAGCTATACTTGAGTCTTTCTCATCTCACCCATCAGGAGCTCCTCATGGCGCTTCTCATAGCCATCGGAACACAGCTTTGCCGTTCTCAAAGTAAGCTGCACCAACATTGACGCCAACAGTAGGCACCAAGGTAAGGCAGTCTGTCTGCTCAGCCTCAATCCTCATCCAAGCGAGAATCCGGAGAACGTCAAGCCGAGCGTGAACAACAACATGTCAGATCGAGTTTTCGAAATGGTAACCACATTTTTGGAAAACATGAAACCATTACACCAATGAGCATTCGTAACCATGCTAAGTATGGCTTGCACACCAGGTTGCGTGCAGCTGAAAATAGCTGACTTAACGACCTGGTCGCAGTTGTGGCTCGGCGCTTATGACTAAGAAACCATGTAAACTGTTTGCGCAACGCTATTGTTAGGTTTGGTATACACGCTTCTTTCTAAGCTTAAAAGGCGGTGATGGTGCGCAGATGGTTGTTTCTGTGAGCGTTGTCTCGGTTGTTGACGTTCCGTGATTGGCGAAGTGTTTGTGCACCTTTTAGGTTGCTGGAGCGGTGAAGTCCTGACCGAGGTATACGGCGACAAAGCGTGAAGTGTAGCCCAGCAGTCAGAAGATGTGTCACTTGTGATAGTATACTCTTCCTCTTGCGATGTTCATCAGTATGGCCTATGTCTGGTCGCAGCGAGCGCTTATGGGTCCGATAGCCAGTGTGAATAAGCTCTTGGAGCTTTCTCGTCGGTATTTAAACACCACCTGATAATGCATTATTAGAGCAGCCATGTTTTGTGGCAAAAAACTTTGCAGATGTTATATTCAATATACCTGGTATGCAACCTTGAACGCCATCTTGAGCCGTCTAGCCCCGCAACGACCCCCAAGAACTGCTTTACGATATTGTGCGAATATATATACCACCCCGTACAACATGCTGCATATATCCCGAAATGCAAGCCGAAATCACTTCACTAATATAGGAGCAGCTTTGCCAGCCTTCTCTGCGGCGATGTTGGCAAGCTTCTGTAGCTTCTCCGCGCGCATTTGGCGGAAATATCTGAAGAGAAGAATGAATGAAAGTTCGATCCTACTTCAAGTTAGTGCAGTTCTAGTAGAGTGTTGGATATGCACTTACCTCTCCTTGGTCATCATGAGAAATCCCTGAACGAGCAGGCCCTTCAGGATCTGAGGTCCGATGCCCTTGAACAGACCCATCGGCCCCTCGTGTTCGATTATATAGTACATGACCTCAGTAAAAGACTTGAACGGCTTGCCATTTCTTGCTGGCGGTGGTTTTGACTGGAGGCCAACCTTTGCGACTATGAGTGGCTGTGTGGCGATAGTAGCGAGGATCTTGGAAATTGACCCGAGGACTGCGCATTGTTAGTAATGTGTATTTCTCGCATGGCCTTGGATTCAACCTACGGAAGGCCTCCATTGGTTTCAGTGACTTCTTGCCAGGGTACATGATATCCTTCAATCGTTGATAGGCACCATATGTGATGGACGGGTTGATGACGAGAACCAAACTGGCCCTCAGGCCTCGCCAGAGGCCTGTCCAGCCATCCTCGCCGTTTATAACGTCCATGCCAGTCTCAATCATGCCTTTTCGCTCTGACTTGCTCATGGTCTGTTGCCGAGTAGTCACAACAGCCACCGGAATTGTGAAGAGCTGGGCCAACGCGCCAGCTACGGCGCCCAAGGAGAGTTCGACCGCAGTGCCAGGTGGCGCGGTAAGGGAGCGGTTGGCGATGTATAGACTTCGGACAAAAGTATACCAGTAGAAGTAGGCAAAGTTGGTGGATGCTACACCGAGCAGCGAACCTGCCATGCCTGCATATAATCCTGCGACACCCTCATTGGCGACGACCTTTCTGATTGCATCCATGGCACCGTCATAGTGTTCTTCATCGGCTGGGTTAGGATCTGGTGAGTTGGGTGACCGCTTTACTTGGACTTGTAACCGTGTTTTGATCCTGAGAGCATGTCAGCACAAGAGACGCCTCCAGACAATCATTCGGTCGCGAAGGATGACTAACAAGTCCAGTGGGTAGACAAGAGTGTTTGCGATAACGGCACCAGCAGCGCCAGCGACGGCACTTCCCCAAGGGGGGAGTACCTCGACTTTGGACTGGCCAGCCATTGTGCTTGCGGGATGGAGATGCGCGACGTCCGATGATGTAACCGCTTAGTCGGTTGGTTATAAGTGAAAGAAGATGGACTTGGACTATTTCATAGTAAAAGCAAAAAGTTGAGAGTGAAAGACGGGATCATCAACAAATTATGAGTAGTAGGACGTGGACGTAGAGACGTCCGAACAGGGAAGGGTCATGGTATCGTGCTCCGCGCAATAGCGCAAAAGGGCTGATCTCTTCCGAGGTCCAAAGGCCGAGGTACAGTTCGCCGTTCACACCGCCAAGACTGACGCAAACCAGCACCTCTTTTCAACATCTTGTCCCCTGTTAGCCGAGTGAGTAGCCATGTTCCTGGACTGTGAACGCATAACAATGTTTTGACTGTTGAAGAGAAGATACAGACTGAGTCTCTTCAGTGAAATTGGAACAGATGGCTCTTGCCATCTTTGCTGGCATGTGCCTTCCAATTGAAGCTTTTTTCCCCAAGTCGCGCCTGCCATGTTTGACAGACACGTGCAACTACCGGTACCGTACCTATGTCCTGCCTAGCTCCGTAGCTCATCTGTAGCCTCAACACCACAACAAGCATCGTCAGATGCAGTCGGCGCTCTTCTCCGATACGCGCCAACGCCGCCAGATCTTCTGATCTAACGCTGCACGTGATAATGCTGCTTGCTTACTGCATTGATCCGCTCCCCCTCTGACGGTGCTGATCTTGGCACGCACCATGGCGGACAAGGCGAAGGAGCTTGAGGCCTGCAAAGCTGCTGCGAATGTATGCATCAGGGAAATAGCAGTTTTGTTTTGCATGGCTTTTCGTCACATATTTCGCTCGTAATGACTGACGTTTCTACAGAATTATCGCTCGCGGCTGCAAGATGCCACGACTCAAGATGACGCGCTCGACGCAGCTATTGGCATCGCTGAACATTTGATGAAAGCACTCAAGCTCTCTTCGAATCCAGATGAAAGGAGGGAGCTCAAGGCACAGTGCGGTGAAATTATGACCGTGGCGGATCACATCAAAAAGTCCCCCAATTGGACTCCCTCGGCTCAGCAACAGCCTAAAAGCGTCAAGAACACACGCATCGATCAGTGGGCAAAAGACGTGGCCGGTACTGGAGGCTCTGCAACCACATTCGAAGACGATATCTCACAGTCGAGCTCTTCCCGTCATGGTCTCTCCTCAGCCACTGCGCCTGTCGGAAACGTCGGCGCATCCACAGGTAAATTCTTATCTTCATCTGTAGCAGCGGTCGTCCAGGACCAAAACGTTTTCCCTTCCATCTCGCCAATAAGCAATGATGATACACCTGCTATGTTGATAGATCTTTCCGAGGATAATGAGGCTTCTTCCGCAAGATACACACCAAGCGCGCCTGCTGATACACGAGATGAAGGTAGCTCCATGATCGCAACTGCGGAAACGACAGAACCTGATCTACCCAGTAATTTCGGCCTCAAGTCAAACATGGCATCACAGTCGCCAGTACTTCAGGTCCAGCCGACCCCCGTTAAAGCCAATGCTGCGCCTACATCACCTTCAGTCGCACCCTACTCTCAAATACGTAGGCTAGTCGAGCCAGTCTCGAGTAGGAAACGATCCAAAAGAGAAGACATAATCCTACTCAAAGCCTCCATGGTCAACGGTTTCAAGTGCCCCCCATGGGACAAGACCCCTGGTTCAGACGAGTTCTTAGCAACGCAAGGGGCTGAGCCGTTCTCGTAAGTCGTTGCTGCTTGACTGGAACTCGTTGACTAACATTCGTAGTGATACGCATGAGCTCAGCCTATCGCCATATCAACAACAGTTCTTCAAGGGATGGGTGCGTGCTCAGCAAGCGATCCCTCCACCTTCAATGTTCTCAGGTGACCGCAGCGGCATTGGTCCGTTAATGAGTAGCTCACGGTGCATCGATCTTGTTCAAGACGCTGCATCGGATTGCTCAGTAGTAGCAAGCTTATGTGCGAGTGTCGCACGATCCGAGCGTGGGCACGATCAAGTGAGTCCTTAACCTCCTCTTCCTGGCCGACACTGACGAAGAAGATGCTGTCAAACAAAATTTATCCATTTGACAAGCAGCTTGGAAAGCCTGTTCCGTCTTCGAACGGAAAATATATTGTACGCCTCAATTTCAACGGTTGCTGGCGCAAGGTCGTGATAGACGACCGACTGCCGGTTTCGAACACGCACAGATTACTTCACGTTATCGATCGTCGCAATCCAGCGCTACTATGGCCAGCACTACTCGAGAAGGCTTACTTGAAAATCCGAGGAGGTTATGACTTTCCTGGTAGCAACTCATGTAGTGACCTCTGGACATTGACAGGATGGATCCCGGAGCAAGTGTTTCTGCAAGAGTGAGTCACTATTACCTTGAGATAAGTCAGCAAGCTGATGTATGAAAGAACAGATACGGTTCCTGACCAACTTTGGAGTCGTATATATAACGCTTTTCTGTACGGCGATGTACTTGTCACTGCAGGCACTGGCAAGATGTCTAGTAGGCAGGAGCGTGAGCTTGGTCTCGAAGGACAACACAGCTATGTCGTTTTGGATATGAGAGAAACTGATCACGACCGCCTGCTGCTCATCAAGAATCCTTGGGTAGAAGGGAAGGGATGGCGCGGACCTCGCCCTTCAGCTGCTGTCGCTATGGACTCTTCCATCTCGAGTGCCAGTGGTGAGACTCAAAATAGCATCGAAGCCTACCACAGGAACAGTGTTCCAACAGCAGACCAACCTCACCCTACGACATTCTGGATAGGGCTTGAACAGGTGATTCAACATTTTGAAAGCTTGTACTTGAACTGGAACCCAGGCCTGTTTCGCTACCGCCAAGACATACATTTTGAGTGGAAGGTCGACCTCAAATCGCCCGAAGGCTGCATCGTCCATCATCCACAGTTTGCTTTTGTTGCAAAGGCGGCTGGCCCTGTTTGGTTCCTCTTGAGTCGGCACTTTCGGGACAGTCCAAACAATACCAAGGAGGAGTCTGATAGTTTCAATGATGGTAGCGTTCGGCCTGAGACTTCGGCGAGTGCTTCCGGCGAGCTACCAAAAGGATACATGAGTATCTACATCTGCAACGGCCATGGAGAGCGTCTGTACATGAAGGATACATACCTCGAATCAAGCGACTATGTTACGACTCCCCAGTGCCTACTTCGATGGGACACAGATGCCAATACAACCTATACTGTAGTCATTGATCAGGACGACCTGCCTGCTTCATTGTACTCCTTCTCCTTGTCCGCATTCTCCAACGCGGCTATGGTACTGGAACCTGCAGCGCAGAGATACCCCATACAGAAAATTGAGGAAGGGGCTTGGACTAGGCAATCTGCAGGTGGAGGCACTGGATCGGTCGCCATGTTACTAACGAGTGCCAATCACGAACATCCACTTCATGTCAAACTTGCACTTGGACATGGGAAGCGCATCTACCGGCTCCAGAGTCGTGACGTACTTGCAGACTCTGGCAACCATCGCAGTGGTTGTGTATTTGCAGAGATGAAAGATCTTCAACCAGGCCTCTACACCATCATCTGCTCACTCTTTGAAGCCGGGCAGACTGGTGACTTTAGCCTTCGAATCGACAGCACGAGCGATGTAGTGCTTAAGCCGATTCCTCGCGATGGGGCAGGCCTGTTGTCCATGAAGCTGTCGCCAGCCTGCTTTGGGGCGAATGTACACAAAGTGGCGGCACCGTTGCTGCCGCACCGGCTAGCTTCGTACACGATCATCGCTAGGTTCCTGAAGGCAACCAGCCCTCGTTCGCTTGACCTGGGTAAGCTTGCACGTAGCCCGCTGCGGCTGAGCGTTGAGATTGGCCGGGGTCCTGAACGCAAGTTCGTGGTTGCTAGCGAGCGTGGGGAGTATGCCGACGCGGCTACTGTTCGGTCCGATAGTGTCAATATTGACCCAAGACTGACGAGCCAAGGCGATATGTGGCTCGTCCTGGACAGGCTTTCAGGACCTGGGGAACCGGTGGAAGAGTGGTATGATGTTGAGATTTACACAGATGTACCCCAGGCATGTTCGATTGGTGTATGGCGCGAGTGGAACGATTGATGAGATGGTGAGGTTGGCTGGGCACATGTCGAGCAGAGTCCGACTTGGTAACGGTGTGATGCCAGAATTTGAGCACGAAAAGATGGAAGCGATGGGTTTGGAGTTTGGAATTGGGGACATGGCAGGGTGCAAGTGACAGATGGCTAGTCAGATGAATGCATGACCCGGTCAGCCAACTCATATTGGCAGTCATTATGATTGTGTCGGAGGCTAAGGTTTTTGCAGACGGCTTGGTCCAGACAAGTTCTGAGCCAGCATCGGCATCGGATAGGCCTTGTGAGTGAAGATTGAAGTTCTGAAGCATAGGCACGACGCCCGACCGCTGGCTATGCAGGGTACCTATGCTATTGCGTCTTATGTACCTATATGTATCCGAAGATGATGATGATGAAGAAGATGGACAGTGTGAATAGCGATGCGTGGAACGAAGGAGACTTTTGTTTGATATGATGCTATGTAGTAGTAGGCCAGATGTGGCTTGTTTGTGTAACGGTGGTCAGGCGCGCGAGGTAGTAGAGGGTGGGTAGGGACTGGTGTCAAGGTGTGTCGAGGGCGGTGAAAGAGGATCCAATCAATGGCAGCACGATCCTGCGGGGGGCCAGCTCATACGCGCGCAAGCATGTTGGGCATGTTGATGGCCTCGGAGGTAGTATCGTCTCTGTTCTGATCCATTTACTGTACCGGTACCTAGTTGATCCTTGTGTTCTTGCTCGTGGACCGACGCTGGATGCTGCCGCTCTCTCTCTCTCTCTCTCTCTCTCTCTCTCTCTCTCTCTCTCCACCGATACCCCGCCAACGCCGGCAACTGAGACAAGGTCAAGCATCTCTTCGGCCCCACGACGTCACAGCGCCGCCACGATTTCACTAGCGTTGCCTGCACCGACCTCTGATCGCTGCTGCTGACGCCGTCGCCATACCGTCTACCCGACATCCAGCCCTGTATTGTATACAAGACACCTTTGGCCCGCTGTGACGCCCTTCTTGTTTCTTTCTTTCTTTGGTTCGCCTTCACGCACACATACATACACACGTACACATACACATACACATACACATACTCACACACCGTGATCTACCAAGAGAGAAAGAGAAAGATCAGACAGAGATAGAGAGATAGAGAGCAACATGGCCGACCTCGCGCCTGCAAGCGCCGCCCAGTCGCTGTCTACCACGGCCTCTGCCTCCAACTCCACACAGGCCTCGAGGGCTACCACACCCACCGGCGCACCGGCGGAGAAGCCACCGGATGACAGCTCCAAGTTCAAGACCTTCTTGGGCATCTTGAGGAGGTAACGCCACACCGCCCGGCCATATGGCAGCTCGCCACAGATATGAGAACAAGGGGAGCTCCATAAGCACGCATGGCTGACGCAAGCGTTGTATAGGTTCATCGGCGTGTCCGACCTCGCTGCCGTCCGATTCTCCTTGCCCGCACAGCTTCTCGAGCCCCGACCGAACCTAGGTAGGATACACTCGCCGTGTGCGCGGGCCTGCAAGGGTATCCGCGGCTTTGGTCTGGCACACAATCTGACTCGTAGCAGAGTATTGGCACTACCTGGACAGACCAGATACCTTCATCAGGTCAGAAGATGCGCTTATGAGACAGAGAGTACGTGCTAACCTGCGACAGCATTGGCGATTCAGATGAAGATCTCGGCCGCATGCTGGGATGTCTGCGCTTCTGGTTTACCAAGGACCTGGTATGCCGTGCGTCCCACTAGGAAGACGTTGCGCTGACGAACAAGTAGAAATACGTCAAGGGTAAACCATGCAAGCCCTACAACTCCACACTGGGCGAATTCTTCAGGGTAGATACCACAGCCTCATACAATATGCTTGCCGCTGACATTCCACAGTGCAACTGGAAGATCGAAGATACCCACCCTACTCTCAAGACACCAAACTCGGCACCCTCGAGCCGCGCAAGCAGCGTCAAGGGGGATAACAAGACCGTCACCGTTTCCTACATCACCGAACAGACCTCCCACCACCCCCCCGTTTCCGCCTTCTACGTCGATTGCCCTGAAAAGGGCATCAGCGCGAGGGGCTACGATCAACTCAGCGCAAAGTTCACGGGCACGAGCGTGCGCGTCTCTGCTGGAGCACACAACCTAGGCATCTTCATAACCCTCAAGAACAGGGATAATGAGGAATACCAGCTCACACATCCGGCCGCGTACTTGGGCGGTTTCTTGAGAGGTTGGTAGTCACGCAAGCCTGGCTCGGGAGCCCTTGCTAACACATGACCAGGTACACTCAATGTCTCAGTCGCCGACAGCTGCTACATCACCTGCCCAAGAACCGGGCTCAAGACCATACTAGAATACCAAGAAGAAGGTTGGCTCGGACGATCACAGAACAAGGTCATTGGAGTCATCTTCAAGTACGACTCGAAGAATGACAACATCACCAAGGTCAAGGATGTTCCCGAAAAGGATGTTCTTGCACGGATAGAAGGCTGCTGGCAAGATAAGGTCTACTACACCCTTGGTAGCAAGCCCTTCAACAAGGTTCCAGTAAGCACCACACATATTTGTGTCCCACAGTTGACTCTGACAATATTCCAGGAAAAGCACCTCATCATCGACGTCAACCCTCTCGAGCCCATCCCAAAGATTGTCCCTCCTCTCGAAGAGCAGCTCCCCAACGAATCCCTCAAGTTTTGGGAAGGCGTGACCAACGCCATAGTAGGCAAACAGTACACCCTCGCCACCAGCCTCAAAACCGAGATCGAGGAGAAGCAAAGAGCCAAGGCCGCCGAGCGCAAGGCCGCCGATAAAGAGTGGAAACCTCGCTTCTTCACCGGCTCCGTCACCCCCATTGGCAGACCGGATCTCACCCCCGACGGCGAAGAGGCGCTCCGGGGTCTGCACGTGGAGAAGTACCAACTCCCGCATAACAAGGAGTATGCGGCTTTTTAGAGGACCTCGGGTTTGGCTTGGTTTGCGAAATGGAAGAGTTTGAGAGTGCTGTATTTGGGGACTTTTTGGGGGAGAGGGGAGGGGAAAGGCAAGCATATATGCATGCAATATATACATGCTACCGTCTCTGTGGGCTGGATGGGGATTGTCAGGATTCCATGATTAGATCGACTGTACTGTACTGTTTACTGTCGCTTGGGCATCGTTGTTTACCCTGTTGGGTCTTTTTTTTGTTGGACACATGGGAGGGATAGGGGGGGGGGGGAGGGAGGGGTGAGAGAGAGAGAGCATGTCCGCTTGGCGTTTGACGAGATGTCTGGGATGTTATTTCCCTTGATTTTCTTTCTTGGGTTTTTTGTACTTGGGATAGATGTATGGCGGTTTTTTTTCTTCTTCTCTTTTTTTTGTGTAGCTGAATGCTTTTCTCTGCTTTTTTTGGTGGGTTGGTGGGGTTGACGGGGTGGAAGTTGGGGGTTGTGGTGAATAAGGGGGGAAGGTGTAGAAGGGCAAAGGGAAGGGGAGGGGAGGTGATAAGGGTATCTTGAATGGCGTGAATGTGAATGTGAATGTGAAGTGGATTGGAATAGCATATCCCCGTCTTGATGTGTTGCTGTATCTTGGGTATTACAGTTCTTAGGCACATTCTTTCCCACCTCCCTCTCCCCTCTATCCCTCTAATACCCCAACCACCTCCCCCCAGCATAAGCACAACTATCCCATCACCCTACCATCCCACGTACCTCTCCCCACCCCCCCTCCCACAGACCCATGCATTTCACCACCCCTCCGTATTCCCTTAACCGCAACACCAATACTGCTCTTGAAGATGTGCTATCCAAATTAAATGAATAGTTTTGCAGTGTGCATCTTGTATTGCGCCGGCTGGGATTGCAGGTATGGTGGTATGATGGTATGAAAGTGGGGAGAAGTTTCTTGTATAATAATATGGAGAGATGGCGTTGCTACTGCACCATGTACGGAATTTCTGGAATGGGATTGGTGATGTTGTTGGGGAAGGGTGGTGTGGTTGAAGGGTTCAAGGATACTACACAGCTACTAAGTAGTACCACCACAGATATAAAGATTGTAGGGCTGGATTATGCCGGTTGTGTTGGGTATTGAGGATTAGGTAGTTGGGACTTGAAAATCTAGAACCTAAAATGGTACCCTTGTGCTGCGTATATTTCCGCCCCAGGCATATTAGAATTCCAAGATATCCAGTCCCTGCGTCCATTCTCCTGCGTTTGTTACCCTGTACAGATGTTGTCCGGGTCTTGGGTACGGGGGTGATTGCATGTGTACGGTACCGGGACAAATACTGCGTTTGTGGGATGGCATGTGCCAACGCAACCCCATCGCAAGGAGCAGGTACGCAGATTGGGAATGTCTTTCAAAGCCGGGAGTTTGGGATTGGGATTGGCATGTCTATTTAACAGTTTGGAATGATGTACCGGTAGGTAATTTACCCGGCTCGTCCGCCATGGCTAGCTTACCCATCCTTGCACCCCACAACTTCCCCAACTCCCAACGTCCCACCTACCCATCCACACAGACCGATGGAATCCCCAACCGACCTCGCAGCTGCACAAGACGCGGGCCTTGACAAGTGCCGACCCCCGATGCAAACTGCGAATCCGGCGCTGGCGCACAGACTGTCTCGGACTGTTTTGGAAGTGCATGAATTGGGGAGGCGAGTGACGTGATGTATGGGATGTGGGGGGGTATGGGGTTAGATACCGTACTCTAGCCTGGGCGGGAGGATCTTGGGGATATCGAGGTCCATGTAGCCCTTGTATTCCATTCACACTTGATCGGGATATTTTCAATTCACCGAGGGTAGACTGTGCGATTCACGATTTGTCAAAGCAAGACGCAGACAAGAATGATATGCAGAGATGGAATTTTTCTACGCTGGATTACCTTCGTGGGGATGCATGTATACATGGTCTCGTGGATGATGGTGGGGCCGGCTGCAGCTGCTCGCAGCTGGAGTATAATACTGTGCCGTGAAAGCTGAGAAGATTACGCAAGGGAGCCAAAAAAAAAGAAAGAAAAAAAAAGGACCAGTCGACTAGAAATGGAGGATGTAGAGAGAGGGGGATCGGGGGGCAATTATGTACAGTGGTAGTAGTGATGATGAATTTGCAAAAAATGCAATTCGCTTCAATGGAAAAAATAGTTAATATGCAAATGGTATACCTGGTTTGATTCTCCTCCTTCTCCCTTCATCCCTTCCTCTTCATTGACAGCACTTGTCTCGTCTCTCCACACAAAACCCCCATGTCTAGAAATTCTCCTTGCCCCACACAAAGTTAAAGCCAGGCTCGGAGTACTTGTTACACTTAATATGCAGTGTTGAGCCGAGACCCTTGGGGCCGCAAAAGAAGACTCCAGCTTCGGCGGGACTGTGGATCTTGCGGATGGACTTGAAAATCATGTCCCAGTTTGGACGGCCGAAGTTTGTGGGCGCGCGGAGACCGGTGATGGCGTCTTGTTCGGCGTTGGCATCGTTGATCATGATGTTGGTTGCGTCGTCTGCTTTGATCTTTGCGGTGAGGTACTGGAGGAGAGGAAGGAAGGAAGCATGTTAGTCTAGTGCCCTAGCAAGACGATGCAAGGAACGAGGCAAAAGGACTTACAGTGTGAATCTCAATGTGGTCTTCGGTGTCCTGCGCTTCAATGGCTAGGAGCAAGGACCTGAACCATTCGAAGGATCCAAAGTCTCTGCAGACCCAGAAGAAGTAGACTTTTCGCAATCGTGTGCGTGATTGAGGGTAGTTCATCCGGTACCAGATACTCTTCAAGATGGAGGCAAAGGGCGTGACACCGATTCCAGCACCAACGAGGACGGCAACTTCGAACTTGAACACATCCTCGGAGGCGGAGCCAAAAGGTCCGTCAATGTAGACTCGAGGTAGGATCTGACGGAGTGCAATTTCCTCACTGGCTCCACCTTTTTCGCCTTTCTCGCCACCAGGCTTCTTGTCGACGTTGCAGCCGAGCGCTTGTCCAAACGCCTTGGTGAAGTTACCGACCATGCGAATGTGTACGGAAATGTAGTCCTCCTCGGGCGCGCTGGTCAGCGTAAAAGGATGGTACTGCCAGATCGAGACCTCTGGGCAACACAGAAAAATGTACTACGGTTGTCAGTATGGGAGAGGTCCAGTGAGATTCCCATTTACGGTCACATACCTGTCCAGCTCGGGTCTTTGTGTGCTCCTTTTTAATCTGCACCTCGCACACATTGCTGGGATGCTGGATGACCTTGGAAATATAGGTCTTGTGTCGTCCCCGAATTTCACGCGAAATGCGCTCGGCCAGATAGGCAAATCCTCCGTACATCCAGTACTCCCAGAAAACGCCAATACCGTCGCAGAGTGGCGCAAAGTCGGGTGTGATCATGCAGAAAGCGCCGTGGATGGACCAGAAGAGGAAGAAGATGATGAAGAAGTGGTGCGTGTACCAGAAGCGCTCAAAGTTGGCTCGTCGCGCCTTTTCCGCCGCGGTAAGCGCAATGGCCATGAGCGCGAGCAGCATCACGTAGCCACTCCATCCTGGGCCCGTGGCAAGATTGGCCAAGATGAAGCCCATGAATCCGAGGTTGTTGGCGGCGGAGAATCTGGCGAGATTGTTCCAGTGCGCAATCGTGTGGACCCAGGAGAAGAAGACAATGGACCAGGCAACCAGCTTATGGAAGGTGATGTTTTTGTCGAAAGGAATGATGTCGTTTAAAGGTGTGCGTCGGGCCATGGAAATGAGATTTCTGCATACGGGGAACAGGATGAATGCTACGTCGACATGGAGGACCAGAGCAGCTGAACGAGCAATGGGGAATGTTGCGCCGAAGAGGGCTCTTGCGTTCATCGAGTTGTCTTTGAACCCGTAATTCATCATTCCAAAGGTGAAGACCATGATGTGTAATATGACAAATGTGAAAACGAAGCTACAATCCGTTAGTCGTGCGACCTACGGTAAAAGGATGATTATCTTACAATCTCCGGTAACCCTCGTTGACCATCCACACATCAAACTTTTCCTTTCTCGTCAACTCCCGGCCTTTTTCATCCGACATCTCGCCAGACATGAGCATGCGTGTCAGCGGCGGCCATCTTGATCGCTCGCGACCCGTAAGACTGCTGGTATAGCTAGACATGGAGATAGGGATTGTGGGTATAACAGGCGTGATGCCTCGAGTGATCGGTGTAGATCTTCAGACCTGCTGAATTTGGCCCAAGTTTAAAAGGAATGGAAGAGTGTCGAAGTATCTATGATTTGGTTAGGCTACAGTCGTCCCAACATCACCGGCGACGCCACGATGTTTTGGCTACCAGTGGACAGATTGATGAACTTACTAAAGTGCCTGCACAAAGAAGTGAAAAGTAAAGGCAGTCTATCACCCGGCTAACGAAGCACCGGCATGAAGCCAGGAGACTATAGGGAGGAAGGGGAAACAAAAGTCTATAAGCATACACAGAGCAGTGAACAGGGTGAACAGTGGCGGACAATCGTACTCAGGTCATCATCTGCAGCATAAGCAGCGCAAGCCAGGACGAGGGGAAGTGAATGGCAGGCGACCTAGGTAGCGGAACAGTAGCAGAAATCGAACCACTTCAAGATCTTTGCACTGGGGACATGCAACAGAATGGGCTCCACGGGCTACAGAGAGCGCATCGTCCAGGGCAAGGCATGGCGAATGAAAGGCTCAAAAAGGGCACAGCGGAGCAAGGAACCATGCCAAGACCATGCTCTGAAACCCGAATTGGCATGGCATTCTGCCTGTGCCATGGAAAAATGGCAAAAAGGAGGTGTTTGAAAGACGTCGGAGGTCGCAGCGCTAAAACGACCCTGGTTTGAGGTTGGCGCTTAACTCGACGTTGACCACCCCCGTGACCGACTCGCCCAAGAGCCTCATTGCCGAAGTTTGGCCTCTCCTCGCGTCGGCCATTTGCACTTTTTTCCGATTGTATCTGTCAAACGGTTCGGTAGACGGCTATAACGGAACGACGATGGTTCGCGAGACGCCGTTGACAGGTCTTGGGCTTGGGGTTGACAGGCCAAGGTTTGGGCCTGCGTCTTCGGTTGGAGAACCGTCGCGATTCTCGATGGGACGACGTCTCACGTGTTCAGCTGCTCACCTCTCTTGTCCAGGTGGGGGGGGGGGATACCTCGTACATACCTACTGTACCATCTACACACGAATGCCCAACCCAATTGCGACATTCAGCATGTTTGCATTCTATGTAATCAAGCATCATCTGTGAACCCTTGCTTGATAAGCACGTTTCAACTGCCGCTTTCTGTTACCATAGACATGATCAAAGGAGCGTCCGGCATGACGAAATCTACCCTTATATCTGTCCAAACAGCTCGAGTCTTGGGATCAAACAAGCTTCCATAAGCTTCGCCCGTGGCTCCCCGGTGAAACAACCACGGCACACAGACTTTCTCCAATAGCATCACACACACCTCGACTTAAATGCCGGTAGAAAAGCCACAATATAAACAAAGCATTGACAGAACAAGACAACGAGGAATTGTCAGAGCCGAGAAATATGTCATTGAGCCTCTTCATCTTGCAAGCTATGTACGCGATTCGAACAAAAGTCACCCAAGCAATTGCGATTTGGTGTTGAACGGCCGTCAACTAATTGTGACCCTTGCTAGCCATCTCAAGCAGGCTGGCCGCCATATCCGAGTCCTTGGGTCTGGGAGCCACTGCATTCATGCACGCGGTGTGTACGCAGTGCTTGAGCCAGGTCGCGGGTCGTCCCTTCTTGTCTGGATTTATAAGCGGGATATCGTAATGTTCCGCGCAGGCCAATGGACAAATAGCTAAGGTGAATCGGTCTTCGCCAGGTTTACCTAGGTGAATGTGTAGAATTGATGTTGTCCATGGACATGATGTTGCAAAGGAGTTGGTTTGTTACTATTTCGCTACTGACGGGATGCATTCGATACTATAAATGCAAATCAGGGGTTGTCATCATGTCGGTGAAAGAAGGCTCGCAAACAGGACTGGGATACAACAACACAAGAGTAAACTATCAACTGAGGGCCACATGCCATGCGAAGCTGAACACACGAACAGTGCAACACTTGCAGGGTGAAATATTGCCAAGGCATTCGCTACGTGATATATAACAATTGTGTACTTGAAAGATGACAAGAATATGTCCGGATATCTCTGATTAATTAGGCATCTTCCCTCTCAAGTTTGGTCCCCTGGTGCAACTCCATTGCTGGCTGTTGTCGTGAATATTTCGTCGAGCTTGGCGGCGGGAACCTCTAGTTGCCTCCTGAGATGTGGATTTCAACGGGGTGCTGGACGTTTGGAGATTCATACGACTCATGGTGAACTTTTGGATTGAACATGTTTGGCTGCCATCGAGTGTTGATGGATGCCATCGTGGCCGGTCACGGCTTGCAAGTTTTGTGCCTCTCTTTTGGGTATCGATGCCCAAGTCCATTGACCTTGCGACTACCGCTTGATGAAGCCAAGGAGTTTTCCTTTCTTGGCGTTGGGGTCCTTCTTCTTGGGATACATCTTCGACGTGACGAAGTTGATGTACCAGATCAGAGCGCCGAATATTGAGAGACCAAAGATGACAAGGAAGAGCGCAATGACTGGCCGGCCGTCTGCTTGAACTGAGCGAAGAGCGGTGGGTGTGAGAATCGGTGCGAGCCATTCGAATGCCATTGTGCGTTATTCCAGGGAGGGTGTAGATGAATCGAAAGAGTAGCGAGGGTGACGGGATGGTAGAGTGGAGACTCGGCTTGATTATTACGTAGAAAGACAGCCGGCTGCCAAAAGAAAAAAAAAAGAACTAGTCGCTAGCGACAGTAAAGAAACGAAGTCAGGTTGGAGGAGGTGGAAATCTACGTATTCGTATCGACATGCGCGAGACTGCGTGGCTAAGTGTTCAAGTACATGGCTCGTTTTCCGGGCTCGACCACGGCGCGTCGGCAAAACCAGTCTTGTTTCGAGAGTGGCCTGATCTCACGATATGCCCAGAGATTTGCATAATTGTTTATGGGCCATGCCATGCAGAAGTCTTGTTGTGACATGTTGGTCGCACGCAGTCGACGTGATATGCCGATTGTTTCATCTCCCAGGGCGGCCAGGCGGCCCAGGGGCAGCTTGTGAGACACTGTAGTTACGGATTGAGCCGTTGTCCGATGTCCAAGTCCAGACCCTACGGTTGGTCTGTGGCTACGTAGACAATCCGCGCACACCCAGGTTTTTCACCATAAGGTTTGCCGTATGGAAAGCTTAAATCTATTGTCTGGAGTAGATTCGTAATAGGTAGGTACATGGTATGCATCTGCCCCATGAAGTGCTAACCGGTAGGTAGTACCGCTCCTGTGTCAGCAGAGTTACCATCTTCCAACCCAATAAAAGAACTTTATTTGGCTGACGACGATATCAGCAGTAGTCCGGATGAGATGGCTGTACGATGTAATGAACCGTCCTTGGTCTGGGGTTACTCTAGCCAGCGCATTCGAAACTGCAGCCAACGTAGGTATGGCAGGTAGGTAAGGGAAGAAGAAAGCCAAGGGCGGTAAGGTGCGTCAAGGCAATGATTGGGACATGTCCAATGGTCTCCATCCGCTTCCATGATACTGCGGCATGGCCTAGAGTTACAGAAGAGGGGGATGATGGCGTATGAGGAAGGTATAGTCAGAGAGTGTAAGCACTTGGCGACATTGAGGTTGTTTGCATGCTTATACAACAGTAGCCAAAGTCAGGTGTGCAGACGATTGTAGTGTCTCACGTCACGTGCCTCGCCGCCCGGCCCGTCCACCGAAGCGCCTGATTGGGCCAGAAAGAAAATCCCTTCAGCGATCCCGTTTGCCCTGTTCCCCCCCAACGCCAGACCTTACTTTCACATAAAAGACTGGCCAACAGCCAACAGCCCACCTTTTTCAAAAGACACACAGCATTCCCCCACTCTGTGTTTGCTAGCAGGCCTTCGTTACCCATCTGGTGTGTATCGTGCGGGAATTCAATTGACATTTAGGCATCTACACCGAAACGCTTGAACATAGTTTGTCCTTACGGCTTCGCGACGCGTTGCCATTCGCCCACGTCGACCTTCACCTCTAACCAATTGCTACTCATTCTTACTCATTCCTCAATCATGCCTGGACCTCTCAGAACAGATGCGTCCCCTACGGAGAGGCCTGTGTCACGGGACTCGCCGGAACGGGGAAAGAAGCGTGCAAGTATGTACCTGTAGACATGCAAGGCTCCTCGGGTGCTCTCCATTCCAACTCGACCCCTACCCGGCTGCTGCTCGTTGGACCGCACTGACACAGCTGGCTATCCTATAGGGACACAGTCGATGCCGCCACCAGTGTTGCCCAAGCTAGTTACTGAGCAACATGTACCCATCCCGACCACCGACAAAGACTCGCAGCGCCTGATTGTCATCCTGTGCAATGCCACCCTCGAGACATACAAGGCATCCCACGGCTCTGGAAGGGGCCCTGGCGCCCGCGAAGACAAGTACAACCTCCTCAACAGCGACGACCACATTGGTGTCATGAGGAAAATGGGGCGTGACATCGGCGAGGCCAGGCCGGACATCACACACCAAGTGCGTACAGGAGGTGGCTACTCACGCTGTTGTAGGAGCTGATCTAGTGCCGCAGTGTCTACTCACTCTGCTCGACTCGCCCATCAACAAAGCGGGCAAGCTTCAGATATATATTCAGACGTCAAAAAACGTGCTCATCCGAGTGAGCCCGACGGTGCGCATTCCACGAACCTTCAAGCGATTCGCAGGTCTCATGGTGCAACTCCTCCACCGACACCAAATTCGCTCCACGACGTCACAAGAGAAGCTCATCGAGGTAATAAAGAACCCCATCACCGACCACCTTCCACCCAACTGCCGCAAAGTCACGCTCAGCTTCGACTCGGAAGTGGTGCGTGTCAGTGACTATATTGCTGGTCTCGGGCAGGATGAGAGCATTGCAGTCTTTGTTGGTGCCATGGCCAAGGGCAACGATGACTTTGCAGACCACATCAAGGATGACAGCATTGCCATCAGTAACTACAACCTCAGTGCCAGCGTCGCATGCAGCAAGTTCTGTCATGCAGCCGAAGATGTTTGGAACATCTTCTAGTCGGCTCGACCTTCCGGGCGTCGGCCTATCCAGACGGGACACGCCATAGGCTCCAGGGCGACAACTGGCTCGTATCCGTGCAGCCAGGTTAGGGAGAAGACCAGCAAAACCTGACAACAATAGGCAGCAGAGTGTGTTGCATGGCTTAGATCGCAACATCAACAGCCTGTGCGCTTCTGCACTGATTTTGAGCGTCTGCTTGAGTTTTCTTTTACAACAAAACAAAGACTCTGGCTCAACGCCCAACAATCGTTCTTCTTGCGTAAGAACTGGCGGGGCATCTTCAACCTGCCCCGCACCACCTGTCTTTTCTTCCCCTCTTTCACTTGGTGTTGCATGCCCTCTTGTGCGCTAAGCACTGTGCGACCACGTGTCCGCGCAGGCTGGACGACGCCTCCAGCCTATCTGGTCTCTTGTCGGCAGCTAGTGCGTAGGTAGTTGCGGCTGGTTCTCGGTATTCGGCATCTACATACATAGTCGTGCGTGTCTTTAACGCTGGGCTGGCTCTGTCAAGTCCAGCCCGAACAATGTAAAAAGTACTCGGAAATGGCCAGCAGCATTGTGCCGATAATGAGGCTCGCAGCCACCAGCCTGTCAACCTGTTTCCACCCCGCTGTTACTTTGCTATACTACACAAGGTTTAGGGCAAAGGGATGTGCCGCATGGTGCACGTGCTGCGGGAGCCACGGTACGGATGCAAAAGAATGGAGCCTCATTGCTGATCTTCTCCAAAGCATCATGAGGTTTTTTTCAAGAAAGCACGGCATACGGGCAAGTTGTACCGATTCTAGGGGAACGGTGAAGCCCATGATCCTGGATCTCATGGCATGGGCGGACCCTTTTGCGGATCCTCTCGACATACTTGTACATGACCACATGTCCCCATGTCCACCCACCGTCTTTTCTAGACGTCACACCATCTCACATCTTGCATTGCGGCGACAACTGGCGCGCTGCAAAGCTATCCGCCGCATGCGACAATCGGCGCAATCTCGAGAGATCGGAGTGGGTTGTGCAGACCGACAGCACCAACGGCACCAACACCACCAGCACCACCAGCACCGCCAACAGCCCCGACAGCACAGATGTAAGGTGAGGCGTGCACTCATCCTGGGTGGCGTCGCGGATCCGGGAGGCAGCAGAGGACCAATGCGCTTCACTGACCGCTCGCTTACCTACTCGGACAGAGTCGTTAGCTGCAGACGCAGGACATGTGGCAGCAGTAGGGACATCTTGCCAGCGACCTCCTCGTTAGCCAACAGCACTTGTGGGGCCTGCTAGAGACGGCTTTCCCGCAACGGTATGGAATGCCCTGTTTACTGCCATCACGATGCTTCCAGACGCTGCATCTCTACGGGGGTCGCAGATATAAACCCCTACGCTCGTACCGGTACTTTGACTTCTACTGCATCTCACACCCATCTTCTCCCTCCATATCGGATTTCTGTTGCCGTTGTCAATCGTGCAACTGTACTCTGTCGCTGATTTTTTTTGGCTTCTTTGTCTACCCTCATCCTGTCCTTCGTTCTACTGCCCTTCACCGCTACACTGAAATGCCAGTCTCCCACATTGGTCTGACCGTTTCGCATCTTCCAACTGCAACGTCCTTCTTTTTGGCAGCTCTACAGCCCCTTGGCTACCGCTACATTGGCAAATCAGGCGACCAAGTTGGTCTTGGTATTGAGAATGCAGACTTCTTCCTGTGCCAGGAAACCCCTGAGTGAGTATCTCGATTTCATCGCATAGGTTCGGGACTGATAGGGAAACAGTGTAAAGGCTGGCGCCGCACATATTGCCTTCACCGCTCCAAGCTCCACGGCCGTTCGCAATTTTTACACCGCTGCATTAAATGCTGGCGCGCGTCCCAATGGAGCACCCGCCGCCCGATGTGCCGACAAGAGTCAATTCAACGCTGCGGTGCTTGATTTTGATGGTAACAGCATTGAAGTCGTCTACCGAGAGGGACCAGACATGAAGGACGACGGCACCGTCGTCACCCACAGCAGGGTCATCAAGTGGCAGCGCTCCTCCTTGGGAAATCATCGTGATGACAGAAGTGCCGTCAGTTCCCGTGCTGCGCCCGAGGTCCCAGCAAACGCGGAATCGGTAGCCTCCAAAGCAACAAATGGAAATGGAAACATCAACATCAATATAACACAGCCTGCTGCCCAACAGCCTGCGAAGAGTGGCGAATCGGGAACCAAGACGCTGATTGGAACCCTCCTTGGTGCTGCAGCCGGTGCTGCTGTTGCATATGCAATGGTCAACAGCGAACGTGACAGCGCGAAGAAGGAATCAGAGTTCAACGCGTACATGGTCGCCAAGGATACGGTGAAGGCTGCTGTGGGCCATCTCGCTCAGGCCTCATCCCAGCCCCAGCTGCCCCAACCGGCAGACCCACAACCCGCTACTCAGACCGCACCTCCACCGCAGTCAGTACACCGCAACATCGACGCGCAGTCGTACTATTCTTCTTCACCGTCCCAGCCACCTAGCAATTACGCTCCAAGGCAGATTGAGGCAGCACCCTCGAGTTACTACCAGCCACCGACTTACACGTCCGTGCCCCCTACGCAGGTTGCAGAGCCACGGGCCATCGAATATGTACCGGCATACTCGGTTGCGCCATCGCAGGCGCAGTCGCAAGCATCGCAGGCGCGCTCAAGAGTCCCCGCTTACCGCTCTCAAACCAGCCCTGAGCTGTTGACGATGGAGAAGGCAAGAAGTGTCGCATCGACACTGAAACCCGAAACTGTCGTCTCAAATGCGAGATCATCGAGAAGCGCCGCTCAGAGTACTGCTCCCAGCGACTCGGAGAGCAGCTACTCAAAGTCGAAATCGAGGAACCGTGCTCACAGTGTTGCCCCCAGCGATGCTGAAAGCGGGGTCACAAAATCGAGGTCCAGAAGCCATGCTCCTCCCAGTGTTGCCGCTAGCGATGCCGAGACCGTACTTGAGAAAGGAAAGTCTAGAAATCTCCAGTGTTATGCACAGAGTGTTGCACCTAGCACCCTCATCTCTTCCTTTGTGCCTGATCAAGTCGAAAGGAGGAGTAGCGCGGGTAGCATTCAGTCGTATCACTCAACCCAGTCCAAGACCAAGTCAACTGCCTCTCACTCATCTAAACACTCCTCGCATCCAAAGCACGGTAGTAGTCGTCACAGAGATGGTGAGGAAAAGTCTTCTCCACCTCCACCTGAGTCCAAGGCTCCTTCGAAAGTTGGCAAGGCCGCCTCGATGATCAGTAGTTTCCTTGGGCGCGACAAGTCAAAGGCCGGCGAAGATTACGACTTCATTGACGACCTTGACATTGAAGAGCTCACTGAAGATGACGACGATCTGAGCACCGTCGTGCCCAGTGACAGCATCTCGCAGATCGGCGGGCCTCCCCGTCGCCGCAAGCATCGCCGCAGAAGCGAAAAGGAGGCTGAAGGCTCCGTCCTCGGCCACAAGAGCCGCAAGGACTCCGACTCGATCATCAGCAAACAGAGTTCTTCCTCTAAACACAGCAAGCGACCCCATCACTCCCACCGCTCAAATTCTCACCACTCGGAAGACGCTGCCGATGACGAGGACTCCTCTCGCGCTCGTCGTAGCTCCCGTCCCTCTACTGTCTCAGAGGCTAGCGACGCTAGCACTGTCAGACCTGTCAAGGCCGAAGGCTCGGGCTCCTCCAAGGCTGGCACTAGGAAGGATTCTGTGACCCAGGGACAGTACGATGGCTTGTGGGATCAGGTGCAGTATGGAACCGGTGACGTTGCCGTCCGCGGTATCACGCCTTCGATGGTTTCTGCAGCCAACAAGAACAAGACCAGGACCATGATTGGCTTCAATCACGCGCAGAAACAGCGCGTTTTTGAAGGCGCGTCCTCTTAGATTGCGCGGTTTGGTATGAAGTCGATGGAAGTCCGTCATGTTGTACGAGTGGCACGATGTATAGACGTTGATACGACAAAGGGTGGGTGGTTTGGCATCGATGGATGAAATGGGTAGGGAGAGGAGTCCACCTCCTTTGCCCCTCGCTGACATTTTGCATTGCCCTCTTCTTTTTTTATCGTACATTGCATTTGCATTGCTATTGCATTTTAGACTTCTTCTTCTCAATCTCTTCCTTTTTCCCTTCGTCATCACTCATTGTTGCATGTTGTTGCAATGTTTGTCAGGGGTTTTTCTTTTTCTCAAACACAAACACAAGTACATGTATCAAGGTGGAAACAGGGGCTGTTTTGCTATGTACAGACTGTCGCTAAATTCAATACATATGCAGTAACGGCTGCTTTTTGGGACTTTGGTTTCTCTGGTTCTTCTTCTGTGATTCGTGATCCCTGGCTCTGACCTTTTTGAGATGGCTTTACTGTTGAGAAAGGGTGTGGGGTGTAGGTGTTGGTTTATATCTAAGACCCTCTTCACTCCCTGCCAACACCTCTACGTACCTTCCACAACATCGCTCATCTCATCCCCCATATCTACAATCCTACCTACGCACAACAGCATCTCAACTATCATCCCGAATTACTACTTCTCCAGATCCAAGATTGCATCTATCACTACTTGCAGGATATCGTAGTCATCCTTTCCAAGTGAAGGGAGGATTCCGATACGATCTGCTTGTGAATACTTCCTGTGGTGGTGTCGGGTACATGGACTTGATGATTCGCGCGATACGAGTAGACGAAAGACATGTAAATCCGACTTAACAACCAACCTAAATACTCTAATGAAACCGTACAGTTCTACCCTGACTAACCCTACTTATTGAACAATTTTTTTTATCACACGCATGGGCTACGTGCGCCCTGAACCCCAAAATATACCAGTCCGTCATTGAAAGCCGCACTATACGATACACACACGAACCAATACCCAACACCACCCGCACCCTCATCCACCCCATCCCCCTTCAAAACAAAAGCAGTACCCCATACCCATCCCCCATCCCCCCTCCCAACGCCCCTTCTACATTCCATCCCCTACAATCACCCCCAGCCCATCACACCGACACCGCACCCCCACCACACGGCCTCTTCTTCACCCGCCTCCACGACACTTCTCTCGGGAACAAGGCCTCGGGCGGGCCCTGGCCTGGATCGCAATCCCAGCACTCGCCGCCGCGTTCGCGGGTGACGTAGGTTTGGAAGTCGCAGGTTGGGTGGCGGTGGCAGTTGCGGCGGATCCAAAAATCGTGTTTGCAGGAGATGTGGCGGAGGGTTACTTTTGTGCACATCTTTTTTTTTGGATGGTGGAGTGGGGGGCATGTGGGTGGTGTGGAAGCGTTTGTGCGGGTTTTTTTGTGGTTGTTATGTTGAGTCGTTTGCTGAGGGTTGGATGGGAGGGGTTGTTGTTGTTGTAGGTCCACTGTTTTCTTGGTTGTGGTTTTGGTCTTGGTGGTTCTTCTGGTCTTGGTGGTTCTTCTGGTCTTGGTGGTTCTTCTGGTCTTGGTGGTTCTTCTGGTCTTGGTGGTTCTTCTGGTCTTGGTGGTTCTTCTGGTCTTGGTGGTTCTTCTGGCCTTGGTGGTCTTTGGTTCTTTTTGGTCCCTTTGGTATGAACGGGCTGTAGGTCTAATAACCCTCGATAAATCAGTGGGAAGGAGCCCTTTTTCAATGCCGCATTGTGTTTCAGTATCTTTGAAGTAATGTTTAAACGATTTCTCGATGGTGTTGTGTATAGTAGGATAGAAGAGGTCTTAGGAGCCCAAGTTCATTTACGCTGCATCACCCCCGCGGAAGACTTCACTTTGAATGTGTCCTTTATACGAGGCAGAAGGTTTTAATAAATCCTTGTGGTTTGTTCAGGAAGCTCCTCGGGTCCCTCTGATCGTCGTGTTGGTCAAAAGATGCGGTCTTTGCCATATAAAACACACCAGAATCGCTACGCTTCGTCGAAGGCACGGAACTCTCCGCTTATAATTAAATCCTGGCGTTGGTAGTATTTGTAAATTGCGGTCCCAACAGCAGTATAAAGTGAATTCGGCCACCAAATGCCTGAAGGAGGAAACCCACGATAGGCCTCCACGAGGCTAAGACAGTGACTCGGGGCCAAACCAGCTCACCACTAACCTTGAGCTCTTTATCTGTAAAGCAAACCCCCGCACTGACTCAGCAAAAAACAATCAATATATGTCGTGTTGGCTCCAACCCAGTTCTGATTCGAGGTCCAGCTCGATCGCCGATTCACCTCACAACGGGCGGTTACTGCCGAAATTTCTTCAGCTCGCGGCCTTACCGCATGTGACGTCCTGCAGATGCAGGCTTGTCCCATTTTCGACTGTGATACGGTGAGTTGGCAACAATCAAGCTTTTGAGGGATGGAGTGTTGACGAGCCCTGCGTCTGGTGTCTTCTTCACTGCCAAGCTTTTATATCATCGCCGATGCTCCCATGTTAGCCTTGTTCTTGAAAATAATGCCGAGTTTGCTCCGGAAATTTTGGGAATCTCGTGAACATAAAGGGTTGCCGGTAGCCGTTGACGATATTGTTGGTGGTATTGGGACGAATGTCATCAGTTTGCTGCCATGTGTGGTCATTGGTGCTGAAAGACTCGATCGCCGGTCTATCTATGATTTCAGGAATTTTTTCCGGGCGCGTATTCAGATTGACTTTAGACATTATAAGAAATACTGTGTTGATTCCGGCGTTTCAATGCGCAGTAACCAGTGTAGGCTGGGCAATGTTGCAGCTTTGTGAGATTCATCAGAACAACGATAGGATTTTGGAAGCAGCTGGACAATGAAAGAAAAAAAGAAAAGATATAAAGGATACGGCTACCAATCATCTAAGTCAAGTAAGTCATTTTGTTTGAAAGAAAAGCAAGTGATTAGGAGAGTGCGCGCTGAGACAGGGCTTGGCGTTGATATCGAACTATGCGTGTAGGTAGATCCATTAAATTCCATCAACCGTTTGAGACAAAACATCATCGATGCCGATCTGACGCATTAACAGGGACTGTTACATGCCTCGCCTTCACAGCCAAGGACGGAACGAAGAGATTTTGTGATGAGAGCATACATTGTAGTTACAAACCATCCCCACATCGTACTGATCACGGGAAAAAACAAGACCGCGGGACTCAAAATGGCTGTTTAAGTCAATTGTTGAAACGCAGAAAGGTTGACTTAGCCGACTTTTCTGAGCAGTAGCCCATCGTGGATCTCCGAATGATCCGAAGGAGGAAGCGGCCGCTCCACTCCTAATGGTTCCGTTCTCTCTCGTAGGCGATCAGACATTCTAGGTATATATGGAACATCCGAGACAATTAAGATATCGATAGATGAGCTGGAACACTGCTCGCAGTCTTGCGTGGCAATCGCAATCTGCTCCTAAACGGTAGCGTCAGCAATTTATGAGTCTAGAACTTATGCTGTACGTACTGAATGTATGTCATCGACTCCATCAACTTTCCTGACTCTACTGCATTGGATCACCGGCGGCGAGAAGTCGCGTTGATGCATTGAGATTGGTGTTTTGATTTGTTTGGAGGGAGTGTCGCTTGTAAAGAAATTGTATGATAAATCTAAAGGTATGTTTCAAGCCGTATCTCATACATGTCAGGAGACGCCTGATTATCTCTAGGGACTGGTGCGCCCACCCCTATATGTACTATTCTATTCGTGAATAATCCATATTCATGGATTATACGCACCTTTTTGGTTGTTTGGCACAGTGGGAATAGACACCGTGTCCTAACAATACATATACCCGCTTGCTCTGGTGTTGAAGTGTATGTTGAATGTTTGTATCGACAAGCTCCAACAAACGTGTCGGCTTTTTTGGTAAAGTTTAAGTGAAGGAGCGAGAAATTTGATGAGGAATAGTAGCATGAAAAACCTGGAGCATTGCTAGCTGGCTTTCAACGTCGAGCATACAGAGAGCATCTGCGCTGAACGTGTGAATGCTATATTTGTCCACATGCATGTCAAGTAAGGGTCGCAGTAATAGATGCTGCTTCTCCAGCGTATGAGATGAGGACCAGAAATCTGAATGCAGATTTCCACACCTCTGACCATTGTCATGAATGAACCATGACATGATGGCCATCCACATCATATGTTTTGTGTCGTAGAGGCCATGGGAGGGGGTCGAGCGCAAAGCACTAGATCGGATAGCAGCCGCGACCATGTCGCATCTAGTAAAGCGCCGCCAAGAACTCGCTTGCGCTCCCCACCATCGCTCGTTCAATATCACAGTTCTTGTCGAACTTTTTTCCCTCTACCAACCTCGACAATAGTCACTCTAAGGATCAGACTCGATTGACAACCTTACGTACTAGCCATGCGTGAGTATCATCATTCTGATCGGCTGCGACAGCCAGGCTAATAGAACCCAGCTCCCAAGTTCGATCCCTCCGAGGTTAAGGTCATCCACCTCCGTGCGACTGGTGGTGAAGTCGGTGCTTCCTCCGCACTTGCCCCCAAGATCGGTCCTCTCGGTCTGTCGCCAAAGAGTATGTCTTCCAGATCCCCCAATGACAGGAACATGGCCAATCCACAATGCGACATAGAGACTAATTATCTTCACAGAGGTCGGTGAAGATATCGCCAAGGCCACTGGTGACTGGAAGGGTCTCCGTGTCACGGTCAAGTTGACCATCCAAAACCGTCAAGCCGCCGTCTCTGTCGTTCCCTCCGCCTCCTCGCTCGTCATCAAGGCCCTTAAGGAGCCTCCCCGGGACCGCAAGAAGGAAAAGAACATCAAGCACACCAAGAGCGTGCCTCTCGATGAAATCATCAACATTGCCCGCACCATGAGGTTCAAGTCCATGGCTAAGGACCTCAAGGGTACCGTCAAGGAGATTCTCGGAACTGCCTTCAGCACTGGTTGCCAGGTTGACGGCCGTAGCCCCAAGGACATCTCAGACGACATCGAGTCTGGAGAGATTGAGATTCCCGAGGAGTAAGCGTTTGCACAGATTGGTGCTCGACGATTATGACGGGATGACATGTGCCATAAGATGCTACGTAGCCGAATGAGGATAAACACCTCCAACCTGCAGCACCCGTTCTGGGGCCAGTGGAGCATGCACAATTGGCGTTTGGGATAATTGATACCACTGCAAAAGTGACTCTAGCGCGAGGCAATGAGAAATCACTCCTCGGCATCTCCAATGTACTTCCCATGATGCTCTCTCTTTGATTGTGATCCAGCTGCATTCTAGATCGCTCTCCATACAAGGCTCAACACACCAGTGACTTGAGAAGCACAATGGGCCGCCCTGGCCACTGGAGATGGGCGCAGCCGACCGTCTCCCATCTGTGGTGTGTGCACGTGATGACCAGACCAAGACAGATGGAGCCTAGTTGCTTACATATGCATAGTCGGGGACCGTTTCGACGCGTTGACCGACCGGGGCCTTCCGCGCGTTGTCTCTATGAAGAACGTTGAGTTGCGTAGTCAGACCATCACCATGCCAATTGCCAGCCAGAGTTGTAGCAAGCATGCGCAGGAGGCGATCAGACGAGCTTCCTCGTTTTACAGATGACTCGCAGTCCACCTCGATTCATTGGCGTCGACGCTATACATACTACCTTCTTGGCTTCTTCACCGTTGTTTGTTGGTTTCTCTTTCGGTCCAGCAAACCAGCTCCTTCAACCGATAATGTCTTAACCGTCGACTGGTCGCGTTACGCATATAGTCTGTATGCAACTGATGGTACATCGCTGTGCCACGCCGTGCTGCTTCTCGACGCGCTCGCTAGACTCGGCAGCAAAGCAGACCGCGTCCTGTTCTACCCTGAATACTGGGATCTGACGGTGGAGGATTCCAAAGATCGCGAAAGCCAGTTGCTTCTTCTTGCACGAGATAAATACAAGGCCAAGCTCCAGCCAACCATGCCGTTAACGGTTGAAGGTCGCACAAAAGGTACGAGTTACACATGCAAACAGTGACAGGCCCCACTCAATCCTGTAAGGTGAGACATGGCAAGAACGACAGCTGATAACCTTGCAGACAACTGGACTGGGACACGGGACAAATCCGTCACCAAGCTGAGGGCTTTTTCACTCGAGTATTACGACCGTATCATCGCACTAGACTTGGAAAGCACGCTTCTACAATCCATCGATGAGCTCTTCCTTCTGCCAGAAACGCCGGTTGCGATGCCCCGCGCATATCTAGCAGACGAGAAGCCTTGGCCGCTTTCCTCTGCGTTGATGGTGATAAAACCCAACTTGAACGAGTTTGAGAACTTCAGGCGTCTGGTGGCAGAAGGCGGGAACGAGATGCTGGTCAAGGCAAAGCGGATCGACATGGAGCTTGTGAACGAGCGGTTCGAGGACAGCGCTTTGGTTTTGCCACATCGCCCATATGGGCTCCTCACAGCAGAATTCCGACGACATAACCATTCAGCCTACTTGGGCAATCCTACCGAGACGTGGGATGCAGAAAAGGTCTACAGGGAGGCAAAGGTGGTCCAATTCAGCGACTGGCCTCTGCCCAAACCAGAGATTATGTGGGCCTACAAGGCCCTGGAGGAAATGCAACCAGATTGCGGCGGTAGCCATGAAGGTAGCTGTGCGGAACGGCATATTTGGAAGCATTTGTATGACGACTTCAGACATAGGCGAAGAGACATTTGCAAGCTCTTGAGTGTACCCGCGCCTCCTTGGTACGGTCTAGAGGAAGAAAGGAGAAAGGCGGGAGGATTGAAACAAGCTGGGGCTGCGGAGGCGAGTGCCAGCTCGAGCTCAAGCTCACGCGCAACTCCGAGTCCGTCTGTAGTTCTGCAAAGATAATAGCATAGAAGATGTTTCTCAGTCTGCATTCTCCAACTCAGTTGTGCGTCTTGTACGACCCCAGACAGTTGGAAAAGAATGGTTCAGGTGCGGGATGAAGCTGGAATTGCCGGTCGAATGTGTACTTGGCCAGTAAGCGCTAGCATGTCCATGTGAAACATGGACGTGAATAGAGTAGGGATCTCTATGAAAAACCTTCCATTCCTGATGTACATGGACGCCACCAGGTATATTGCGAGCAAGGGCAAATGTGTTGGACGATTACGGACAGCGAACCAAGATGTTGAGTTTGATGAGGTGTGTCGCCAACCGCATCCCTACACACAGACTGCTACCAGCCGCGATGCTTCTCTTTGCACGCTTTCGCAGTAGGGCGGCGGCTACCTGACGCGGTCTAGGTACGGTACCTAGGACTAGGTATGTACTTGCTTGGGCCTTCTGTAGGACACCAAATCTTCCGATTAAGTGCCGGTTGACTCACCGAGCATTCTTGTCTGAAACATGACTTTGACATGCCTCTGGACATGCGATCACAGTCATGCCCTCGACCGAGTACGAAACAACAGCAGAGGCTGTCACAGGCCTGGAGTCATGCACGACTGACTGGCCCAGATGACCAGTCACCAAGCAGCGGGAAGGTGGTGAACTGATGTAACACGGGAGATGCATCGTGGGGTGACAGCCGTTTGTTTTAGCGCGTTGAGGGTGATCTGCGGGTGGTGGAGAGCTCAAGGACGGGCTTCCTGCTTCCTGGCCGACGCGACGCCACAAAGTAAGCCAGCCCGCATGGTCAGGTCGTCCGCAGACTTGGTACCCGTGGCAGGGGACAAAGGAATAGGTTGGAAGTAAGTACCTAGGTAGTATTGTGCTGGCTTGAAGAGACGTGCCACAGCATGGAAGAAGATGACGTTCGACCGGCCCGTGTTCCAGCGTTGAGATGTTGGAGATGTTGGGGAGAGAGAGAGAGGGAGAGAAAGAAAGAAGGAAAGAAAGAAAGACTTGCAGCCAGAGATTCACGAGGCTGCGAACAAGGTGATCGTCGCCAAAACGGCCCTATGCCAACGTATAGTACACACCTGTTGTAGGGCTACCGGTTAGTCCCCGCGCATGCGGCTTGATTATCATTCGGTGACGGACAGAGGCGAACGAACACACACACCCCCCCCCCTGGTCATGGCCCTGCCCTGTCACTCCATTACCCAGCTCGGCGCAGTCACCAAGCTGAAGGGTCAATGCAAGCCAGGCTTAAATTATCCATCTCCCTATTTCCCACTTCACTGCACCTCCTCAAACCTGGTCTCATCAAAGGGACTCGAGGTCGTGTCCAGTATATAGGACGCCTGCTGCCCTCGCAACCCTCTCTCTTTTGCTCTTCATCTACCAACTAAGCACAGCAACCCTCACTATGCGCGACTCCATTTTGGCCTTTGTGGCCACCACTTCGGCCTTGTTTGCTGGCCAAGCATCTGCAGCCGTCGCAGTCAACCCTCTCCCTAAGCCAGCAAGCATCAAGTGGGGGACCGCTGGCAGCATCTGTATCGGCGACGCTACTCTTACTGGCTCGGACCACGAGATTCTCAAGGACGCTTTTGATCGTATCACCAAGACAATCAAGGATCTGAAATGGAGCCCTGCAGCCGTGGAGGCTCCAATTCGAAGTTTCCAGCCATTCCCAACACCAACTGGGGCCCCATCGCGGAAGAGCAAGAGACAGTTTGGAAGTGGAAATTGCACTAGCACCGTCACACAAGTCAAAGTCACCGTCACCGATGCAAATGCTCAGCTTCAGCATGGCGTCGATGAGTCGTACAAACTCGAACTCGCTCCTGGTGCTGACAGCATTGACATCTCCGCTCAGACAGTCTATGGTGCCCTACACGCCATGACCACTCTCCAACAGTTAGTCATCACTGACGGCTCTGGCAACTTCATCATTGAGCAGCCCGTTTCCATCGAGGACAAACCGCTCTACCCTGTCCGTGGTGTCATGATTGATACTGGCCGCAACTTCATCACCGTTGACAAGATCAAGGAACAAATCAATGGCATGGCTCTTTCCAAGCTCAATGTCTTGCATTGGCATCTCGTTGATAGCCAGTCCTGGCCTGTGCAGGTCAATGCCTACCCTCAGATGACCGAGGATGCTTACTCTGAGCGAGAGACTTTTAGCCAGGAGACTCTAAAAGAGATTGTGAGCTACGCGGCCGCCCGTGGAGTCCGAGTTATTCCTGAAATCGACATGCCCGGCCACGCCAGCTCAGGATGGGGACGCATCGACGAGAGCATTCTCACCTGCCAGAACAGCTGGTGGTCCAACGACGACTGGGCCTTGCATACCGCCGTACAGCCCAACCCAGGCCAACTAGACATCCTCAACAACAAGACCTACGAAGTCACGGCCAAAGTCTACAAGGAAATGGCCTCCCTCTTCCCAGACAACTGGTTCCACATTGGCGGCGACGAGCTCTTCATCAACTGCAACAACTTCAGCTCCCTCGCCGTAGACTTCTTCGCCTCTGGCAAGACCATGGGCGACCTCTACCAAGTCTGGGTGGACCGCGCGCTCCCCAACTTCAAGGCCCAAGCCAACAAGACCTTCATCATGTGGGAAGACGTCAAGCTGTCGGCGGCCGTCGCCGCCACCGGCACCGTCCCCAAGGACATCATCATGCAAGCCTGGACCAACGGCGTCGACCACATCAACAAGCTCACCGCAGACGGCTACCGCGTCATCGTCTCCTCCTCCGACTTCATCTACCTCGACTGCGGCTACGGCGGCTGGGTCGGCAACGATCCCCGCTACAACGTCCAAGTCAACCCCAACGCCACCGACGGCGGCCTCAACTTCAACTGGGGCGGCACCGGCGGCTCCTGGTGCGCCCCCTATAAAACCTGGCAGCGCATCTACGACTTCGACTTCACCCTCAACCTGACAGACACGCAAAAAGCCCTGGTCCAAGGCGCGATTGCGCCCCTCTGGTCCGAGCAAGTCGACAGCGTCGTCGTGAGCCAGAAGATGTGGCCGCGTGCCGCTGCCCTCGCCGAGCTCGTCTGGTCTGGGAATAAAGACGAAAATGGCAATTTGAGGACGACGGAGTTGACGCAGCGGATCCTCAATTTTAGAGAGTATTTGGTTGCCAATGGCGTCCAGGCTGCGCCGTTGATGCCAAAGTATTGTGTTCAGAATCCGCATGCGTGTGATTTGTACTTGAATCAGACGGTTTTGCACACCAATCCTGCTTAGTTGGTACAGGAAGGTTATATCCATGTACGTACTAGAGGTGGCCTCGAAAGTAACAAGCAATAAAGAGAAAAAAATCGCATACATACATACACATCCGTCCTAGACCACACCCGCATCTCCCACGACCAAAGAACAGAGGAGTAGCTCTTGACCTCTTGACCCAACTGCTGGGTGCGCGCTTGATGGAGGACTGGGTATTTTGTGGGTTTATATGGTTTGGGGGTTTGGGGATTGTAGTGCGCAGGGTGGGTGTGGGTGAGGGCGTTTGTAGAGGTCTCGCAGGCAAATGCGTACATAGGTTTTGCACTTGTTGGAGCGTCTTCTAGTTTCTTTTTTATTGCTTATTTCTATACCCATATCATCAATCAGCACTTTACATTGGCTTTCAACACTCGGGTCTTCAGACTCTTCAAGTAAACGCATCATTGATTTCCAGCGTAATAGATGTACACGACATCAATCGCCTCGCTCATCGCAACACCCTCGACCCTTTTACAGCATACCCTTATCCTGCAACACCTCCTCTGCAGCAACAAGCTCCGGCGACTTGACCTCCTCCTCCCTCACAAACGGCTTCTTCACCTTTTCTGCGAGCTTCTCCACTATAGACTTGGATTCTCCACCCACGTCTACCGAGTTTTGCGGAGAGATGGGCTCTGCTTGTTGTTAGTACTGCGGCACCTTGTCTTTGAGCTTGCTCACAAACCTCGGAATTGCATGGACACATCAGGGTTTTCGGAGACATCAGAAGCATCACTATGCCTTGGCGTAAGAGAAGCAGGAGGCTCTACAATATTGTCAGTGAGGTGCGCAGCACTGGTGTCGTAAAGCTCTAGATCAACGGACATTGCAAGAGCCGCTTCGACTTTGAATACTTTGTTCAACATACATACCTTGAAATTGCGCGCTATAATCCGTAACAGCCATTGTTCTTCAAGCTTTTCTCCTTAATTGTCGAAAAAGAATTGTAGTCACACTGTGGAAAGCGGAAAGGCCGTGAAATGGGGGACACGAGTACCAAGTGCACTGTACAACACGACCTGGAACGTGCCCACTCCTCCGTGAACCCTATGCCGCGCTACGTCATTTGCTGACCGAGGTCACCAGAAGCCGTCCAAAGTGGCTCTCGCGTGTTCAAATGGACTGGGATCTCCATTCTTGAGCTTTGTGTATGGATGGGTAAGGCGTGTGCGGGGTGGCTTGTATGCAGCGGTGTCTGGCCACTGCAGGATGGTTGTGACGATTACGGGTAGTCCGTCGTCATGAGGCGTTGCGCTAGGGTTACTTTGAACGGACCCTGGAAAAGTGAGGGTGTGGAGTTATTGCTGGGCAGCTACGGGGGCTTGGCGGGTATATGCCGTTGTCTTTCGGGTGGTTGAGTGTGGAGGTTTTAAGATGTGAGCTGCTCTTCGAAATAAGTGTCCTTGACTGTTCCCCAATTTGCCAATGCCCTTGCAAAACGGAGATGAGAATGCCCATATAGAGAGGAGCTATGCAGCGTTTTTCAGGTCAGCCGGATTTCAGAGTCGGGAAGTATGATCCAGCGATGGATGAGGCTTTTTCTCTAGTTTCATTCATCTTGTTTCGAGAATCGTGTTACATATTGCACTTCTTGCGGCTGATGTCGCGGGTGTGTCTACTGTGCGATGGTGGCTATCTCCAACATAGACTGGCTTAGGGTTGGTCAGCACGCCAGCCCGTGAGGTGCGAAAGCGAGCTGAGAAGCCAATCGTCCGACCGGTGATGAGAGTAACGCCTCATGAAGTAAACATGAGACTTTGTGATCGTTGGTAGTAAGCGCTTGTAGCCATTATAGAGTGTCGTCCAGTTCCCTTGTGGATGTTACATCAAGGCGTCATCCCCAGCATCCTATAGAATCATCCTTAGCAGTGCATAACCAGCTGTATCTCTGCCAGGCTATACGTCAGCTCGCTGGTCTTGTTGCTTTTGACTTGGCTCGTTCATGCGAGCCCGCAGTCACTGCTGTGGATCGAGGGACGGCCCTTTGGCAGAAGCAATCAGCCTTTCTTTCCTGCTCTCTTTCCATGCCTTGTCGAGTGCGTCCAACTTCCCACCCAGAAGCTGAACGTTTCCGGGCTCCAGCATGATGGCACCTCTACGTACGTCGACATTCTTCAGGATCAGCTTAGCGCCCATGGTCATACTTGTGTTCAGGCCATCGATGCCTCTCAGGTCGAAGGCGTAGATCTTGAGACCCTTTGCGTCTTGGAGCAGCAACTTGAAGGGCCCTTTGCTTTGGATGGGTGTAGCAGCTTCTGATGAGCCCTCGTTTTCTTGCTCGACGACACGTACAATCTCTCGTCCTTTGGTCATCTCACCACGCTCTTGCGCTTCGATAGACTCCACTTGTGACCAGCGTGAGTGGCCAATGTCCTCGATGTCTAGGATCTGGCATAGTATGGGACCTGCGACACTGCGAGATTGTACTGTGCCATTGAGTATATCCTGAGGAAAGACAGACGCTGCAGGCTGGTCCACTGTAGTTGTGATATCCGTGGCCAACAGGCGAAAGACGGCCGTCTGCTTGATTGCAGGCAGTGGAGTATTTGGACGGGTAGTGGAGACGAAGCTTTGTAGCCACGCCGGTTTTGGGTAGAGATGTTTTGCGTTGAGGTGTTGAGCTAGTTCGGCAACAAGATTAGGTGTCATGGTCATCATCAATTATCCTGTTTGTGGTTTACGATGATACGTGATGATGATGCAAACTATTTAGTGGACAAGCATGCATTTGGGAGACGCGACGCGAAACTCAAATGACGTGCGCTACTTTCCGTACCCACCTCGGCACCTTACCTCCATCCGGACGTCAACATCAACATCAAAGTCCACGTTAGAGTCCAGGGCGTGCAACGCTTTCAGATACGTTGTACAAGGCCAGAATGTCTACAATCGCTTCACCTCGAGCCAGCGTCTCTGCGCGCAGCCCCTCGTCTACCCGTACTTCCATCGACAGCACCGCGAGACCTCAACCCAATCCCCGCCGCAACCGTACGGCACTTCGCGAGTTCTATGGGATCAAGAATGCGTCCAAGGAAGGAGATAGCAAAATATCAGAAGAGTCGTCAAGGACTGGGCTTGGCCCTGAAGAAGACGAGACTCTTACCGAATTGGACAAATCAGACTTCAACGCTGAAGCATACGTAGACAGTCTGCTAGCTAAGGAAGGCCTAAAGGGCGTACTGAAGGTCGAAGCAGATCTGGTATCACGTGTGTTGCACTATCATTTACTGAATGTGACCACTGGAGGGCTGACGTCAAAGCAGAAATAAGAAATCTCGACAGCGACCGCAAATCCCTTGTCTATGATAATTACTCGAAACTGCTCGCAGCCACCAGTACTATACGACGTATGCGCGGTAACATGGATCCCCTAGCCCCGACTACACATACGCTTGGACCTGCTATATCCCATATCGCTGAGACTGCTTCCTTGCTATCGTCTTCCCGATTGAGCATACCACCGAGACCCAGTGGATTGGGCATCGATATACGGGTCGATGGGGATTCCACAGAGTCGCAGGCAGCAGAGAAGAAGAGGAAAGAGCAGGCAACTGTTAGATGGGTGCTGAACACACCAAGGCGGCTGCGTGAGATGCTCGACCAGGGCCAAGATGAGGAGGCAGAAAAAGACTGGGAAGAAATCAGCCGCATTCTGGATAAGTGGAAAGGTGTTGTTGGGGTGAAGGAACTGAGGGAAGAGTGCGAAAGCATCATGAAAGAAGAGGACGACTCTGATTGAGGACATTGCAGTCACTGCAAAAGACATGGCACTGATGGTGGGAGGTGTTGCAAGAGCCTGCACGATACTATGGAGGCTCTGATGACCGAAGTGTTGTTGCAGGTCGGTGAATGGAGTTCCCTGAAGGAACTCGACATTTCAAATCGGCTGCACCGCCCCACGATGACTCTTCGCAGAGCATATGTCGTGTGAAGAGACGAACTCGATGTCTCGCACACATTCCAGATGCCAGCCAGACAGACACGTGAACTGTGCATAATGTGCGCATGTCACTTTTGATGCACGAAGCAGCGCGCATGTCCATATCCTGGCCATCTGACGTATCCAACCGGAGGGAGATATTGCCTGAATCGCTACGTCCTCCGGACCGGAGCAGGGTCAAATGATGCGAATCATCTCAATCGAAGCCACTAAATCGAAACCGACCTTGCGGCCATGTATCTCTCTCTAAGCGCCTATGATGGCATCATGTACACCCTCCTTGATCTATGCCCTCTATGAACAAACGAAAAACCCGGTCGCTCAGACCTATTGCACGCTGGTATCAATTCCCCAACGCCCCCATGCCCAAATCTCCCAAGATCGACAAGAATACCGCTACCATCCTCTCCGCGCCCTCTACGCAGCACACCTCTCCCCTTCGCGCTTCCCCTCCCTCCCCTCCCCAACCCCAACCATGCTCTGCCTCTCCACCACCTCCAGCTCCACTGCTCCAACCCCCCTATGCTCATCCTCCTCCATAGCCGCAGCCCGCTGATTCAAGAGACTCAAATACGTCTGCCAGCCAATCGCAATCACACCGCCAAAAATGCTCCGGTACTGGATCGGGATATAGGTGAAGCTAAACGCCATCACAATCGGCCACAGTTTGCAGCTGTTGATCCAGCTCGTGGGCACCGTGTTCTTGATGCGCTCACCGCATTCGGAGAGCGTCGCACCGCTGAGCAGGGATTGCATGCCGAAGAAGTAGGAGTTGAAGAGCGGGGTGAAGAGGGCTTGGTTGACGACGACCTGGGGCGGTTGGTTAGGTCTGATGGTTCGTTGGACGGCAAGAGGGAGAACAAACCTTGGTGGTCAGACTAAGTGCCTTGGACCCATAATTGAAGTTATTCCCCAACCACAAGAACCATTTATAACTCGGAATCGAACTCAATCCCCCAATCACTATCGCCCGTCCCGTCCGTCCCCAATCCCGCTTCTCACTCCATTGCTGCACCCACCCCTTTTCCACATCCTCGTCCTCGACTCCTTTGGCATCCTCGCCTTCTTCCTCCACAACAACAACATCCCCTTCCCCCCCAGCAATCCCCTGCGCCACCAAATCCCCAATGAAATATATCACCAACGACGACACAAATTGCGTCAAATATGGTTTCCGCTGCTGAACGCGGCCGTACGCCCGGAATGGCTGGTAGATTGGTTCGAGCCAGAGCCAGCTGGGGCCTGGGATTGTGGTTGTGGGACTGCTTGGTTTGCGCGCGGGATGGGTGGTGTGGGTTCTGTGGTGGTGGAGGGTGTGGGTGTGGGTGTGGGTGTGGGTTTGGGCGCGTGGTCCTGCTTGTATTCGTACTCGTGCTTGTGGGTGTGAGAAACCGCAGGTTTGGCTATACCCGCTTGATCTGCTGGCGTAGCGCGCGCGCACATGGCCGAAAGAAGGCAGAGCAGCGCCAGAGTGACTCAAGCGCGCATGCGCCGCGGCGCAAGACGAGCGGATCATGGTGGTGTGTGGGCGACTGGGCGCATGAGGCGGGATCTGGAATCAGGGGCGGGAGATTGTGTGCAGTGGCTGGGTGATTTTGAAGGGAGGAGGGTGACCGTGGGCGTATGTCAGCGTATAGGTAAGCTGCGTGTACGGGTTCAGTAGGGGTGAAAGGAGGACGTGAGAGTGTGTTCCGGGACTGAATTAAGGGTTCCGGCCGGAACTACGAGGGCCGCGGTAAAAGAACGGGGCGGTCCAGGGTCCCGATGACGCCAGTGCGGTTTCGGCTCTTTTTTGGTGCCGGAAGAGAGGGGGCTAGGGTGTTTGGGGGTTAGGGTTCAGCCTTGTGGGGCAAGGGGTTTGGGATGGAATGCGATCGGATCGGGGTGCTTTGGTCTCGGTTGATGGGGGTTTTCTGTTCAAGGGGGTTGTCCTCTTCCTTCTGTTCTGTGGGGAGGTGAAGTTGCTCTGAGATATATGGGTCATGTCTGACAGACGCGAGGCGTCTTATACCAGCTCGGGCCAGTTCTGGATGCGTGAGGTGAGGTGAGTTGGTCAAGTAAGCCCCACTCGCACGGTCCAGCCACGTAAACAGTGCTATTTGGCTTTGCAGTTTGCTCACGTTGTGACACGTCTTGCTGGTAGACGATCATGCTTAGTGGTGTTATTGAATGCGTCTTTGGCGATTGCATCTGGTGTCTTCTTCCTTGGGTCTGTCTTAATCAGGTAGCCTTGGACAAAAGATGATGGCCGTGAAAACCGAATCCAATCCGGTATGATATTAAGTTATAAATACACACACACATATATACTAAGAAGCGAACAAGACAGCCAAGAGGACTACGACTTGGTAACCAAGCAAGCCCACTGTATACTACAACTTAGTCCCGAACCAACAATTCACTTTTTGTTTCTCCTTCAATCCATTTCCAATCAAACGCCATCTAACCTTTCCTCTTTCTTCCTCCTGCATGAGTCCAAGCCCCTCCAAGGGCAAAGCCTTCATCGGAAACGAGTCGAGTCAAACATCTACAAGCACTGCGAGTAGTATGCGTTCTGAACGGTACACTTGCTACCCGCCGCACATGCCTTGGCGCCAGTGTAGCCCTGACCACCGCACTGAGCGTACATTTGAGCGACGGCACCAGTGGCAGGTGTAGCAGCAGGCTTAGCAACAGTGGCAAGAGTAGTCTTCTTGGGCGGGGCAGTGGCAGCAGGCTTAAGAGGCGCAGGAGCCTTCGTGGTGACCGGAGCAGGAGCAGGAGCAGGAGCAGGAGCAGCACCACCACCACTGCCACCGTTCCAAACCTTGGGTCCAGGAATAGGATAACTAGAAACCCTGCCCGAGTAAATATCAAACAAGATACCAGCATCATTAGCCCTGTACGCCCCCGGAATAACCACACCAGCCGGCAGCGCAACAGACCCGGAACCCGTAACCTTGACATGCACACACTCCATGTAGAACTGCGCGCCCTTGTCGCGGTTCCCCTCGTGCAGCGCGATAATCTCCGGACGCAGAATGTAGTCGCCGGCGGCCAGCTTGGGCAGCTTGACCTTGTGCTGACCTGGCTTGCCCGTGTAGCTTCCGGCAATCAGTTTGTCGACGGCCCAGGACTTGCCGTCGTAGCCGTCTTCGGCGAGTTTGGTCCAGGAGAGGGAGGGGCTGGATTTGGAGATGTAGACCATGATGGGGCCCTTGTGTGAGGGGTCGATGATGTCGTCGCTGGGGGAGTTGTTGTTGTGGTGCCATTGGAACTGGGGGCGGGGGGAGGTTAGTGGGTTGGTCTTGTGGGGGGGTGGGATGGGACGTACTGTGATTTCGTCTCCGCCAGCGACGGTGACTGAGGTGGTGGCTTTTGTGCCGGCTACGTTGCACGTCATGTCCTTGGAGGTGACGTCGACGAGGGGGTTGTTGTTGGGGGGAGAGTCGATGTAGCCGCCTGCTTTGTTTCCAAGGCCTTGGTCTTTTCCGTTGACGAGGATGTTGTATACGGTAGTGTGAGCAGCGACGAGCTGGGAGCCGCCAGCAGCAGCGAGGGCGAGGAGGGAAGATGTCTTCATTTTGAATGGACTGGAAGGACGAAGGATCTGCTTTGTTGGAAAAGAGTGACTTGTGAAGTGGACGACAGAAAATAAAGGACTTGAGGAGCTGGGTACAGAAGAAGAGCAAGTGAAGAACGAGTGTAGTGAGCGTCAAGCGTGCCTTTCCATCCAAGGGCACCTTTCACCCTCTTATACTCCTCTCGTTTACCACATACAGGAACAAACCTCTTCCATCTCGCTTGACGACCTCAGTCCAGTCCAGTCCAGTCTCATCCAGTCCAGTCCAGTGCCCTGACTTAACACCGCCACTACCATTACACGAGCACACCTCCTTCCCTCCAACAAAGCCTAGTCCTCACAACCCCCCACCATCAAACCCCTTAGCCCACGGCCTTCCCGTTGAATCCAGATTGGCGTGAAAGAGACCCAGCGCAAGGCCCAACGGTCCCAACCCATTCCACCACGACCAAAGGCTTCCCAATCTAACATGCCAAAAAAAAAATCCTGCCAGAAACCCTGTTGCAGATCAGATCCAGGTGCGCCGTCTTGGGGGTGCGAGTCGTTGGCACGAGAAAGCGTGAAACAAAATGGGGTGCGGGTAAGGGGTAGATCTCGTCATTTTTGACCGTATGTAGTGTATGCATTCACGCGAGACACCCCGTTGAGGTAAGTCGGTAAGTCAGTCATGTCCCAAGATTCAAGTACGCCTCGGCATCATCGCTTGTATCCCCACAAGCATGTCGTGTTCCCGAGGAGGCGGAGAAGAAGAAAGATGATCTTTCTTTGTAGCACAGAAACATGGAAACAAGCTCCTGTCTTTCCACGAGTGGTAGTTGACAACAGCATCAGCCTTGTGTTTGAGCCCTGCAGAACAAGTCCCACAAGACTACTATATTTTCTACATTCTGGTAGCACCAAAAATTACATGTTCGTAGAATTGGAATCAGACAAAGTCCACGTACAATCTGTTGGCTGCTGAGCATTGGTTCGTGTCGGAATCCATTCGTTGTGTGGAAGCGCGTAGGTAGGGTAGGCGGGAGGTGGAAATTTGGGGGGACGGGTGGAGACGGCAAGCAAAACCAATGTCCGTCCGCCTTTTTGCACTCTACTTTGACGGATGGCATGGCCATGCAGCTACACTTGCAATAGAAGGTAAGACGCAGAGTGCTAAACAGATGAATTAGAAACAAGCTGTGCTGCCACGACGATGATGCAGACATTTGGAAATACCTTCTTGTTGTCAACGTTGGTGGGAGAGAAGTGACTCCGAACCAGGTACCGGTACCGGTAACTACCGGTGCATGGGCCGTCTTTTGGCACAGGGGTCGCGGTTCGCTTCGCAGAACTTGGTCAGCCAGACAGGCGATACCGGTAGAGTACCGGTATCCTTCCCTTCCCGTTGTCTTTCTACGTGCAAACCCGGCACGGCGGACATGAATCGAACAACTGGGATTCGATGCACCTTCATGCTGCAACTGGTTCTCGGTCTCTAAAACGGACACGGGACATTGGTTTCACCCCTGTCTAAGCCTATCAAAAATGCTTGACCGACAATCCATCTGGCACATGGTGACTCTTGCCTTGAAACCACTACCGCTTACACTGACCTCTAGTTTACTCGTGTAGATATTGCTGGTGCTACCTGTCTCGACTGTAGCCATTTGCTCGCTTGACCACCTGCCTGGCGAACTGTACGGTACCACTCACACCTAGCTATCAGCATCCAAGCCCATACCATACCACACATCTACCTCATCACCCTTGGTCTCCTCAACATCCCCCGCCTCTCCCGAGTTAACACTAGCTTTATCTTCCTCGGTCTGGCTTCCCTTGCGCTTCGTCAGCCGCTTGGCAACCTCGTTGGCCTCGACCAGCTTCACAAGTTTCCTCTTGGTTCCCTGACTCTTGGCCGCAATCTCTTTGCACACTTCCCACACCTTCTCGGTATTCGATCGTGCATCTTTGGTCAGTCCCTCAATAAAGCGCTCAGCCTCTTCGGCTATGATGCCCACGGTAGGTTGCATGCTGAAGCGATAAAAGTCGAAACCTCGGGCAGCAGGACATGGGGAAGAAGGTAGCAGGGAAGGTGGGTCGTTGAATACTTGCTTCAAGAGATATGCGTCCTCTGCCATTTCGTAGGGTGTCCGTCCCGTCGCATTCTCTCGGAACAGTAGTTCGGGGCGGCATTTGAGCATGACAGGTAACAGGCTGTCTGCCCCGGCTCGGACTACTGAGTGTACAGGTGTATCGCCCTCCGCATTGATAATGCTGAGATCCTCCCCTTTACTGAACTCGAGGAGGACACTCAAGAACTTCTCTCGTGCCTGGTTACCCTCCTGGTTGTACCGCGAGGGCTTCACATAAGTGTGAAGCCAGCGTGCAAGAGGGGTGGCGGCACCTGGTAATTCAGTAGTGCGCTCCTCAAAAAGACTTGGGATAAGACGAGGGTCTATCACATTCAAGAGCTCGCGAAGCCGAGTGATATCTTCGTCAGTCTCGTCGTTCTTGAACCCGGTGGTAAGGAGCGAATGGACAATGTTGTCCCGCGCGTTATTTCGACACGTCTGGTTGGCTCCAGCCTCAATGAGAATTTTGATCATCTTGACGCGATGTAATGAGAATGCCAGATGCAGGGGTGTCAGACCTGAAGATGAACGGCTTTCAATCGCCTCAGGTCGGGTCTTGCACAAGTATCGAAGGAGTTCCTCAGCGTCTGGAGTGGTTTTGTGCAGTATGACGCAATGAATCAGCAAATGTGCACGCAGGCCGAGCCAGTTGTTGATAGAAGCCTCGAGACCGCCAATGGCTTTGCCCAGGTTCTGAATGCGCACATCCTCTTGATGGACATTGGCGAATTCCCTGTAACAACGCGGTGCTGCATCACTCAAAAACCACTCCACACTCTCCAGGTTTGCAAGTCGTGCCGCATGAAGCAGTGGTGGATGATGATCTTGCTGCGTCTCACATTGCGTCTGACGTCCCGCATTCGCCCAGTCTGCACGCTTCTTGCCGTGAACGGACAGTCCCTGGTAGTTGTTCGGCTTCTTTACTACCTCAACGCCACTCTTTTTGACAAGATTATCAAGCGGCATACCCGCACCTGTTCGCCTGATAATGTGCTGTAGAAGGGAGATTCGTCCGAGGTCAATGGCATATCGGAAGTCTTTTTCATCAAATCGAAACACATTCGACTTGGTTTCATCGTCATCAACGACGCTGCTGGCTTTGCGAATTGTGTAGACTTCGCCCATGGTGATTAAGAAATCAAGAAGATCCTCATCATCCAGGTATATAGCCAATTGGAACAAGTTCCCGGGGATTTCCACCTCTGAGATGTGCTCATGCGCAGCTGCTTGCGGCACCTCATAAGTGATGCCTCTCACAGCATCTTTGAGGATCCTTCTAGGCGAGCGTCCTTCACGAGACTTTCGTGCATAGCGTCCAAACCTGCGTGTCCTAAAGCCTCCATAAGGGTCACTCAAAGGATTCGTTATCATGCTGTGAACATCGTTATCTTCCAGAAAGCGCGATACTGGACATGACCATGAGATGACCTCCAATGGAGTTATGGTACTCTTGACTTGGCCTTGCACAGCTCCGATGCCTTCAATGGTAAATCTGTCATCTAGAATCTCCGTATAGATCTGAAAGTCGTCCTCTGTACCGTCACAGGAGTCGTCGTCGCTCTCTTCCGCCGGAGGTCCTACTGTGTGTCTGACTTTACCAGTGTTCTCGGCTGGAGCATACTGTGCATGCGCGATTTCGAGACATGCTTTTGCAAGGTCATTGTGCTCACGGAGAACTGCGATGGAAAATGGAGAGAAGTTGCTGGAATCCCTGACGGCAATTCTCAGCGGGCTCTGGTGCTCGTTCTCGCCCCAGACCGACAACGTCATTTCTTTCACGGTAGGCAAATCTCCATCCCAACAAGCCTGGAAGAGCCGGATGTATGCTGCTCGTAATTCATCAGTCAAGTCAGGAACTTGGAAGGTGATGCTTGGTGTCCACGGCTCGGGCTGCGATCGCTCGTAGTGATGGTAGTGGTAGTGTGGCTCGTCCACCAATATAAGGTCCGGATACATTTCTTTGAATGTCTTCGCTCCTCGCTCGACTAGCTGCGCTTCCAGAGTTTCGAACTCTGCAAGTTGTGACTCAATCGCAGCCTTCTTCTCTGCCGTGCCTTTGGAAGAATTTTTGGACATCTCGGATTCTTCGTACTGCTTAAGGTTACGCTCATAGTTGGTCTTTGCTTCTTTCAGCTGCTCCGACGTTGACCAGAATACATAAGTTCCAGGAACTCGACCTCTGAGATACTCCTCATCTTCTTCGAGTGGCATAGGCTTGGTAACCCTTGGGAATCGATAATCTGTTGTTGTAATCTTATTCGTGGTAAGGAAATCAGATAGTTCTTTAACTCTCTTGCGGACCGCGTCTAAAAGGCTGTGCACGCCCCCGTTATGTGAATGCTTCTGATCCAGCGCCCCGTGGGCTTTCTGGGAGAGAGTATTGACGTCTGCACCCGCATCCAAGAGTTTTGGGATGACGGATGGCAGTTCGGCGTCAATGGCAGTAAAGACCGGCTGTTTGAAATTTTTACGAAAGTCTTTTTCGTTGTCTTCAGCAGATCCACTAAGATCCCATTTGCTCTTGAAAGAAGTCACGTAGGTGGAGTCTAAGAAATCGTTAGCCATGCCACTGGCCAGCCTCACAGACATCTCGATGATTTGGACTTACAGTCTATATTGGGACTCGCGCCAAGCTCCAGCAACGCTTCAATGCCCTCCAGATCTTTGTGTATGATGGCAGTTTGCAAAGCACTCTTACCCGATGGACCTGTGGGAAAAATCAGTACAACTGTTTAGCATTGTGAAGATGACACTCACTCCATCGGTTTCCAAGCATGGCAAGATGATGGACCGCTCGCTGTGCAGCCGGTCGGTCTGTCGAGATCATCGAGCTGAGTAGGTCTGGCCCGTGTGCTGCAAAATAATGCAAAGCTGTGACCTGATCGACATCGGCTTGTGCAGATGATGCCCCCAAACCCATCAGCAGCTTTGTCATCTCTTTGGCCTTGTCTGGTGCAAGATGTAGGGCAAGTACAAGAGGTAAGATGGCCGCGCGGGCGGACTTGTTGTAGTCGTTGACCAATTTGATCGGAAGGAGCACATCAGCCCCGAAGTCCTGTACAAGTGTTCTGACCGTCTCTACATGACCATTTGCAATTGCGAGGTGTAGGGCAGATACTGGGTTGTCCCAAGCCAAAACATTGATATCATACACGTCCGGCTCATCCTGGTTTTCGTCTTCAGGCAGAGTTTCGTGCTGGGTCTGCTTGCGGTCGATTTTGACGACAGAGTTCTCAGTCGTTGCATCGATGTGCTCAGTCTCATCGTCAAACATATCAACGTCGTCATCCTCGCTTTCGGAGTTGTGCGAAGCGGCCGCGCTCTCTTCTGATCTTAGTTCATCTACATGTCCATCTGTGCGGATAGTCAGCATTGAATCGGCCATGGCAAGTCATGTCGTGATGCATGTAGGAGTATTTTGCAAGTCTGGCGAATATATCTTGGGGGCTAGAAGATCCTGATAGTTGCAGCAGGCAGATCTTCGAAGCTGTACCTGAAACCCAATGATCCGAGAACACAACCAGTACCTCGGAAGAGTAGAGATGAAAAGCGGAAAGCAGTATACCTTCATCTATAACCATCGTCTCTCCTTCTATACCTATATTTCGAGAGCTGGATTTCTGCGCCTGCTTCTCTTCCTCCTGTTCTTCATTGGCCTCGCTTCTGACAAGAAGTGCCTTCACCATTGCGTTTTCACCACGCATAGCAGCCAAATGAAGAGCAGTTTTCCCATCAAACAATCGAGCAGTAATACGTGACCCTGCATCAATAAGGCACTGGACTACTTCAGGGGTCGAGCTGGTGACAGCCAGGTGAAGTGGAGTACGACCAGTATAATCTCTCCGGTTCGGATCTGCATCCTCTTGCTTTAGCCAATCTTGCACATGTTCAAGATCTCCATCAACGATCGCTTGGCATAGTCTTGCGGTGTTGCCAACATAGGCCATCTCAGTCCAGTCATCATCCGTGAGGGGATAGAAGGATCCAATGGTTTGGCGCCCAGGGTTGTCTTTGAGGAAAGCGATCTCTCCGGAAACATATATCTTTCCTTCCTCATCTGCGATATCTCGGTCTTCTGTTGATGCAGGCTTTGGGCAGTATCCACAGCAATCACCAATAACATCGACTGCAGTTCCAAAGAAGGCGGGGTGACGATGCAGCGCAGTCTCACGGTCTTTGGGACGATTCCATTCTGCGTTCAGGAGCAAGTCTTTGGCGTATAGCAGTCTCTCAATCTTGCGTGCATGATACTTCGGACCGTATGGGATGGTGAATGTGTGGTAGTCGCTCACATTCTCCGCTTCGACCCAATCCGCAACTTCGTCACCATGCTCATCCTTCATATTGCCATGTAATCTGTGTGTCGCCCATCTATTGATTGTAGGTCTCCCACGCTCTTCACGGCGTTGGTCGATATAAGCCTCTCTGTCAGTCTGCTTTGGCAACTTTTCCAGAACCAGCAAGCGAGCGAGACCGAGAGTACGACCAAAGGAGCGTTCGAACAATGTAGGATCGATACGTGAGCGGTCTAGTAGAGGCCAATAAACCTCGAACCCTCGGTGTGAATACTTGGAGAGTCTGTTTTCGTACGACGGGGAGCGACGAGTCAGATCAATCGTGTTGATTTGGGTCATGTATGCGGCCAGAGCGCGAGGACTGACATAAACCTGACTCCCGTCGTAGGCAGCACAAGAACAATCGACGTCAAACCCAGTAAGAATCTCGGAAATGGATCGATAGATGCGCAGAACAATCTGCACATGGCGTGTAGGGTACTGAGAAGCAATGGTGATGGCATTTTTTGTACGAATTGTTGTTGTTTCAGTCAAGATGGAATCCCTGATGCGCTGTTCGATCTGCTTGATCTTCTCAATGGCCTGCTCCTCGGTGAGCCCATAAAGAAAGAGATCGACATCAGATGCAGGTGCAAGTTTCTGATGGTAGTATTCGCGGAGAGCTCGCTTTGAAGAGCTGTGCTTTGGTGGAACTGGAAGTAGCGATGTCACCACAGCGCTACCAGCAACAACAACATTAGACCAGTCCATGTCCACGAGGGAAGACTCGGAGAAGAGTTGGAAATTCGTTTGAAACTCCTTGAGTGATTGCACGACGGCAGGGGTTCCGTCAGCTTTGCGATTGGATTTCGTGAGAGGCATGAGATAACGAGAGCGTTCCTCTTCAGACTCAGCTGACAAGTTACGCGCCCTGATCTTGACCTCCTGCTCCTTTTCAGCAAACAGCGGCACGACATGGGACTCGTGGATGGCGGGGTGTTCAGGTTGTTGGGCGAATATCTCACGAAGCTTGGAATCATAGTCTTTGAAAGGAGCGATGAGGTCGTATAAGGAAGTAGTTGGGTGAGAAGACACATATGCTATCCAGTCTTTGTGACTAGCAGGAAGTGGTGGAAGGGACATCACAGACCCTTTCTGATCTTGAGACGACATGGTGGAAAACGTGGGAAAGGCGGAGGTGGAGAGAAGATTCAAAGTGATACCTATCGAGTCAATTGAAGCACAAGACGAGATGAATGAAGAAAAGACGACTTGAATGGAACGAGATTACCATCTAAATACTTATTCTAGCACCAGACGACCACAATGTCACGTCATTCCGAATGAATCGTAGAAAGAGCCTAGTATACAAGACAAATACAGGCAGCGACCACCCTCCCCAACGCTCCTGCCGTCCCGCCATGATGAAGTTCAGTCTAGCGCGCCGTCGCCGCCTGGCCATCTAGGCACCCGCCAATCAGCGAATCGGGTAACGTGATCCACCACCGAGCGCCCACCCCCACCGAGCGCCCACCAACACCAAAATCCACCACCCACTAAATAAGGATATTGCGCCACCTACAATAGCTATTATCACGAGATTTCTTAGAGTCGCAATTATTAGATCTATTAGAGTAGATTAAATATTTTAGATTATATAAGCAGCTTTTTAGGGGGTCTAATTAGGTGCCTACGCTATAAAGTTGCCTCTACTACTATATCCTCTTCTACTAGCTCCTTATTAACCACCTTAGCTAGTATAATAGTAGGAGGCTTAAGGATTTACCTCTTACCTATTTAGGACATTTTAATATTATTTTAGAGTTACTTTTCTAGTTACTTAGTAGTTTTCTACTTATTACGTGTAGTAGCTTTTTAGGTAGCTTTCTCCTCCTGCTCCTTTTTAGTAATTACTTAATTTAGGTAACACTCCTCTATAAGTTAAGCTTTAGCAAGCTTCTATTACTTATAAAGCTTAATTACCTTGCTTTTTTAGTATTATAGCTTCTATTCTTTAAGGTTCTTTTACTCCTAGAGCTTAAATACTTACTCTACCTTTAATAGTAAAATAAATTAGGCACTACTACTATAATTATTATTAGGGGGTAATAATAGAGGTTTACTATACTTCCTACGCTTCTTCTTATTAGCTAGGGTAGCCTTTAGGTGTTTATTTTTGTAGTTAAGTAGAGTATTTCTTACTAATATAGTGTAGATTATCTAGCTAAGCTTCTTTAACTATTTATTATAGATATTAATTATAGTATTATAGAGTAACTACTCTATCTTTCTTTAATTACTTGCACTTAATATTAAGGTTATACTATTACTTAAAGAAGGCTAGTTACTATTATTTATAGGTGCTTTAAACCTTAAAAGGATAATATTAGGGTTAAGTAATAAGATACCTATTACTTTAAAAGCTATTAATATTAGCTTTTCCTTAAAGGTATTACTCTATATAGTATTAAATAACTAGTAGAAATCCCTCTTAGTAATACTTATAAGCCCTTAGGAGCTATCTAGAAAACTAGATAGTTAAGCTTTATATAAAGCTATAAAGGGAGCAAATACTATAATATTAAGTAGCTAAAGGGTATAAGTGCTATAAGGGGGATATATTATAAGTAGGATCTTATATTTATTATAGTACTTAATAAACTCTATTATTATATAAGATCTATAGCTATTAAGGATAAGGAGCTAGTATAAAGTATAAGCTTTAGCTTTTGTCTTATAATTAAACACCTCCTTAAGCTAGGATACCCCTAGGGTGTAGCTTGTCTACCTACTTAGTAATCTTATAAAGAAAGCTTAGTATTATAATAGGTTAAAATCTTATAACTAGGTATCCTATAAAGCTCTAGATTAGGACTAATAAATAAGGGTAGGGGTAAGAGTAGTACTATTAGCGTATATGCAAGCTATAGTAGTAATCTACTCCCTATTACTATCCTAGAGTATAGCTCTAATCTTTCTCTACTTATAGGCGCTCTTATTAAATATATATTTAGTTTTTAATAGTACTCTAATAAGAAAACCCTTCTTATCTATATTATAGATATACTAACTCTTAATATTATATTACTCTATTTTTTAGTATAAAAGCTTAAAGTATAAGCTATACTTAAAGGTAGAATTAGCTTTAAAGTAGTTATAATTAAGCCTAGTAGCCTAATAGGAGATAAGATTAATATTATAGTAGTTAATAAAGCGCTATACCTAATTTTTACCTACTAGATTCTCTATTATTTTAGTTATAAAATTTTAAATAATAGTCTATATAAGGGGTAATCCTTGCCTATAAAGCTTTTTAATATACTTTATAAGCTTACTTTCTTATATAGTATTAAGTATTTAACTATTTAGTAGAGTAGTAGTATATACCTACTAAATTTTCTAGTAGTATCTAGATAAGGTTAACTATAAGTAACTATACTTTTCTACTATTTCTAAGTATATAAAATCTTCTCTAAGAGTTAAGGATTTAATTGCTATAAGCGCGTTGTTAATAGGTGCTATAGTTATTAAGAAATTTGGTGTTGAAAATTTGGTGATTTTGGTGTTAGTGGGCGCTCGGTGGGGGTGGGCGCTCGGTGGTGGATCACGTTAAAGCGGGGCCCGGACGCGCTCTCATGTGACCTGGGATTGATTTTGGAGGGCTCAAGTGCTGAGGGTGTCTTGACCTCGGGCGACATGACTCCCTCTTCGTATGGAGATGCGATTGTGGGAGGCCTCATTATTGGGGGAACGATACGCTCTTCACTGTGTGAAGTTAGTGGGACATGAAACTACGGTACAAGCTAGTACCTGTTCAGCCTTTCCCTGAGTGGGAGCGGGGTGGGGGTTACTGTCAGCTGGTTTAGCCATCTCTTTCGTCTAGGTATTTGCCTTGATTGGCTGTGAGTCTGGTGAGTCTTGGATTGAGTCTTGTCCGTGAAGGATGGACCAAGGTCTCAACAGCCGAAGTATGGTACATGGTTAGGAGATTTTTGTCTCCATGTCTAGTCAAATAAAAGAGGGTAATATTCAAGCAAGCACATACCCGTAAAGTAAAAAAAAAACGTTGACTTGGTCTTTCCATTGCTGCTCTCCTACCTAGTGGACAAGAGCTATAGCAACAGCGACAGCGATCTTGGTAACCATCTTCCAACCACCCACCCTCCCCTTGCTATCTGCTCCACTGGTAACTTGTTGTGGTTGTTTACCTCGTGTCGAGCTCGGATTCGAGACTTCTGAGGCTGGTGAAAGGACAGGTGCGACAACGCCATCGCCTCCTCTCGTCTGTCCTCCTCCACTAACCGAGCTTGCATCTCCAGTACTTCCCTCCACACACAAGCTCGTTCCATTCTTGAACATGCGATCAGCGACCCCCTTCCAGACTTCTGTGACATCCGTCACCATACGCGCAGTAAACCACATCCTACAGTCGGCTGCTTCGTATATGAATTCCAGCGGAGTCCTAGATGCATCATTCTGTCGGAGATTGTCTTTGAGATTGACGCCACCCGCCACTCTTCCGTTTCGATAGGCGCTTCGCTGGAACAGCTGTGTTGCAAACGCTGTTTTGCCTAGGTCTTCTTGTTCCCATTGTGCCTGTTGCTCAGGGCTACCGAGGAAGAAGACGGCTTGCATGCGAATCTGGATGTCGTTCCAGGAGAATACCTGGGCACCTTTGGTACCACCGATACCTTGCATCGGACCAGGTTCTGGTCGTCCGCCAATGGCGATGGTCCGGACTCCGCCCTGATTCTTCAGGAGCTCAGAGGCAATCGCGCAGGTGGAAGAACACATCCCGTCGTGGAGCATGACCATGTCCTGTGCCTGAAATGGCTGTGGCGTCTGTGATTCATTCGCATTTTCTCCAAATCCAATAACAGAGAAGCCGTTATACGTCGTGCTGATACCATCACTAAAATTGTACCGAAGAGTTGTCGTGAATCGGTCGCCGTTTGCTTGAACAGGTCCGAACAACTCGTCCCAGCTCTCAAAAGCTTCATTCTCGACATTGAGCTGATGCTGATAATTGAATCCAGCAGTGAACTGAAAGACGTCTACTTCAGTAGTGCCTGGTCCAAAGGCTTCCGCAAACGCTGTCTTGTTGCGTTGGGCATGCGTCTTTCTCTCCAAGAAATCTTGCGTGATCTTGCCAGCACGATCGAGAGCCTCATTGGCGCGGAATTGGGTACCTCCGAATGGTTCTTGGGATGCCTGGGGAAAGACTTGTTTGAATGTGTCGTAACCAAGAATAGCATTGCCTGCAAATGAGGTCAGGTGTGGTTCAACAATCTTCATCTTACATACCTCCGCCATTCCCACGCATGTCAAAGATCATTTTGGTCTTGCCCGCAGCCTGCGATGCTCTAATGAAGTCGCGCATAGTATTTTGGAAGCTCTGAACGTCAGCAGAATCATACGACGGTATGCTTAGCACCGCAACATCCTAGTAGTGTCAGTCTGAACCCTCTGGCGAGCTGCAAATAGTACCTCGTAGCCTGAGTCGCTTAAGTAGTATCCACCGATGGCAAGATTTTCGTTGATCAGCTCAGCTTTTGGATAACCAATGTGCGAAGGTGCAGGTGGAACAGTAGGTTCTGTCGCATTTCCCGGAGGCATAGGGGCTGGAGGCGGGGCCGCCAGAGGTTGTGGCCCGGAGCAAAACCTCTGAAAGAAAGCCAAACCGCTGTCGACCCCGGTGAAGTTTCCAAAGACGACTGCAAGATTGGGCATTGAGCGTGTAGTGCCATTGGCGAATTGTATCGTGGTATTTGGTCCTTGGTACTGCCCAGTTCGAAAGCTTCCCAGGAAAGTAGTGCCAGCTGCAATAAGGGGTTGCGAAGGGAACAGGGAATTCCAACGAGTGTCTGCATCGTGGAAGTCTGATTGCGCTGAGGCATTGGTAAGATAGTCTTTCACAGCTATTCCATCAATGGCCATGACTGGCGAAGGTTGATACGATGAATCGTTGTTGGCTTTCAGAATGTCCTGATAGGTGAAGACCTCTGGCAGTGCCCTTCCATCAGCAGAAATGGACACCAATTCAGTCCCGGGAGATCTCTGGAACTGCATAGCTCCTGCAAGTATATCCGGTTGCCAAGCGAAATGATTGTCATATCCGCTTCCAATTAGATTCATCAGTTCCATCTGAAAGTCGTATTCGTTTTTGAAGTTGCCAGCCGAAAGTCGAGACGCCATGTCATCCAATGCACCAAAAATATCAACAGGCCGCTCGGTATATCCTTGTGGTGGACTCTTAAGATAGGCAATGTTGGACTGCCACTTTGCAAACAGCTTGAGATCGTCAATCAACTTTGCATTTCCCTCCCTATCGAGTGGTACGGACTGTAGACACTGTACCCCCAGTTCGGCAGGAATCACCTTGCGAGCTTCAGAGGGCATGGCTGCCAGAGCACGGCTCACAACGGCACAAGGCTCTTGGCCTGCTGAGACTGTAGCGGTACTGGAGCCAGGTGCTTGCGCAGTGGTTTGGGATGTCGATCCGTTATCTGCTGCGTCGGACATGAGCACATCGATATCCGCTTGTGTCATGACTTCTTCCATGCTCAGGTCTGGAAAGTCTGGCACGCCGTACATCCATGGATACGGGTTGGCGGCGGTGATGCCACAGATCGTGCCGAGAACCAACAGGTAGGATCGCATCGTAACGAGAGGTTTTCGTTCCCACTATAGGGAATCCGTATTCTTCGCTGCCCACGTACTCTTGTTCAAGAAATCATGTATTTTGCGTATTAATGAGATGATGGAAGCGGGCCTGCGCTTTGGCGTGCAAAAATGAAAGAGAAGATATAAGATACTGTTATAAAAGCTTCATAGCCAGTGAAATGTAGTGAAAAGTATATGTGATGAGAAGCAGAATGACCAGAGGACTCCAGAGAAGGCTTCCCAGGCGAGGGACATGCATCGTTTGAGCCCATAGTGAGGGGCCATGATGAATGTTTTCGCTTTAGCTTGTAGCATGAGGCCCCATTGTCGAAACGATAAGCCCCGGCAAAGCGCTACAAACAGCTCATGCAAACCATGCTGATTATCTACTCTACTGCAACGGAGGATGCTGGGCAGTCCGTTAGCCTGCGAGATGGAGGGAGCACCCCGTGCACACGGGCCATTGTACAGATGTATCCCGACCTTGTACGAAGGGTAGTTCGTGCCAGTCGACTCTGATGGAAGTTGAAGAGACCAAGTAGACGACGCATTGAGGTTGAAGTGACGTCTCGTACTCGAAGCGCATAGAGAGTGCAAGATGCGATCATGCATGAGCCCACTGTTAGGGAGGAAGCATGGTTGCTGACCTGTACCGGTACTAGGGCGCAGCACACTTGGCAGTTTTCTACAACGCCCGACTTGAGCGAATGGGTATAGCATACAGTACACCATGGTAATACTGTGGTAAACTAGGGTACGGTGGGATATTGAGAGAATCTATTTCCTCGATGGAGGAGGGCACTCGTGTCGCATTGTCGCAAATGCTCGCATGTGAAACGTCGCGGGTGTGAGAAGGGGCCATGCAGGCAAACAGTTTGATCCACTGCACCCGCGATGGGAAGTACTGGTATGGTCAGCATATACCTACATACACAACCATGTTGGATCAACAAGTAGCAGATGATGGTGGTGGTGGTGGTTGTACTGTGTAGGTAAGCGTAACAGTAGTATGTAGTCGAAAGGTGTTCGTGACCAAGGAAGGGTCCCGCCATGCCGCCTCCACCCAGCCAATACAAGAGAGAGAGAGAGACTACTAGAATGTTGAGCTGGGCGCTAGTGCCTCATTCGGACAAGGCGGGGCTTAGACCAGTTGACCTTGCTCGCCCGTCTTTCCTCGCCACCGCCCAACCCTCCTTCCCCCGTTTGTCCACTCACCACACTTCGCCCGACGCTATCTCCTCACCCAGACTGTTTCTTACTCCACTCCACTCCACTCCACTCCACTCCACTCCACCGCTACTCTCAACCTCTCCCCCCCCAAAAACAAATCTCTCCCAACCCACCCGTCCCTATCACCGGCAGAGCGCTCACGTCGATTTCATGACCACAGACATCCAGAATCTCAAGTCCTTCGATCCGTTCGCGGAGGCCGACGACAACGGAGGGGAGACGCATACTGGCAACCAGCAGAATTACATTCACATCCGAATCCAGCGTACGTCAGCTCTTGCCTTCTCCCTCCTTTCCTCCTTCCCTCTCTCCCTGTGTTGCACTTGCCTTGAGAAAGGCTGCATCGTGTGTCGCACCTTCCCCAGCCTCCCCCCCCCCTCCCCGCCCCTCTTTTGCGCCTTCTCACCTCGCAAACCTCTCCTTCCCTCCTTCCCCCCTTTCCCCTCTTCTCACGAAAAATGGCGCAAGACTGACGTCAACCTTCCCCGCACAGAGCGCAATGGTCGCAAAACCTTGACGACGGTCCAAGGCCTGCCCAAGAAATTCGACCAGAAGAAGATTCTCAAGGTGATTAAGAAGAAGTTCGCCTGCAATGGCACCGTCGTTGCCGACTCGGAGATGGGCGAGGTGATCCAGCTCCAGGGCGACCAGCGCAAAGATGTTCAGGACTTCTTGACCGACAAGAAGGAGGGCCTCGGTCTGGATGGCAAGACCATCAAGGTCCACGGTTTCTAAGCGTGCTGGGTGCGATGCGCACCGCCCGTTGAAGACACTCCAACCTCGCGCCCGCCGCTCCTTGCGAGGAACAGGCTGGCACAACGTGTGCACGGCGGCGAGGCTGAGAGGCGGCGCGCCAAAGCAAGATACCCCCACCTTGGACGATAACGATTTTCCTTTTCTTTCTCTATTGAAGGAATGGTCAGCGTTGTGAGAGGGTCACACTTTGCAGTGGCAAGTGTTGATCGGCACAGGTAATTCGGCGGGCTCAAAGCGGAAAAGGGACATTCATTTCTTGAGGACTTGCTCAAAATTCAGCCCGTTATAATTTCTGCGCAAGAATGTGCTTTGACTACCTCGTGATGCCTTTTTGCATGCTAATCTCAAGAAGCTGCCTGCCTGTACATCTTTCACTCTCCCTCCTCTCCTGCCTCGGCCTCCTCACCCCCTCCACCCTGCCTCGGCCCCTTGGCCTCCTGCTTCCAATACAAATCCGCCAACTCGTGCGCCTCCGTCGCCTCCTCAATCCCCTTATCCTCCCTGACGCGCAAAAACCTCGGAAACCGCGTACTCAGCCCACGCTCCTCACTCACCAACCCAACTGCAGCCGTATACGTCGGACTCAGCGTCAAATCCGCAAACGCCACCTCCCACACCTCGCCCGGCTCAAACCAAACATCCGGCGTCCCCGCCCCACCTCCATACTCGACAAACGCCGGCTTCTCCGTGCGCACATGCGCACACTCTGGATCCTGCGGGTTGTACCTGGCCCGATTGGCCTTGTAAAACGCGTCTGTGAAGCCGGACATGCACTTTGTGAGGGCTTGGAGGTGGCCGGATTCGGCGTTGCGGACGGCGAGGAGGATGGGGGACCACCAGGCTGATTTGCGGCCGGAGCCGTGGAAGGCGGCGATGGGGATCACGTCTAGCGTTTCCGAGGTGGTGCTGTAGTCTTTTTTTACTTTGAGCCACGAGTCTAGTCGCTTGTCGGGTTCGTAGGTGGAGAGGAGGGGTTTGCGGCGGGGGTTGGTGGGTTGGGCGTCTGAGGGGGTGGTGGTTGTGGGTTGGACAGATGTTGGGGTTGATTTTGATTTTGTGGCGGCTTTCTTCTTCTTCTTCATCTTCTTGGGGGTTGGGGGTAGGGAGGGTGTGGATTCCATGTCGGGATTGTCGGGGAGGAGGTCTGGGTTGGGGAGGTTGTCGAGCACCTTGACCATGATGCCTTCGCATTTGATGTCCAGGGCGCTCTGGAAGAAGGCCTGTACTGCGTCGACGTCTGCAGAAGTAGCATCGAGACATCTGACCCAGGTGAAGTGATGGGGGATTTCGACAAAAAGGCTCTTGAGCAACGATCGCCTCTCGCGAAAAGGTCGGTCCAAGAGTTCCTCGCCGTTCAAATACATGAGGTCGAACGCGAAGAGGCAGACATCAATCGTGACCGCGCCAATCAACACGTCTTTCCGCGCTCGATTGGCAAGCGTCTGAAAAGTCTTTAGGTCTCCGGTTTCGCGATCCACGGCTACTACTTCGCCCTCGAGGATGAAGCTCGATACACCTTCGCCGCGTATCTTGGGCACCAGGGCCACAAGATCTGGATACTTGTCTGTCATGACTTCTAGATGTCGCGAGAAGATGGTAACCTTTCCCTTCTCATCGCAGTGCACCTGTGCTCTTTGCCCGTCATATTTGTACTCGCACGCAAATTCTCGTCCTTGCAGCTTCGTAAACATCTCGCCCATATCTCGTGTGATGCTGCCCAACATGGGTCGTAGTGGAATATGCAAGGCGAGACCACAACGCAGGAGCAATTCATCGCAGACGCCGATTTCAAGGAGCGCGGGTATCAGGTCGTTGTAGTTTGGTCTTCGCGCAAAGCAGGCCTTGACAATCTCTTCGTTTTTGCTGTACATGTCCGCCAGCGCCTCCTTTTTCAGTCTCGCCAGGGCCTTTGGATCGCGAATCTCGAAATCTGCGCCTGGAGGTCGGGACAACATGAATGCACGCGAGAGTGCGATCAGCATGGTAGTCTTGACAGCCCCGATGCGGAGATGTTGTACCAGCGTGCGAACAATATACCGACTCTCCTCCGCACCTCGCGCATCTTGCACCAGTCGCTCGACTATCCTCTGCTTGGCTTCGACGCTGCCATGGCCCTTGCTATTCGCAATCTTGACAAGGGATTCGAACACGCTCTTGATCGTGAGAGGTTTCGGCTTCCTCAGAGTAAAAGACTGCTTTTTCTTTGCTTCAAAGGCCACGTCTCCAGCATCCCCGTACTTGTTGTACAGGGTCTTTAGTCCTGCAGTGTCCAGACCGCATACTTTCTTCAGTGCCTTTGAAATCGCCGATCCGCCCAGCCCAAGCTCGAGATCAATGTATGGCGGTGATATTGCGTTTGTAGCGAGCCATACGGCTGGAAGTAGGCTACTCGGGTCGCCTTCCATGATGGTCCGCAGTAAATTGACTAGGGTATCCACAATCTTGATTCGACTGGCAGTGCTATTGACCAAGACGAAGCACCTTGTAAGAAGCGCATATGTCGCGTGTCCTCCATCTGTCACCCAGTGTTTCTGCAGGTCGGATATGCATCTTGAAGGTTCGAAGTCAAGCGGGCTCTGATCAAAGGGTATGTTAAGGGTGATGGTGTCTTCGTCGGAGGCGGTGGACTGGAGTGTGAGGGTATTCTTCTGTATCGGAGGGCAAGGTTTCTTAGCCTGATCATTGGGCTTTGCATCCTCCGTCTTGTCCTCGTCTGTAGCAACTTTGGCGGTATCCTTTGCTCCTGGCTTTCCTGGATCTTCATACAATTCATTCGAGCTGGCCGGCTCTTCGGACCGCGCCTGCTGTTGCTCCCGCTCCCGCTCGCGATCCTCCCTATCCCATTGCTCCTGCAATTTCCTCGCAAGCTCCTCATCAGTCACATTTGCAGCGCTCTCTACAACGGCACCGACTCCCTGCGCTGTGCTCGTCTCCGCCGTGCTCGTAGTTGCGTCTTTGGATATCGCTTTAGCCGTCTGCTTGGCGAAGAAGTAGTCGAGGCTGCGTACCGGCTGCGTGGATCCGTCATTTTTCTTTCGGCGCTTGGATGGGCTGTTCATGGTTTCGAATTCGATTGCATGGCTGGAGTGGAGTTGGAATGGTGGTGGGTCACGGTTGCTACGTCATGACGTGATTTACCTAGTCGCGCCAAGATCGGAGATCTCCCGGTAATCGCGTGCTCACGCGTCTGCTACCGGCACTGACAACTACCTGCGTCCATCTATCGTCGATGGGAGAGCATGTATACATCTCTTTTGCCCCATATAGCGGGCATTCGGTGTAAATCACAGACGCCTTTGATCTAGCCTGATAACGAGGAGCTGCGATCCGATGAATCTCGACTCATTTATAGTGCACCATGATGGCCCTGACCCCTCAGATATCCAGGACAAACTTCATCATATTTGAACGCAACGGGAGTCACCTGAGATCTAGCATACACCGACTGTACAGCATTTCCCCCCATATACGGGTTCTCTCTGTCTATCTCTAAAAGCTCTGTTTTACCAAATTTCTTCAGATTCCACCCGCTCCCGCTCCCCCTTCCTACTCGTTTCCATAATCTAAACCACCACCACCACCGCCCCTGCCCCCGTCCCTACAACCCTCCCTCCCATCAACCCTCGCCCTCTTGTGTCCACCACCGCCAAAACCACGCTCCGCACGAGGCGGGTAAGGCACTCCTCCAGGCGCATCGCTGTGCCGACCACTCAAGCCCTGCGTATCGTCATCCGGTCCTGGGATGCGCTGATCCGTCCTCCCACCAATGAGCTCAAATACACCCGTCTCCTTGTTCGTGTAGCCCTGTTGACCACGGAGCTGCGATCCAACCGTGTACTTGGAAGCTACCACCAATCCCTCGTCAGCAAGTCCTGGATCCTACGCAGCAGAAAAGAAACACTTACTGAACAAGAGTGCGGTATCCAGCTGCAGCCGGTGCACCAGCTTCCTCGTAGCTACAACGGGGCACTCTGCCACCTCATTGCGGAGGATCTTGGTTGAGCCGTTCTCCTGGCACGTGAGAAGCGCGCCGAACTTGCCGTCACTTTCGTTCTCGCAGATGACGATGTCTGCATGCGCGCGCAATTGCCACTCATCAGTCCTCTGTCGCTCCCAGTGCCGCCCAAGAAACAGGAGAAAGACATACCGTAGAACTTGAATCGGTCACAGCCATACAGCATCTTGCAGTTGCCCGTTGCAGATGCCCGTAGGCGGCTCACCTCTGCGACCTACACACACAGTTGTGAGTTTTTACCCTCCAAAAGATGCCTCCAGCTCCCAGCAAAGAACCAGCGACAAACGACCACCAGCAAAAGGAACCCAACCAGCAACAGCAGCAGCAGCATTTCTCAAAAGACATACCTTGTCCCCATCAGCGAGCCAACACTCTCCCGACACAGGAGTGACATCCCCAATCACCACCCTCTCCATCATCTCATTGGCCTCCATGACGTCCCGATCAGACTTCCCACCGGCCTTTTCGAAACCAGACATTTTGTAATCGCCCTGGTGATTCTGATGCTGGACCCAGATACAGAAACCTGCGCGAATTATCCACTGCAACCGCAAAGCAGAATTCTTTTTTGGAATTCGTTGTCGTTGTTGTAGAGAGGAGTAGGAGTACTAGCAATGAGCAGCAAACAGTTTATATATCCCACCCGAACTCCAGGTGAAGGCCGCTCCAGCACGTCCCGTCTCCTCGCCAAGGCTGGGTGACAGGCACGGTGACCGTCGTAGTCGCAGTCACCGTCGCGGTCACGTTGGTATTGGGCATTGGTAGTGCGTTTGCCACAACAAGAATAACAATGACAGCAGCAGGAAAAGCAAAACCCGCAAACGCCCAACTCTACAACCCAGCAGCACCGCACACCCCAACATAACCACAGCCTCATCTCCAGTCCCGCTCGCACGCTACACGCACTCTACATGGCCAAAAGCACAATAAATCTCACAGCATAAACTGCCAGATTGTATGACCCTTTAGATCTGACATGGGGTTGGAGATGGTGTTACTATTCATAGGAAGGACAAGGGACGACTTGGTGCAAGCCTGAGCGCATAATGATATCGTATGGGGAGAAATTTCTGAGCGATGATGACAGCGTACAGTTTAGCATTTACACGGCATGATGTGTAGTTTTACAGTCTAGAATCTCGACTTTAATATATAGTATTGTTACTCATCCTACACATGTAGGACGTGGTGATTGATGGACGTTTGCACGTCTTCTCTCTTCTTTTACATTTTTTTTTCATCTCCCATCCCTCCTCCCCCGCCCCGTCTCTCCCTCCACCCTAAATTCCACAGACGACAAGACTAACCTGCCAAACACACAAACCCAGCCACAAATACCCCCACAAGTTCAGTCACCAGTAATTTGGACCGAGCAGAGCAGAGCAGAGCGAATTCTGCAATAAAAAGAGGGTAAGAAGCATCTGGTCACATATTTCTTGGTTTTACAATACAGAGCCATGTCGTGAGTATCATGTAAATGCGTATATGACAATAGCATAGCATAGCACAGCACACCTCACCCATCTAAAAGCCCATAAGAGCCATGACAGTCTTAGACTATCATCTTCACATTCACATTCACAATCACTCACACAACCACAGCCACAACCACATCAAAACCAACAACACACATCACCATCTCAAAGCACAATACACAATACACAATTCCAAGCAAAAAAAACAGCAGCCAACAAAAATAATTCTAAAACAGCCTGCCTTGTACCCTTGTACCACCTAACCCAGTCCCCAGCAGACATCATCTTTGGTATATTATCCCCCTCACTTCACCAGCACAACGAAAATCCCCCCTAGCTTCCAAAAACACAAACTTTCCTTCCCACAAGAGCTCAAACCGCCATCGGCCGTACGTCGACGTTTTTGTATCCCAATCCTACATTCAACCTGCTGAAACCAAAAAGACGCTCATGCACGCTCTCTCACACACATACACACACACGTCGTGACCGGTATCAAATAAACATTTTGGTGTTTTCTTTTCTTTCTTTCGGCATCACAGGGCGAGTCCAGAACCTGACGGATAATAGTCCGTACCAGCTGGGGTTTTCGAAGCAAGCAAGCGAGCATCAAGTCGCTCGTTCCTTCTTTCTTCGTAGATCTAAACAAGTCGTCGAGTATGAGGAGCGGAAAGTATGCGTGTGTGGCTGCTAAGGTGACTGTGGCCGGCTACGAATCTACCGTAGCTTGCCCTGTTCCTGAGCTTCCTTGACTTGCTCAAAAACCTACAGTTTGTGTTAGCGAAATGGCAGCTTGTGAAGGTGTAGCCAGTCCCCATACCTTCAGCATCTTCCTGCGGGCACCCAAAGCGTTGACACCGCGTTTGTCAAGACCCTCGTCGTCCAATTCAATCAGCTCCTGCCACTTGAGGTCCTTCAAGTTGTCAGTGTATTTGTGCAGGCGGAGACTCCTGAGCCAGCTGGGAATATCCTGAAGCAGGTTAGGATCGGTGGGATCCTCCGGAGGCTTCGAGCTGCCCCGACGGCCGCGAGGCGATCGCCCACGGTCCATTTGGCTAGGGTCGGCAAGAAATTCGCCGCTAACCCCAATGCCAAATTGGCTGAGATTCAAGGTACCCATGCCATTGTTCATCAAACCGTTGCCACTGTAGTCAGCGGAGAGGAAGCCGTTGGCCTGGGGAGATGCAAAGTTGCCCATGGCCCCCATTCCTGCACTCTGCATTGCGAAGCCTGGCGAGTTGGGACGAGAGCGGTGACCGTTCATAACGGCCAACTGCTGCGCCTGGAGGGCAGCAGCCTGTTGGGGTGTCAATACCTGACCTCGCTCGTTGGTCATGAGAATGTTCGAATTGCCCATGTGGGGTAGGCCAGGTGACAGAGGTCCGTTATCCGAAGAACGAGCACGACGATATTTGCGCACGTCATCAAGCTGAATGCGATTGTTAACAGTCGAAAGGGCGGCCAGTTTCATAGCGGTAGCATTGGCAACCATGTCTGCCTGGTTGTTGGTTTGATTGAAGTTGGCCACCATCGGAGTGCTCAGCTGAGAGGCCCAGCTACCGCCTCCAGCATAAGCAGGGGAAAGCAATGGCATGTTGGCCGAATTTGCTTCGAGGGCGTTGAGGGTAGTGGTCTGTACATTATTCCCTTCATTCTGAAGAGGGAGACGAGGAGAGCGAAGTCCCCCTGCGGAGGGGGGCGGCTGGGCAAATTGGCCCATAGGCTGGTGCTGTTGCTGCTGTTGCTGTTGCTGTTGCTGCTGTTGTTGTTGCTGCTGCTGCTGCTGTTGCTGCTGCTGCTGTTGCTGCCCAGATGACTTGGGACGGTTGGTACCCTCATTCCAGGGTGATGCTGGAGGCGCATTATTTTCTCGCTTGCTACCATCTTCTGGAGCGGAAATAGTCGGTGCAATCATGGAGTTGCGGTCGCCCACGGTGCTATTACGGTTTGACGCCGGCGCGACCCCAACAACATCAGTGAACTCGGCCTTTTGCTTGGCAATGGCAGCGGCGGCGTCCGGGAACATACGATTGATAGTAGAAGTGTCCAGGCCCGAATTGCGTTTTCCAGCACCTGGAGATGGCGGAGGGCGGCTGAGGCCCATGGACTGGCGATTCTCGCCCGTATTGAGCTTGCTCATAGCATCGCTCAATTTCTGCGTCATGGGATCTAAATCCTGTCAGCTCGTATATTCCCAACAGCACTCTCCCAGACACACCGTACCTTTTTCACCGAAATTGGCAGGAGACAGCACGCCAGACATGGGCAGGTTCTTGGACATTTGTTGCAGCACCTGGATGAAGAAGCGAATCTGCACCTGGGTTGTCTGCTGCAACAGAGCATATAGGGCCGCAGTCCGCTCGGCCTCGCTGAGGACGCGGAACCACTGTTCGATGGCGCTCAACTCGTCCTTGAAGTCCTGATCGAGCGTGGCCGTGGCCATTTCCTCGAGCGTGTTCTCGTACTGGTCAATGTCGGCCAGCCACTGCTGGGCAGCCCGCTCCATCTCGTCTGGGTTGCCCGACTGGGTACTGTTGCGACCAAAGTAGATTTCCGAAGCGGGACGAATGCCACGGTTGGCGAGGGGCGAGGAGAAGCCACCCATGTCAGCAGAGGCGCGCAGGTGGTGACCAGCGCCGAGGGAAGTGCGGGCTTGCGGGGGGCGCAACGAGCTCGAACCCTCGGGAGTGCTGTTCCTGTTGGCGGCAATATGGCTCGCAGACATGATTGTGGATGCGGGATCGTTCCTTTCTTCTTTTCTCGAGGCGAATATACAGAGCCGAGGTTGTGGCTGAATTGTAGAGGGAAAACAAAACAAAATGCCTGATAACTTGGTGAGTCTGTGTGTGGCACTCGGATTACACGGTTCCGGCTGCTGTCCTATGCCGTGGTTCGACCTACAAGTGTACGTCGACGATGGGCGTGGCTGTCTCTCTTTTTCTCTGTGTGTTCCTCTCTCTGTGTGTCCCTGTGTCTCTCCGTCTCTGTCTCGCTCTTTCTCTTGTTCTTTCCCAAGCTTCTCTCGATGTCGTCGTGATTGCACACGACTTTGTCTCCTGCAGTCCCAGCTGTGCCTCAAAGGAGCTCGAGGTGCGAATGTCAGGGGAGACGGGTGGGTGGACGACCGACGGAAGGCTGGAAGCAAAAAGAGGCACTAAACTGTAAAAAGCGAAAGCGCGCCCGGCGGTCAGGCACGAGCTTTGTTTGTCGTGTTTCCCAGACGACGATAAGAAGAGAGAGGGCGGGTGGGCGGAGGGAGGAGGCAAGATAAGAACCAAATGGGCGAAAGAGGAGGGGGAGGGGGGATAGAAAAAGGGTGGGAAAGAAGGGAAAGTATCAGCGTTGGTGAGGGTGACGGTGAAGGGGGGGGGGGGAAGTGTATTTTGGTGGTGAGTTACAAGCCGGGGCAAGACGCGAGGAGAAGAAGTCTTGGTCAAAGTGTCAGAGGCTGGAAATGGCGTTCACGGGCTGGTCCAGGCGGGGACACCAATCACGGCAGCCTGCGCAGGGCTGACTTGGGCAGCTGAAGCAACGGGCTCGCCACTTTTTCTTCTTTTAGCGCTGGCGCTTCCGACGAGGGCGAGAGGGCTTTGCTGTCCTGAATAGACATTCACTCTTTCGTAGTCATTGCTGAAATACCGATGTAGACTACAGACAGTACAGTACGCTACAGGACAGTACCTACTCTATACCTCCGTTAGCACCTAGCTAGCAGGACCTATACACTTGCCCAGCACCTTGAATACATTCCCTACATACTACTCGACAGTACATACATATACACATATACACCCACTAACTATTGAAGGCAATCATCCCCAACATGCCTGAAAACCTGTAACAATCGTGTCGCTCGAGAAGAACACACCCCCTCATTGGCTGCTCCAGTAGTCCTACAGTACGATCAACCGATTGGAGAAGCATGATAAAAAAAAAGGAAAGCCTTCGATCCGAGAAGCCCGTTCTTTATGCAAAAACCAGTGTCGAGAGGCGCACCATGGCCCTCCCAACCATGAGAAACAAGGCCCGTACCTGACAGACGTACCTATGGGGGTACTGTTGCACGCACCATGGTTTCCAATCGTCATTCCATCATTCTTCATGCTGCCTTTTTGTGGTTCATGTATACACTGCGCAATCGATGGCAACGGCGCTGCATCCTCACTTGATCTGACCCATTATACTCCCCACCATCACCGCCGCCTCCCTCTCCCAAGTCACCGCCACCCCCTTGCTCGACAGCGCCCCCGGCAACTGACTTCCCCGATTCACGCACTCCTTGACCATGTCGCGCACCCTATCCTTGTTACTCCTCAGCGTCCTTGCCGACACCCCTCCCCGATTCATGAGCTCTTGCACCCGCGGCGACATATTCGAGGCCAGCGAGCGCCAGAAGAAGCTGGGAAGGGACGAGCTATCGAGATCATGCAGGACCGGCTGCAGGAAATGAACTGGGATTTCCGTGTGCGCGTGGCGGGCCGAGTCGAGGACAGGGTGGGGTGGTGGCTTGATGGACTCGAGGAGAGACTGGAGTGCTACAATGTTTTGGCAGCGCGCCGAGATTTCGAGCAATGTGCGTTCGAGCGAGGGGAGCTGTGCGAGTGCGCGGGCAAGCGAGGCGAGCGAGGATTTGAGCTGCGTCTGTAGGTAGTCTTGTACTGCGTTGAGTAGCAAGGTGGGTTCAAACACGTGCACCGAAGCTTTTGTAGAGGTCGGGGAGAGCAGGTACAGGGTAAGGAGCGCAGACGTCGTCCTCGCCTTTGTCTCTTCGGTCTGAGAAAAGGTGGCGGCCGACGTCTGGCCTGCGGAGGAGAGCAGCGAGGACATGGAGAACTCCTTGACAACCTGCTGCGCCCGTGACGATAGGCTGCGTTCGCCAGGCACCACCAAGTCGTTCTTCAGCGTGGTGACCAGGTTCACGCGAGCGAGACCTTCTCCTTCCTCGCCCGCCCGAGAGGCAGCAAGCAAGTGCTTGAGCGACAGTATCGTGTCCGCAGACCGGACCATGGCTCGGTGGTCCTCTTTCCTGGCGCTGCCGACACCGCCCAGTTCAGACATGCGCACCTCGAGTTGTCGTCCCAGCATTAGACAACGCGCGACGGCTCTGCCCAACTTGACTGTCTCGCATAGTCTCTCCGCTGTCAATCGGACTTGCTCAGCCACCTCATACCGCTCAATCACCTCCTTCTCCAGCGTTTTGTACGATTCCGTCAAACTGGCAACCTGTCCTTCCACCTCCTGCAGTATGCGTCCGCTTGACTCGGCATCGTCTCTCGTGTGTTCCAGCAGGGGGAGTGCAGATTTGGTCGTCAGAGTGTCAATATGCGTGTCCACTTCCTGTACATCGAACAGAACGCGGGAAAGTGGGGTGGATAGGTCCAACGGGGTATCCGAGGCGTTGTTCGTCGCGAGAACCAGCGTATTCGCAAATGCGGTCGCTGAGAAGTCTGGATCTAGAAAGGCCTCGTAGTCAATATATGAAGGCTCATCCTCTGTTGCCATTGCGCCTGCTGATCTGCGTCATCAATCTTATACTCTTATACAGAGAGATCCAGATGAGCTTGAACGGTACCTGGATGGCTCTACGCTTTGACGGTCCAAGAGCAGGGATGTGGGCTCTTATCGCTATCTTAGCGGGTTGGGCTTGTCAAGCGTCAAGAGTCAAGAGTCAAGACGCCATTAGAGTTCAACTTACAACACTTCACGTAGGCAAATAGGCGACAGCTTCCAAGTACCTGTTCAAGAGTTTATTTTTAAAGGACAGGGTGCAACATATACAAGCACATGCTACATGCAACATTACAAGGAATCACGTAGACTTATTACTCCGTCTACTTCATAGCCCTGAATTACGGGACCGGTCCTCCTGATGATAAGACTCTCCTCCAAGACACTGCCGTTGGCCAGCTGCATGATCAAACATAAAAGATAGCAGCCATCATTAGCCAAGCCTTCCAATGAAGAAGAGCAGCAAGGTTCGAACTGCCTTTTCGAGTCCTCAAGCAAGAAACGTCCGCTACTTGTGGATACATACCGGTACCCAGTCTACTTTCAACAAGACCTCGGCAGCTAAACCGTGTACCTGAACCTAGGGCTATCATCGCCCAATTCCGCCACGGCCTCATCACTCATTCCCGCAATCAAATGCTCTTCTTCGCCTCTCTCGCGGCGCGAATTCACCTCGGCCAGCTGAAACCATAGCACCGCATAGCAAGCAATTGCAAAAGCCACCATGGCCATGGTAATCCCATGGCCCTTGACGAACCGCGGACGGTCTCGCGTTGGGTAAATCTGGGAGTCCGTTAGCCCCTTTCTTTGGTTCGTTTTCTGTTTTCAACAACCTACAAAGGCACTCATGATACCCGCACAATTTCCAATGGAGAGCTGCAGCCCCGTCGCGCTTGTACGCTTCCCATAGCGCGGGAGATTTGTAGGCAGCCATGCGAGCGGCAGACCGACGCAGACATAGAGTCCCATTGCGACGAGGAAACATCCAGCATAGTGCACCGCTGAGCTCGAATCACTAATCAACATGGCATACCCAATGATACTGATGACGCCGAGCAAGATGCTGTACAAACCGCGCTTCTGCTGCTTGTCCGAAAATCGAGCGACGACGAGGTAGGTAATGGCACCAAGGGCGTAACACGGGATAGTAAGAACCTGCACCATGGCATTTGAAGCATCAGGCATGATAGAGCGGATGATGGTGGGCAGGAATGTCGAGAAGCCGTAGAGCATAGTGTCTGATCCGAACTGGGCGAAGCAAAAAGTCCAGACCTTCCAGTCCTTGAAGCTTTTCCTCACATCGTCCCAGTGGAATTCTGCTGCTTTCTTGGTATACCCTGTTTGCCGCTTTAGGCGGGCTGCAGCAAATGCCTTCTCTTCAGCGTTGAGGAAGTAGGCCGTGTCCGGGCTATCGGGGAGAATCCACCATGTCGCAATACCCAGGACGAAAGTGGGAATACCCTCTAGAATCATGATGAATCGCCAGCCTCTCTGGCCTGCATGTCCGTCTAAGTGGCCGATTCCGTACGCAAGCAAGCCTCCAAATGCACCTGCCAGAGCCGCGGAAACAAAGAGATAGCCGATGCGAAGGGCAAGTTCGCGTTTGGTATAGAAGAAGGTTAGATAGACGGCCATGCCGGGGAATAGACCTCCTTCCACAGCTCCAAGGAGAAGACGGCATGCAATCAGACCACCGTAGCTTTGCACAACACCAGTCAAAGTTGCGACAGTGCCCCAGGACACAGTGATAAAAGCGATCCAGCGAGAGGGGCGGAGCTTCTTCAGCACGAGATTCGACGGGAGCTCTGATAAAATATATGTGACGAAGAGAATAGAGACGGCGGTCTGAAACTGGCCGTCGTCCATGTTGAGATCCTCTTGCAGTCCGTAGAGGCGCGCATTGCCAATGTTGACTCTGAGTCTTGATTTAGCACGATTTCCATGGGAGCGTAGATGCTACAATCTGTTTCGTAGCCAAGATATGAGACGTACCTGTCCAAGAAACTGAGCAGATAGAGCAGCATCACCACCGGGATAATGTAGAGATCGAGCTTGCGCACCAGTTTGGCCTCAAGGATGGGGTCAATGGCCTCGAGTTGCCTTCCGACCTCCTCGCTCTCTAACGACATGCCGGCGTGCGGATCTACAGCATCATGTTGCTTTTCTACGTCGCTCATATTGGTGGTAGTGTTGCTCTTTCTTTCAGGTTGGCGATCTCGGGGTGCTCGTGCTCCGTTCGCTTTGGTGTGACTGACTAGACAGGAATCCCTACCCTTAGTCCAGTAAATTTCGTTTTCGCCGCTGAAAATAAATCGACGCAATCATGCAAGAGAAAACCAAGCAATGTATTATCTTAGTGTAGGCAGTCAAAAATAATAGCCATCATCTCTTCGTGTTATAGCAAAGATGCCCACGAGGACGCGACGTTTGTGAAGAGTTCCTCATTAAAATGAAAGACTCATGACGGCTGGCTTGGGATCAATCCACTTTGCAAAGGGCGACAATGATGCAAACCTAATCGCGGGGCTTGAGCGAATGGCGTGCGCTGCTAGCCGTGTTGGGAGTGACGTTGGTGACTAAGCGTACATGCGCTGCTGATAGGAGATAACAGTCTATGTGCGCGGGGATGGAAATCCTAATGCCAATGTTCAAGCTTGGGGGCAAGGGAAAGGATGGGCGCAGAAAGATGGGGGTTGGATGTGTGGATGTGTGCAACGTTGATTGCATTAACCATGACTGACTGCATCTGTTTGCTGTGCGCCCCATTTCCCATGAAACTTGCTTTGGATCAAGATTGCCTGCTCATTCTGATCACATGGCTGCGATCGTCTTTGCGTAGGATGCGAACACCTAGGTACTCAATACTTTTCGTCGAATGTGTAGTACGGATCCAGGAGATAAGCCTAGTCTTCTTCCCAACATCTGTTGTCTGGGACCTCAGCTAGGGAGCTAGCATTGTGACTTTACACATTTCACGAAGCTGGGATTGGCACCCCTACTTCATACGGCAGAGTGGGTACATTCGAGGTTCCTGTTATTGTGCTTCTTGAAATTAAGTCGACACGTCACATCGAATTGGATGACGGCGAAGAATGCTGGCTGGGGTCCTTTACACTCCAATCTTGGGGAAGAATCTATACAGAGTGGTCTTCAGTTTATCTCCTACAAGGCTATACAACAGGGGACTTACAATGCCTGAGTAGATGTCGACTCCAATCACAGGATCAATAGTCCCAATGAGTTCCTGACGAGGAAAGTCCGTTGTACGTGTAGCGGCAGTGTTCGAATCTGTAGTGACCATATGCTGGATACTTGCGAGATCCGCTCGCGCAACCATCCGAATCTCCTTCGCCATTCGCTTCACTAGTGGCCATAGGTTGCCTAGGTTGGTCAAGCAGGCGATGGATAATCTGATACGATCTCGAGCTATGGATTGCGCGTAATCTTCGAGTAGATTGTTGCATGCAGATATTTGCACTGCTGTAAGCTGTGCAATAATGCTCGCTGCGAAAATATTGTGCTTTTCGACAGCGCAAGGGATAGCTAGAAGCTTAGTAAGAATCTCTGTTGCTTTGAGCGCTCGTGCTGTGTGTGTGGCACGTCCCGCTTTTGTTGAAATAATAAAGGGTGATGGGGATAGGAATGATTCTGTGAGCATTTCTGCTGGGCTATACGATAAGGATGAACATGGTCGGTGTACCGTCGACGTTGTGCTGGTCTGGTCAGCCTTCGAACATAACATCGCAGTAGACTACTCACATCGCAAAGATGACATGAGCCATGAACCTTTTGTGAGTCTGCAGTTAGCACACGTCTCATTATAGAAAACTGTAGTTCGTACATGACTTCATCTATGCTACCATCACTTCTTAGAGGATCTTTCTTCCAAGCTGGCAGGAGTGCCTTCCATATCGCCAACTTTGCATCGGCCCCTTCGATTATCTCTTCCGTAAAGCGTCCGATTTCTAGAAAACTGCGCATAACTCCTGTATGTTAGTGAAGCTTCTCATCCGTCCTGGTGCGCAGCCTCTATACGTACTGTAGGCTACTACCATAGCTATATCGTATAGATATACAATGGAAGAGTACACAACTTCAACATCAGCAAACTCACGATTCTCGAATTCAGCCCAAGAAAGGGCGGGCGGTATTTGCTATTGATGTCAGCCTTTTTCATGTTTGTAAGTACATTGGCTGACATACCCCAGATACATAGTATTCGTCGTCACAGGGCAAGTCCACGTCGCTAGGTACAGTCAGGAGCGAATACATTGGCATGTTGTTGATGATGGAGAAGTGCTGATTGGAGATCTTCAAGAGGTAGAATGTCCGGCGCCAGGACTCCTCGAGAACTGGATTCGATTCGCCATAGGCGCTTGCGAACCATCGTTCATTCATGCACAACTCCAAAGCCATGTCAACTGCGGTATCCATCTTTTGGCGAGCTCCTGGTTTGACGTCGGAATGATATAGTGCGAGTGCATAGAACATCAGGGCTTGCACGTTGAATGGCGTTGATGGAAGGTTCGAAATACAGACTGCTGCAACGGCAGCCTCAAAATAGGGTTCTGAAGGAGTCGAGGGCGCGTAGATGGAACCTATCCACTGTAAAACGGGTAATAGTGCATGCATTCCATGGTCGTATTCCACCCGTCTGGCCTGCAGGAAAACATATGGCAATATGCAAGGAAATGCCGGCCAAAAGTTGTCGAAGAAAAGCTCCAGTAGTCTGTCTTCGCTGACCATGAATGCCATCGATCCTGGCTGGGCGAGTTGCCAATTGGAACTGTTTTCCACGTAGTTGCTGGCCGCGGCAGCTGGAGAAGTGTTTTCGCCTGTTGAAGTAGACTCTGGTGGGGAACACTCAAATTCGCTGTTGGACGGGTTTGTGTCTGGTGTTTGTTGCGCACGCTCCTTTTCTTGTTCAAGTCGCAACCGCCGGCGAGCTAGGGCGGCCTTATCAAGTCCTCCTCTTCTGGATTTTTGAAACGTACATTCTTTCCCATCACGCTTGCATCTGTTGCAGATGGGTTGTGTCGCGTCACATTTAACATGCCTGCTCCGACATTGTATGCAAGCGAGCGTAACGCGTTCGATGCGCCTGGTGTCTGAAGCCATTCCCAACCAATGGCAGAAAAGGCGGAGTAATGTAGATCCGAGCCTGCCGACTTCTTGACACCCCGGTACCGTATCGATCTCTGATTCTCAGGGATCGTTCGAGGTGGCGGAAACACTACTCAAGGCGAAAGAACTTGGGCCACGGATGTGAACAGAGGCTTTTTGTTGATGAAGAGTGAGAGTAATGGACGACGCTTGTGATGAGCAGAGTCATCGTCACAGTAAGACTCGGAATCACCTAGCTGATTAAGCTATTGCCAAGCATTTCAGGGATCGCTCCATTCGAGTCGATGAAAGATAGGACACAAGCTTTCGACGAAACATCACCTGAACGACTATGCACAGTAACACTAGCAGGTAATACCTGTTTTGATGCTCGACAATCTAAAAACAAAAACAACTATGGCCTGTACGTACACCGATTTTCCCGTTTGGGCGGCCTGCAGCATTAGAACTATTGTACATTCCAACATCGGTAGTGCTTTTGTCACAAAGCTGGTATAAGGACTTAATCTGTTCTGTGATGGAAACCGGTCATATTGAAGATGCATCATGTAGTGTAGCCACAGAGCTTACTTTCTCTCTTTGCATGCAATCAAACTTTCTTGCCACTGGGACGGCGATTATTGGCTCGGTCCCACTGCACATTGGCCCGTTCGATGGAAGTAGGGAATAGGTTAGCAATGAGATTAAGCAATTCCGATGAGGATCTACGCAAGCTACATGCATGTTTGTCACTCTTACAGTGTGCCTGAATTGTTTTACGGTAGCCTTCTTGAAGCAGAGCCTGCTGCAGCACTGAGCAGTATATCGAACATTGCATGTCGCCAAGCCGTCATACAGGTACCGGTATTTCCTGTGTGTAGTTAGCTCCTCTGTTCTAGAGAAGTTGTCATTGCAGGCCATCTGTAAGCAATGCATTACCAATTCAAGTTGATCAATTATCCATATAGTTAGCGTCGTGCTGAGGTCAACCTCCAATGTGGGATATTGCTTTCGGAGGAGATGTTCCATTGGATCGCAAGAGCTTCCATTGTCCAAATGCTTCGAACTCGGCGTACTGACCATGAGAATAAGTAACGGAAAAGATTGGCGTTTCCAGCTGCAGCACATATCCCTGCGCTCTGACTGGATCTGTGCGTACCAGCTCGAAACATTCCAGTTTCCTTCATCGTTCATGATGTAATATGATGGGAAGAAATTTTATGAGTCCATCCAGTTCCTCAAATCAAACAGCGTAATACAGTAATGGGCGCCAATCTCCCAACTCGGAAAGAATTGTCAACACAAATGGAAATGGTGAATATTTCGGAGAACCGGTGATCACCTAATGAGACGTTGTGACACCGAAGGCGCTGTACGTTCCTCTGCGACTTGCTAATTAAGGAGCAAAGATTATTCACGAGATAAAGGAAAAAAAGAGAAAATGATCAGAAAGCCCATAGGTTTTTTGAATTGAATCATATCTACTCCAGACGTGAACCAAATGCACTGCAGACGAGGAGGAGCAGTACTTTGCAAAGTGAAACGGGGTCTGAAAGGTTACGCAGAGTAGGGTTCCGATGTGCGGCCGCTTAAACTTTAGTTAGCCCTATCGATAACAGTCATTCACTTGCCGGATTCCGAAGGTTTCCGACCAGTTTCTCTTGTTTGGTAGATTAAGTCGACAACACTCGTGTACGCAAGTAAAAAACTCATCTTATATTCATCAAAGAATGGCTGAAGGCGCACCAGCACATGGAGCTGTTGCTCATCTGTTACCCCAGACATACAAACGATACATATCGGAATGGCTCGAAGAAGACACCCCTAGTTTCGACTATGGTGGCTTCGTTGTTGGTGAGGAGATATCAGAGGCGAAGTTGTTGGGGAAGAGCGAGGTGAGTAACGCATGTAAGAGATATGTTCAATCTAACATAGTTCAGGGTATAGTCGCTGGAGTGCCATTCTTCGATGAAGTGTTCCGTCAGTTGGACTGCTCGTGAGCACAACCTCTTCCCTGACATGACCTCAAAGCATGACATCTAAACCCCGAGCAGCGTAGAATGGCATATCAAAGAGGGTAGCGCTTTCCAGCCCATCACCCACTGTGCCACTGTTAGAGGTCCAGTCCGCAAGCTTCTTCTAGGGGAGCGCGTAGCCCTCAACACACTGGCCCGTTGCTCCGGAATTGCCACAAAGTCGAATCGCCTTCTCGTCCTCCTTCGCAAAGCTGGGTATCCCAATATCCTTGCTGGTACCCGCAAGACGACGCCTGGCTTTAGACTCGTCGAAAAGTATGGCATGCTTGTCGGTGGCGTTGATGCGCACCGTGTTGACCTCTCCGCCATGACCATGTTGAAGGACAATCACATCGTCGCTGCGGGAAGTATAACAAATGCGGTGCGCGCCGCAAAGTCAGCAGGTGGGTTTGCCATCAAAGTGGAAGTTGAGTGTCAGAGCTTCGAAGAGGCGGACGAAGCGATCGCTGCTGGTGCTGACATTGTCATGCTCGACAACTTCACGCCTGACGGTGTCAAGGTTGCTGCTGCGGATTTGAAAAATAAATGGGGCCGTGGTACAGGGGACAGGAAGGCTTTCTTGGTCGAGGTCAGTGGAGGGTTGACCGAGCACAACGTGGAGAAGTATGTCTGTGGTGATATTGACATTGTGAGCACGAGCAGCATACATCAGGGTGTGCCGCATGTAGACTTCTCACTCAAGATTGTTCCCAAGACGAAGAATTAGGCCGGAGAAAGTCTAGCAGTGTAAAGACCTACTGAATCATCATGTGTATATAAGTCGGCAACTAGATTATTCTACTGCCCAACACGTTTGTCAAGTACAGCGCTCTCATACTCGCAACTGATGCAATCGCAGTTTTCATTCGCACAAAATTATAAGCCCTTGCTAAATTTCTGGCCAACTTCATCAGTGTACTATGATCACCTTTCTCCTTCGGAACTCGTGGGTGACGTTGATATCTGCTCAGATATTTTCTGGCCCGAGAAACAAGACGTCACCCTCCATGATTGCGTTGATCCTCTCGTGACGTGGAATCCTTCGTTCCCGGCATCTTCCACAGTCTAGGACTTCAGAGACGCTGCTTTTGCCATCCATGCCTCTACATTTGTCTCTAAATGATGCTTTGAGGTGACCGCAATTGTAGTATACTCGATTCGTTATCGATCCGTCTCGTGGTTTGGTTACAGACAATTTTCAAGGACAAAACTGTATGTGTAAGTTGCTGTTGTCCATTTCTCGGGGTTTACCGGTACCGCTTCGTTTGCAATCGCAATGCCACGTTGGTCACAATTTGCCCTTCCTTATTGACTATCGCTACTGTGAAGTACAGCCATGCCCAAAAACTCATTGATAACTCTTCACAACACCTACACAGCTAAATTCCAAGAATTAATCGCATCGACAGCTATGTGCATCACTTTGCTGACCAAATAGGCCTGTGGTCACGAGATCACGGGTTCCATGTGCAAGAAGAATGAAACGCATATGAGAACAAAAAATTCATGCATGCACGAAGTGTATCAACGAATATATGGAACAACTGCGCGAGGAGTGCGATGACTCGAAGCGAATGCTTCAAGACGCCGATACCGGTAGTGCTTACGCAGCGGCTTTGGAGCATATTCAGACCATGGAAACCGAATACAGATCGGCCAAAGGCCACAATGTAAAGCTCACCAGGCAGCTCAAGTCCCTAACACAGAGTGCTCAAGACCCACAAAGGAGACAGGACGAGCACCTAGGTTCTGTGGAGACACTGACTGCCGAGCTGGAGGCGACCAAGCTAAGGTGGAAATGAACGAGGACCGTTACAATGGAGATAGCGTGCGAAATGTTCCTTGCTTCGCAACAATGAATCAACATATCAAGGCGGACCTCACATAGCGATGGAAAGGTCTTCCAGGCCGTCCGATACTTCATCCACATGCTCGAAAACGGATACCGGCTTTGGTTGTCTTCCATAGGTACCGGTATGGGCTAGATCAAACTCGCCATTCTTGGGCGTGTAGTCGCTGGCCTTCCGCACTGCAGTCGTAGTCATAAGCCTCGGGCAATGTGGGGAAGAGAGCGCTCATCGTTTCTAGTACGCAAAAGGCTTGGTGGCTAAGGGATGGAGTGTCGGAAAAGTCCCCCCCACTCTATGGATGTGTCTCATATGTGCAGCAGCGATTGTCTTGAGACTTTAGCTTCGAAGGACTAGAACGCAAGCGACCCCACCAAATCGAATCGACTTGACGTGATAGCTGGATTCGTGTGCTTTCTTGGTTGCCGCTGCAAAGGTTTGTGGGGCACGGTACTGTTTACAATACGAGGGCTGACAAATTCGTTCCTCCTGGTTGAGCTGTGGATGGCTTGGCATCACTGGAATTCCAATGAGCAAGACGCGGAGGACTAGATGTCTTGAGTTATTGATTGTCTTCAGCAATACGTAGAATAGTATGGCAAGTCTAGTAGTTACAGTAGGTAGCTCCCACGCGTATCTTTGCCATGCTATGCTTGATCGAAGGGACCGTGTCTCTGGGTCGCTGTACTGGTAAGCCAGCATTGGAGGCGAGGCGTGTTGATCACCCATCGTTGAACCAATCTTGGAAACTCACATTCCAAGCTCATCGGGCTAACAGGCTACGCATAGAGTACCTACTAGGTAGTCTGCAGAGTACGGACATGACCTTCTCCATATCGTCGGGATCAATACATGCATTTGACGGGTTGAACGTTGGTCAGCTCTACCTAGAGTACTCTACCGGTAGAGTGCCTCCGGGTAAAGTGACGTGCATCTCCCGACTGATTCGGTCCAGAGGGCCCCAACGGTGTGCTCGTACACCATCCGACTTGATTCTGTGAGACTGAGAAAGTACACACTCTACGTTGAATCCCATCAGCCACAGACGACCTGGACAAAGAAGAAAGGTCGAACTGCCGAGCTGCAGTCATCAGCTGCTACCGTACCGTGGTCCGCATTGACTTTTAGCGTCGGCGAAACAAGTAGGAAATCCCCCAAGCAACACCAAAACACACGGCCACTCTTGTCAGCTGCAATGCCCGAAGCTTTCCTATCCCGGTTTGCCTGGACATGGAAACATGCTCACAAGACGGATCCAGTTCCCCATCATCATCTGGGCAATGGTCGAGGCACGACAGAACGTCGACATGCTGGTCCTGCATTGTGTCAACCGCTGTACCGGCGTGCCCACGACGATGGAGGACGACGTCAAGAGATCGCGACCCACTCTGCCGAGCAAATGCAACTTCATAAGATCGTCATGCGAGTTCCGAATCCGCCATCCATGCATCCTTCAGAGGACACGAGTCAACAGCCTGTCAGCCAAGGCACGGCCCCGCAAAGTTGCCAACCAAAGAACACACTGTTGGCGAGATGTGGCTTCTGCCTCATGCTTTGTATGGACTCGGTAAATTCTCCTCCACATCAACGTCCCCTCTGATCGTTCAACCCGCTCCCTGAACCGGGCAAGCCGCCAGATGCGGGTGGAACGGAGTCTTGGGCTAACACATTGGCCCGAATGCTGATGTTTGTTGCTGCAAAGGCAACTGCCGATTCCTTCAACCAAGACCCTCTGCCTACGCCCCAATTGCAACGCCGTCATCCTCCATCAGAGACGGAAACCCCCCTGTGTTGTAGATATATGGCCTGTACCCTTCCCCGGATCCCGCACCCCATATTCTCACAAGCAACGTGTGGGGCCACAGCTCGACCACGGAGAAGAACACGTCGCTCCCGACTCTTGCTTCACATCGTCAACACGCGTGTAGTCGCCCATCATGACGTCCATGGGAGTTCAAGAGATACACACCTTCGGCCAAGATACCTCGATAGAGAAAGCGGAGAACTTCACATGTATGTGCCTCTCCTGTCCAACCTCATTTAGATGACTTGTTGATCGACAAGCTTTAAATGAAACAGTCAACAGCAGTGATCGATCAACAGAGGAATTCACATGGACCGAAGAAGAGGAGACCAAAGTTCGACGCAAGCTAGACAAAGTCATCGTGCCCGTCACAACGTTCCTATATCTGCTATGCTTTCTCGATCGGTAAGTATCTTTCCTGTGATGAAACCGGTGACTTTTGCTTACGTCTGGACAGTGCCAACGTCGGTAATGCGCGTATCCAGGGTATGGGAGAGGAATTGAACCTCGTTGGATACAGATTCAACTGGGTCACCTCCATCTTCTATATCATCTACATGTTCGTCGAGGTGCCTAGCAACCTGATCCTGAAAAGGATTGGGCCGAAATACTACCTCCCATTCCTCGTTGTCGGCTTTGGCATGGTCTCGCTATGCAGTGCGTTCGTAAAGAGCTTCGAGGGTCTTCTGGCTGCAAGAGCTCTGCTCGGTGTGTTCGAGGGTGGTGTCATGCCGTAGGTTTTGCGCCAGAAATACTTTTGCTCGAATGCTGACAGTCTTTAGTGGTATCGCCTTCTTCATCACCTGCTTTTACAAGCGTAATGAACTCCTTCTACGTATCGGAATCTACGTCTCAGCAGCTTCCATGGCAGGTGCTTTTGGTGGACTCCTGGCTACAGTGTAAGTTGCCAACCTCATGATGATCAAAACATGAAACTAACAGCAAACCAGCCTCGCTCGTATCCCTGAATGGGGGGTTTCCGCCATGCGAATTCACACCTGGAGGAATATCTTTTTCTTTGAAGGACTTCTTACTGTGCTCGTCGGTCTCGGCGCACCCTACCTCATGCCCCGATCTCCCAAGGAGTGCTGGTTCCTCAACGAGCGCGAACGCATGATTGCCCACCAACGACTTGTCGTCAAGGGCGGAGGTGCCGAGGACGAGAAGACCGAAGTGCATCACATCAAGCGCGCCATCTTCAACATTACAAACTACTTCTGCGCCTTTGGCTTCTTCTTCATCAACATCACCGTTCAGGGTATCTCGCTCTTCATGCCCACACTCCTCCGCGATCTCGGCTGGACAGCAACAAAGGCTCAGCTGTACTCTGTTCCACCGTATGTTTGTGCCTGCGTCATTGCCATTGCTGTCGCTTTTCTTTCCGACAAGACCAACCGTCGTGGTATCTGGCTTGCCATCTTCACCCTCCCCGCCATCGCTGGCTTCGCCATTTTGCGCTGGGCTACGAGCCCCGACGTTCGCTACGGCGGTATCTTTTTAATCACCATTGGCGCATTCCCCGGTGGGCCCGGATTCCTCGCCTGGGCTGCCAACAACGCGGGAGGACCATCTGTCCGCTCCGTATCCACAGCCTACGTCGTCACTTTGGGTACGGCCGGCGGCATCGTAGCGACATGGTATGCTTACATCTCAACTGTTTTTCTTTTTTGCAAAAGAACCCCCCTCCCCCCTTCTCACTTGTTGCAAGATACTGACAGCAACCACAGGACCTACACCTTCACAGACGCCCCCAAATACCACACGGGCCACACCATCAACTTGGCAGGTCAAATGGCCGTCCTCGTCCTCTCCCTCTTCGGCATCGGCTACTGCAATTGGGAAAACAGGCAGCGCGACAATGGCAAGCGTGATCACCGCCTCGTTGGCAAGTCGGAGAATGAGATTAGAGATCTTGGATACAGACACCCCGAGTATCGTCTCATCACCTAGAACACGGGATCACTGCCTCGATGAATTCCCCCAAGTGACAAGCATCATCTCCACGCTTCGCACTTTTCGGAAACCCCGCTTGTTGTAGTTATGTTGCCGTATTTTGCAACGTTGGCGTTTAGTTCCATGACATGCGTGAATTCACAAATTCGCCACCAATCAAACGAGGGGAAAATCTTCACCCCTTTTTTTCCAAATTTCAAAGGCGCAATTTTAAACGTATATGTGACATCCTCCTCATGCTCAGAAATCCTTGAATTCAATATACCACACTCCATGCGCTCCACACAAACCACACAGCCGCACCAGCGGGCAATCCAATCTAACCCAAATCCACACCCGCACAGCCCTCCGCAGCCCCAGAAACCGGGAAACGAACAAGTGATCGTCCCGTCCCACAGCCCGGGAATACATGATTCGTGACGCCCGGCGTGCCGTGTCTAGCCTGCTTCCCTCCGTGGGCACATGGAGCGTGTGTAGCTTAATTAGCCGAAGAAGGGGAGGGGGAGGGGGTGTTGTGAGCCGCGGAGGATGTCTGCTGATTATGCGGTTTGGGCATGTATGGAGTGTGGAGTGTGGAGTGGGATCGGTATGTACGGTAGGTACTACCATGCAGGCAAAACCGGGACAGCACATACACTACACCAGCAACGAGAGAGTGTGGACATTGAAACATCTAGGGTAGTTGTATACTACATCATCGTCGTGATGTACAATAACACCTTTTTCCATTGCGTTACTTTCGTACCGTCGCCTCAGAAAGCCTGGAGAAATTAAAATACACTGATACTGAAATGGAGAACAAGCAGGTAGACCTTGATTCGACAGGAAGGGGCATCGTCGTCCATCCATCGATGTATACTCATACATGAACCCACCTCTGAGACCAACTCCTTTCGTAATTGTACCTCACCACCATGCGCCCAGCCAACCCCTCCACCCGCTCACCCACATTCATTCGGAATCCGTCTTCCTATCCCTCTTCGAAATATCGACATTCAAATTCGCCAACATAGCCTCCCTCATCTCGCTCCCAGAGCTGCTCCCATCTCGCTCCACGCCGTCCATCCCCTCCACTCCAGACTGCGCCATCATGCCCGGTTTGGGATGGACATCGTAATCATAAGCATCCTTTAGGAACTTCGCAATCGCCATATTCTCGCGCTGTGTCCCGGTGGTGCCGTAAAAATTCTTGAGCTCCTTGGCTACAAGCGTGGCCAGCAGCGCCCCCGAACCAACGGACTGGGGCCATTCCTGGCCGGGTACACTGACCTTTGCGTTCTGGTGGATGCCCATGGCGGCCATTTGATCGACCGTATCCCACGTGGTTGCGCGCAGCGGCATGTTGTGGACAAATTGTTTTACGCGATCTTGCAGTTCGAACCATTCAAGGCGCTTGTCGAGCCAGTTGTCGAGCAAGCCGTATACCTTGGGCGCAAAGTCGATAAAACGTTGTGTGGATTGGAAAAGGTGCTCAATTTTGGCCACGAGGAATTCAATGTCCATGCCGGTAATGACTGGGTGGACGTGGATGCGACGAAGCATCTCGTTCGGGTCCACGGTCCTGTTTTTGCGGTATTGCGAGTAGTTGGACGGGAAGAGGAAGTGGATTAGACGGCGTATGATCACCCGCTCTTCGGCTGCATTAACATGACCAGAGATGTCAAGAGTGTCGCGGTTATACACCTTTGGATGCGTCATGGCGAGGAGGCGCGAGCGGGAGCTCTTGAAGTAGGTCGCCGCACCTACATCTGCGCCGCAGCGCCTCAGGAGATCGTCCATTGACGTAGTTAGAACCTCTGAAAATTCAAGGGTACGCAGATATTGGACAAGATTGTTCTCGATCTGTTCCAACTTATAAATGTCGTTGTCAGTGCCCTTACTTTGATAGCCAATCGTGCCAACAAGACCGGCCTCTCGCAAGGGTCTCATGATGTCGCTCGGCAAGAAATCCTTGAGATAATTTGAAGCACTCAGATGCTGCATGAGTGCACCATATTGTAATGAGAGGAAGCCGATATCCTGCGAGACCAGTTTCTTCGCACGGTCAATCAACTTCTCCCGCGATGCTGGCGATATTCGCCCGTAGAACTCGTTGAGAATAGGCATTTCCATTTGGGACGCGGGAAGCTGTGGATTCGGGAGTCCTAGCTCTCGTTTGCATTCGGCAACGAGAATGTATAGATTTATACCCAGAGCCCGTGGATGATAGGGGAGAGCCGATGCAAGTCGTTTGATCGAGCTTTTACCTGGTTCCATGTAAGACTTGTTCGACTTGACCAAGGACTTGATATGCTCGACATATTGACGCCGGTCCTCCTCCCCAGGAAACCGTGGACAGTCCCACAGCGTTTGAACCTCCTGGGCAATTTCAACGGGTGGGGTTGCTGTATGCACCGCTATTTGTGTGCCCTCGACACGCGTGTACGCTCCTCGCACATAGAGGATTCCAGGAATATTGACGTCCTTTTTGTGAACTGAGCTGATCTTGGCAACAAGTATCACATGGTCAGCGACAGGTATCTCCTGGGTTACTCTACATTCCATGGCAGCTTGCACATCATCATCCCAGATTTGAGGCGCCAAAGATTCAGATTGACTCTCCTCTTTCTTGTTCCTTGGCATCCAGAGCCGCTTGAGATTTTTGCGCCGCTTGCTGTATGCCGCAGCATCATTGCCTCTAGTGAACAGTTCCACTATGCTTGCGCCGCCCCTGTTCGCTGAAGTAATGTGAATGCGGAATAGTCCATTGGCCTCACGTATGGCGCTTAACGTTTTGGATGGCTCCTTGAGATTGAAAGATATCATCGGTGGATCCATGGAGACGGTGGTCAACGATGATATGGCAGCGCCTACTGGAATGCGTTTATTTGTTTCGGGATCGATACAAGCGACTGTGACGATGGCGGCTGAGCTGGGCACATTACGCATCACTACACGGACCGAAGATCTGAGTGCGTCGATTTCGGGGTTCGAGTCGTCTATGTCAGCTATAGTCTCTTGTACCTCTGGCTTTGGCCCAGACTCTGATACTGGCTGTGGTTCTGACTCTGGCTCTGGCTGCGCGTTTGCAGCTCTCCTTGTATTATCCTGATCGCCGCTATCTACTTCTTCCAAGAAACCATACACATCCTCAGTCTGAGCAGCCGACGGCTCATGCTGTGGATCTGATCTCATCTCTGACTGTTGTAGCAAATGGCTGGCATAGTAGCCTCGAGTATTGGCATCACGTATGTAGCGAGCACCATGTTGATTTCTTGGAGTGGAGATGGCGCATATCCGTGAAGTCTCTGCGAGGACACATCAGTATCATCGATTAAAGCAATAGGGTACTTTGATGCCTACGATGCTGTAGATTCCATCTGTAAAATGCAGCGAAGAAGCGAGTCGCTGGACGCTGGCAGAGCGACATTGTCGCAGAGTAGGTATCACTTCTCAAGCCCAATGCCCATCCACAGAGAACAGAGAACAGAGAATTGGTGAAGAGAAAATAAAATGAGATTGGCAATTCGAATCAGAAAGTAAGCGCGACAATCCTCCCCCACTGATGTTTTCCAGCGCGCGCACCTTGGTTCTCCAAACAGGGCAAAAGAAAAAAACTCCAACGCAACCCCATACATCAAGTCTTGGCAACTGCAAACCTCCGCCCCCATCTCCGCAACCTCCATTTCTCCCCACCCCCAACCCAAACCCAGCACCCCAACACACCTCACAAAACCATGGCGGGCCCAATTCCCTCTCTCGGGGCCCTGCGCGCCCTACACTCTTCCCTCCTCCACCCACAGGCCCTCCACAACCCCAGAATCACCAGCCAACAAGTCCGCCATGCGACCCTGCTCCGGCGCCCAAAACGGCCGTATACATTCACCCAGCTCATCACGCTGTCCGACGGCTCCTCCTTCACTCTGCGCACGACAAACCCGACGCCCGTGTACAAGAGCACAAAAGATATCAGAAACACGCCACTGTGGAATCCGAGCTCGCAGAAACTGCTGGATGTCGAGGAGGATGAGGCGGGCAAGCTGGCAGCGTTTAGGGCCAAGTTTGGACGGGGGTGGGATGCTGAGGGGACAAAGGTATGCTTTTCTTTAGGGAGGGAGACATGTGACTGACGGGCGGTGGGCGGGGGCTGGGGGACGAGGGGGGTGTTGTTTGGTTCAAGGACTAATTGACGGTATCCAGGGCGACCAGGACGATGGCGGTCAAGACCATCTGTTGGATCTCATAAGTGGCAAGAAGAATGCGCCAACGAAGAAACCCGATGCTGCAGCGCAGACTGCTGGAAAATCTGCCCCCAGTTCTGCGAAACCAGCAACGAAGAAGTCATGAGTCAGTTGGAAAGCCGACTCAATCGTGTACGGGACTTCAATGGGCTACCATACTAGAGTCATGTATGGTATGGAGACGACAAGGAGCGGATATTCAAGAACATCGAACTGTGTGGTATCAAGACAAGTGAGCTGTATAATTCGCCAACTCCAAGTGCAAGGCTTATCGGGACACACATGGCAGCTCATAGTTGGGAGTTTTCTTGTTCCAAGAAGACCAGAAGAGAGCTTATATATGGAAGACCAGTCGATCAATTCCAAACGCGCACTGTCTCTTTCTCTAGGGTCCTTCACGGACAAAGTGCAATTTTCTTTTACTGGTGCACAAGTAGACATTGGGTTTGCTCTTACGCTGATTATATCTCTCACGAGTGCGACATGTAGCTTGAAGTGATGAGAACACGTACTGTTTCCCGTCAACTCTGACTAAGGTGCGGTAGAGCATTCTTCAAAGCCAGTAGAACAAGAAACTTTGGCATCTTCATTTGGATGCTATTGGTCTCTAATCATAATGGCCGACCGTACTGCCGTATCAACCACCGAGCACTGCCTTGTGCACAGTCATCCCGGCGCACTCGTGGGGTATATTGAGCCTTTGTGGCTCATGTTTGATTGCTGTCGAAGAATGACTGGGCCTTTCTGCCACGTCCCTGTGGATGCCTTTTGACCCCAACGCCGACCACTCCATGTGAAGCCAGTGGAGGTCATGCCATCCATCGTCTCAGTTCATTATGCGTTTGAGTCATGTCGCTCATGCGGGCTGCTCATATGCCCTCTTGATCACTCGTGCGAATTCTGGGTACTGGTTAGTGTTGCACAAGTAAAGATGTTCAGGATTTCCAACATACGATCAAATTTGACGTTCTCTCTGACAACAGTGCCCTTAGCTTCGTTGTCTTTGTTGATGGGTACCTTGATCTTGGCGCCATCGATAGCCCAGCCGCACACGCTGCCCACGAAGTGCTCAAACTCGCTACCAGAGAGGTTCAACCACGACTCCAGAATGCTGCGATCGACTTCTCGTACAGCCTGGCTGACTGTTGCGGCGATGCGAACGCGCATCAACTCCTCGAAGCCTGAGACGTCGGCAATCAAGTCAGCGTACAAGTCATCCGAGTCGAGCGTCGACCAGAAAGCAGCGTAGTCGGCGCCCTCGAGAAGATTTCTCAGCTCGTTGAGCTTCTGGACGGCTTCCGATAGCGGCGCATCGCCAGCAGCTGGGTTGTGTAATGATGAGGACAATGGTGCCAGGACGTGGGGTGGGAGAAGAGAGAGGCCAAGCGAGAAGTCGGGGCTTGGGAACACAGTCAGGGCCTTGACGAGGATGTTCGTAATGGTCTCGTCCTTGGCAAGATGAGGGTTGAACTGGTAGCTGCGAGACCGCGGTCAGTACGAGTCTGGAGAATGGTGTTGCAGCGCGATAGGAGTAGCAAGACGCTTTCAGATAGAGCTAATAATAAAACTTCAGTGGGCGGAGGGATTCAGTCTCCAACCCTCGGGTAATAGGAAACGTTGTGGTTGTTTGTTCATCATGCGACTTGTGAAGTAAATGCACAATTGGCGCGAGGCCGTCGTTGGAGGAGAGGGAGAGACAGCAGCGGGTACGTACAGCTTGAGGAGGGCGAGATTGGCGTAGCAGTCATATGTCTGGCTCTCGCACTGTTGCATGACATAGTCCTGGAAAGTGCCCGTCGTCTCCGGATTGTAGCGATCGAGGCCATCGAGGATCTGCTGGATGTGATCCGGCCGCTCTGGCGCGAAGTCAAAGGGGGCGCCCATGGTGAGTTTGTGTGGATGTGCGACGGTCGAGAAAAGGCAGTGGTGGAAGGCTTCGTCAATTTCGTTCAGTGCGAGGCCTGGCGCGCACGAGCCACCACTCCCGCCAGTTGGATGCCCCGCGTTCAGCGCCATCATCCATGTTCCCCTCAATGCAAAAAAAATAAAAAAATTGGGCCCATAAGAGACCAAAAGACCAACCCGACCATTGAAGCAAAGAAATAAAGAAATATAAAAACAACATCCCACCCCCCCCCAAAAGATGCCACCATATGACAGCGAGTCATCAGACGAGGGCGAGGACTACACTGAGACCAATGTGCTCCTCGGTTACGCCACCAAGGAAGCCACTGGAGATGCGGTTTCTCACCTTGGGGGCGCGCCTGTAAGTTGACAGTGTACTGTCAGAATCTAGTAGCAAATTCGGTGGAGATTGACATGTTGTGCCATGCCTCCAGAGCTGGATAGACGATACAACCGCTCCCTCGGGCGCACTCGCCAAGTGCAAAGTGTGCAACGGCCTTCTTTCCCTACTACTGGAACTCAATGGCGACCTCCCCGACCAATTCCCAGGCCATTCACGGCGGCTATATATCTGGACATGTCGGCGTAAGGCATGTCGTAGGAAGGATGGCAGCGTGAGAGCCATACGTGGTGTGCGTATTGCCAAGGGAGCCGGCAGTAAATCCACCCCAAAAACCGACAAGAAGGAACCTGTCAAGGTGGATGAGCAGCCCCAGCCCAAGATCGGACAGTCGCTGTTTGGTGTCAAGAGCGGTACTAGCAGTACAGCGACGCCTGCGAATCCCTTTTCGAACCCATTCGCTGCACAGTCGAATGGTGCTGCGCTATCGAACCCATTCTCCTCGAAACCAGCCAATGCGAACCCCTTCGGCACTCCTGTGCCACCTGCTGTCAAAGTCACATCTGAAGACACGCCAGAAGAGAGGCAGGACGAGGCATCGACCACATTCCCTGAGACATTCGCCTCCAAGGTCCGCCTAAACTCACTCTCCCATACCGAACAACCCCCCCGCCCTCAGGAACCATGGCCAGCAGAGTCAGCATTCCCTACAGTCTTTCCTCACTACCACCTCGACGCCGACTATGAAACGCTCGACGCACCGTCGACACCTGCGATACCAGACAACGCGCGAATGGACATTGATACCGAAGGAAGTGGAAGCGGAGGAGGAAAGGAAGACAAGGAAGTCTACGAGAGCTCTCTAGACAAGACGTTCCAGAAATTTGCAGATCGCATCGGCGAAAACCCTGAGCAAGTCCTACGCTACGAGTTTAAGGGTAAACCCCTCCTCTACAGCGACAGTGACGCGATTGGCAAACTTCTGGGCCCGCATTCTGAAAATGGACCGTCCTCTCACGCGAAGATCACTACCACAGGCTCGCGTGGAGGAGCAGGCATGCCTCGCTGTCAGAACTGTGGTGCAGATCGCGTCTTCGAGGTCCAGCTCACACCGCATGCCATCACCGAGTTGGAAGCTGAAGAAATGAGCCTCGACGGCATGGAGTGGGGCACCATTATCATGGGCGTATGCAGCAAAGACTGCAAACCCAGCGACGTCTCAGAAGGTGGAGTAGGCTATCTCGAGGAATGGGTGGGCGTTCAGTGGGAGGAAGTCGCACCGAAGAAATAAAAGCGCATGCATTCATTCTTGTCACTGGTTCACGATCAATCCACGAACAAGAAACCCAGTACCATCTCATCTTTGTCCTACTATATTTATCAGCCTTAGTTCCACCTCCTCCTGTTTCTTTGGCCGATTCTCATTTTCCAGAAGCCCTGCCCTGGTACCTCATTCCCACCAAACAGCCAGTCGTATGCTCATCAGCAGCTTCTGTCATCCCATTGGCTCCCACTAAATCCTTGGGTAAACCTCCAATCCCAACCGTTTAGCTTCCAATGTCTCAGATTAGGGTCAACGCAATGTTGCTGTTGCAACGTATATTGGTTTCTCAACTTCGCCATCCTCCCCTACTACTTTGTTTAGTGTCTCAGATGCTCAGCTGTGAGCCCCGCGAATTTCGCTTGCCGTTGCCACACATTGTACCAATGGGTGCCCTGACGACTCCGAAACCCTGTGGCTTGGTACAAAATGCAATCTTAAGGAAGTTACGGCAGGTGGCGTAACGATGTTGCCCTGAGGTGTACAAATACCAGGAATTTGCCGGGATAGTCTTACGTCTGGCTGAGCATGCCCAGCCTGCTTGCTCCATTTAACTCTTCACTCAGCATAACTCCTGGACGACCTGAGTTATGGTCCCAGCAACCATGGCCGCATGTTGGAATGTGCGTGTACCTAATTTCAAGGTATGATGTGTCGTTGGCTGGTAGGCCAATCGAACATGGTAAGAAGGGTGAGTACATAGCAAAGTAGTGTCTCGTCGCGTATATCTCGCTGTGTCACCCGTCTAGTCACTCTCATTCTCTTCAACCTTTGTTCAAGTACACGAACATATTGAATAACATCAATCCTCCGACCTTGTCCTGTCATACCTATTCTACCTACTTCTCCACTCTCCATTGCCGCGCTTGTGCACAACCACACTGTCAATCTCGATCCGAATTAGCACAAGCAGCAATGTTACCACAACTCCTCTGAGTTGGTATAACGTGTTATCTCTCTCACTCGAACACAAACTTGGCCACACACACACACACACACACACACCGGCTTTCCATGCCCGGGCCAACCAAACCTGAAGCCTGACGTTGTTGAAGTAGTACCATTACGCCCAGACGGAGTATCTGGTCGAATAGAGTCCACGCCGTCCCCTGAAAAAATCCCAGGCTTTTGGCTCCCTGGGGACAGCAAACCAGCTTCTTACACCCCGGGAGAGGAAACTTTTTGCAAAAAGGCAAAGACTAGGACAGGAAAGGATTGACATAGATAAGGGCAGTTGTCCGACCTTTTTGGATTATTGAGTTATCGATTTTGTCACAAGCAGTAGAAGGAGGATTCTCGATCCGAGTCTACCAAGACGGCTAGGACGGAACGAATATCTCCATTATCCCAGTATCCTGGCCAGCCACGCGGGAAGTCAGGTCAACAGACATCCAGAACCAGACATCTAGACACCCAGAAAGAAAATCCGACATCTCCCATCCCACTCATACCCACGCCAACCACAAATCCCCGATGCATTCCCCCAATCTCCCCACCCTCCTCCTCACCCTCCTCACCCTTACACCCCACACAACACCTCTAACCCTACCCTCCCCACCCTATTTCCCCAATTCTGAACCCCCCGCCCCCTCCTGCACTCCCACCAACGCCCTCCAAAACCCCTCTTTCGAATCCGACCTGCCGCCATGGATGGATATCGTAACCAGCTCCTTCGTCACCCGCGGCGTCTTCACCAGCCCCGACAACCGCGCGCACAGCGGCGCACACTTTTATTACGCGATGAGCAACAGCTCCGTCGATGCTAGTCTCACGCTGTCGCAGGGTTTCGGAGGTGTTGCACTGGCACCAGATACACAAAGTATACAGTGCACAGCGTACCTTGCGTCCTCGCGGCCCGATAATCTGGGATTCCTCAGCGTTGAGCTGTTTCTGGATGGGGTGAGGTGTGGGGAGGCGCGGCGGTTGGGGACGACGGGGTGGACAAGGGTTGGGGGGCTGGTTGGGTTGCAGGAGATTGGCGGGTTGGAAGGCTGGAGGGCTGGAGGGCATAGTCTGGCGGTTGTGATTATTGGTTATGGGGCTGGGGGGGAGGGGTGGGAGGTCTGGGTTGATGATGTGGTTGTTGGTCGCGCTTGTTGAGGGGGGGTCGGGTAGTGGGTACGTGTTGAAGGGGTGGTGTGGTGTAGAGATGTGGAATCGCGAATCTGATACGGGAAAGAGGGGGAAAAGTTCAGGGGAACGATGATAATGAAAGATGATGTGGTGACATCCAGTTTTTGTTGTTCAAGGAGGCGAGAAATGAAGCACACATATATTATTTGTGTGTATATGTGTGCCGTGAAAGGGCAGAACTACACCACCGCCTATCCATCCATCCATCCAAATTCAATATCAATCAACACCAGCCTGCCTAGCTCACAATAGTCGCCATAGAAAGCGTATCCGACCCCCGACTAATTTCCTCAGCCCTGACCTTGTCCAATTCCGCATGCAGCCACTGCTTCTGCCGCGCACACTCACGTATCTTGTCAATCAGATCATTACGCTGCAGCGCCAAATCCAGCACCTCCTTCTGATCCGAAGACCCCATCTTAAACATGTGCTGGGCGTTGAACATGGCGACCGTACCCACAATCATGGTCAGAAGAGTCAGCATGACTATAAACGTGGCGAATATCTTCTTCTTCGCCCGTGTCAGTACTTCCTCTTGTTGCACCAGTCCGTAGTCGCGCGAGTATCTGGCCGTTAACGGCGGCTTCTTGGATCGGGTCTTGTGCTCGTAGTAGAGCTCGCGTGCGATGAAGATGTTTAGCATGCTCTCTGCATTCTCGGGTACGTAGGTTGTGTTTTCGACGCCTAAGATTCGGAGGCGTAGGGGAGGTGAGTTGGTGTGGCTTCTTTGGGAGCGGGTGCAGTGGACGGTGTGGGTCCTGGGTTGGCTGAAGATGCATGTCATGATTTCGGTGTGCTTGGTCTGCTTCATGGTACAGTTTGTAGTGTCTGTGTCGAGCATGCTGTGGGATGTGTTTGGTTAGCTTGGGAGGTTTAGGTTTCTTTTCTTGTCAATTGTTATTGCGGGAGTCTTGCGCTGGTTTCAAATGAGAAGACGTACGAGGTGTTGAGGGCGATGGCATTGTTTACTGTCAGTTCCATGCTCTCTGCTGCCGCTGCCGTTGCCTGGAGGAGGGAGCATTGTACCAATATGGAAAATACTGTATAGAGTCTCATGTTGCCTCGTAACCGCGCTTGGAGACTGTTTTGAAGTTATAGTACAGTGACGGGGTGATAGATGGCTGCACCGACTGACTTGGGGTGGTGGGATGCGGTAGGTAGTTGCATGATGGCGGATTGTTGTCCTGATGATGAATAGGAACTTGGAAGTCAAGAAGTAAGTGCAGTGTCGGTCAAGGCAGCCCCTGATATTGTATCAGGAAGGCGCAGCCGGCTCGGTTGGGAGTTCGATAGCATGAAGTGATGTGTTCCCTTTGGATCAGAACTGTCCCAAGACTGCAGATTCCAATTGATCTGGGAGGAGGCTAACTATACCGGTAGGTGTGCTTTCGGTGCCTATGCCACTGATGTGATACTCGGAGACAAATTGCATCAAGCTTTGAAAACGTACTCACATCACGAGGGCCTGCATGATATCTACATATGGGAGTATCGACGAATTAACTAGAGTTTTTCACCAGCCTTCTAACTAGAGTTCTTCCCTATTCTTGTATCTGAAAAAACAAAATAGCAACGATAAGAATCATAGACCTAACATTTTCACGATACCATGTAAGTTGTATGGCATATGCATTGCAACAAAGTATATCAAGAAATAGGTACTTGATCATAGACACTACAGTGTCTCCTGGGCAGCAGTATGGGCGGCAACCTCGCAGCCCTCTGTCTTGGCTCGCACTCATCTCGAAACTCGTGTCGACTTCCCGTTTTCGTTGTGGCGCGGGATGGGACCTGGGACCACGCCTGTATCGTCTCATCATGCATATCCAATCCTGGAATGCACACAATATTGTTGCCTATCTATTTCACGCTTCCAATCGCAAGGATCTGACTGGTCCAAAAGAGAGGGAGGGAATTCACCGGATACATTGTGTTCCTGCCAGTCGCCAGGTTCAATGCTTGGAGAAGCATCACTACGTAACTTGTTGCTCATCAGATATCCTCCCGAGAACCCAGGCTGTCGCTTGTCAATCTTCTGCACAAGGGGGGATAGTACAACCCAGATCTCGCTTCGAGGGCGCTTTCCTATCGTCATTATAGCGCCTGCTTTGCCCGGCAGTGGAAATATGGCCGGATGTATACAGGCCAAGAACAAGCCCTTCTCCTTTCTGCCAACACTTCTCTATATATAGCATCACCTCCCTCTTCAAAAGATATTGCATCCTGATCTCCAACCAGGCGACTCCTCGAAGAAAATTTCCGCCTTTTCAGTTCCTTTGTATACCAATCGGTTGCGCACACAAGACCAGCGGAACACCACAGGATCGGTTATAAATTTTCCGCGTCTTGCCATTGTTCGAAAGGGTCGGTCCGCTCACCTCTAGTAACCATCGTGGGATATCGGATCCAGTACCTCCATCTGCTCTCGAAACTCGGAGACAGCAGTAGTCCAGATATGATTATCTGCATCAAAACAAATTTCTCGGAATTAAAACCCACGTAGTATCACAAATCGATCGCACGCCACTGACAAGTATTGGCCCCACCATCCGTGACGTAACCTTTACGTGGAGGAATGTCTCGACTCATATCGATGCTGAAGGCATTTTCAAAGATGGAGGGCCTATCTTCGTTCTTCGCATGATCTGGTACATGCACCGTCAACCACGCTCAATCATATGATCGTTCGAATCGGCTGTGACTTTCGAATGGCTCTGAATCGATGGACCGGAAGTAGCTACGAGGTTGTTTGATTAGTGCTGATTGAGCCGGTATTGTTGAACAATCGAGGCGCAAGCTTGGAATATGGAGGTGCACTGTCGTCAGTCACTATGAATACCTCATGTGCTGATGTGTTTGTGTTGGTCTATCTCAGAAGCTTCTCTGTGTGAAAGTACGGAATCAAGGTATGCATACCCGTTGAAAACCCCCCACACAACGACCAAACTGCAAATCTCTTTTCGTGTGACACTTCATTGTGAGCCAGACTTCTGCTGACGCCTGATACATTGCAGAGCTGCTCTTAAGATTCAATTTATAGTCACGTCATACCGCCTAGGGAGGCTAGCACAACTCATGAAGATTGTTCTCAGGGAGTCAGTTGACTTATCCAGAACTTGGTCCAAGCAAGAGCGGCTCTCTGAGACTAGCTGTCTCTCATAGGAATGCTATCATGCCTTTTTCGAATGACGGTACCATCGACACTCTGTACTTCTGCTCTGGAGCTGTGTTGAAGCTCTTTGTGCAGGTGCCGAGAAAGAAGATCGTAAACGCAAAACAGACCTCTGTCAGATAGGAGAACGACTCAACTCACTCAGAAAGAATTGGCATACCATTCGCGCGAGGTACCGGATTTACGTCTAACCGGTTGAATGGTAAAAGACGGTACGGAGTCTAGGGGTGATGCAGCATCTTCGCAGTCGAGATGGTTTACGGCGCTCGAACTCGTCTCGGCTAGACAGTCGAGTAGCACAAATACAAATCTTGTATCATTGCGAGCCTGTCTCTCACGCCTATAGTATCGCTTCTTTGTTGCAGAACAAAACGGAAGAAAGACCCAGCCATGTCCTGTGAGATTTGGAAAAATTGTTTTCAAAGCCATAGGCTAATCGACAACAGGCCATCTCTATCAGACTGCTCGTAACGAATTACCACATCAGGACAGCTTTCAGCTCGAATAGGGCGGATATGTCGGATCAGCCAGGAGCAACAATGATTATAGCCATGTATGATCATGTGCGAATGATCATCACTACACTTCGGCATGCAAGGTGTCGGCACACCATTCAGGACCAATGTGCGAGATGATTTGTAGTTGATTTTCAGAAGTGAGCTTCGAAGCAAGACTCAATAGAAGAGGAGGGACTGTATCAAGCTGGCTGTAGTTTTCAAGGTCTTCTTCCGAAGATCAACGCCCACGAACCTGTTTCGGATCCAGATTCCTTCAATGGCGCACCCGATTACGAACGGCGGGATTGCTCCATATTGATCCATGAGTAACAGTGGATTGACAGAGTAGCACCCAAAGTGAGCTTCGATGCTAACACATTCGAAGCCTAGCGGGCCCGAGATATACCTAGACATGGCTTTCATTGTACGGCAAAGCCCCTGCGGGATGTCGTGGCAAGCTAGGAGAGTCTGGCCTTCCACCTCATGAACGTCAGCACCTTAAAGATCCCAACGAGTTTTCTCAGCTTGTCATGCGTCTTGGTAAGTGAACCATCATTTGATAATCGTAACGAAGAAGCACATACACTTGCGTATAATATTTATCTCTCGCCACCTTCTTTACATAGCACACCTGATGACTCCTCCAGACTTCAGCTCGAGACAGAACATACAGATCGCAGAAACTCGATTATATTCAGCCTCTATGCAAAGGGATAGGGAATCAGTCCATTGAAATGGGAAATTTTCGATCTAAAAACGGCTGGTAAGTGGCATAAATTCACCAGCTTAAACGACATCCGTTAAATATAGTGCAGTCTTACTTGCAGAACTCGTCGGGTCAAATGCAAGTTGGCCTTCGAAATGCCTCTGTCTACAAGCTTAACAGAAGACAGGCGATGAAACCCGCCCCAAGTGCACGAACTGTAGTAAGAAGAACCGTCTGTGTGAATGGGAGACTCCGCATGGTACAATCAAGGATTATCAGCCTGAGAGCTCGTCGAGCAGATTGCCTGTGACTACCCGAGAAGAGACCAACACTCTGGACAGCAGCATCATGAACATGGACGAGACGGAGGTTATTGGACTATTCGAGACAAGTGAGATTCGGGCCACTTCACCGAGATGGAACACTGGTCGCACCGGAACCAGAACGGAACGATCTTCCGTCAGCCTCTCATCGCCCTCTGTGGCAGCTCACTCACCGGGATCATCGCTTGGAATAACGCGCCCGCCAAATTCTGTTCAAGGTGTGTCTGTCGCAAGTCCGGCCCTCACAGAGAACGCTTTGGAGAACATTGGGCCATACTCGTCGACAGGAATTGTCTTGACGCACCATGAAGCTTTACTCATCCATCATTACTCCGAATTCCTGGGCAAATGGCTCGATTGTACGGATGCCTGCCGCCAATTCACTCTAGACGTCCCCGAAAAGACCAAGATATGCCCAGTACTCTGTTATGCTGTTCTGTCATTCGCTGGCCGTCACCGACAGGACGGTACAGCTGAGAGTTCATATAATAAGTGCATTCATTTACTCATCGAAAGATTGAATGAAGCTGCTGCCAGCCCTGACGAGACTCTGTTGTGCGCAATTGTCATCCTTCGTTTTTATGAGCAGCTGAATGGTCAGTAGGGATCCCTATACTTGGTTGGTGAATATGTCTTGATAACAGATACAGTCTCTTCTAGCACAGGTTCAGATGCGGAAAGGCAATTGAGTGGATGTTCAGCCATCATTCGTACCTCCCAGGGGAGTCATTCCGTCGACCCTTCGGCGCCTACCTTACGGGAAGCAGCGTTTTGGGTTTACGTTCGGCAATGTCTCTACAACGCAACAATCAATCAGCAGTCACTTGATGTCGATATCTCACTGAAAGTCCATCCTCCGCCGATGATGATTTCCACGTCCGAACACCCTTTAGTACGACTCAAAATCGAAACAGCGTGGACCAACCAAATGGTCTGGAATACTGCTCGCGTGGTCAACTTCTGTTACGAAGCTGCCCATCCGCTGAGTGATAGACAACGGAGATCTCAGAAATGGCAGGAGCTTTGGGATATCGTTCAAAGTTGGATGAAAGAGCGGCCAGACGGGTTTAATGCTATTTATGAGGGAGCCTCTCACTCTACGACGGCATTTCAGCAAATTTGGTTCACTGCTGATTGGCATGGTATGTTTATTGGCTCTCCAACGTAACAAATCCTACGCTGACAGGTTCAACTAGCCATGGCATTTGGGTTCTTTCATCTCTCATGTATTATGTTGCTCAGCTACCAACCAGGCCCCAAGTTCGCGATTCGCAACGTTGGAAGATTGTCTGAAGCAGATGTAGGTAAGCCTTTAACGTGAGTCTAAGTCTTATTCACCAACTCTTATAGCACCAAATCCTGCATCATGCTCGAGCAATATGCGGGGCCAGCAAGAGTTCACCCGAAATCGTGCCGCTGTGCATCACTGTTTGCCATACTATCTTCATATGGGGCCCTCTTATAACTGATTCGAGCGAACGCGAAGAAATATTGCACCTTCTCGTTGACGTTGAAAGATCGCACATCTGGCCAACCGCTTGGATCATCAGCGCAATCAAATCACAGTGGGACATGGAATAAGGCGCGCTTGTCCACTATTTCAAGCCGCCGACCTGCTTACAGTTTTCAAATAGCGCTTGAAAAAAGAATGCATACATAATAACTATCGCGAGGGTACAATCATCGATCAGTTGTGCCTGAACAGATTGAAACGAAAACGCCAGCGGCGGAGTCTTGTAATGACTACGAGGTCTAGCAGCTCCGCTGAGCCCTGACAATGAATATATTAAAGTTCGACTTCACATGCATATGACATCATCGAACGTTTATGTTCTGCACAAAGCAAGCAGTTTGGCGATGGCACAACAGAGAGCTTGTATCAGAAGAGCCAGTTCAAGTTGCACGCTCCGGCAAAATTTCCCATGACCAATCGAATACCTGGTAAGCCGGCAGAACCTCAGATTTACCTAACCCTAACTTTGCCACAGGATTCGGGACGAGGCATGCGAAAAATCCAGTTTGCGTAGCGTGGCAAAGCACAAGTCCAGCCTGATACATGCTCGTCATGGATTTTGTACGACACTTCCATTGCGTCGGCTCTTGCTTGTGGCGAAATGGTAGGCAGTCAGTTCAACTGAATGTCTCAGGACAAAGTGCTACCTATGTTGCATATAGGTATGAATCACCAGCTAAGGGCCGAGTGTCGATTAACATACAAGCCTCGCAACTTCTCGCATGTTTGGCACGTCCATTCGGACAGCGAACTGGTAGGACCATTTACATGGACTTACATCATTCACACCATCATGACTGTTATCATCTGATCATTTCAGTTTGCACGACCTTGACTTAATATCTTGAGCACTATTTCCACCGTAAAGAGATATTTGTAACGTAATTCATGCATGGGACAGGACCGCCTGGAGATGTGAGCATGGGCTCACCTGTACCGGTACGACGGTGTCCTTTCGCCAAGTGTCTCTTTACCGATCAAGCCTAGATGTAGTAGTAGCCTCACCTTTGAAAAGGAAAAACCCCCGGAGGATGAGCTGTGAGAATAGTACTCCGAGGAACGTTCTTTGGACATCATTTCTGCATGTGTCGTCTGCGCTCAAGACCAAATCCGAGTCAATGTAGGCGCTGTTCGTTGGTTCTCGCTGAAAGAGGATTTGGCTAATATGAGTTCAGAAGCGATCAAACCTATCTTTGTTCAAGATAACCGTTGTGTGCTTAGACCTGCGTCTGGACGTTTTCGCTTTGCAGCGGAAATGTCAATAGCGGTCCTTGAGCTCGAACCCAGAAGCAGCGACGTGCCAGACTCTGGAAGAAGAATCCCCCCAATCCTTTGACGCCTGGAATGCACAATCAGTTCGACAGTATTAATTCTTTTGCCACTGATTTGATTTTGCAGGCCATACCTCCGACCAGTGCAGGCACAGTGTGCCGCAATTTCCCCCCTGCTTCGTTGACCCGACCGGTAATTCAGGTTCGTACACATAATCACTACAATAATGTGGGGGCCAATTAGCTATGTAAGTTTGAGTTCTTATGGATTTCCTCGGACTACTCTTAATTCCGTATTTCGTAACGGGTACTCTATGCACGACACGCAACCCAATAAGTCGGTGTCTCATCTCAAGCCTGCAACAACGGATGGCAAACCTGATCATTTTCGGTTTGGACATCTCTTCCTGACGTATGTTACTGCCCACCGCATGACAGTTTCCTCGGAAGTACTCGCTATACTACAAGCTCAACGTGTTCCTGTCAGCTCTTATCACGACAGCGTGCATATCTCAATATACCGAGGATCTTACTTATGGCTTCCATCATCACGTACCTCAAGTTGCGCCGCCGCGACTCAGCAATGGACATCTCGTGTACCGATGTTGATCCGAGTAAACCCAGCCAGAGAGATTCCGACAGTGTACTCGAGATGAAAAGCTTAGGGGTGTGTATTGGAAGTGGGCTAAATCGGCTCACCTGCGCGCTGGTCCAATATACACAAGATGCTCCACACGCTCCTTTACGCCTGCAGGTACTTCAAGTAAGTAGCTTATCCTTTAAGCTGACTGCGCTGACTTCTTAAAGAGTAGTAACATACCTATCCTCTCAACAGCTCGATTGTCCATCCTAAAGGCTCTATGCGACGCGCATAGCCAACCCTCCGCGATAGCACTATTCAACGCTCAACTCGGCAAGTTGTTCGCGGATGGAATCAGGACATTCTGTGATAGACATGATATCACCCTCGAATCCATCGAATTTATAGGCGCACACAGCGCAACCGTGCCCGCACGTCGACGCTCCGATGAAGGGCATGGTTCGGCACTCCAATTATTCAATTGGATTGCGACCATCGCAGAGGAAACAAAGATCACGACTATATTTGATTACGCAGTCATCGAAAAGCTAGCGATTCAGCCGCTTGCTTCACCCATTGCATTCGTCAACAAATTGTTTCTTCGCCATCCGTCCAAGTTCCGCGCGTGTCTCAATATTAGTGAGCTCGCAAACATCAACTTCATACCGCCTTTGAACGATAGTAGTGGCCATATCACAATGTCACGCGATTGCGGCCCCGGTAGTCTTCTAATCGACTATGCCATGGCATACTGTACGTCGAACGACCATTGTGAGGACGACAACGGAGCGTACGCAACCAAGGGCAAAATCAATCAAGATATCGTTGACCGATTCCTCCGCTCGCATGACTACCTGCGAGACTTACCGCCACTGATCATAGCCCGCGAGATGTTCGGCGACCACGACGGACAACGACTCCTCGACGAATGTATTCTCATGGACATCTGTGCAGAAGACACCATCGCCACCATTACCCGAGTAACAGCCCAGAACATCGTGATACAATACCGAAGACTACTAGCTCACTACTTCCCCTCGGGCCAGCAAGTCGACGAGCTCTTCCTCTGCGGCGCCAGCGCGCGTAACGCAAACATTGTAGACCATCTCAAGGCACAACTGCCCGAGAGCATCATCACGAAACTACTGGACGATATCGGCATCCCTGGAGAGGCAAATGAGGCTATTTGCTATGCTCATCTCGCTCTTGAAACTGCTTTGGCACAGGCGACACAACCTCCACCCTCCTTTACCTCCATCAACGGCTCAATACCTTCGAGCAGCGCCAGCGACGCGCATATCCGAGCCACGATTATGCGTGGACATGGTTGGGAAGACATCTCGGCTCGGATAGTTCGCTTCAGCGGGGGCAAGCAATTGCAGCTCACCAAGGAAATTCAGTGCAACGGCAATCTCGACACGGCGATGCAAGAACTGAAGCTGTCCTGATGGGTTCACCGAACTGATTTCACGCGAGGAGTCTGGAGACCTGGCGTACCAGCTAACGCATTTTACGAACATGGCAAGTTATGCGCATGGTTTTCATATGGACGTATATTCTTATACCCTGGGAATCTTATCATGAGTAGATGCATTTTCTGAAATAGGTACGTGAGGGATAAGGTCGCGAGTGCTTTTCTAACCAAACGGTTTGTTAAGGTAGGAGCAATGCAACATATACACATCAAGACTTGTGCTATCTGTATGAATTCGTTTCTTTTTCTTATTAAATTTTCAGATTGCCTCATAGAGCTCGTCTATTTCACCAATCTACATTATTTCATAATTACCCCACTCATGGTACAATGGAGGTTTTTCTCTTTCCCTCGACAATCTCCCTCATGATGCGTGCTTTTCGTTGCTCCTCGGCCTCGCTGCTGACATCGCCAAACACCTTGTCCATCTCCTCCAGTGTCTTTCCGGTCGTCTCGGGGACAAAGAACCATGTGAACACGAGTCCGAGCAGACAGAAAACAGCAAAGAATGTGTAAGCGCCGTAACCAGTGTTCTGCACCAGTGGGGGAGTGATGAGGCCCTAAAACCTTTGGTCAGATGCTTGATCTTGGGGTTTGTACTTCGGAGTGTTACATACGATGACGAAATTGTTGAACCAGTTGGAGCAGGTGGAGAGTGCGACACCTTTTGCGCGAAGCGAGCTTGGGAAGATTTCAGACTGCAAGCTGGATTAGCATATGGTCGAATTTTGATATGGTGGAGGGGCTGGAAACTTACAGGCATAGCCCATGGGACTGGACCCCAGGTGGCGCCAAAGCTGAACATGTAGAAGAAAAGGAAGGCCACGGCCACCCAACCTTCATCTTTATATTTCTCCCAGTTATCACCGAATTTTCCCACCAAAACGGAGATGATGAGGTGGCAGATGAACATCAGTCCGGAGCCAGAGAGTAGGAGCGGACGTCGACCGAAGCGGTCCATGGTCCAGAGACTCGTGGCGACACCGACGAGTTGCGTGCCTGGTTTCCAGTAAGCAAACTGGCTGTTGAAAAAACTTCTAGCGACTGGACTTACAGTTGATGATGCCGGAAAGGAGTAATTGCATCTCATAGTCCTGGCCCAAAGTTTCAAACAGAGACGGCGCATAGTAGATGAGCGCATTGATTCCAACAAATTGTTGGAAGAACATGATACCCATGCCCACAAGCGTTCGTCTCCAACATCCATGTCTGAAACAATCAACCCACAACGCAAACTCAAGCTTGAGATGGTTCATGTGCGTGTGAGCTTGGAGGTTAGGATGCTTCTCGCGGCTAACTTCCTGGGTGAAAGCAACTTCGGCACGGATCTCGCACCACTCCTGAACGACTCTATGATCGTCGGTGGGCAAGTTGCGCAGCTTTCCAAGAACGGCAAGAGCCTCGTCGTCGCGGCCTTTGCTGCATAGCCAGCGTGGTGAGAATGGCAGGAAGAAGATTCCAATGGCCAAAATGAAGCCTGGGATCATTTGAATGAAGAATGGGAGGCGCCATGACCATTCTCCAGCCATGTATCGCGTTCCGTACGTGGTCCAGAAAGCAATGACTATGCCGAAGACAATGCTAAACTCCTGAAGGACCAAGAGAGCGCCTCGTATTTCCGGTGGCGCGATTTCCGAGATGTAGAGGGGCGAAATGGTCGCCAACCTGATCGTTGTAAGCTGATGGTCGCAGACAAAAGATATAGCGCAAAGCCTTTGATACATACGCTCCAATTCCCATACCACCGATCAATCTTCCAACAGTCAGCATAGCATAGCCCATAGCTGCGGTCTGCAATACACTGCCAATAGTGAAGACCACCACTGCCCACACAATCGAGTACTTTCGGGACAGCCGATCGGCCAGGTAACCAGCGAAGAGAGCGCCAATCAAAGCACCAAGTTCCAGCATAGCAGTCATCAGACCCTTCCAAAAGCCAGCCCCTGACGCCTCTGCAGAAACGCGGGGAAAGCGACTGAGAAACTGGTCCATGACCAAAGTGACAGAAATGACTCCTTGATCGTATCCAAACAAGAGACCACCTATCGTCGCAAAGGCAGCGCACAAGGCGACATAGTGGTTTGTGAACAGCCCCTGGAATCCTGATTATGTTTTATCAGTAATGTTCTGCATGCATGGGAATCAAAGAGTACTCATTCCATCTGGGGAAAACATACCAGAAGGGCCGTACGGCTCACGCGTTACCATTGCATCATTGGCATGGTGCATGCCCGCAACTTCCCAATGTTGCTTTGGTGCAGTTTCTATCTTATCCGACTTGTCCTGATTGTCAGTCGTCATCTTGATGCGAGGACGGTAAGGGTCTCGTTATTGCTGAGACAGAAGACTGGGAAACCCAAGGGAAGGGGCAGAATCGGCAACATACTTATAGCAACAATGTCAAAGCCCGAACTGTGTTACTGTATTTGCCTGGTCGGTGGGGGGTCAAGGGTAGAGCCCTGTTGCGCGAATTGTATACCTGCCTATCACTGTTGCTTCCGACTATCTTGGCAGGGTGTCGAGGGAAGGACTGCCTAGGGATCGGTAGCAAAAGTGACGATCAGAGAAGCCCTTGGCCTTGCGACTCCGCAGATGATGCTGGAAGCCGGCGTGTTGTTTGAGATCTTTTGTTCGCAGTGCACGTGAAGATTTGCTGGACGTTTCTGTGGGGCTTTGGTCCGAAAAAAGCGGAGCATGCTTTGCTACGGTACAGAGCCTCATCCTGTTGCTAGGTACACAGTACTGTCCATCTGGATATATGGTGGCATCTCGCTCATGCAACAAAAATTTCATCTTCGGCAACAATGTAACCCTGTGGAATATCGGGCGCACCGGTATACGGTAACGTGATGGAATTGGTGGTTCGACCGACATCTGCATGAACTCGTTGCAAAACGAAGAAATGTGTTCCATGCCACAACCGTCATCATGTCGCCAACAACAACCCTCAAGAGCCGCGGCGTTTGATCAGTCCAACTGGCAACCTGGAGACCCCAGAGATAATCCGTGGAGGAGGAGGGGGGGTTGGTTCTTTTGGGATGACGTTGAAACAACCCCAGCTTCCCCAGAACAAGCTTCTTGCCCACGCAACGTCCCGCACCCGTGGATGCCGTCGGCTTGTTTTGGCTGAGCAGAGTTGAGTTGATCCGACGGGGCTGAAAGTTGCGCCGTGAATTGCTCAGTTGGAATCAAATGAGGAAGCGCTAGAAGCCAGGCATTGCTTGTCACGTGCTTGGCCTAGGTGGAAACTGCAAGATCCGCCGCTGATCGTCACCCGCCATGATACCATGAGGCTGACTCGCTGCATGAAGACGGGAGGTTCGAGCATGGCAGTTGAGGCTCTTGCTGCTCAGCTGACTGGTGAAATCATTTACTGTGTAGACAGTAATCACAGTCACGTTCTCCAGGAATGGCATTCTCGAAATTCGAGGGGAAACTCCCGCTGTACTTCGATTATAGCGACAGTTGTTCAACTTGCCATGTCCGCAAGTGGAAACTCCATGGCTTTTGGGACGGATTCATTGCACACCCCACACAGTGCTACCACAATAAGTTAAAAACTAGAGGTTGTATCTCCGATCCATTGGGCCAGCCCCACTTCCAAATACCTTGTCAAGTCTCGTTGCGCGTTCCCACACCAACTCCCCCTTCCCATCGTCACCTCCCTTCTTCTTGAAGTAGAGAATTCGATGTTGGGGAATGAACTCCTCATCGGTCTGCTCCGTCTTCCACTTGTCTAGATTCGCTTCTTTCGCACCCAAGAAGCGGTCCTCGTATCCGATGATATAGTCGCTTGGGTCAAGGCCGGGATCCCAACGCAATCGGTTGAGGACATCCGACGCTGGCCGTAATTTCGAAGTCGACACTGGAATTGCAGTGGGCTTTGGACGCTGAGGTAGTGTGCGCTCTAAGGGTTTCTCGTCTTCCTCTGCGCCCTCATCATCAAAATCATCGTCATCATCTGAGTCGGGATCGATGTCTGCAGCGTGATCACCCCATTCGCGATTATCAAGTCGCAACGTCCTGACTTCAAATGGTTTCGCAAGTGATACATCCACCCAACTTGTAGACGAATCGTAGTTTTTATCATCTGTTCTCAATTGGGTGAGAAAACGATCAAGGACTTTTTCCAAGGACTGCCTTGCAAGCTGACTTTCCTTTTTATTACTGGAACGGCTGGTCTCAGATCTGGTAAGACCAATGAGGTAACAGCCATGATACTCCTTGAGTTCCTTCAGATCAGCCTTATCGTTGGTAAAACGTGTGGGCCAAATGCGGACTTCTAACTCCGGGAGCATCTTGTGGATATCTGTGGAAGTACTCATTAGTATACCTACCTGATATGTGCGCGTTTATCGGCAATTGCTCGTAGACTTACCAACGACAAGGGAGAGACACCGCGATTCGATCCAACCCACAAGACCCTTGCCCTTGGCTAACGTACGACCCCAGTACTGCATCTCCACTGTAACGAAGCTGTGCTGTGTGGCCAGAAAGTGTTCTGTCATTTGACTCAGATGTAGTTGCACCGAGTCTTTCAAACTGCTGGGGTCCCCGAAGAATTTGGCCCATGTGATTCCTGGAGATGATAGCACATCCGCAGCGGCCCTGAACTCATTCATCAAGATCTGCAATCCCGGAGTCGTTGACGTGTGAGCGATATTTGAGTGTGGCGCATGGTACCCCAGTATGACCATTGGCTCCCGAGCACTGCGATGGTAGCGCGGCCGACTCTCATGGAAGAATGCATCGAACAAAAGCTCATTCGTCCAATCGAAGTTTGCATAATAACTGAAGAAACTTACTACCATGTCCGGCGGCCCAACTGAGCCAGACTGATATCTGAGCTTCTTGCATATCCACGTAAGCATCAGAGTGATATGAGTGCCGCTGAGGTAACCAAACTTTGAGGAATATATTCCTCGCTGGACAGCCCATAGTTTGATACAACGAAAGGCTGTGCGGAAAGCCGATAATGAAGGTAAAGTACGCTGGATGTAGAGAAAGTCTCGGTAGGATTTCAATTTGCGTAGGGAAAGAGCTGGAAGATTGAAGATCGGATCGGATGCGGACAGTCCATGAAACTCAGACCATCTAAAATTGTCAACGGATTTTAACTAGACTTACGGTTGAAGTGCCTCACCTCTCTGCAATTCGTGCTGCCGGACAGTAATGGAGATCAGCTGAGATGCCATCGACAGATAGCTCGAGCATTGTGCCTGTCTTGGCTTCAACCTTTCGAAGTATCTTTATCCCTCGATTTCTCGCTCTTGCGAGTCGTTGACGCACAAGCTTAAAGAAGGTCTTGGAACTGACAGAACCAACGCAAAGACAGTCAAGATCCGAATCAGCTGTCCAAACACCGAGAGCATATGAACCCACCGCAACCATGTTCAACGATACCCCAGAACTTGCGTGATCTTGCTTATCGATCGTACCGAGAACGACATTCTTCAGCAACTCGAAGGCTTGTTGCCGAACCTCCATTTGTTTTTCTGTGGGAATCATATCTTGACGGTACAGCATTGACTGCAAGCTGATCGGATCAGACAAGGCCGTGGCGGCCTCCTTGTGTTCCACCTTCATTTTGCGTGCTGTCTCGGCAAAAGGCTCCGTTAAGGCCGTTGAAGGGCTCGTAATGTGCAGCGTCGCCCGAACACCATAGTGATCACTTGCAATTGATTGCACACCAAACAGATTGAAATGGCCGACTCTTAACGCCTCGTGTGAGCGAACGAATATTCTATCATATCGTTGCGGTCTGTTCTCAAAGGTGTTGGTTGAATCCGCCGCAAGCGCATTGTTTCTTGGGTCGAAAGTAGCTCCTGCTTCTCCATCATATGATTCTTCAGAATCGCCCATGGTTATATCCAATTTTCCTTCCAGGCGAGCAATCGACCAGGCATCGGCTAGACCAGCTTGATTTAGGCCGGATTCTAGCGATGAGAGCAACACGGCCGTCTGCTCAGTTATTGACTTCGCCTTTGGTGCAGGATCGATGGTATAGGCCGATGTTGCAATATCGAAATCACCTGCAACAATCCAGGGACTGGAAGCATGATTCTCTGCGAGGTATCCAGTCAGCCGCTTTAGTTGGTTGTGCTTTGCGGCGACAGAGCCATCAGTAAGACCACAGGTCAGATGTACGCCAGCCACAACAAGATCCATGCGTTCGGAGGCCAATAGATCCATGAATTGAGCAATCAGGGCTCCTTTATGCCTAATTTTCGGGTCAGCCACTGGTAGGAAGGCATGTAGTACCTGGGCGACATGTACTTCCTATGGAACGGTCCTGAAGACCAGCGAAATGACCATCTGCTCAAGATGACAACGTTTCGCATACTACGAAGACTGCGCTTACGTTAGATAATAGCCTCGTATACAAACACAGACCCAGTAGGTCAATACTCACGGCCCAATGTCTAACTGATCTGGTGGTCCATGAGATGCAAACCTGTATCTTTTCCGAACCTCAGTATCGTTTAGGAAGTATGATAGAAAGTCGTCGGAGACTTCTTGTAACACGAGGATATCGGCCAGCGCCGTGTCTGAGAGAATATTGCTTGCGACCAGCGGCTCGCGGTCACGCTCAGGAGGATATTCAGAATCTGTCTTGATGTTATAGGACGCAATAGAGATCTTACATGCACTAGCAATATCATTCTCAAAGCTAGTGCAAATAACCCAGTTGCATGAGCCTGCATCGTACGCATATGTAGGTCCGCTCTGAAAATGCATGAAGGCGTTGCCTTCTTTTCCGCTCCATGCATCGCATTCTTCCTGTTCCGTTTCGGCAGAAAAGGATGCTGATTGATGATGAGGAATCCAGAATTCAGGACACTGTGGTTTCCAAACATCCACTCGTGTTGGGATGTCAACAATTCCCCATAAGCGCATAGAAGGAGAAGCATTAGTTCCAGCTCTGCACTCGCGTATCAAAATGGCCAGCGCGCCCACACTGAAGCGTAAAGATGGAAGGAGCCGTGCCTTCGCCAGGAGAAATGCTTCTAACAATAATATCTCATTCTCGACCTGTCCAATAGTCAGATGGAAATCAACCCTCGCATTTTTCTGGCCTAGGCTCTCCAAGCATAGCTGGCGAAGTGTCCCCAGGAATGACGTAGACGTATCTTGTGCCTCGCTGAGAAAAATGCTGCTCGACTTTTGGTGCTTGAAAAGCCCAACTTCGTTTAGTTCCAGTGAAGTAGCGTCGTTTGCTTCAAGTTCTCGCTCCAGACATTGTTGGATTTGTTGTTGTGCTTGAACAAGATTCTCTGGTGAGACGAATGGGTAGATAAGATTGATGTGAGGAGGCCAGATTCCATAAGCCTTATCGTAAACTTCCCGAAGGCCATCAACATGACGACATTGTGAGGCAGGTGGTATGATGCAAAGCGCCGTGTCGTAAGATGATGTTGACATGGGGGGGATGATGTCATCTCTAGAAAAGGCCATGATATCTATGGTATACCCTATGTAGTGTACACTGAAACCAATTTGTACGAAGTAGCTTGACTGCACAATGAGCGTCAGATGTGTGCTGAATACACATGAACAAAGCGTGCAGCTAATGCTTATTTATGTCAATTTCCGACTTGATACATGGAGCTCATCAAACGAGCGCAACACATTCAACGCTCGAATACACTACCCGATCAGGTAATTCTAGATGACTCCGCGATGTGAGGCTCAGTGAACACGCTCATAATATATGAGCGAACATGAGTCATTTGCACTAGCAAAAGGGTCTGCGCCACGCCTTCCGCAGACCAGGACGACCTGTGCATCAGTATACTCTACTGTACGATAACAGTATCCCCATCTGTATATAGCGACGATCGTTTCAGCAATGGACAGTGGAATCTTGCAAGCCTTTGGAAGAAATCACTAATGGTCCGTGCACAAAGACATAGGTACCGGTAGCCGAGGCAGTAGCTTCCCACCATTGGCCCTTCACTGCTATCCACTCTGCAATCACTATTGCATTTTCATCTGTGTTTATCTTTATTTCAATGTCTTCCATCAATATCGTACTGATTGTCTCGTCCAACTTGTCTTGTTTCGCATTTCTCAGAAGGCATAAGTGTAATCGTCTAGAAATCACCTTCGAACCTTGATTCAGTCGCTACCGATACCATCGCGATGTTCGAACCAGCCTGACGTGATAATCAAAAACATTTGCTCTTCTAGAGTACTTTGCGAAGAGGAACGAGCCGGACACAGTGGCAGCTAGCACACGGGTAGATGTAGACCCACTTTGCTCTGCGATTTTGGCAATCTCAAATTAGAGTGCTATCATGCCTCAAGTTCTTTGGGGGACCTAGTATACCCCAGAGAAGTCGACGTACTCATCAATCGTCAAATTGGACTGCCGTACAGTCTTTGGTTAGTCAGAAGAAACATCTCTAGGTTGACTAATCTGCAGCTTCTAAGCCCGAATCTTTTGACTTGTAGCTTATCATATACAGATTGGGGCGGAATCTAGTACAGCGTCTCGAGCGCTTTCCTGTCAGTCAGCAGAATACTCTTATCACGCCCTGTCATTTGGATAGCCTCCTTATCCTCAAAAGAGTTGGTCTCTTCTGTATCCCTTCGCGTGCCTGGCTCAGCGGAAACATTGGATTGCCTCAACATACAATGCACCTCTCATTGGTGAAAACGCTCGGAAGAAGAACCGGCAAATCCCAGACAGCATAAAAGGAGACGCGCCAGGAACGGGTGCAGACAATGCACCAGCGCCCCACGACAACCCGTGGAAGCCGTTTGCTGATCGACACGATAGCAATTGCTGACATCACATACTGTAGCTGTATGAGGCAGAATATATCGGGTCAATCCTTGTGGAGTTGTCAGTGTTTGACCCAAACTACGGGGACAATATCAGCTTGCTTTTGCATTGCCGAATAAGGAACGCTCGGCCCTCCATGGCTTCTGAACTCAATAATGGCTTTTTATTAGATGGAGAATTTTACCTGTTCCGCACTCATTGCGAAAGCTCGAGAAGTCGTGACTATCTTGTTGTGCTTGATCGATGCGTCTTCGACACATCGCGTTCTATCATGATATACGGCAGTGATGGAAAGAGTGATTTGTAAGTCACAAGATATACTCCTCTGTTCATTCGCACAAACTATCGGCTCAAGCAAGCGCCCTTTAGGTAGGCAAAACACCACCAGGAAGTCGTATGAATAGAAGGGCGAGTCATTGTACCGGTAATGCCTACCAGTACCCTGGACGTTTCAAACCCCCATCCCTATCAACCCATCACATCATTTCCCACCCCTCGGACAGTCACAGCCAAGCCGGGAGACGGAGAAGGATCACATCGCATTTATATCGTTATCATGGCCTTTTGACAACATTCTGAGCACATTCGCTGTCAAAATCCTGGAGTTTGGATGTATGACCGATGAGTGACGTAGAGATAGCGTCTTCACGTGCACGACATGCACAACGCAGAGGCTGTACGCACCAGCCTACTGTGCCACAGCGGTGATGCTATTGGATTGGGAGACGCATTCGAGCTTCTGGCGTATTACCTGTTGGGAGAGGGACAGAACGGTCGTTGCGGGTCTTTCTTGTTTTTGCAAGAGGGGCGCCATTTGCTGTCGGGTGAGGTGGTGACGACGGTGACGACGGTGACGACAATGACAAGGTGACTAAAGGTACTACGGTAGGGTAAGTGTAGGTAAACGATTGTGCTCTCGAGCTTGTGTCTCCCGTCTATATAACACAATCAGAATTCTCTGGTTGATTTTTCTTTTTGTTGCAAACCTCTCATCATCTGCGAATTCTTGTCTCTCCAATTGCGATCACAACAACACCAACAAACACCACTCTACCAGCAACTCCACCATCAATGGCGCGTCACCATCAGCCCATCGATGGCCCTGCCGTCGACTACAACCACCCCATCCCCGACAAGCGCGACCAGACTGGTCTCCTCACCCGCTTCGTCCCCAACAGCCTCAAGAACACATCCTTCTACCGCTTGTTGCTGCGCGCCACTCGACTTCTCCAATTCCTCTCCTCAGTCATCTCCCTCGGCATCTTCTCCTCGCGCGTATACAAAGTCTACCGCCTCGTCAACAGCATCAAAACCCGCCGCGGCATCAACAGTTCCATGGGCGCAGTCGAAGGCATCCTCGCCGCCGCCGTCCTCCACACGCTCATCACCACCCTCCTGTCTTGCATCAAGAAGTCCGCCAACCCGGGCGGCCGCACACTACGCTGGATCTGGGTACTCCTCGACCTACTCTTCGTCGGGGCCTTCATCGCCGTCGCCGTCCTCACTCGTCCCAATGGCGGTCTTGCTGGCGCGAGACACTGCTACAGTCCCCGTCGTCTGAGCGGTAACAATTCTAGCACCATCACTGGCGAGAACAATTCACAGGACGACTCTTGCAATTTGCCATGGGGAACGTTCATTTTGGCTATTATTAGCACGCTTCTTCATGCTATTACTGCTGCGTTTCATGAGATTAAGGATCATCACCGCAGGCACACGCTTGATCACGAAAAGGCGTTTCAGCAGCAGCAGCACAATGCGACTGCCTCACCGTTCGTTGCTGACGGTGCTCGCTATTAGCACAACCAGCAATCGGTGCATTCAAGTAGGTAATGGAAGGAGCATCACGACGGAATGAGCCTGGAGCACGGGAGTTTTGGTTTATACCCGCCTCACCTTGATCAGGCATTGAGCATTGAGATGTGGGCATATATAGTTACATCTTTGGTCGCAATCTACAATAATCATCAATTCATGACATGTCACGGGTCTCTGGCGATTCAATAAGTGATATTGTATTATCTCCAGCCAGATTGGGTTAACTTGTGCGACGGTGAAGGTGAAGGTGAAGATGGGGCAATGGGAGATACGCGCACTTCAGTATTGAAGATGTGCGAGTGCTGAAGAGACCCGTGAGGTGAAATGCATGGGGCGGCAGCATCAGTGAGGAAAGAGGCGCTCACACTACGGTAAAAAATTGTTTACTGTAGAATGGTACGCTAGGGGTTTACTATATAGGTGTAAACTAACCTTATGTATACCTGTAAATAGGTTTAAAGTGGTAGTTTACTTTTATTATAGGTGGTTTAAATTAAGTATAAAAAGTAGTTTTATATCTATTATACGCTATAATACCTAACTAAGACTAAAAGGGGTAGAAAAGATTAGCTTCACGCTATACGCACATATAACATAATAATAAGTTATAATATTTTTACTAATAGGAGGTGGTGATAATAGAGGGGGTGATAATAGAGGTGGTGATAGAGGTGGTGATAGAGGTGGTAGTAGAGGTGGTAAAGAAGATTAAAGAAAGGAGGGGTAAAATACTTAAATAGTTAGTAGGAAACTAGTTATTACTAATACTAGTAGATTAATAGAAGTAGAAATAAAAGTAGTTTACTTTTGTGGAATACATAGTATAATAAACCCTATTTAGGTTTACTTCTTCTACCTAAACCACTTCTTGGTCTACTTTAGATAAATATGGCTACTGTAAACCGGTTTTGTACTGTAGTGTCAGTAGAAGCACCAGGTTAATTTTCAGGGCTATTTACTTTAGGATTTCAGATAGTTCATGACCATATCTTACAGGGTTGTCATACATGTGCAATACATAAGCCGTGGTCACCATTCTCGCCGGTGACTAGGTCTCATATGAGCTAATAACACACAATTCGCGAACGGTCCTTTCTGCTACCAAAATTTCAGATTTTTCTCGTACCAGTATTTCCAACTCTTTTGCCTCTCCTCTTCCAGTCTCCTGGCCTGCTCCTGCCTTTCGTACTCTTCTCTTTGCTTCCGCCGTGCTTCCTTTTTTGCTTCTATTGTTGCTCGCTTCTTCTCCATAAGCTCCTGTGCTTGCTTTATACCAGCCTTTTCCTTTGACCGATAGTATTGGCAGACTTGATACGACACGACGGACACACCACACCAGGTTGCTACAGCCCAATTCGAGGCTAGGTACACGGGCTCTGCACTACAGTTAGACTCCGTCTGGCCATTCAAGTGTCTTTTGATGGCATACTTCCTAAGATAGCTGCCAAACTCCCTCCCGCAAAACCGGCCGCTATGCCTTGCAGTTGACTGTCTCGTACGCATGGCCGCTTGTGAAAGTTGAGGTAGTATTCCGATCCCAGGCTTCGCACCACATCGACATATGTAAGTTCACCATCCGATATCTTTTCACCACCTGCAGTGTGTGCTGTGCCTCCAGGCATGACATTTGCAGGCGCTCGCGGCGCTGCGGGTTGTGCGTTGACATCGACGGTCTGCCTTGTGTCGTCGGCCATGGTGTTGTGAGTGGTGGACTGGGAGGAAATGTTGGGTAGGTGGTCGCTACTCAATTCGGATCGAGAACATGCAATACAAATCGTTGTATCGTGTAGTCTCGAATCGCGATGTGGGATTGATTGGTGCACAGCAGGAAGTTAGTGGCCGTCCACTCTTAGTTCTTGGTGGTGTGGAAAAGGCCCGAAAAATATCCATGATGGGATCATGGATTCTGCTTGCACGCGCCACATCGTGGTGGCATGTCATATGACCATGGGTTTAGCGTCAGGCGACTTGGGCTTTACTCTGAGTGGTTAGAATATCCCTGTAGGTTCAAGTCCACGTCACAGCGGCAAATTTTTATAGTTATATAAACTAGCCTATAGTTAAGTATAAATTAGAGTAATTTAAGCAAGTAAACGTAGTTTTTATTACTATCTTTTTTAAATATATTCTAAACCTATTCTTAATAATATATAGGCGTTCCTAAATACTATACTAGAGTTTAGTATAGTAGTACTAGATAACGTATCTAAACTAGATAGTAATATTAGAGATAAATTTAGGTAACTATATAAAGTACTAGAGGAGGATAGTAGTAGTAGCGTTAAGGAAGTAAGTAAAAGTAAATAGAATAAGTTTAGAATAGGTTAGTAACACGTTATAGGGGTATAATATATACCTTACTTATAGTAATAGTTAAGGACTACTACTTACACTAGTAATTATTAAGTATATAGCTATTCTCCTAGCATACCCTTAATTATATAGCTAAGGGTATAGGTATATAATACTAGTTTAGTAATATAAAGATAGCTCTTACCTAATAAGAGAAGAGGTGCTTATATAGGCTATATAGGTAACATGTTAAGAACACGTTCTTAAATTATTCTAATTCTAGCAGGTATAATACTCCTGCTAGTCTATCTATCTTAACAGGCCTATAACTTTACTATTCTTTAATAGCTAGCTAGCAAGCTAGTATAAATACTAATACTCTAGGGTAAAAGCGTATAAGTATCTTAAGAATATATTATAAATATATTCTTATTATATTATTAATAATGTATTATATAATTAGATCTAAACCTTAAAAAGTGTAGTACCTAAGAAAATTCTATAAAGAGAACTATAAATAAGAAGCTATTATTATAGCCTTATTAAGCGCTTCTCTTTAAGGATTTATAAGGACTACTAGGTATCTTATTATCCTATAATAAGGACTATAGTAAATTAGGTAGGGAGCAAAACTTAAATATATTTAAAATATATTAATAATAAGTTAGTAAATTATAGAATAGGCTTAACTATATATTAGCTATTAGAACTATAGCCTAATATCTACTACTAGGAAAAAATATTATTTTAGTTAGGTACTACTAGAGGTAGACTCTATATATCTATAAGGTCTTCTAACTAGGGAGATATTAAATCTTTCTAGTAGTCCTGCTTTATATTCTATAGTTAAGCCACAGTTAAGCTAGATAAAGAAGTGTAGTAGGTATATTACAACCTATTCCTAACACGTTCCTAACATATTCTAGGCGTTAATTATCTATAAGGGCAAGGATCTCTATTTAAAATCCTATATAAAGTTACCTTCTAAGTAATTATACTAATAGATATAGTAGTAATACCTTTTTTTACTATTATTTCTTTTAGTATATATATATATATACCTCCTCCTCCCTTAACACTATCTAATAGTAATATTAAGGAAGTAGTAAAGGTATTATAGCCTATACTTACTCTATAGCTTATATAATATAAGTTATTTATAACCTATTATAAATATATTCCTAACTTATTATAGCCTAGTTCCTAAACTTAACCTAGCTCTAAACCTATCTCTAACTTAAAGGTTTCTATTCTATTAAAGAAATATATATTAGCTTTATAAATAAAGATAAAATCTTACGTATTATAAAGCGTGAAAAGCTTCTATAGTTCCTATTTAAGAGTAGCCTTAGAGGAGTATACTATAAGTAGAGGATAAAGTATTAGGATCCTAAAACTATATATAGTATAAGAGAATAGGTTTAGAACACGTTGCTAACACGTTACTATAGGCGTATATATAGCAAATCTTTATATTAAGCTTAAGTAACTTAATTATTTACCTTTTTAAAGAGTAGGTATTAATTCTATTAGATTAAGATATATTCTAGATAGATATATTATATAAGAGGTTATATAGGGTATAGGTAGAGATTCTAATAGTAATCTTCTACCTATAGGAAAAGAAGCGTACGTATTAAGAATAGGTTTATAATATATTTCTAATATATTATAGTTATTATACTTAGCTAAATTATTATAGATAAGGATATAACTAAGATATATTAAGTTACTATTACTAACTTCTTTTAGAAGTGTAAAGCACTTATAAAAAGACAAGTGTTATAGAGGTATATTTACTTATAGGGATTCTATAGGACTACTATTAACATGTATAACAAGTAAATAATAGGCAAGTTTTATAGCGCACCACAATATATTTGTAACGTGTTTCTAACTTGTTTCTAGGACTTAGGCGCTATCTCTAGTTAATTAATCCCTATAAGCGTAACTAGCGCTAGCAACTTTAATCTTATATAAGATTTTATTAAGTATATCTATAAAGAAGTATTTATAAAGTATATAAAAGAGAGCTAGATAATACTACCTCTTTATATCTAAGTAAATTACTATAGGTATTAATAGTAGAGGAATACTTTTAGCTTACTAACCTCCTCTTATATAAGTAAACATATTCTAAACCTATTCTAAACGTGTTCCTAACTTATTCTTATATAATTAGAACACAAACCCTCTAAAGATACCTAAAACTAGGCAATCTATAAGAAAAACCTAGTAATTACTACTAGGATTATATAATACTATAGTAAAATATTAAAAGAGGTATAGGAAAAACTAGAATCTTATTTAAATATAGCTAAGTAAGCAGGCTAGAAAGGATATAAAACTAGTAAGTATATAAGTATTCTTAAGGCTACTTAGAAGTAAGTTTATAACCTATTCTTAACCTATTAGAATTATATAAGTAATATTATATAGTGCATACTAGATAGATCTATAGGATATAAAAGAGTTTAAAGCCTAGAGTAAGTTTAGAATATACTATAACTATAGAACTCCTAATAGGCTTAAGTAAAGGTACCTTAAAAAGCTTTAGAGGGGAGAAAGTAAGTCTTACACTAGCGTTATATATATTTACTAATTAAAATATATTTAGAATATATTTAGAACACGTCCTATAATAATAATAATACTCTAGATAATAATAAAGTAAGTCTTACTATATCTAACTTAACTAGATATATCTTAGTCCTAATAAGAAATAAAAGAGCATGCTTAAAAGCCTAAAGCTAGAGGGCAAGTAGTAGAGTAGTATTAGAAAGAAGTTTACTAGCCCCTTTTCTATCTTCTTTACTACTAGGCTCTTCTCCTTTACTAATAGTAACCTAAAGGTATGCTTTATAAAATACATTTATAACACGTTCCTAACTTATTATTAGTCTATAACTATAAACTTTATAATAAAAGGCTCTTCTTAGTAATTAGGCTCTAAAGGAGAGAAAAGAAAAGCTAGAGGTAGATAAGGAAGAACTTATATAGAAAAAGGCACTATTTAAATTATAAAAGGTATAGTTTAAACTTAAGAAAGAGATAGCTACTTTTTATATAAAGTAGGGTTAGTCTATAAATATAGTAACTAGTTCCTAACTAGTTCTTAATATATTCTAGTCTATTATATAAGTATATATAAGTAGATAAATATATATTCTTTCTTCTTCTCTTTCTTCTTCTTTCTTCTTACACTCTATAAGAACTTTTTATATTTAAGAGTTTAATACTATTTTACTATCTATCTTTCCTAATATTATTAGATATAACTAGTTAATATAGTCTATAAAGATCTTTTAAAGTTAGTATATAATAGAACGTGTTAGGAACACGTTATAAACTTGTTCTAATACTAAGTAGGATTTATACTAGTAATATATTAAGCTTAAGTTACTTCTATTTAATACTAGGGTATTCTCTCCTATAATATCCTACCTAAATAATAGGTGTATAGTATTTCCTAGCAAGCTTTTCTACTAGGCTATTTAGGCTAGATTAGGGGTATAGGAACTTTATAGAGTATGTATATATATAAGTTAGAATATATTTATAATATATTAACAACTATTTTAGTATTGCTTCTCTAATAGAGGTAATTTTATCTACTACCTTAAGAGGTATTATCCTAAGGTTTAAATAGCCTTAGTAAACTATAGTAGAACTATAATACAAGGCATTATAGAAGCAAGGATCTTCTATAGGAGCTTAATAGTAAATACTTAAGAATATATTCTAAATATATTAATAATACGTTCTCTGCTAGTAGAGTAGACTACACTAAGTGCCTCCTCTAAGGTTTAAGAACCCTCTAAGATAGCTAGTCTATAATAAGAAGTAGTAGCTAGAGTAGAGGCTAAAAAGGAAGTAGAGAGTAAAGAAGAGGAGTAAATAGTTACTCCCCTTTATACTATAAATAATATTTAGCAAAAGTAGTAAAAAGGAGATATAAGTCTAGTCTCTTAAAATATATTTAGAATATATTAATAATATGTTATAGCTAGACACCTATAAATACTAGATTCTTCTTTAATCTAAGGGACTACTAAAGCTTTATAATACTTATAAAAGTTAAAAGAAAAAGTTATATACTATTAAAGGACCCTATAAAAGTAAATAGTACTTTACTTTTAGTAGATAGAAAAAAAAAGAGAAGAGTAGAGAGTTTATTTTAGTAATTACTACTACCCCTTTAGGTTATATACTATTATATATTATTTATTAGAACCTATTCTTAATATATTCTTAACGTGTTCCTACTTATTACTATTATTATCTCCCTCCCCCTCTCTAGTATCTTCTCTATCCTCCCTATCCTCCCTAGGCTCTACTAAAAGCACTCTGACTACAAGTAGCAACTAGGTAGTATTCTAGCAGGAATTAGTAAGGTCTATACTAGTATTAAAGTAATAGTCTTAAAATATATTAGGAATAGGTTAATAATATATTATAAATAACTTACTATAGCTAGGATAATTATAAGCATAGATAGTATAAGGAACCTAATAACCTTAAATCCTTAGTAGGGTAGATATAGTAATAAAGTTAAGCTATAACAAGTTAGTAATATATTTTTAATAGGTTCTTATAGGCTATACCTTATTATTATTATAGCTACTATAAGTCTTCTTCTAAATTATATTTAGGAGGGTATTAGTATTTATAGGGGGGCCTATAGTAGCTACTAGCTAGGCTTAGAGAACTTCTATAAAATATATTAGTAATAAGTTTTAAATATATTCTAAATAACTTATAGTAAGGAGCTGTTCTAGTAATTATATATAACCTTTATATAGAAGTCTATATATATTAGTATAATAAGTTAAGAATAGGTTAATAATATATTTACTCTTTACCTTATAGACCTCTATTATAGAGGGCTAGCTAGTTTTCTTAACCTTACTAACCTTATAGTAAGCTATATTAAGCCTATAATCTTTTTTAGTATAGGTATATAGAGTGCCCCTAGTACCTAGAATAGCCTAAGAATATTAGAACCTATTTAGAATACATTTAGAACCTATTCTTACTCTATATAAGGTGCCCTTATTATTAATCTTAGTATAGTAGTAGCGCTCTCTACTCTCTATCTTAACTACCCTATTAGGGCTAACTATAGGCTATACCCTAATATTATCTAGGATATAGCTAAGGGTAAGGTACTATTAATAGTACTTCTATAACCTATTAAGAACACGTTCTAAACATGTTTTAATCTACTTATATAGGATAAGAGGGATATATTAGTAATAGGTATAGTAGTAGTAGCTTATAGTATTACTAGTATAGAATATATTTAGAATAGGTTTAGAATATATTATAAAATCTTATAGTATAATATTTAGTTAACCTTGCTTAGCTAGCTAGTAGAGCTTAGTATAGCCTAACCCTATACTAAATACAAGTTTACGTAGCGCTAATTCCATGGTTATATGAACTGCGCCCTCCGCCACATCCGTGTGGCTTGACCCTCCATTTAACCAACTAGGAATAGCGCAAAACGCGAAGCGCGTCGCGTCCGCCATGTCCGTGTATTTGCAGATCGACCCTTCGATGCTGCACACGTCCACTTTCACTGAATACTGTCGCCCGCCCACTGTCGATACCCCCGTTCCTTGCTCCGTTCAATTGCTTAAATGATACCCTGAATTGTATATTATAGCATTTAATACCTCACTCCTCGTCCTTTTCAGTCTCGAACTCAACCCGTCCAACACCCTCACACACGATGCCGCCACGACGGGCAGGTCAGCCCTTCCGCCGGGTAGGAAAGCTGGGCAACACATCATATGGCCCACGGAAACCAAAGACAGTGGATGCCTCCTCATTACGTAGTGGGGAAGGAACATCACAGAACGAGAAACTCGAAGCCACACGCCTAGCAAACCGTATCGATGAGTCCATGGGCTTTGCGCGCTTTGAGTCTGGGAAGAAGAAGGTGGGATGGCTCGTCAACATGCACTCGACTGCGCTAGAAGACGAGAATGTACCTGGAGGCAGAGCCGGTGTGGACTTCTACTTTATCGGCGAGGAGGGCGACACATTCAAGGCGACCCTGGAATACGACCCATATTTCTTACTGGCTGTAAAGAAGGGAAGAGAACAAGAAGTAGAGGAATTCTGCCGAAGATCCTATGAAGGCTTGATTAAGAATATAAAACGTGTCGAGAAGGAGGATTTGAGCATGCCAAATCATCTTACGGGATACCGAAGAACGTTCCTGCAGTTGTCATTCGCAAACGTCAATGATCTCCTAGCTGTAAGGAAAGTGGTTACTCCAGTGATTGAAAAGAACAAGAAAAATATCAATGCTATGGATACCTACGCAGAAGTCGCCAGGTAAGGAATTGCTCATCACAGCATACAGAGCGCTCAAGCTAATCAAGCGCAGCGGGAATGTTGGCATGGACTTTTTCGATAATGACGATTACGAACATGAGAAACGATTTACGACCACAGTTGACGCCAGCGATTTTATTGTAGACATACGGGAGTACGACGTGCCCTATCACGTGCGAGTGGCCATCGACAAAGATGTGCGAATTGGAAACTGGTATACAGTCGAAGCGAAGCACGGTATCATTACCATCACCTGTATAGAGGATCGGCTTACGCCTGCGGACCCTGTTGTTATGGCCTACGACATCGAAACTACAAAACTACCCCTGAAGTTTCCAGACGCTGTCATCGATCAGATTATGATGATTTCCTATATGATTGACGGGCAGGGTTTCTTGATCACGAATCGCGAGATTGTGTCGGAAGATATCGCAGATTTTGAATACACGCCGAAACCGGAATACCAGGGGCCGTTCATGATTTTCAACGAGCCAGACGAGAAGGCTGTGATTGAGCGGTTCTTCGAACACATCAAAGAAGCTCAACCAACAGTCATGGTAACCTACAACGGAGACTTCTTCGATTGGCCATTTGTGGAAGCACGAGCTAGTGTTTTGGGCATCGACATGTACCGAGAAATTGGTTTCAAGAAGAACAGCGAGGACATCTATCAATCGAACTACTGTGCACACATGGACGCTTTCTCATGGGTCAGCCGTGACAGTTACCTCCCACAAGGAAGTCGTGGTCTGAAAGCGGTTACAATGGCTAAGCTCGGATATGATCCCGATGAGCTGGACCCTGAACTGATGACACCATACGCTGCTGAACGACCTCAGACACTCGCAGAATATTCAGTCTCTGATGCTGTTGCAACCTACTATCTGTACATGAAATATGTGCATCCATTTATTTTCGCTCTGTGCAAGATTCTTCCGCTGGGACCAGACGATGCGCTGCGAAAGGGTACCGGTACTCTTTGCGAAATGCTGTTGATGGTTCAGGCTTACCAGAAAGGCATTGTCCTGCCCAACAAGCATCAGGCACCGAAAGAAGCTTTCTGGGAAGGACATTTGCTGGAGTCTGAGACTTACGTCGGTGGTCACGTCGAAGCGCTCGAAGCAGGCGTTTTCCGAAGCGACATTCCATACAACTTCGCTGTCGATCCTACTGCCATTGATGAACTACTTCGTGACCTCGACGCCGCGCTGAAGTTCAGCATTGAAGTTGAAGAGAAGAAGAAGCTGGAGGATGTTACCAACTACGACGAGATCAAAGCTGAGATTGTTGAGAAACTATTACAGCTTAAAGCCACTCCGAATCGGAGCGAACGACCATTGATCTACCATTTGGACGTCGCATCGATGTATCCCAACATCATGACCACGAATAGACTGCAGCCCGATTCTATGATCAAGGAGGCGAACTGTGCCGCCTGCGACTTCAATCGCCCGGGCAAAACTTGCGATCGCCGAATGCCATGGGCTTGGAGAGGAGAGTATTTGCCAGCCAAGCGGGACGAATACAACATGGTTCGCAACGCCTTAGAAAATGAGAAGTTTCCTGGCAAGTATCCGAACTCGCCAATGCGAACATTTCAACAGTTGTCAGAAGATGAACAAGCCGAGAAAGTGAGGAAGCGTTTGACCGATTACTCCAAAAAGATCTACCACAAGGTTCACGACGCTACCACCATTGAGCGCGAAGCCATCATTTGCCAGCGCGAGAACCCATTCTACGTTGACACTGTCAGTGGTTTCCGTGACCGTCGGTATGACTTCAAGGGCAAGCAGAAGGTGTGGAAGGGCAAGACTGAGGCGCTGAAATCTGCTGGTGCCTCCGCAACGGAGATTGAGAACGCAAAGAAGATGATTGTCCTCTTTGACTCTATGCAATTGGCCCACAAAGTCATTCTCAACTCTTTCTACGGATACGTTATGCGAAAGGGTTCCCGATGGTACTCTCTCGAGATGGCTGGCGTGACATGCTTGACAGGCGCGCGCATTATTCAACTGGCTCGATCGCTGGTAGAACGAATCGGACGGCCTCTAGAGCTGGATACCGATGGTATCTGGGCAATCTTGCCTGCCACATTTCCAGAGAACTTTGCGTTCAAGCTCAACAACGGAAAGAAGCTGGCAATCTCCTATCCTTGTACCATGTTGAACCATTTGGTACACGCGCAGTACACGAACCATCAATACGAAACTCTTGTAGACCCGCAGACATTCCGGTACGAGAAGCACAGCGACAACTCTATCTTTTTCGAAGTCGACGGACCGTACAAGGCCATGATTTTGCCTACATCAAAGGAAGAGGACAAGAATTTGAAGAAGCGTTATGCAGTCTTCAATCACGATGGCAGCCTGGCTGAACTGAAGGGGTTTGAAGTAAAGCGACGTGGTGAGTTGAAGCTCATCAAGAATTTTCAGTCTCAAATTTTCAAATTCTTCTTGGAAGGCACGACACTGGAAGAAACTTATGGAGCAGTCGCAAAGGTTGCGAATCGATGGCTCGACATTCTGGACACTCGTGGAGCCAACCTTGCAGATGAAGAACTTATTGATCTCATTGTCGAGAACAAAAGCATGGCAAAGACGTTGGAGGAGTATGGAGCGCAGAAGTCGACAGCTATCACAACTGCAAAACGTCTTGCTGAGTTCTTGGGTGAGCAAATGGTGAAGGACAAGGGCCTGAATTGCAAATACATTATCTCGAAGACGCCAAGGAACGCTCCCGTCACGGAACGCGCCGTTCCAATGTCCATCTTTTCCGCCGAAGAGTCCGTAAAGCGCTATTTCCTCAGGAAATGGTTGAAGGAGGATCCTGGAGAAATGGACATTCGCGCTGTCCTGGACTGGGACTACTACCGCGAGCGTTTGGCATCTGTAATTCAGAAGCTCATAACCATCCCGGCAGCGTATCAGAAAGTACGCAACCCCGTCCCTCGGGTGCCGCATCCAGAATGGCTGGACCGCCGAATTCGACAGAAAGAAGACAAGCTCCAACAAGTGAAGATGACGGACATGTTCAGCAAGAAGGTCCTCACAAACAGTGATGCCAACATTGCAAACAACAAAATCTCTGGTGATCTTGAAGACTTTGGCGTTACAAAGCTTACTCAGACTCAAGCGCAGGTAAAGAAGGGCATCGTCACCAAGATGGTCGCAAAGCGAAAAGAGCCGGAACCAGCGGTGCCTGTCCAGACTGACCCGTATGCCGCATTGCCCAAAGTCATGCCGTCCATCAACAGTGACTACCCTGGCTGGTTGGTGTATCAGAAGCAGAAGTGGAAGATTCAAAAACAAGCAAGGAAACGCAGACGTCAGCTATTCGGTGAGAAGCAAGTCGATGCTTCTGACGCCATCGGAACATTCTTCCGGAACCAAGCTGAGCTGCTCTTCATCAGCACATGGCAGCTTGTCCAGCTGCGGCCGACAGAGACGCCAGGGGAAGTAAGAGCTTTCGTCTTGATTGACAAGAAAATTCATACACTCAAGATAATCGTGCCACGGCAACTGTATCTCAACTTGCGAAGCGAAGATCTTCCAGACGTCTCAATCACCGGCTGCTCGGTCGAAAAGGTCGTCAACCACACACTGCCAAATGGCCACCCTTCCATTCACCTTTTCAAGCTGGAAATGCCTGAGGCAACATACGTACACGAGTCAGAAAGCATATCCGCTTTACTCAACCATCCCAGTGTCGAAGGTTTGTACGAAAGGCAGGTGCCTCTTAATATCCGAGCGATTCTCGAGCTAGGTAGCACATGCACATTCGATGAGTCCCAAAAGGGTGTTCTTGGCAAGGGTCTGGAGCAAGGTTTCGGCCTCTCAGCGTTGCGAAAGGTCCCTACCAAACAGCCCTATCTCGCAGACGCACCGTTCAACTACCTCTACTTGTACCATGTCAGTAGCGGGGATCGGAACATCTATGCCATCTTTTCGACATCTAAAAGTGATGCGCATATCATCATCCAGAATAAGTCAAAAGACTCCCAGGGGATGCCGAACGTAGATCGTATCTACAGTGATGCCTTACAGCGACGTCTGGATGAGAACGAGGGCGGCCCGTGGCAGACCACGATTGAATATCAGGACAACATCCATTTCAAGACCACCATGGTGACAACACGGCGCAAGGCTCTGCTCGAGATTGGCGACATCATCAAAAGGATGAAGGCAGATGAGGGTCGGCCCACCATTGTGGTAATGCAATCACCCAACCAAGCTCTGCTCACGCACGATATCCCAATCATGAAGGATCTTCCCATCCTGCCGCTTCAGGCAGATGAGACCGACAAGCAGCTACCTCCATTGGGATGGCAATCTTTTATCGCAAAGCGACTTGTCGGTCACTACCTCGATTTGGGCTCGTGGGTAACGCATCTCCTGGAGCTCGCTCGTTACGGCGATATCCCGCTCTGCAATCTCGAAAGCAATGATCCACGGTTCCTCATCGACGTCGCGTACGCGCGGCGACTGCAGAAAGATCGTGTTATTCTATGGTGGTCTGGGCAAGCTAAGCCAGATCATGCTGGATATGAGAAAGATGACATCTTTGCGCCGCTGGAGACGGTGGAGATGCCTTCGATCAATAATTCTGGCACCTACTCGTCTGTCTGCATCGATATTAATTTGCGCAACCTCGCTATCAATACCATTCTATCATCCTCGTTGATCAACGAGCTTGAGGGCGCGGACTCCGTATCGTTCAATCCTGCTGCCCCGTCGTATGATTCCGCAGGCGATGGAACAAGCACCATCTACTCAGATAATGCGTTTGCAAGCGCCGGTATCACAGTTCTGCGCGAGATGGTAAAGGCTTGGTGGTTCGAAGCTGTACAGGCGGGCCACGGCTTCAGCATGGCAGATGTCATGGTCCAACATCTCGTGCGGTGGGTCAGCAGTCCTGGCTCCTTCCTCTACGATAGGTCTTTGCACTACTATGTGCAGATAATGTCCAAGAAGACGCTACAGCAATTGATGACAGACTTCAAACGTGTGGGCTCGCATATTGTATTCGCCAGCCCCAATCGCCTCTTGCTTCAGACTACAAAAGCGGAAGTTGGCAACGCCTACGCCTATAGCCAGTACATTATCAAGACCATCAAGGCTAAACCACTTTTCCAGTTCATGGAACTTGATATCAAAGAATACTGGGATTATCTCGTGTGGTACGACGAATTCAACTACGGCGGCAAAGGTTGCAGCGAAGTCGATGAAGAGGAAAACCAAACTATCAACAACATCATGTGCTGGCAACTCGCACAGTTTCTTCCACCAACCCTCCAACCAGTCTTCAACGACTGGGTCATCGAGTTCATAGAGCTCATGCACGCACGGAAACGTCCAGCCGTGACAGACCCCAGCTCCACGCCCCGTGTTACGCAAATCCCCCTTCGCCCTCTCACCATCGACCCCTACGAGCAAACCCAGATCCTGCCCAAAACCTTCACCAAACCGCTCTTCAAGCAAATCTCCACGCTCCTGCGCCGCCAACACGCCGAGATTCTCCACCCAGAGCTGGCGGGCGACTACGAGTTCCCCAAACTTCCGGGTTCGCATCTCAAGCTGTCGAACCCCGTGTTGCAACTGGTGAAGAGCATCATGCAAGTCCTCAGCCTAGACCGCGCCATTACTCTAGAAGCTCGTCTGCTTCGCAAAGAACTTCTTGCCCTCTTTGATATCCGCGAATTCAGCGCCGAAGCTACCTTTCAGAACCCCAGCGCCACGCTCGTCGTGCGCGGCCTGATCTGCGATGACTGTACGTGCTCGCGCGACTTGGATCTCTGCCGCGATGCCTCGCTCTTGCCACCTGTGCTGGACAACGGAGGTGCGGATACAGCGCCGCCGCCGCCGCCGAAATGGAAGTGTGACAATTGCGACGCGAGTTATGACAAGTTGCGGATTGAAGAGCACTTGGCCAGCGAGGTGCAGAAGGTTGTACTAGAGTGGTGCACACAAGATTTGAAGTGTAGCAAGTGTAAACGGCTCAGGAGTAACGAGTTTATGGAGCATTGTGCCTGTGCGGGCGAGTGGGTGGGGACGAAGAGCAAGGCTGATGTCAAGAAGAGATTACTGGTGTATCAGAATGTGAGCGGGTTTTATGGGTTGAGGATGTTGGAGGCGGTTGTACAGGAATGTTTGGATGGCCTGTAGATGCATGGGATGGGGTACGTCTGGTAGACGTAGCCAGTGTCAAAGATGGAGATTGAGCAGTTGAGTTGGCTTAGACTGTACGGCAGGCTACTGGACGTCCGCTGTAGGAAGGTCGCGCGGATTGTCATGGCGTTATTGCGATGCTTCTTCGGTTCGGCGTCATCTGTATGTTTTGGAGCATGGGTTTGTCATGGCATTTGCACTAAGCATATGGGGTGTGTAGGGTCAAGAAGCGGGGTTGCTTGTCCTTTTGGTAGGAGAGTACCTTTTGAGGTAATGAGGTACATAGTCGATGTGAGTCCATAGTCGATGTGAGTCCATAGTCTAAACAAACACTGTGGATACTTTCTGAAATCAGCACCTGCTACTAGAGTACACGTCCACAACACCGACCTCCTTCGCAACGAACAACATTTTCTCCAAGAACAGGAGTTCCAACGCGCCCGGCTTCTTTGCCCGCATCTGGCTTCCCTGACATGCAGATGATAATCGCGATTGAGGGGTACGTGGCCAGCGCAAGGAGGTGGGGTGATCAGAGCCCGAGTGTTCATCCCGAGCACGCAATCTAGGCTAGAGATTACAACAGGCAGTCGAGTGCCATGTCGCCATGTGTACCTCTGATCACGAGGCGGGGAAGTTGATGGGAAACCTCTTGGTCTGAGCCAGGGCAAGGGTGCGGTTCAGAAAATGTATATAGAGGGCAGATCTGCGTCGTTTGCACATCTCGGGTGGGTAGTTGCTCGAGTGATTGGAATTCAGAACGACATCTTTTTTTTTGTGGTGATTGGTGCTGTTCTATTTTGGTTGTAGTATCTGGATATTGAAATATCAGTCTGTTTATCAGGTACTGTCTTCGATCACATATGTCATTGGGGCCTTGTACTGCGTACTACGTACTACACACACATAAAATGGCACCTGCCCTCACGTCTGCTGCCCCAACGGCCCCTCACGAACTCTCCCCCCAAACCACAACCACAGACAAAGCCCACAAATCCGTCTTCCCGGACGGCATCCGCACCTCGGGCCAACACGAGCCCATTTACTCCCAGTTACGCCCTTACTCCGACTTCCCCACTGAAATCATCGGCCCAACCGCCTGGACAAAAGACGACTATGCCCCCCACCCCTCGCGCTGGACACACGTCTTCTCTGCGTCTGAAATCGACGAAATCAGCGCCGCAGCAGATGCCTTCCTCGCAAGCGACACGCCCCTCACCGGCATCACACGGGCGAAATTCCCGCTCCCGCAATTCTCCACCTACCTCCAGCCCCTGCGCAACGAGCTCATCGACGGCAAAGGCTTCATCCTCTTCAAAGGCCTCCCCGTAACAAGCTGGGGCAACAAAAAGTCCGCCGTCGCATACATGGGGCTCGGCACGTATCTGGGCTACTTTGTGTCGCAGAACAGTCGGGGCCATGTGCTCGGGCACGTCAAGGATCTGGGCGAGGACGCGATGCAGATTGATCGCGTGCGCATCTATCGGACCAATGCGCGGCAGTTTTTCCATGCGGATGATGCGGATCTCGTGGGCTTGCTGTGTGTGGCGAAGGCGTTGGAGGGCGGGGAGAGCGATCTCGTGAGTGCGCATAGTGTGTGGAATGCGTTACAGCGTGAGCATCCTGATGTCGCGAAGCTGTTGACGGAGCCGGTGTGGTATTTTGATCGCAAGGGGGAGACGAGCAAGGGTCAGAAGGAGTGGATTAGGACGGCGGTGTTTTACCTCGAGACGGGGGAGAATCCGCGGGTGTACTCCAAGTGAGTTTGTTTTTAACTTTCCCCTCGTGTGAAGAAGACAGTAAGCGAGGAGGACTAACAAGGAGATGTGTAGGTGGGATCCATACTATATTCGATCACTTACTCGTTTTTCGGATGCGGGACTGATCCCGCCGCTGAGCGAAGAGCAGAATCGTGCTGCGTTGATTCTGGAGGAGACGTGTCAGAAGCTGGCGTTGCATATGATATTGGACATTGGTGATATTCAATTCTTGTCTAATAACCATGTCCTGCATGCCAGGACAGCGTACAAGGACTACGCGCCACCGGCGCCGAGGCGGCACCTCATGAGGCTGTGGTTGAGCACGCCCGAGGACGAGGGCGGTTGGAGATTGCCGTTCCATGATAGTAAGGAGAAGAAGAGGGGAGGTATCCAGGTTGATGATACGCCGCCCGTTGCGCCCGAGGATGCGGAGTAGAGTAGAGAGTGACCTGACTGATTCAATGAAATAAATTAGATTATACCATGTATAGCATTGCTGCCGAAGGCCTTGAGTGTGTTCAATGTGGTATCATTCTTCTTTCGCGCGTGACTTTGCGCCTACACCAGTTATTTGCCCAACGCCGCATTTGCCCTAGAAACAAGGCGCGCCATAGTCGAGCCCAATTCGATGCCAACGTGCATCAAAACTGCCACGAGTGTGCAGAGTATGGGGTGCCCTGTTCGAATTCTTGCACGCTCATCCGCAGGCTCTGCCTCCTCGCCTATCGCCTGTTGACACATCGATGCGTCCAATAGAGGTTTACAGTATCTGTCCCTAGCCTTTCGTATCGTTCTTGAATGTTTCGTGCTCCTAGAAACCCCTGCCCCGTCCGCGACCACCTCCACGTCCACCACCACGAGGTCCACCACGTCCCCTGCCACCACCACGGCCGCCTCCTCTGCCTCCGCGGTCACCGCCAGTCGCTTCTTTCCTCGCCTTGTTCTTGGGCTTCGGCGCATCGTCAATGAGGAGGGTGTCAAGCGGTAATGAGTCGGGGAGAATGACGTAGCGGATAGTTGAACCACGAACGGTCATGGAGTCGAGAGCTACAGTGTCGCGCGACTTGGGTGTGTACTTGACTGCTCGGAGCGCAACGTTCATGAGCGGTGAGACGGAGGTGATGGTGCCGTTGACGATAGTACCTGCTCTTGTGTGAGTACCTCTGATTTGAGCTATGCCCAACAGACGCGCTCCGCGCAAGAGAGCCTGCATATGTAATTTTGCACCGCTGTCGTTCCTTTACCGTCGCAGTAGCCTCTATGCCTAGGCCAACCTCGGGTTCAACTCCAATATCATGTTCCCCGCGCCATATCCACTCAATGGAGCGGAGAAAAGAAAGAAGAAGCGAGCGAACATACCATTCTTGAGCTCGACTGTGACTGTTTCATTCTGGCACTTCATAAGAAATCTGCGTTGTCATGAGTTCGAATACGGCTGCTAGCTCACTAATGAATGCCTACCTGACTAGCTTCATGCTGGGCGAAAGACTTGAGGTGTGTTTAAGAGGTTCGGGTCTGTATCGTGTTACTTTGTTGGTGTAGACCGCGGGGGATAGCTCACTCTCACTTGCTTTGGCTGGAAAACGCGAGGAAGCTGGCAGGCTATACGGGCCGGGGTTTATCCGATGCGCGGTCACGTGAGCCAGCGCTGTTGCACTTCCAAGGTTGGTGGCACACTCTAAATGCACTATCATGTTTACAGCAAACGGAGATTCGCTATCGTAGCTCATGGAGCAATCAAACAGCATATTTGGCTGTACTATTCAGCCATGGACACGGTGCATACTTGTTTGACAAAAGTCATCACATCGCTCAACTCCACGATTTACCTACATGGCTAACAATTCTGGTTATATCACATTTCTGGGGTTTCCTTGAACCAGCTAGAAACATGTTTTTGCACTCTTACCATGCCCTTACACTTACCAGCCCACTTTAGCGACGAGATACATGCTACAAGCATAGTCTGCGCCCAGGTGGGCCAAGTAGTCTCCTTCACCCGCCCGCTCTTTCTTATATAGTGGCCGACATTCCCTAAGGCTCCAGAGTGAAAGTCGTCTGCGAAGCCCACATCAGGCTATAGCATTACTTGCGTTTGCAGTTTGGGCCCTCGGACCACGCTCTTTCCTTTGTTAAGACCAGATGATTCTCAGTGATTCTTGCATTCACGCATTCTCACACACCTCCGCGACTCTGATTCAACCATGGTGAACCGTAAAGCAACCGCCGCCTCTGCCAAGACTGATTCGAAACGCAAGAAGCCCCGAAGAAACACTACCCAGTCCTTCAGTTGGAGTGAGCGAGACTGGACGGTGAAGCAGCTGCTCACACCAGTTGTATCGGTGATGGTCAACAAAGAAGACAACAAACTCTTCGTCGTGAAGAAGATCATCAGGATGCCATCCCATGTAGAGGAAAGACGCTCGTTCGAAGCGCGCGCGCTCGCATTGTTGCCCGACTGCAATCGTATAGCCAGGCCTCTGGTGGATCTGGCCATGGGGCCAGACGAGGATCACGCTACCATAATTTTCGAACACTACCCTTTGGGTGACCTCAAGCAATGGAAGTTGCACAATTTTGACGAGCGGAACAACAAACCGGTAACGGAGAGCTTTATCTGGAGGTGCTTCATCCAAATGAGTCAGGCGCTAGCGTTCATCCACAATTCCATCGGCCCGGATCCGGACGAGAAACGGTATTGTTTGCTCCATAGGGACATCAAGCCTGAGAATATACTGGTGGTAAACAACGGGACGACGTACCCTTCCTTTCTGCTACACGACTTCGGCTGCGCTCGAATCTATATTGAATCGCGAGCTGATGAGCCATCGTATTGCGGAACGTACAAATGGCAGCCTCCTGAGAATCCTAGGATCAATACGGCAGAAGCCGATATATGGGCGCTTGGTGCCTGTATACACTTTCTCGCTGTGGGTCGAGCGCCAGTCGAGGATGTGGGGATATTCGCCAAGGATTTCAGAGAACTTCTCGGAAGAGAGGATTTCAAGGAGCCCTCCTCTTTGATGGATTACAAGTCCACGGATAGATATTGCGGTGCTCGCGTCCCTCGCCAAGTAATACCTGTCAACCTGTCCCAAAAAGAGCAGCTGGAGCGAGGGCTTGGTCCGGAATACTACCAGTATAGTGACGATCTGCATGAATGGATGTCACAGTGTCTGCGGTTTGAGCCAGAGGAACGGCCGTCAGCAATAGACCTGCTCGAGGAGATGGTTGATGTCGGAAAAGAGATGTTACATAGCATGGGAGGACAGGCGGCTCTGGGTGACCTGGAGATAACCTTTGGCATCAAAGCCTGAAGTCGACAACGGTACTTCGCTCGAGGGGAACAACTCAACGATGTACAAGCCAGGACTTTAGACTGTAGTTTTCCATATTCTCAAAACAACCAGTTTCTCCCAGCCAGCTTTCTTTCCACTAGACCCGACGGTCTCAGCCTGCCAGCCTGAATCCCAATCCCTTATCCTTTGTTTCACCACCTCAGGTTTGTTCTGCGCACAGAGCAGCAGATATGCGACACCTCTTGACTCACTCAGTATGCCCGGTATTTGCTTGAGCATTCTGTCTGTTACGAGCATCCCATCTTCACCTCCAGCGTAGGAAAGCTCCAGAAGGTACGAGTCTTGTTCGAAGGATGTCTTCAATGTGCCATCAGCAAGAGAATTGTAATCTTTATGACGCGACATGTCTGGTAGCTCGGCCGGTACGTATGGTGGATTGAAGATGAAAACGTCAACGGAGTGAGGTCTAATCGCAGTCGCCAGGTCGCCATTCACGATGTCTAGGAAGACAGTGCGGCCATCTTTCCGCTCTTGTACCGCACTGCGAATTGTCTGCGAGGCTGCTTTGCAAGCAAAGCTATTGATATCGGTGCCTAGCGTCAGGACATCAAGTCGACCCAGTATGCTGCACGCATTGGCAGCTATAAAAGCGAGGACAACGCCAGAGCCTACGCCCACTTCAAGTACCAATGGCGGGGTCGGGGAGGACGCATGACTGAAACGTTCTTTCAAGAATTTGGACTCTATCTCGGAAGAAAACGTGTCCAGGAGTAAGTACGAGTCTTCGGCCGGTTCATAGACGCGATCAAAGCAGACGTGCGACGTCGATGGTGTTGGCAACATGCTGACAGAAATATCGACGTTCGGAGGTTGGGGGAAAGGAACCAATGGGGCTTGACGGAAGCTAGCTTAGTCCCGACAGAGGCTGAGGTCATCACTTTACGAATCCATCACTTTTCCTTGCATCTCATCAGTCACACTTTGATCCAATACATTTCTTTCTGTCAAAATGCGTACATATACTCGATTGCTTGCTACAGCAACAGATGCTGGCGCGTCGAAGCCCTTTAGACCCGCCCCATCGGCATTGTTACCTCCGATTCCACTGTATAGACGACTTCTACGATCACACCGTAAGAGATTGGGTGTAGAGGAGCGATTGCTGGGTGATATGTACGTCAAGGCCGAGTTCAGGGCTCATAGGAATATCGATAACCCTGTCCAAATTGTAAACAAACATCAGTGCACTACACGTTAGCTAAATGCTGACGATTCCAGATTGGCTTTCTTTCTGAATGGCAACAATACTGTCAAATGTTGGAAGGGGATTCCTGGAAAGAAGCGAAAATGGAGAAGGCCAAGATCGACAAAATGAGCGGCAAGTCCTGCCTGAGGCCCTCGTCTCGTCGCCCACTGACACAATACAGACCAGCAGATAGGGCAGCTGTACGAGCTGATGCAACAAATAAAGAACCAGGCCCAAGAGGATGCTGATGCTGAGGAGGCCCGAGTCATTGCAACACTTGATAAAAAACCCAAGTCGGAAGAGTGATTGCAACTCCTTTGGAAATGGTCGCTTCTCATCTGCCAAGACAAACATCTATATACTTCACACACGACAACGAAGTGTGACGATGAGACAACACACTTCACAGACGGACTGAAGATGTGTACTATATATGCCAGCAATAGCAACCCCATCTTCGACAGAACAGCAATCTTGTCGGCTGCCATTTCTTGACTGCTCTTTCAAGGGTCATCGATAAGCACTACCCATCCCCTCATCACCAAGCTATACAGCCCGTGCTGTGCAGGAAACCGAACAATCTGGATGTCGCCGGCGTTACTGCTAGCGAATTCCCGATTTCGGCTTGCATAACACAAATAGCACTGTCGCAATCACACGTTTGAAATCGCCTATTCGCACACAATCTTCCACTTCCAACCATGTGCGGCTGTACTCTGTACGACTCTCCAACATGTGGTCATTCCTGGATCTCCATGAGCCAGCCATGCGGTTTTCTCGCCGACCTTCTCAGTTGTCCAAATCGCCAGACTTACCAGACGCTTGTCGCGCCCCCCTACACCTGCTCAACGTGCGATGGTGGCTTCGCCGATCGAGAGACCATCGAGATGGTATCAGGGCCGTGGGGTTGTAATCAAATGCTTCGCGCTCATGTTGGTGGCAACTACGCCATCCCAGGGCAATGGGGCAACGCACCCTTTCTGGCAAATGGCGTCACCAGTCCTGCCATGACGCCTGGCGCTATGGTTCCCTTTCACGGCCTCGGCGGTCCTGCGATAACATCTGCCGCAATGGTACCTAATACTGGCTTTGCACCTACCTACGATCATCGGCTCACTGGACCATATGGGCCTCGCCCGATGATGGCACAGCCGCCTATGATTATGAGTGGACCTGTAATGAACAACGCGCCTATGGTCTACAATGGCTATGATTTTTTCGACGATGGTTACGTCAGCGATGGTAGGGACTATGGCAGCTGCAGTCGGCGGAAGCAGAAGAGCAAGTACAGGTACAGATACACGGACCAAGCTGCAGGAAACTGTACGGTCATGTAGATGTTTTCGATGTTGTTGTTTCAATATAGCAGTCTACCTAGCCCAAAGGTAGTCAGTCATGAGCCAATATCACTTTCGGGTACTTTGGAGTTGCTATACTTCCTTGGGCTTTTTCTCCGGCACAAGTCGCTGCTCTTGATGACAGTGCCCAATCATAACGTCCCAATGAACAATATAATAAAAGCTTATTCGTGAAGTGCAAATATACATACTTACGCGTGACCATGTATATCGGCTTTTGGGAGGAAGGCCGAGGAAGCATCCCCGCGACACGTCAAACCGAAGCTCCCCCCCCCCAAGAGTATCCCTCCAGCACGGTTTGCTCCGCCAGCAACAACCTGGCGCTGTTGCGAACGGGCCAGCCACATACGCAACCTACGCAACAAGACTCTACTAGACGCACCTTCACATTCACTCTTCGAAGCTTCGCGGCACGTTGTCCTTGAACATCTGTCCTGTTTGCTAGGCAGCCATAGCGCTACGCGCGCCTGCGCGGGGTCTGCAGTACCAGTACAAGAGAGACGAGCTTTAGCGATACCCATCATACATTCCTCAGCCTCCACCCTACTCTACAAAGCTACAAAGTATAAGCATACATAGACGCAGAACGCATCAGCAGACTACACACACACACACACACAAACCACCGAGACTGCTTCACAGATACGGAGTCGACCTGGGCAAACATGGCGTCCTTTTTCGAACAGCTATGGGAGTCCATCTTCACACCCGGCCCCACACCCACCCTCCTTGTCGCAACCAACGCCTCCTTCGCAGCGCTACAACTCCTCTTCTTCGCCATGCTGATCGCCACCTACAGTATCCACTTCATCATCCTCAGCTTCCTCTGCGCCGGCCTCTGGTGGAGCATTAACTGGTTCGCAGTGGAGATACGCGCTGCACAGGCGAAAGAGGAGGAGGCGAAGCGCATCCGTGAGGCCCGACGGAGCGGCAGAGAAAAAGGCGACGGGGCAGACGCGGATGGCGAGGGCGGAGAGACAGGAGAGGAAACCGAGGTCGATAACGACGCCGAGCTGAAGCAGACGCTGAGGGCCAAGCCCAAGTCGCGTTCGCAGCGCGAGGGAGAGCAGAGCACGGTGTTTGTGGAGAGACCAGCCGGAGGACGTGAGAGGGAAGCAACGCCACAGGCTTCGCAGGCTGAGATGGGCAGTGGACCGGTGGCAGCAGGGACACAGGGCACGACGACGAGTCTTGCGCCGCTGGTGGATGATGCGCTGAAGAAGAGAAAGGGTATGGGTGATTCGACGGGGGATCTGTTGGGGACGGACAGTGAGTGGGAGAAGCTGTCCCAAGGCTCTGAGGATAGATGAGGAGGGCGACTGCCATCTACCATTCGCATGTTTGGTCACACATCTCTCTGTAGCCACCTGGGAACTAGACGCGTTAGATGTTTTGGGATTTGTGCTTTTCCCCAGTTACCGTAACCATCTTCCAGGTGAAGACGCGATTACCGTGGGAAGGGTCTCGCACATCCATGCTCTGCACTATATGCACATATAGGACAGCGATGCTCCCTATAAAAGCTCTAGACTCTTCAGCATCATCATTTGTTGCTGCCCAACTTGTCTGACGTCCATTCGGGACGGCCGTGCTTTCATGTCTCGATTGCCCCGCGAATCCATGTACCTGCCCACCACAGTGCCCAGACAACTTGACTGTCCAGGCACCACCTGATCTGACTCTTCTCTTCTCTTCAAATGAAGACGCTTCATCTCCGCCCACACCGGTAGCGATCCTTTCGCAGCTACACCAGAATTCAAAAGCACGACAAGTCCTGCGCCGCCTGAACACCCCGCTCCGACACACCACAGGTCCACAAACGCGCACAATGGCGGCACCCATGAGCGTCGGCGAAGTCGTCGAGCAAGCAAGCAACTACACCTATAATGGACATATACCGCTGTCCAACTGGCTACGCACAGCCAGTACTATGCAGAAAGAGGTGTGCAGCCCAAAGCACGACGTTGAATACGAGCATGAACGAATCGCATACTCACTATAATCCATCAGGCGCAAGTCTACGAAGCAGAAGGCAACGACCAGCAAGTCTACCTTCTCCTGTACCGCCATGCCGACCTTGTACTCCAAAAACTACAAACGCACCCCGACAAGAGCAGACCAGAGAACCGCAAAGCGCTGGCGGCCGCGACGGCGACGGTCATGAGCGATTTGCGAAAGATGGAGGGGATTGCGCCCAGGATCAAGAAGAGGCATGAGGATTACATGGAGAGGAGAAGCAGACAGAACGAAGCGCTGCAGACGCTGGAGGGGAAAACGGAGAATAGTTTGGCGAGGGAGATGGATGGGTTGTCCATCTTGGACCGCAAGATGAAGAGGTACTATGCTAAGCCGACGCTTGATGCGCGCGCACAGGAGACACAGTCGTTGGCTGCACGGCTGGCGCAGAGAGAGGTGCAGAGAAGGGATACAGCAAGAAGAAGCATACGGCAGCATAGCGCCTTGGAGGACGGGGAATTGACTCGGAGATCGGGGGGAAGGTGGGAGAGGTGGCAGGATGAGCATGAGGGTCAGGTTGGTGAGGCTGGAGAGGCTGGCGACCTTTCGAGGCAGCTTCAGGACGTCGCGAGGTTGCAACAGGATGGACGACGAGGCTCATACTCTTCAGTCAGTCTTCTTGGAACATGTACTATACTACGAAGACTAATATTTCCAGCGAAATTCGTCTCAACACGCATCGCCCTACCACTACCCGTCCGTTCCACACAAGACAGCCCAGGAAAGATGGTCAGAATCACGCTCAGGAGAGTCACCCAGTGCAGCACCCACCCGTCCCCCTAAAGAACAAATACACAGACAGTCAGGCACACCCTCTGCACCACCACCGCTACCCCCCAAACCACCAACTATCCCCCAAGACAACCGCTACGGACAACCGCGCCCACCCCCAGTCCCAGGCAAATACTCCGACAACGCACCGCCCCTTCCTTCCAAAATCCCCTCCGACAACCGTCCCCCAACTCCCTCTCACGAACTTGACGCCTTCACCTTCCAACCAACCGCCTACCTCGAAAACGGGGACCCCCTCCGCCCGGTCTTTCTCCCCTCCCAACTGCGCCAGCAATTCCTCTCTTCGGCCTCGACCAACACACGGCTCAACCTCGAAACTTGCGGCATGTTGTGCGGGATCCTCAAGTCCAACGCCCTCTTCATCACGCGGTTGATCATCCCCGAGCAGACGTCGACGAGCGACACGTGTGAGACGCTGAACGAAGAGGAGTTGTTTGATTATTGCGACAAGGAGGAGTTGATGGTGCTGGGGTGGATACATACACATCCTACGCAAACGTGCTTTATGAGTAGTCGGGATTTGCACACGCATGTTGGCTATCAGGTCATGATGCCGGAGAGTGTGGCGATTGTTTGTGCGCCGAGTAAGACGCCTAGGTATGTATTTGGGTTTTTTTTAACATGTTCCTGTTTTGCCCCTGGATCTTTGCCATTCATCCTGTCATTTATCCATCCATCCCTCCGTCCACATTCAACCCCCAAACCAATCCCCACCCGCCCCCACCCCTTACCTCTCACATAACTAACAAACATCAGCTGGGGTTGTTTCCGCCTCACCGATCCCCCGGGCAAACAAGCCATTCTCAATTGCAGTCGTCCGGGCATCTTCCACCCCCACGACATAGATAACATATACACAGAGGCCATGAAGCCAGGGCATGTGGTTGAGTTGGCGAATGCGCCACTCGAGGTGGTGGATATGAGACCGAGTTTTCGTCCTTTTTAAGGGGGGATTGTTGTAGTTGCATCATGGGGATGGGTATGCTGAGAGTGCGATAGATGGGTGGTGAGCATGGGGGAATTGCATAGCGCGGGTGTTTTTTTGGGGAAGGGTTGGTTGGTTGTGTGGGTATTGAGTTAGCATGAGTATTACTTTAGTTAGACTTGTAGTTTAAGATGTGGTAGTCTGGGATTCATGGACTTTGTGCTTGTCGACCTGTAGCTGGGCATTTGATCTACAAAGACTTTTTTCTTTTCTTTTTTCCTTTGTTATGGTTTGGTTTGTTCTCTCTAGTGATGTCATGATATGGGGTAGGGAAAGCCCATCAAAGCTAGGACGAAAAGCAAGTAGGGGGACTTGGGTTTGTGTTGAGGATCGGGATTGGGATTGGGATTGGGATTTTTGTGGGTTGAATAGGATTGTCAAAGCAATGGAAACGTTTGTGTCATTTCTTTTTGTGGTGTTGGAGGATCGGTGCTGTGTTGGTTGGGGGGAGTTTGCGATAGTGGGAGGGCTGGCTGTGGTTGTTTGATTGGGGGGATGGTGGAGGTGTGTGGCTTTCTTTTTCTTCTTCTGCCTTTGGAACAGGCATTGGTATACCTACGAGGTTCGGGTGAGATGGGAATGGCTGTATTGCTTTGATTGTGAATCGGGGAGACTGATACCATTCTGGCTCTTGTGGGAGAACGGCGTGAGCGCTTCGTAGCTACTGGTACATGAGATTCGCATCAAAGCGCTGGTAACGTAAGCTGTGAAGTGTAGCCATCATGCTATATCATATTCCATCATCGCCGCATCACCCAGGCGCAGGCGAGATTCGAAAAGTCCACATACAGCGTGCATTGCAGCAGACCAGGTTACAGTACCTGTACGGTAGTATAAAGACTTTCACACAAAACCCATAGTACATACATTGGCAAACACGCCACCACCCTCCCTTCTCCGCAAGCCATGAAATCTCACTCGAGGCCGCGTACGCAAAATCCGGGTATTCCCTGGTCTTTCCTCTCTCCACACTTCAGCATGATGCCACACAAATCCATGGTAAGAGGAAAAAAGAACCGAGGGCAAGAATAGCGAGCTTCGTGCGCTTTCTCCAAGCAGTCGAGGGCCTGGTGATTTGATTTCTTTTTGGTGGCATCGAGTGTCAATCGCTCGTTTGGCTCGATTCATGCTAGATTGTTGCAAAACAAGTTGAACACGGAGGACTCGATACACTGCAACTGCACATGCAAACCGAGGATCCTTGTTTCTGAACTATCATGAGGGCTGGCTAGGTACTACCTAGGTACATACTCTGCCTACCTACCGGTACTACCTACAGTAGCCAAGATCAAGATTTGCGACACCCACCGCCCTTCCCCACCCCTTGACTCCCCTTATCCCCCGTCTCCCACCGCCACACGTACGCGTAACCGTTTCGTTGCAACCCCTGTCCTCAGTCCGTATACCTATACGCAGTCGAAACGCGAATGATGTGCTCACATCCACCAAGACGCTGCTAACCACCCCCCGACATACTCGTGCATGTGCAACTCCCCCGACGTGTTATGCACTCGTGAAGTCGCAGGACATTTCTAATTTGGGGATTGGTTTGGGTCATGTACCTAGTTAGATACGTACCGGTACTGTACTGCTCGTACTTTTGAAATACGCTTCTCACACAATGTCAGAGTGTCAGTCCAGCAACGCGTTTGACCGCAAATCATGGGTGCGCATCGGATTCGGGCCTTTTTTTTTTTAAAAAAAACCAAGGCTGCACTTTTGTGCTCCACATGATTAGATAGATGGAGCAGCTACTCTACCTGTGTCATTGCAACGAGGCAATGAGCGATGCTGGAACCTTTGCATTCGGGGGCTGTGCGCTGTGCTGCATGGACATGACGGGGTTGCGTGGTCATGCGAGTTTCCAATTCCCCTCTTACCCGTTTCCGCAAGATCTTTTGATCGAAGGGTGACGTTAGCATGTTTTGATCGGGGCGTGACGTCTAGGACGAATAACCTTCAGCCCGTGAAGATGGAGAGTCGCGGGGGTACGCATAGAAAGACGGTGGGACGACTTGGGTACGCTCGAAAGCGGTCTACTGACTGCATGTGGAGCATTAGGGACGCCTAAGCGAGGCTGTGTTGGTCGGCGATCATGACTGTTGCGCAAGTGGCATCGTTGATGGGAACCTATGGTGGTGATGCACAGGGATTGCTGGGCAAGGCGGTATTCCAGTGTACCGTTTTCCGGTTTGTAATGCCTGGGCGCTGCTCAGCTGTCAAGTTGTGGCCAGACGCTACAACCTCACCATCTTCTGGGATTGGTTGGCAGTGCTCTTGGCCCACCGTGGAGATGTAGCTGGCGGTGAGCATTGTGAAGTGACAGCCAGATAGTATGGCTAGAATTCATGTTTATTGTTGATACCTTTCGAGTTAGGGTGGGAGTCCGCGGCTGCTGCATGGCTGCTGTGATTGACCCTACCATCTGCATATGTAATGCATTGTGATTTGTCAACCTAATTGTGAATATCTCCAGAAGTGAAGGTAATCTTTGACGCCGTGGTGACACAGGTGACCACATGCATGGAGATACGAAAGCTTGGCGATGCTTAAAGAGTATACTTCATTGTCAATGCCAGTTCATCATTGCAGTCCACATTGCTTATCTGGTGGGCTGTGTATCCTCCCTGATGGTCTTGGTGTTTGAAAAAGTATAACATTGTGCCTACTAGGTGGAAGATTGTCAGTAGTCAGCGAGTACTAGTCCACTCCCAAGCTTTCAGGTTCTCTGCAACAATACACATGAGCAGATCTCTTGGGTATCATAGCCCAAAGTTCGAGCTGCTCATGGATACATTATGCTATCCATGGCATTCTTGGACTGTCTCACCGAGTGGCAAGAAGGACAGAAGTAAATCCAAATGCAGCTGATCTATAGTGCAAAAGTGCTGACTGAAATGCACAAATCTGGGAGCTAGGGGAATAAGGACACGGTGGACGGTCGAGGGGGTTATTTTCAAGAGGTTGAATAGAGCACAGTACGGTGCACAGGTTATTAACAGTAAGCTTTCCTATAATGTTTGCCGGGCTTACTGTGTCAGGGTCTATCTATATCGTCACAATGGACGCTTGCTGTCGATCTTCACCCGGGCGTCAGCCTTGCTTTCCAGACTTGTCGACTCTGAACGCCCAAGTAGGAGATGTAGTAGTAGTGTGGGGTAAGAAAAGGAGCCGGGTGTGGTTGAGCAGATAGCCCTATGGGTCGCGCTGCAGGGTACTTTTTGGGAGGATGGATAAACTTTCTCATGATCATCTCACCGCAAATACCAGCCGAAGGCGGTCGCGGCAAAGAAAATAGCATCTTCGGTCTCATCGCAAGTCCGGAAGCGAGAGGCAACGCATATCGCAGAAAGTGGTGGCCATCGAGCGTGTACTGGGACAGCAAGTTTCGAACCCATGACCATTAGGTACACTCCATCCAACTCTGGACTGCCATCGTGCTTCCGGGTGTAAATCGATTTCGTCCGAATGTACTTCACGCTAGCGCTAGCAAGTTGACCAGAACCTGGGTTGTCAAGGTGTATAGGAGCGCATTCGTGCATATCCTGGTATAGACAGCGGTACTTTAGTAATAACTCTTTGCAAAGATGCAGCTTTCAATATGCTGCGGCAGTTCATGATGAATCATTTACTTGAGTCTGGTCACTGCTTAATCCTGCTGGCGCTGGGTCTGGACCAGTTTACTCTTGGAGATGTGGAGAGGAAGATGGGTGCATTCGGTCGGACCATTGGCTCCGCTGCATGGGCGGTTTTAAGCAGGGATCGCCAACTTGATTTGCTGCTTACTGTCTACTTGCTCTGCAACAAAGCGGGACGATCCATGATTATCGGGGTTGTTTTTGAGGTTGATTGCGCTGTAAGTTGCAGAGCAAGGCTTGTGAGTACCCTGTACCCTCAAGGGTCCCACACAAAAGACATGAGCATCTCATTCAGAGTCATCCGAAAGGGAAGAAACGGTGCGCTCGTAACAACGGTCCCTCTTTTGAATCAACATGGAACCAGCCTTAGAAGTCGATCACCTTGACTCGGCCGAAGGGCTTGTCCGTCGGTCAGTTGCATGAGAGGCCAATGACGAAAGTTGCAAACGATATAATGTGCCCTATAGCCGTAGCAAAATACTAGAGGAAAAGAATAGGCGGAGGAGGTGTACAACAAGACAACAAACAACTTTTCAACCCTCAACAACTCGCGTCAGGTGCGCCCCAAACGTGGCACTTCATGACTTGAGATGCACCGCTGTGACGTGACAAGGTACAGGGTTTGACAACGAAGCTTTTCAGCCTTACCGACTTTGTGGGACGCTTTGTGGGCCTCAGGCCTCAGGCTACCCGATTCGCCTCATCTTAAGTGTTTAATTGCACGAGGCTGAGCGGTAGCTCGTGTCAGTTCGGCCGATGCCTTTTACTAGCCAACGGAAAGGTCAACTCTGGGTAGGTGCCACTTCCGATGACTGCATGTCTATAATAGTATCGTGGGGTGAAGAAGAAACAGGTCTAGTAAGGCACACACAATCAGATTAAAATTGTGAAGTGTGCCAACAGTGTCATCAGGCATCCGGACAAGAGGCATTGCGTGGTGCCTGCATGATGCGACCGATGGTGAGCCAAGTCGAGGACAAGCTTTGTGTTGCAGCGTCAGAACGACGTGTACTCTGTGGTGTGGTGTGGTTTTTGTCCATGCGACGGCTTCGGAAGTGTACAGGTAGGCTGGAGGGCGTTAGGCTTGGACGAGGTCGTTAGTAGATACCGGTAAGGTAGTTGGGCGGATCGGAAAACGAACGGTCCGGGTCACCGAATTGACGAACGAGAGTGATCGGCCGAACAATTTCAGCTAATTTCCCATACCATGTACATTGTACATAGAGTAGGTTGAGCGGAAGGGATTACGAGTACTTTCCGCCCCGGAGCGGAAAGTCTTGACGCTGGGCAACCAGTTGTGCAGTTCCAGCTCGTACAGCGTAGGGTACCGGTAGCGTAGGTAGAGATGTACTGTCCCTAATGTGCCCTATGCACAGGTACCCGCGCAGTTCGTTGACATGATCTGGTACCAATCACTGAATTTATCCACTTCAGCAAAAGTTTAACCGCAAGGCGAACTGACTCTATGTCAAGCTTGAAGCTCACATAGTCTGTCGCGTTGACCTTGACAGTTGGACATTTTGTTGTCACTGTTGACGATTGACCTTGGGCGGGCCTTTTGCGGGTGGACCAGCCAATTTGATCGACCACATTCATCGACCATCTAAAATTGGGGCATAGTGTCATGTATCCCTCTGTAGCCAAGAGAAAAGGAGGTTGGTCGACAGTGACAAGTCCGCTTCAGTCGCAATTCCAGCACCTCATGTTTATTGGAGATTTCCTTGCGCAGGTTCTCGGCGACTCGGCATACTTGTGTCCCGCCCAATGTCTCGAGCTTGTAAGGTATCTACCTTGAGTCGACCTCATGACACTTGTAGCTAGGTATCGACAAGGCCCCCGCCTATTGCAGAACAAAATACACCTAGGCATTGGTCTCTTGGCAACCAAGTTTGACAGTGCCAGGTTTCGCTCTGTATCGAAAGCCATATTAACGGGCTTTTTGGCGTGAGGATATCCCGATCTCCTGAAACGATCCGACACAATTCACTGGGATGTGGACTGTGGCATACGCATTCGAAACCATGGGGATCAGACCAAGTTTGTTGTCAAATTCTAATGATGCGTCACTAACGACGAACATGCCTCTTGGGTAGACGAGTAAGGCCGGGCACTAGGCTATGCGGACTCCGAAGTCGTTGTAGTTGCTATCAAACGGATGAATATGCGCGAGACGGGCGGACATGAGATGAGTAAGAATGGCGTTCTATCTTGACGTTCATTGACTCGCTGGGAAAGTTGCTGCGGTATTGGCCAGTGGACGCATGTATCTCCGTTGTCAGCGTGGGGGATGAGAAGAAAGACGGCCGATGCCAGGGTTGCTGATCATGTACATGGCTAGATTCTGCCGAGAGCGCGCATGCGGCCGTACGACGGTTCTTAGCCAGAATATGGTTATGGGAGTCTGGAAAGTGTGATCAAATGCAAGAGTCACAGTCGAGCAGCCTTTGTAGGTGATGGTCGCCCTAATCATGTACATGTGCATATTGAAAGACAATATGATGGCTTGATCATCATGAACTACAAATGTATATGCATTATTGTTACCGTACCATGTATGCTGGAGACGATGCGGAGAATACCGTAAGCGGACAACTATCGGTCCGTATGCAACGCGTGCGAGCAGCAGAGCCTAAATGTAATACTACTTTGGGATTAGTGTAGAGGAGCATGTTTGAAGACCCTGAAGAGTTTGAGAACTACCTGTTTTGTCCAAAGTATGATCATCTCCGAGCCAGATCGCTTCAAGGGGCCCCGCATTTGTCTGGGTGAGGAAGTTTTTGTGTCTGGGCACGACTGGAAGAGGTTGTAGCAGAAGAAAATGCAATGAATGCAGACAAGGGTAGGCTCCCCGCTAGCAGATCATCTGTCGCGGACTCTACTCCGACCTTTGGGCGATGCCGGTAGCGGTCTGTATTCTTGTGGTTGCCGAAAGGGGAGAGGTACTATTAGCAGGATAGCTCTGCTCTGCGAGTGTCGCAGAAATTGTGGCGCTGCGTCTGCGTGCGAGAAGTTGCAAATTGGCATCCTGGTCCGGATTGGACGAATGGCAGCTTTGGAGTTCGGTGAAATACAAAAGCTGATATGGTCAGGTATAGCAGGTCTGCGAGCTGATTGTGCGAATAGCCGGTAGATTGCTGACATGTCTGCTGTGCGACTGCACGCTGACATATGCATACGGAATTTGTTGCTTTTTCCAGGAGTATGGGTTTGGATCAATTTGGCTGGAGATGGTAGTGGTAGCAGGCATAGATCAGATCGAGCACATGATGATGACTTGTATCGAGCACATGGCAAGCTGTGTCATGTAGATGCAGGGGCTGCAATCGACAGTAGGGAGAGTTTGTGTTGTGTGCGTACCGGTACCTTACTGTCTACCGTTGGGCGTTCACAGCCACACTGCTTGACGAGGCCACCACCATGGGACTTGATGCCGTTACCTGGAGAGACTCGCTGGCGTGAGCTGGTGTATGCCTTGGCCTGGCCCTACATAGTAGGCACAACTTCTGTTTATGTTTTGTTGTGTGCACCCCGCACCGTATCTGACCAGGCGATCGTCTGTAGGTACCCGTAAGCAAAGGCTGTCGGCTAGACTCGACGCGCAAATGCTGAGTATGAACGAGCAATGGGTGAGGTGAGGCAGTGCCATACTGGTAGGCCGTGGCCACACCCTGGGATAACCTGAAGTTTCCAGTCCATCGACGACCGCCTCCCCAACGGTGCTTGCAAGGCCGTTGCAGTCCAGATTCTGTGGCTGAAGTCCCGATGGCTAGCTGTACCGGTACCGCCATGTTCGCTGTGTTGGTTGTCAGCAGCACTGCAGATGCTGGTTCGGTCAGTGTTTGACGTGTGGTGTGCGCAGTCCAGCCGCTTATTGGCTGTTGAGTGCTTCTTGGTGACCTGATGCTGGACAGGCCCGTGTTCCGTGATACGGTACCGGTACGGTACCAGTACGACTTCCGATCTCCAACATCACGGTTGCTTGCTTCTTTCCCCATTGAGCGTCCTGAGCGCATCGGACACAATTTGCGACACAGTGAGCCGTCGTGCAGCTGTAGCTGTGTACAGACGTGCATGATGGTGATGAGAAGCAGCGCAGATGGCTCGGGCTGCGAGGGTGGCTGATGACCGCTCGGCCGAGTTTGTGCGAAGAGGGACAGGTCAGGTAAGTAGGTACCACGAGCGGTTCGAGCAGGTTCGCAAGCCATTCTTTGCAGGTACCGGTAGGATGCATTCCATCACGAGTCGTCTTTGGGTAGGTTGATGGGGCCGTCTGGGCAGGGTTTGGTGCTGCTCTGTTGTAGGTCCTCTCCAGCCATGTTGATGAGAAATATCAAAAATCTAGACGCAAGCTTGGCGACAACAGGAACCGGCACGTCCATGGCGCACGGTAACCCAGGCCAGCTTCTCGACGGCTTTGTTGTTGGGCTGTGGTTGCTGGGCTGTTCCTGTTCGCGGGGCACACAGCTGGCTTTGTCCGCATGTTTTTGGACGTGGATGTCGTTGTGGCCGCTAGCCGACCGCTACGGTCTCGAGAGAAATTCGAGGCTTCGTCGCTGCCGGTGAAAGACCGAGAGAAAACGTCACCTGTCCTCGCTGCCCTCGCTCCCTCCCTCTCTCTCTCCCTCTCTCTGACTGAGCCAGCGGCGAAGAGGCAGAGTCCATGTCCCCGGTCCGCCTGTTGTCCGACTCCGTGCGCTCACGCTCGCTTTGTCACTCGACGCCCGCCGAACTGAGCCCAGTTGTCTTCGTAAGGTCGGCGCAGGACGCCAATGCCGTCTCCCCTGCAAGGCACTAAGGTAATCCAACGTCTGATGGCTTTGTCCGTAGCCTGACAAGGGGCTTTGGCTACCCAGGATCCGCCAGACTCATAATTACACTTTCAATACCGAGCTTCAGCATGGACATGCGCGACGTTAAACGCCGAGCATCCGCCTGCAGCTATGCTCTGACGCCAAAGTTATAATGTCTTCTGGCTGCCCACGCTATCCACGCTGTATTTAGAGTCCAGGTCCCACTACTTCTCTCTTCTCCAAGAACATTCACTCGGCTTCCTTACATAGCTTTCCACCATTGAGCACATACCACGATCCGCCAAACCCAGCCCACCCAAACTCTTGACTCGCTCTCACTCCCCCATTCACAAGTCCTGGGGTTGGATAGCCTGAACCCCTCTCACACCACCCTACCATGTCTCCCCACAGAACAGATTCAATGGATACCCAAGACAATATCAGGAAGCGTGTCTGCAAGGCTTGCGACCGCTGTAGGTTGAAGAAGTCAAAGGTAGGCAATCCAGAACTTGAACAGGCGCCTGGAACGGGAAGCTGACTAGGTGGTTACTATAGTGCGATGGAGCCAGTCCTTGCAGCAGGTGTAAAGCCGACAACGCCATTTGTGTTTTCGGGGAGAGGAAGAAGTCGCAAGACAAAGTTTACCCCAAAGGGTACATTAGTCTCCTTTCCCTCGATTCAGACTTTGGTACTAACAACTGCTCTAGATATGTCGAGATGCTTGAGCAACAACAAACGCAACTCGTAGCTGGCCTGCGTGAGCTCTACAGTCGCCTACAAAAGGGCGAGAGCTGGCCAGGGCAGCCACTGCGCGAAACGTCGGGAGGACACCCACTGACGCATGACATTCTTGAGCGCCTCGACCTCCTACACCCATCGACCGAAAGCAGCAGCAGCAGCAATTACGACAGATTCGAAGACGATTGCAATCGAATGCAACAAAAGCTCCTTGAACGCGGTGCACCCTTTACACAACGGCGGGGATCCGTCAGCTCGGATTCAGAGCACGGTCACACTTCTTCGCCGTCATCGCATACCGAGACCCCTACCACAAGATCGTCCTTTGCGTATGCCAGCCCCTTTGTGCGCAACAACGCACCACCAACACCGCCCATGAACAGCCCATTCCCAAGGCAGTCCCAAATGGTGTCTCCTGTGAAGCAAGAACCGAGGATGATGTCCCCGACTTTCATGGACGCGAGTGCTTTGGACCCTTCCTCACTCTCGAGAACGCCGTGGATGAATGATTCGATGATGATGGACGAGCCAGTCGACTTCAGTAAGCCAATGTATGGATTCGACAATTTCGGGAATTTCGACCATACCATGATGGTCGATCCACTCGTCATGAACGACCCCATGATGCCCGACTGGAATAACGCGAATGAATTGGACTTCAACAACTTCCTCCAAAATCCAGTTGGCACCTAGTTGGCTTGTCCTTTGTTTCGATCCTGTTCCTGTCTTTTCATCCAGCGATTTAGCGTGCTCTCATTCTTGAGCAGGTCCATTAACGGCGTTCGGTTTGGGTCATGGTCACTGGTGTATTGGAACACCACCAACACCGCATCATCTGTGTTGCATTTTCTCGATATCACAACGGTTAACGACGGCTTGGGATGGCGGTGCAGGACACGCTACTGGTAGAGAGTAGCCCCGAGCCGCACATGTACATTACAACAGCTTCGAGGGAAAATCCCCCTCCACTGTGAAACGACATACCTGAATATTAATAATCATGGCTTTGTAGAATATGCAGCTGATTTTGAGTGTGCTGACAAACCACATGAATGTGACGCCTGGTGCATGCAGGTCGTCGCTAACCATTCCCAGGAGTCAAGGGGGGGGGCCGACTTTAGAGGGGAGTGCATCTGACCGGGACCACGTCTAAATCAACTTCATGTTTAGCACTTGACTGAGATTTCGAACCTTTAAGATCACTTGTTAGCCCTGCACCCACCGTATATATCCTCTGGGGCTGTTCTTCGTCACGGAGGGGCGGAAGAAGTGACGAGCTCCACACGATGATTAGCCTAATGAACAGCGGACAAGGCCCGTGTGCTTCAAAAGCACCGTCGTCGTTCACTGCACAGGTGTGGTGCTCGTACTCGCAACCCTCACTCGAGAAGATTGCGTATTCAGATCACACCGCTCATCAGATTACTTCCTTGCGCAGCTCAGTGCAAAAACGCAGAGTATCAGGCTAGGTGAGTTTCTGACGGTGATTATAAGAACCCCGCACTGTTGGCCTCAACCGGCGATCTACCCCTCACCATGGTACGCGTCGGTAGCAGACCGTCACCAGACTTTGCATATACCATGGATTGTTGATTTCTATTGGCATTCACCGCATTTCTTTTTTTGGCCCTTTTGACTAATTGCCTCGTTGCAGGACAATCAGACCACCTCGTGCCCATATACTAGCCGAGCCCAATAGCTGTGCAGCCGAATCATGTCATCCAAGGCATGCACATTTCTCCCTCTAGGGGCCGTTATCCAGAAATTCGTAGTGAACGGCACAAACATCGTCCAGGGTTTTCCGACGGCAGAGTTGTACAAGCAGTACAACGCCCCCTACTTTGGCGAGACCATTGGCCGCATTGCGAACCGTGTTTCGAAAGGAAAGATCAACGAACTCAACGGGAGATCGTACCAGTTGCCTATCAACAATGGACCAAATTCCCTCCATGGGGGAAACAAAGGCTGGGGCAAACGCGAATTCGAGGGCCCCTTCAGCGTAGAGCGCAGTGGTAAACAAGCAACCTTCTTCAAGTACCTCAGTGCGGACGGCGAGGAGGGTTATCCTGGTACGGTAGAGGCTCGTGTCTGGTACGTGCAAGAACAGGAAGTAATCCAAGGTGCTCAACAGGAGGTTCTGCACATTGAGTTTGAGGTTGAACTGGTCGGGGACGAGGTGGGCGAGACCGCCATCAATATGACAAACCACAGGTATGTGCATTCCTATTGGCCGAATGGAATCATGTATTTATAACCTTCAGCTACTTCAACCTGACTGGAGGTCCTTCCATCACAGGCACGGACGTCACTCTCATTACCAACAAGTATCAAGTGGTCGATGACGGTGGCATTCCCACGGGTCCCATCGAAGAGTACCCCGGTGTTATGCCTAACAAGACTTTCACTCTCGGCGAAGCAAAGCCTGATATCGACGACTGTTTTGTGGTCAATACCGACCCGAAGACCATCTCTATTGATACTCGCACGTCGCCACTTCAAAAGATTGCTTCCTTCTATCATCCCGACAGCAAGATCCATCTCGAGATCCATAGCACGGAGCCCGCTTTTCAATTCTACACTGGAAAGTACATTGATGTACCAGCAGTGGACAGTCTACCCCCCAGGGGCCCTCGCTCAGGTTTCTGCGTGGAACCTAGCCGTTGTGTCAACGCGATCAACATTCCTGAGTTTAAGCACACGATGCTACTGAAAAAAGGAGAGAAGTATGGGTCGAAGATTGTGTATAGGGCATGGCATGCATAGGCTCGTTTCATGGGCCGTTCCTGCCAGACGATCCGTAGACAGTTGCAATGACAAACTATTGCAGATGCATATTCACCGCATGATCAACAGAGTGAGGCCACAATCACTGGCCAGTCTGGCCTGGTATGATGATGTAATCGAAGTACACAGATTTCCTCACAAATATCAGAAGCTCAATGTTTACTCAAATCAGAAGTTGATTTGTCAGGAACTACTCATTTCAATCCATCTACTACACACATCTGTTCGACCTCGACCGGACGACTTGTGCCCCCCACGTCCAGTTGGAGTCTAGATTTTTTTGAATTTTTTTTCCGCTCCCGTAACACCTCAAAGGTTTAGTGCATCTTTGCAAGGATATTCCTTGGTTTTGGGACGTGAGTTTTTTAATCCTTTTGGTCCGGTAACTAAAGCATTCGCTTACCGTGTCCAGGGATCCACCTGCCGGGTAGCCGAATATCCGCTACCCGTCCAACGACGGCCACCTTGAGCACAGAAGTGTCAAGCTTTCGTGACAACGCCACAAGCATGCAGTCACTCCTTGATACGTCCCAGGGCTTGGTCCAGCACATTCAGTCTGGAAAGCCGGACTGACGTGTGTGTTGATGCTGTTCAGTAATCCAAATCATATGGTTGTTCGAGAGCGTCATTCGCCTGACTCCTCGATCAAGTTCTTTTCCTTGGGTACTCCCATCAAGCTGACTGTTGCTAGTGAACAAAGAAAGAAACCAGAAAGTACTCTATGCCGAGGGAACACACTCCTCGATGGCGTGGAAGGCCTTGCCAATAGCTTCAAGCTTTGGATGATTGTCGAACAGCTGCTTCCGTCGGCTGGTAGGTAACAGACGTCGATGTGTGCTGACGTCAGTGCCGTATCACACACGCAACCACCCAAACCGACCGGGCCTACCGGTTCCTCCCCACATCATCGATCCAACCGCCGTACGAGTAGAGTACTGTACCTGCATACAGTACACTCTCACCACATCCTCGGTTCTTTCCATGCTAGGTCCAGCTCAAGACGTTCTCACTCTGTCTACGGCCAAGGCAGAATACCGTCTGTCTCTCTGCCGATGTCAAGAGACGGGGATGTGTTTTCGTGACGAGCCATACAAGAGTCATCACACACTATTGGGAGAAAAGCCCAAACCAGCCGTCTCTCTCCTCTTATGGCTAGAATCGCCTAAGCCAACGCTATCTTCAATCGGTGGTCACCGCCCTTGTATACGATCACGATCTCTCCCACTAATCCAAATCAACCTACGCCACATCGGTCTCGCGCATACATGCCGTTGTTGAGCAGAATTGCCTCATCACCAAAACTGAGATTTCCCTGGTAAATGTTGTGAGGTGATTGACTCTTGATAGAGTACCCACAGGACTGCCAACGTTTGCAATGCACGATCCGTACGCGCGGATGCGTTTCGTCACCATGCATTTATGACAATTGCACATCACACATGGCAATCGGAAACGCGGTCACGGCTGCCAACCACCCCGCCGTAGATCACTTTCGGATCCAGCGCGATGGTAAGTTCACGACGAAATCATGACCTTGTACATGCAGTGGTCGTCTCCGAACTATGGTTATATTTCAGCTTGGACTGCGCTGTCACACAACCAGTGTTGGCCTAACCGGAACAGCTGTTGCCTGATCCCATCCCATACACAATACAGAAGCATGCCGATGAAAACTATCGTCACAACCAATCATGCTGTGTACATTATGTTCGGGGGTGACAATCACGATTTTCTAGCGCCGCCCGCATCCGCAAACGGAACTGAGGCATATCATCTATTGCGCATGCACCTTGGCGCCACAACAGCACTGAAACGGCTTACTATCTATATGAAAATAACACAATGCAAGCCATACGGTTGGCTGGGTGCTACAGTACCAAAATTAATAAGGGCGCTGCAGGTTGCCGCAGACTGCCGACCATGACCCAAGGAACCAATGTTGTGATGCAAGTGCATTCTACACAAAGTATAAATTCAAACTTGCCTGATGTAGACGGGAAGTGTCAAGCTTTGTGTCGAGTTAACATGTGTGGAGAGTCCATAAATTCATGTGGCGCATTTGCGTAACCTGTTCGGTCCAGGGGTAGGCTCTACCAGCTCGAATAGTGCACCATCTTAGCACCATCGGACACTGATCGGATGCCAAACACTGAATACGTACACCTTGAAAAGAAGCAAAGATGCGCTTCTGTTTGGCAATCGCAATCATGCACACGTAGCCGCGCTGCCGCTCCAGGTGTTTACCGAGCTTCACCCACGCCTCAACCGCACGCCTTGCATCGATACGGCAGTGCAATAGCTCCTCACAATTTCTCCATCGTCATTATACACTTCGCACGAGCTTCATTACGTTCAACTCGTCACACCTGACCACTAGGGTAATTATGTGCTTTGGTTCTTACGCCTCCCCATACTTAAGCAACAAGTTGGCCAAGACCAAACCACTTGGTGAGAGAGCCCATGCTCCATTTGTCGATCTACCAAAAAGTTTCGGGTGCTTGCAAGTACGGGTTGGCAAGGCTTCCGAGACGCTTAGCGACAGATTCAGGGATCCATGTCAGTGGAAAGAGTTCCCGTACCTTGTCACGGAAGACGGTACTTTGCAGATCGAGACAGATGAGGATAATTCAAATTGATGTACAATATATCATGATACTGGTACATGCACTGTATCGGTATCGAAAAGGATGACCCGACCCGAGACCTACTATAGTAGAGTGAACAAAAACCCATCGGTGATTGCCAATGCAGGTTTTGCCATTTGAGATGCAACATCATGCTATATAGCCAGGATACATTTTTTTGTCTGAGAAGGAGAGGGAAAAATGGGCCGGATGTGGAACTTGGGTGTTGCCGTGCTACCTGCATTCCTTGGCTTTCAACTCCCTTGACCCCCGAGTCCCACGACAGACTCGGGTAAGGGATGAGGGAGTTTGCCTTTTTCCTTTTGGAGTTTCCACTGCTGTATGGATGCAGTGAAGGGAGATGCATATGCTACGATTAAGCTGGTAATTGTATGACTGCACTTTTTTTTGTTACCGACTGTTTCTAGTCCTTGTCGTGTCCAGTTCAACATTACCGACCACGCGATGAGTTCCATGCCCATATCACGTCGTACTAGCGTTTCCCAGAACACTATAGCCTCTTCCAGCCTCTCGACACGAAATATCAGCGGTACCTACAGAGCCAATACTCACAGCGTGAAGTCGCACAATATGCCTCTTTCATCCGCATAGCCAAATGCTTCACGTATAAAGTCAATAAGTGTATACAAGCTAGGCTTCGGGTTTCTGCGAGAGATTCGCATATGAGTGGGAATGCAGGTATGAGCATTATGGTCTCTAATACCTTCGCCAAATACGAATGAGTACATGTCCTTGGTACACACGATAGTATTCGCGATACCACGACACCGCATGATCTTTTGCAGACTCAGGACTCGGAGACCCAGCTACGACGCTGCGTCTGGTCGTAAGCGAAACCCTCAGCTTGCTCACATCTTCACCATCTCGTCGGGCCTGCAAGCTCATGAAACAATCACTCGCAGTTGGAGTCTGAGATTGCCCGCAAGGTGTCGTGGCATTCGATAATCTGGGGAGTACCATGAACCACAATCTCTGTGATTGAACATCAAAGCTTACCCATTTCGCGATTGTACTACAAAGTATTTGATGTTACTCAAGCTGTACACAGGGGCTGAAAAGGTGACCATTGAGTTCACGAGATTTCGACCAGTCTTGAATTTCCCTTGCTCATCCTTTCCACACATCCATCCAGTCATGATCAAAATCTCTACTCCCTTCTCCCTACCCAGAGTCACCTACCTAGTCACACCTCGAACTCCCATTCCTACCTTGCTTATCCCAACTCACCCGCCACTCTTCCCCCTCTCCCCCTCTCCCTCTTTCACACGCCAAACTCCCTGTCCCAGCCATCACGTGCCACTTGTCCTCTTTGGGTAGACATGTACATTCTCGGCGGAGATTTCCCTAACCTGACCGACCAACGTTCATGCATAGCCAAGCTAGTCCCCATTCGGCCCTTCCCCCACAACATCATCGGCCAATCTCTAACAGAAACAAGCACCGCGGCCGGTGCTTAAGCTTTCCACTCCCGACGAACATCTCCACCCCCCTTTGCATCTGGCCGTCTTTTTGGATTCGTTTTTGCTGTATGCCGTCGGTATGGGGGGTGGCGTTTGTGCGGTTCTGCGGTTCTGCGGGTTCACTGGGGTATGTGATGTGTGTGTAGGTGTTGTTTCGGTCCTCTAGGTAAGCACCTACCGGTATACCTACGCACTTTTCATCCCAAATACGCAACCAACACCGATGATCAAATCCCGCCGGGACAAGAAAAAAAAATATTCACCTCTAAGCCTACTTTGCGTCTTTTCCAGATGGGGCGATTGCCATAGTAGATCCACGGCAGTTGGGTCCCGGTGTTTGAACACCAGAGTAAATTTTTTTTTATATAAAAGACGGTACATCTCCTCTCCCCGGGGTTCGGAAGGGGGAAAAAAGAGGCCAGTGGGTGTGCTTCCAGAGTATTTCCTTTTCGACTGGTGGTTTGTGAGGGTTGTTTCTCTCGTGTACCGGTATATGTTGCGGGATTGGAATTGTGTGGCTATATACAAGACAAGATTGGAAAAAATGGCACGATATACGTACATGACGACGCCCCTATCCCTCTCTTTCACTCTAGCCATCTTATCCTCCTCCTTCACGCTCGCATCCGCATCACCACAACCACAAACCCCCCTATGGACCTCCGTCGACCCCCTAATCGGCACCCTCGGTCCCCGCCCGGGCTCCGCCATCGCAGGCGGAAACTCCTTCCCCGGCGCCAGTCTACCCTGGGGCATGGCCAAACCTGGCATCGACACGAGTTATCTGGGACTGCGCGAGGGCACGGCCGTGGATGCGAATGCGGGGTATACGCCCTTGGGCAATGTGACGGCGGTTAGTATGACGCATGTTAGTGGGAGTGGGGGGGCGCCGACTTGTAAGTTTGGGGTGTTTTTTCTTTTTGGTTGGGATGGGAGGGGGAGAGGTAGGAGTGGTGGATGTGGATGGAAAGGTTCATGGTGTTGGCAGGGCTAACGAGTAGGTAATGCACAGATGGATTGATATCGCAAATGCCTCTGCTGGGTAATCTCGCGCATGTCAATCTCGCAGACAACACCACCTACGCCACGAACCGCAGTTTGAGCCAGGAAACCGCAACCGTCGGTCTCTTCACAACCGTGCTGCTCAACGGTGTCAAGATTGAAATCACAGCGGGTAACCACACGGGATTCATGCGGTATACCTTCCCCGCTGCCTCTTCAGCCACAAACACCGCGCATGACAATTCCACCTCATTCTCAACCAACGGTCCCATAACCAACGGCCAAGAACCCAGCTTGGCCAACAACGACATCCACATCCTCGTCGACCTAACCCACGTCCTCCCAGCCTACGCCGCACAATCCTACTCGCAAAAATTTCTCCGTGGAGACTTGCACATCCGCTCCCCCTCCACTTCCTCCCAACCCTCCTATTACGGCTCCGCATCTTACACTGGCGGCTGGTCCCAACCCGACACCCACACCCTCTTCTTCTGCGCCAACTTCAGCGTCCCGCACACGTCCGCCCCGCTGTCCCGGACATCTGCCTACGTGCAGCAGAATACGCGAGATGCCGTCGACGGCGCGGGCACCTTTAGCTGGGCGTATAACCCGGTTGTGCCACCGGCGTTTGGCGCGCGTCCTGCGCCCCGTAGTTTCCGCGATATGAGGAGTTTTGCGGGGAGTGGGATGGGGATTGGCGCTTTGTTTAGCTGGAGGCGGGATGGGGATGGGCCTGGTTTGGGATTGCGTGGGAGTGCCAGTGCTAATGCCAATGCAACTTTTGCGGGTAGTGCACAAGTAGAAGCCAAGGTAGGGATATCCTACATCAGTGCCGAACGAGCGTGTAGACACATCGAGGCCGAGTTGCCGCTCTCCAAGTCGTTTGAGCAAGTCGTGCAAGGTGTGCGGCAGGAGTGGGAGGACAAGATATTGAGCAAAGTGCGGATTGAGCAGGATGGACATGCGACGAGTGGGAATGCGACGTTGAAGCGCATGTTGTATTCCGCGCTGTATCAGACGGGCTTGATGCCGACGGATAAGACGGGGGAGAATCCGCGATGGGAGTCTGGCGAGGGGAAACCATATTACGATGATCATTATGTAAGTTCCCTCCACCTTCCTCCTCGTCTTCTCACACTCCCCATCTGCAACCAGCTACGTTCTCTTCAAAACCAAAAGCTAATCACGATGGATTCGCGACGGCACAGACATTGTGGGATACATACCGCACCCTTCTCCCTCTATACCATTTGCTCTTCACAAACCCCTATTCCCGCATCCTCTCCGGCCTCATCTCCATCTTCACACACGAAGGCTATCTCCCGGCCGGACGTGCGGCGAACTGGAACGGCAGGGTGCAAGGCGGTACGCACGCCGACATTGTGCTTGCAGACGGGTACGTCAAGAGCGTGCGTTCGCTGTCTGGACAGCAGGGGCGCGGGGAACTTGATGCAGACATCGATTGGCAAGAAGCATACCGTGGTGTGATGAAGGATGCCACGCAAATGCCCGAACACAATGTCGATCCTGTGACGTTTGATGGCGCAACAAAGGAAGGACGAGGGGCGCTGGATGACTATCTCAAACTGCACTACATTACTCGTAATCATACAAGAAGTGTGTCGCGCGGAGTGGAGTATCCTCAAAATGACTTTGCCATCTTCAGCATGGCTACGGCTCTCGGCATGCCCAACAGCAGTATCTCGCAGTTAAAGGACCGAGCTTCCTGGTGGCGGAATCAGTGGAATCCTGACGCAAACACGACCCTCGACGGCTACGGCACTTTTACAGGTTTCCCTGCGCCCAGAAACGCAGACGGGAGCTGGAATCTCACGGCCTACGATGCACGAAGTTGTGGGACCTGCGGCTGGGACGCCGACGTGTACGAGGCCAAGATCTGGGAAACGGCGTTTGGCGCGGCGCCGCACGACATGGCCAAGCTGATCGAGCTCATGGGCGGCGATGAAGCGTTTGTCCGGCGATTGGATGCTAGTTTCGTTCCGGGATTTGGCACGAGCGTGGGCGCCAATAACGATGCTGGATCTGCGCTGTTCAACCCGGGCAACGAGCCTTCGTTCCCCACGCCTTTCTTGTACAATTATGTACCAGGCATGCATTGGAAGACGGTCAACCAGACGCGTAGTACAGTGGATGCCTTCTACAGCGATGCTCGCAACGGATACCCGGGTAATATCGATGGTGGAGCGTTGCCCAGTTGGCTGATTTTCAATCTCATGGGGATCTTTCCTGTGCCGGGACAACCGCTGTATCTGCTTTCTGCGCCCAGGTTTTCGCACCTGAAGATTACGCTTTTTGGTGGGACGCAGGCGGAGACAGAACTAGCGATCATGGCGAAGAATCTTTCCGATTCGTCCTTTTATCCGCAAAGGGTCCTTTTGAACGGACAGGAACTGGATCGGGCCTGGTTGAGCCATGAAGAGGTTGCTGAAGGAGGCGAGTTAGTGTTTGAGATGGGGAGTGAGCCCAAAATGTGGGATACCGGTAGTAGACCGTGGTCTTTGTCGACATGGGTATGACTTATGGGATATGGGGCGGCCAGTATGTAGATGAAATAGTTACCTTTGTATTTATCGTACATGTTCGTCACATATGGGGAATAGTGGATATGTCCCAGTCTAGCTTGCGTAGAGAGGGTATCAGGCCTCTGCCAGGAAATGTGCTGCGCTCTTGATTCCAATGTCCAGACCTCATGGGAAACCTATATGGGCAAACGAGTGTAGAATAGTGACGATGATAGCGGAAGCGTTGGTTTGTGTGCAGATGCTTGACAGGCACTGTGATGGCCGTCTTGCCGAGGCAAACGCAGGTGTGCAAGCAGCGATTGCCTGTCGAGTCGGGGTTGCGTCTGTGAAGAGCAGCGGATTGTGTTTGTGAATTCGACGTCCATCACTTGGGTGGTCGTTTTTGCCACGTCAAATCTTGAAATTGCGTCTTGAGTTCTTCTCTGAAATGATCGAATGTCGAGGGCCCAGTTCCTGTGGTGTATTGTGAGCCTGAAAAGTTGCATGTGAAAGAGCATTTCAAGGATGGCAAAAAACCTACTGCCCATGCCGTTCCTAGGTTCGTGGTCTGGGATCCTGTTGATCTTGCGGTAGACCTTCTGGACCGCGCGGTTGAACGTGGGCGAGCGAATGAGCTATCGGGCATGTCAGCGGGAAGGCAGGCAAACGAGACAGTCGAGGGGTGTTTGGCATCCATACTCGTGCTACAGCCCAGGCCTGTGACTGCTTGTCAGTAGGAGTGTCGCAGTGACGAGGTTGGGTAGGTCACGGCTTTACCTCCAAGAGGGCAAACCACGGGCCCATGGTGTTTTTCTTTTTTCTTTCTTCTTTTTTCTACAGTAGAAGGGGGGAAACGCAGGATGTGATTGCTAGGACTGGGGAGATGAGGTCGAGGATCGTCGAGGTTTGATGATTGATGGGGAGATGGAGATGGAGATGGAGATGGAGATGGAGATGGAGATGGAGATGGAGATGGAGATGGAGATGGAGATGGAGATGGAGATGGAGATGGAGATGGAGATGGAGATGGAGATGGGAGGTGGGGGAACCTCGGAAAGGACATGTCGAGTAGAGCGTGGCGGAACAGGGCTACCGGTCGTTTAGAGTACGCTTTACCTTGAGTCTCCATGTACCATTCTACTTCTACCTACGATAATCTAGCCCTTGAGATGCGTCGCGAGGATAGAAGCGCAAATGGGAAACACTGGTGGCTTGTTGCGACAGCCATGGCGATTCAGTCATTTATTCGGTCATTTGTTCATTCCATCATCCAATCCGTCATTCAGTCAGTCCCAGATTCAGTTGATTGTTTAGTTATTTGTTCAATCAATCAATCCATCAATCATTCATTCATTCATTCATCCATCCATCCATCCATCCATCTATTTAATCACTCTCCCACTGCTCACTGCCCACTGCCCATTCTCATCTCCCACTGCTTACTCTTTCCACGCTTCACTTGCATCCCTCCACCAAACCCCACGCGACACCTGCTTATTTGACGGCCGCTCATCTCTGCTGCCAACCTGCCCCACTGTCGATCGCCGAGTCTGCCAGAGAATTGTACTACTGTGAGTAACCTGTTCCTGTATCCGTGTACTCGAGTCTTAGTACCTACACGGACTAGAGTACACAGACCCTGGTCTCTGGCGACTACAAAGTAACACCGCGCACAACATAGTCACATCAGCCTCATTTCGCAGGCGAGCACAACCCCATACACAGCTATCCAAACCCACCTTCTCGTCCCTTTTGATCTCTTCTCTTTGGGAATAGTCTCGGCTGGCCACGAGTCGTCCACGTGTCGGTGAAAGCATCGCAGTGGGCCAGAGCGCATCGTGTCCTATCTATTGGGCCTCCCGCACGCCACTTCCTGCATCTATTCGCTCCATTCGCTCCATTCGCCGCCCTCTCTCTCTCTCTCTCTCTCTCTCCATCTACTTTGACACACTCCCTTCGTTACCCCCACTGCCAGCTGCCAGCAGCGCACCACATCACTTCACACGTGTTTCCTCACACTGCCAGCGAAACGTCGACAGCAACACCAACACCGGCGCCAGCATCAACAACACCAACCCTAATCAGACCTACTTTCTTCAAATTGCATAAACTCCGCGCCCTCAGGCGCAAGGCCAAGCTCAAGGGCGCCTTTCTCAGGACAGACTCTGAAATGGCAGACCAGACGGGCACAGCCATATCTCCCACCTCGTCCAAGCGCTCGCGCAGCAGAGACAGCGCCGCCTCTGCCTCCAACTCGTCGCTCAATACCCCCGCCGCCAACACACCCCTCGCCACCCCCTCTGTGAGCACCAACAGCCTGCTCATTCCCTCGTCCACTCCAAGCACGCCCGCCAACGACGAGTACCCTCAAGATGGGACTCCGTACCCCCCATTCCTCATGTCCAGCAGAGCAGGTAGGTGGACTCGGCGCCGGCGCCTGTCAGACAACAACCTGGCTAACCGAGACATTGCAGATCTTACAGCCAAATGGGAGCGCTTGGCCTTGGCCCAACAGGATCGTCTCAGAATCGGCGCACAGGCAGGTGGCGCTGAACATGCAAACACATGGGCGCGATGCAGCGGCATCGCCTACTTGCCGCGCAACCGCTACAACAACGTCGACCCTTATCAAGCCAATAGAGTGCGCCTCGACGTGCCAGAGGGCCAGTTCGACTACATCAATGCCTCGCCAGTGCTCTTGGAGACGACCAAGTCGCAAACCCCGCTGAGATACATCGTCACCCAGGTATGCGACGCCCTCGCGTGCAGCCAAAGTCTTTGCATGAACAAACACTAACAAGTCCTCACAATAGGGCCCCAAAGCAAACAGCTGGTCACACATCTGGCGCATGATCTGGAAAGAAAACACTTCGCCCGCAGTAATAGTAATGCTGACCCAAACCCGCGAAATGGGCTTCGATAAATGCTTCCCATACTACCCGCAGTCGCTCTCCCAACCCGACCTGCTCACAAACGACAAGGACGAGTTCAAAGACGGCTTCAAACACAACCTGCACCTCACTTCCCTGTCGCTAGACGAGGAGGCGCGGACGGAAATCCGCGAAGTCGACATGACCACCCTAGACGGAAGCGAATCCAAAAAAATCTGGCATCTCCTCTTCACCGCTTGGCCCGACTTCTCCGTGCCCGAGGGCGCCAACCGCGCCGCCATGCTCAAGCTCATTGATCTCTCGCGCGCAAAAAACAGCGACAACGCAACGAATCCGCGCATCGTGCACTGCAGCGCCGGCATCGGCCGCAGCGGCACCTTCATCTCCCTCGAATGGCTCCTCCACGAACTCGAAGAAGGCTCGCTCGACGCCCCGTCCGACGAGTACGACCCCATCTATGACATTGTCGAACGACTCCGCGACCAGCGCGCCGGCATGGTCCAGTCAAAAGCCCAGTTCTTCTTCATCTACGACGTCTTGCGCGAGTGCTGGCGCCGTCGCTGGATCGCTCAACACCCGGATGAGGCGGCGCAGTTGGGCATCACTGCCTACGCCGTCGACTCCTCTTCCCCACTCGAGCCTGACTGCGAACCTGCGCTCAAGCGGCGCAAGTCGACGCACAATGGTGACGCTCTGCTTGAGGATGCCGACGATGTTGTTGCGTCGATTGATCCAGAGACTCGCGCGCAGCTCGAGGCTGAACTCATGGATGCGGATGCGAGGATTGGGATATGATGTGATGTGAATGGATAGGAGAGGAGAGGAATAGGCGGAAATGGGATAGGATAGGAGAAAGAAGGGCTCTGTGTCCATGCATACAAGTCCGTGCTCACTATTCTATCCTGGGATCTTTCCATCTCGACTACACACGTTTGATCTGGTCTTTGGCCATTTCTCCCCTTGTCTTCTCTTCTTCCCCCTCTTTCCCTTCTTTCCACCTTTAATTTTTTTTCGCATTCTTCATTCTTCATTCTTCATTTCCACTTCTCTCCCGTATCTTTCCAATATCTTCTTCATTTTTGTTTTCAGCGGCGCTGCACTGGACTGCATCGCGCACGAGATACCCCCCCCCCTACATCTCCGGTCCCGGCTTTTCAAATCCGGTTGACGGGATGTATGGGATGGAAATGGGATGGCTGGATTGGCATGGCTGGAATCGCTGGAATCGCTGGCAAGAAAGGACTGGATGTTCAAACGACGACACCTGAATGGGCATTAGAAGAGGACAATCGAGAGACGCGCTGAAATGTGATTGTGAGTATGTGAATTAATGTAATGCAAATAGCAAACGCAAATAGAAACCAGACCTATAAACGCAAAAAACAACTAGACACTTCTCCCCATGTACTTGATAGAAGATCCAACGTCCCAAACTCCCAAGTCATGCTTATTCTACCTATCCTTTGCCCGTCTACAATACTTCCATCCACACTTGCTTCCCTCCCTCTACTCCTCAAAACACAGCTCCACCGATGATAAACACCCTCTCCTCCTCCCGCCTCACCCACTGCACCACTTTATTCGCACTCGCCGCCAACGCCGCACGACTCACACTCGCCGGCGCAACGGCATACAGTTCAAACAGCGGGGTGCTCCACGCGAGCGCCATGCACGCCGTGTTAATCTCTGTGTGAATTTTGAGCGGCGAGGGTTTGGCGTGGAGAGTGGAGTGGAGTTTGTTGTAGAGGGTGATGAGGCTGTTTACTTGTTAGTTTTCTTCTTCTTGTTGTTTGGAGTTGTGGGGAGGGGCGTGTGTGAGTGGCGTAATGGGCCATGGCGATGTTGTGATTGCGGGGCGGATGAGGTGGACAAGGGCGGGGACCGGGAACATGAACATGAAATAGGGACGGGCTGACATACCGTCGTCTCTCCAAAGCGTCGTCGAAATAGGGCGAGTAACTTGGCATAGTAAACTGAACGTTTGCCTTGCTCTTGTACAAAAAGTGGCGCAACGGCGTGCCAGGCACAATATCTGTGCATTTCAGTCGTCCGATTTTGACAGCGGTTTGGATGGCGGCGATGGAGCCATTGCGCTGCAGTGTCTGTGTCGATACCCAAACCGGGTTTGGTTAGCTTTTCTTTTTTCCTGAAATCCTTGCTCGTCGCAATGTTGGTTTTTGCATCTGGTATGGAAAGAAATGCCATGGGAACTGTCTAATGCGTCCGCTTGGTGATCAGTAATCCTGCATCGCCAAAGGACTTTTGCGGAAACCGGAGATCGATCCCAACGGACGGATGATCGGAGGCGGGTTCCTGTGGTCGGACAAGGCAATGTCCGATGCCGAATTACCGCAATGACAAGGTCGTCTGATCTCGCCGTTGACTTGGCCGTGGTGATGCTGGAGGGCGGGATTTACCGTGGGATGCATGTGCCTCGTTGAGGATTTTACCGTGGGATAGATGTGCATCACCAAGAGACTTACCGTCAGATGCATGTACATCATGAACGGGCATCAAGGTGGGGCCCAGACAAGTAGATCAGAGCGGAGCAGACAGCACGAGGGTACTGGACGGGAAACCATGGCCGTCGTACCAAAGCCTAGGAAGATACATGTCCGTATACCCGTTGACCGGTAGCAGCAAAGCAGCACAGCACATGCAGCCTCTGTGCATCGCCATTGCAGCTCCATGGAAACGAGGCGTTTTCGAATGTGTGCCTCGTACAGAAACAGGAAAACTGGCTAAACGTACCTCTACCAAATCATCTCTCATTGTCCTGAGCTCAAAAAAGCTCTCCTTGGCCGCGCTGATCAGCAACACAGCCACCTCATCGCCTACCCCCTCACTCGTACGAGGCCGCTCCACCACGGGCGCTGCAGGACGCTCCAGGTTGAGGAAGCTAACGTACATGTAGAGGTATCCGGTATTGTTGAAGCCGGGCAGACAGAGGGGGATCCAGTTTTCACCGCCGCCGGCTTTGACGCTCCCGGCTTCAAAGAGCATGTTGAAGATCAGGTGGAGGTCACCTGGGTGTAGGCTATGTTTCTTGGGGCGCACAACGGATACGAGCTTCCCAGAGGCGACAATCAGGCCGTAGAGAAGGTTCTCTGAGCGTGTCTTTAACAGTGTGTTGTTGATGGTCGTGCGTTGAGACTTTCGTAGCTTGAGGCATTCGAGGGCGGAGAGCAGCGTCGATGGTGAACCTCGCGTGAAGCCATCAGCGAGGGCAGAAAGGAGTGTCTCTGTTCCCTGCAGAGGACGACGTAAATCGTAGTTTGCTCGCGCAGCGAACATACGTTCCAGGCTGGGAAGGGTGAGTGTGGACAAGATCTGCATGTACAGCGCTTCAAGCTGTGCGCGCAATTGTAAATCACTCTCTCCCAACCGCGTGATGGCGACCAGATTGAGGGGGCCTTTGGACATGATCACAAAGCGCACGTCTCCTGCCGTAAAGCCTCGCAGCGTGTCCTTGGTAGACTGGTAGAAGGATATGATGGTCTGCACGACACCAATGTAATTCGTGACCAACTGATCGTCGCCATGTCGGCTGTATATGGGTTTGCCAGCACTCGAGAGGATCAGAAAATGCTTCAGCTTTGCGCGCCATTCGTACATGACGGCTTCTATGGTCTACATCAGCAACCTCTATCTGCAGACATTCCAGACGGTAGTCCTGACCTTCATTCGACCCGTCCGACTTCATTTCCTCAATCTCGTCAAACTCGTGCTTGAGGGCTTCCTGGAGCCATGGGTCTGCTGGGAACAGGCTTTGGGATTCCGATTCCACAAAACGGTGACCCAGCGAGCGCAACAACGACTTCTCCTGATCAGACTTGTCTTCGTGATGCGCCATGCTCTCACCCAGTATACTCTCCGTCTCGCCTCCCGCATCTACGGTTGGCGCATAGCTCCAAATACTTGCGCTGTCTTCATCACCGGCGGTCCGCGGCGCGAAGTGCATGTCGGACCAAGGACGCTGCTTCGTGGCAAGAGAGGCAGATGAATCGTCAACTGGCAATTCGGCGCCCCATGCCTGCGAGTTCGCCAAGGACAGCTGCGTGGTGGCTTTGGAGAGCAGCTGGGGTCTAGAAGGGGCAATCGAATGTGCGATGGAGTGCGACGTCGACGGCCGCGAGACAAGAGAGGGCAGTCGAGGTCTTGGAGGAAGAGGCGGGGGGGTTCCTTCTCTCGACGGCAGGGGGCTCGCCGACGTGCTTGTCGAGGAGAAGTTGCGAATCACGTTCAGCGTCGGATTGGCAAAGTCGTGCGACTTGCGCGACTCGACGCGCTCGGCCGTCCGCGGTCGCGTCTCCTTGGAAGACGAAGCATTGCTGCTCTTTTGCGTGGGTGTCGTGGGCGAGCTGGGCGAACTGGGGGAATCGGGCGAGCTGGGGGGTTCGTCGGCGGCTGGCGTGGCGGGCTCAGCAGGTGCCGTCGCGTCCATCAAGAGAAGAAGAGCGAATGTTTTTTCTTCACTGTCATGGAGACAAGGCCCCGTCGCGAGGATTGGGAGAGCTGGTGGGAGCGAAGCATGGGATGTCCGACATGGGATGGGTCGGCGGCTGTGATCATGGTGACGCCTGGCCAGGGTCATGGCCGCAAAGCGCCCAGCCGCCGCTCATGACGTCGCTTTCGCTGTGTCTACCACTCTTACAACTAGAGTACTCTACTACACGGTACAGTATGTACCTAGGTGCCCAAGTATCCAAGTACCTACACCATCAAGTGCTGCTACCACGACTATGGTATCTAGTATACCAAGACAAGACCGCAGCCAGAAAGCATCAACCCTGGTTCTGATTCGACTGCAGATGGACCGACTAACACTCAACACCATCGCCAACAGAGCTCACTGATAAGCAGCATGCACAGCACGTAAACAGGACAGCACAAGACAGCACAAGACAGCACGAAAAATTGGAGTCACCGCTTCACCGGTCCTGCAATACATGTCCCGGTCATGTCTCAAAGCCGAAGACGCAACCCAACTTCATCCCAGACGTTCACGCATGCATCCACCCGCCACCCGCCACCCGCCTCACACAAAATCCATCAAGCTCACGTCTCCAGCGAATTGGCCACCATGTCGCCGACATGCGCATCACTTTCCATGGATACGGAATACGCCCCTCCCATGTTCCTAGGATATGAGGGGGAGGGGGGTGGCTTACGAACTGCAAATGTTCCCAGTTGCCCACATGGCTTACTATTCTTAGCATCCTGACCGACCTACATACTACATAGGTCCCCCCCCCCACCTTATTGGGCCACCCGCCTGAAATCATATGGGAAAAGTATTTCAGGATCGCTTTGTACAGCCTTGAGATGGGGGGAAAAGAGCGGTATAGATATGCATGGCTTTCTATTCTCGATTGCCTTGCAAGTTGATCTGTTGGTACCCCTGTGCTGCAGCCATTGTGCTGTCCGTCTTTACATCCTAGGTAACTCAGTATCATGGCATCCTTCACGCAGAGAAGATAAAGCCACCAGACTCCCCCTCTTCCCATCTGCGCAGAAAGGAAAACACAAAATCTCAACTACTGCAACACCCTCCAATGCCCCAACTCATCGACCAGCAGACCTCACCAGCAATCCCCATAACAACAATAAACTACACCCTCGACTGGCCCCACCTCTCCAACCCAACCTCCACCACTTTTATAACCCCCCACTTCGACCTCTGCACCTGTCCCCGCAACAACAAGAACAACAACACCCCAACATCCCAAGAACACATCTACACACGCTACACATGCACCGGGCCCACCATCACCTTTGTCCCCCCAACCCAACCACTCTGGGTCCTGCAAACACCTCAAATCCCGTTTAACATTCTGCGCCCGGCCAATGCGTTTGAACAGGACTTGCGGCTACAAATTGACACACCGTCGACCTCACAAACTCCCTCCACTACACCGCCAACGACTCCACCTCCCGCTCCAATACCAAATCCCTCCCCAATACAACCCCTCTCCCCCCTCTCCCCCCTACACATCCACCTCCTCACCGGCCCCAGCCCCCGCGGCCGCCACCAAGCCCACGCCACAACAACATTCCTACGCTCCATTCCCCCTCGAACCAGATCCCGGATCACGGGTATAACCCTACTCCTGCAGCCTTATGAAGAGGACATGGATCCCACCATGTGCGGGCCCGCTTTTGCACATCTGGCCGCTCATCTGCTAGACCATCATTTCTTGCCTGCTTTTGCCACCCTGCATCTCGCTGCTTGGCAGGATGGCGGCCGTGGCCGTGGCGTGAGGGGGTTGCGGGGCGAGCTGGCGAGGCTTGGGAGTGTGTTGCGGAGGGAGGGGGTGAGGGTCGTGGTGGAGTGGGGGTGGGCAGAGGTGGAGCCGAGGACGACGGTGTTTGAGACGGAGGAGTCTTTTTTTGGCGGCGATGGATAGAGGAGGACGAGGGTAGGTATGTTGACTCCGGTGCGGCCACGTCGAGCTGGTGAATTTGAAGGGACTGAGGTGTTGGGACCCAGTCGCCCGATGCCAATATGACTGCCTCGCCCATCTGGATACTAGATGTCAGTACCAGTACCAAGCCGAGAGCTCCCTCTTCTTGATCTGCCATCTGTCACGTTTTAGTCAACCTCATCACATCACAATCAGCATCACCATAGCAAAGGAATCCAGTTTTCAGCACCATTGTTGTTCCCATTCATCCAGCCAAGAGAGGCCGAAAGAACTACCTAGGCAATCAAGAGCTCGAATCAAAGAGACGAGTCCCCATATATCGCCAGGTGAGCAAGGAAAGAGAGACCAAAAGGCTTGGCCTACTACCTGCCATCGAGAACCCAATCCGACCCTCACCAAGCATCCTTCACCAATAGTTAAGCCAAAGCAAACCATTTCAGCCACACACACAGTGCACCATCATTTCCCTTGTTCATCAGTGGAGAATAGTCAGGTGATGATATCTTAGATATACCACATGACGTCCTTGAGGCCACGAGAGTTCTGCAGAGGCATCAGAGGAGCGATCTCGACGGCGGGCTTGGAAGATGATCCAGTCTGGGTCTTCTGCTCGGCCTTGGTTTCCTTCTTGCCAGAGGATACAGGGCTGTCATTGAGGTGAGCGCGAGAGCGATCGGCAGCCAAGTGGGCGTAGTAGACGGCAGGATGGAGGGATACCGGGGTGGTGGAGCGGACGTAGTGGTAGGAGTGCTCGAAAATGAACTGTTGCAGCTCCGCAGCCAACCAGTTGCCCTCGTTGAGGATACACTGATAGTGGATGGGGCGCGCAGTGCCCTTGATAGCCACGTGCGAGCAGAGGTAAAAGTCGAACTCGAAGGGATGCGTGCATCCACTTTCCACCAAGGTTCCAGGCAGAGGGTTGTTGTTGCGGTCGCCTTTGCCGGGGTCGGGGAAGAAGCGAATATGATGGCGTTTGCCAGCAATGACGACAGTGAACTTTGGAATCACCTTGCATCCAAGCTTCTTGAAGCACTGCTTCATGTCATTGACTTCCTCCTCCAGAACTGCGGCATATTGGCTACGGTTTGGTTAGCTAGTCGGTATACAACTGCAATGCAATGTTAACATACCCTTCAGATACACCGTCACGAATGTAGAGAACACGATCGGGAGCAAGGCCTTTGCCGATACGCTGAATCCAAACCTTGGCCATGGCGCCAAAGTGGTCGTCGATGTTGGAGGTGGTGACCATTTCGACACGATTGCCGTTGGTCTGAACCTCAGCCCAGTACCTGACGAACCTGGGATCCGCAGACATAGTAATGGCAGCAAATGAGGCAGCCTCGCTGGATCCAGCGCCTGGAGCCGGGTGAGAGACATCAGCACCGACGACCATGGTATTCGTATTGTAGGCATTCAACTTGGCGATCCTAGGAATCAAAGCTGACTCTGCGACACAGGTGGCGCCCCCAAGTTTGGCGTTGACCTTCATGCACACATTGGAAATGTACTGCGGTGACGCAGACATGACATGCTTGGCCTGGAGAACCTGGGAGGCAACACCGAAGCGAATGTCGCAAGACTTCTTGATCCGGCGGTAGACGTCGACATTGCGGTCGTTGACGATGAAGAAGAGGAAGTTAGGAGGCGTCGAATACCTAGGAAAAGTCAGTCAGAATGCTCTCGAGGTTTTTATGAAATCTTGAGGGCACTTACTTGTTACCAGTGCTGTTCCAAGCCTTCTGTACCAGCTCCCCGCCATCAGCTAAATTTCCAGGACCCATCCAAGGCGCCTTGCCATGCTGAGGATGAGAAGAAACTATTCCGCCATGAGCCTCAAAGACCTGGACGAATTTCTGGAAGAAGGCCCCAACTGCTACTGAATTAGGCGCGCCACGACCCTGGATGCCTGCAGTGATTTATTAGTCAAGATTAGGTCAGCAAAGAGGTTGTACATACAGCAGACACCCCAAGCCTTCAAAGGACGGTCCTTGTTAATTATGGCGAACTTGCGCTGAAGCAGTGTTAGTTGCGATTTTGAAGATAGGTGGACAAGTTGCAAACTTACACCATCGAGCCTCCAACGACCCTGAATCATGTCCTTGGGATTGATGGTCGCCTCCTTGGATCCGGCACCGAACTTGACAACGGGAGATGGAAGGACACGAGCCTTGACTCTGGCAGCCTCTGTGTTGACCTTCAGTCCATAGTGAAGAAGGTAAGGGTCATTCGCCCAATCGAGGAGACGAACTCCGTGCTGAACAGCAGCCCAGCGGTCCTTGGGGAGCGTGACGGCGAACTTAATCATGTTCGAAGTCTGGGTATCCGACAACTTGACGTTGTAACGTTGATTGGGATCAATTCTCAGGACATCAATTGGCATGTACACGGGCTCCTTGCGAATCTTCTTGGTCATGCGGACAACGGGAACACCGGAAATGACGCGAATCTTGTACTTCTTCAAGAAGTAATCAGCAACCGTGATCTTCTTGGAGCGGTCGTCGGGGTCCGTGAAGGTGGCTCTGGTGGCATCCATATTGACAAACTCATCGATAGTCCACTGGGTGGGAGGATTGACATGCGTGGCTGAGACACCAACCTTGCTGAAGCGGCGCAAGTCTTTCTTGAGAACAGAGCTCTTCCAGTCTCGCAGAGAATTCTTGAAAGTTGCAACGAACTGAAGGCACAGTTAGTCATGGTTTGGACAGATAGATGATGAGGGAGCTTACCTGGGGTGGCGAGCAATTGAAGGCCTGGGCGATAGCGCGGGTGAGATCTTGCGAGCGCCAGAAAGTACCATTGGCCACATCAACATTGACAGATAGGCTCTTGTTGAACTTGTCGTCGAGAACCGGGCGAAGCGAGGCGAAGACACCCTTGAAGGCCTCAACGCCGCCTCCGAGATCGAAACGCTGCTCTCCGCGCTGGAAGAAGGACTTCTTGATCTGAGTGTACTTCTGGCTAGGAGACTCGCGCATGACATGGTCGAGAAAGTTGATCGTGTCAATGCATTCATTGGACCAAGCAGCTTGACCGTTCAGGAAGGCCGTCAAGTGATGGAAGTCTACCTGACGCGTACGGCGAAGATGGATGGTGTGCTTGTTGCCGCGAGCGCCAGCCTTGGTAGGCCTACCCTCCTCTTGGTCCAAATCGACAGCGATGCGAAACTCCTCGCGCTCGAGTTTCTTACTTGACCATGCGAGCTTGTTGCCATCCCAAACCCAGAGGTTAGCAGGTTCACCGAGTTCAGCCTTGACGCCCTTGGAATTCCAGATCTTCTTCAGCAGGACGCGCTTGGTATAGTCGAGAGCATCGCCGGTGTAGTTCAGCTTGGTAATATTAGCATCGAGAATGTGGATGTAGTGTCAGGTAACTTACATCGTACTGGTGGACAATGGTGTCTGGAGCCTTGGTGACATTGAAAGTGTTAAGAGTGACAGCGCACTCCTTGCCGTACGCGTTGAAGTTCTTGGGGCGAGCTGGTAACGCATGAGGAATTTTAATCTTGAAACCCCCATCAAAACCGATGTTAGCATGACGAGGTCTGAAGTTGCTGGTGTCCTGCATAAGGCGATGATTGCCATGCTGGAGAGACATGGATGCGAATGGAATTGGGGGTTTGAAAAGACAAATGAGTGGGAAGTGGATTTCGAAAAGATATTCGGAATGAGTGTGATGTGTGGATAGGCCAAGGAGAGGAGCCTTTTATGCCCATGCTCACAACTACTGGGAACCAGTGTGTTTGCATGTCCGACAGGTAACATAGTTTTCCCATATCATTCGGAGAGATAACATGACCAACGAATGGAGGTGTATGTGCAAACAGAGTAACAGAACGTTTGAACTTACGCCACGAGCGGTGTACCAGCCGGCAATACCCAAGAACTCTGAAATGTTCTTGAGGTCAGTGGGCCTGGTGTACTCGATGGCAGGTACCTTGATGCTGGGATCGCGGTTGCCATCAAGACGAGGAATCGACTTGGGAACCGAAACCTGAGTAGCCTCACGAGACTTAGATGAAGAGCCCTTGGAAGAATCCTGCTTGGGATCCTTCTCGACCTGCGCCCGGCGCTTGGTTGGACCTGCCATTGCAGACTCTGGCAGCATGTTAGCGGTGCTCACGATAGGACAGGGCTCGAAGGACTGTGAATGACACGTCCAACGGCAAGCTCTCGCCATCCAGGAGGCTGGTGCAATGCAGCTGATCACATACCTTGATCTCAGATCTCGAGCTGACGAAGAGACTGGCAACCTTGGCGTAGAGACTGTGTCGCAGATCGGCCTGAGAAAAGTTAGCTATCTTCCAAAATACAGCCTTTGAGTACATGTTTTCGAGTTCAGGCGGGTGAACGAGAAGACAGGGAAGGACAACCCATGTGCTGGGGCAGGACATACGAAAACAGGCTATGCACTTGTAATGAGCTGGGATGTGTGGATGGAAGGGAAGAAGAAAAGGTGAGGGAGCGTGTCGATGTGACGATAAAAAGGTAGAGGAGGGGTAGAATCATGTGTTTGTGGGCAAACCGGCAAGGCAAGAGCTCATGGGATTGCTGTGGTGACGCCGCCAAAGCTGGCAACAGCGGCAACAAATCCCAAAGTGAACACGGCTTTGCAGCACAAGTCAAATGGAAAAGCAATGTTGAATGGGATCATATCGTAGCCTATGCACATACCTGAAGCTCAAGTGTACGGAATACTGCCTGCCGTGTAGTTGATTGTACTACTTGTGAAGGAGAGCTTGTGTTACCGGCTCTTGGGCTACCGGCTCTTGCGTTACCGGCTCTTGCGTTACCGGCTCTTGATGCTGAGGAAGGAAGAATAAAGTGTATCAAATTTGTCAAGCAGGGCTTCTGTGAGGATAAGATAAGAGTTTGCTCGAACACCAGTCAATTGAGGGCGTGCGATATTTATTGTGGGGTAGTGTGGTGGACAATAGACGGTTGAAGGTGGTGGGTGGGCAACTCTTTGTATCCGTATCCTCTATCCCCACCGGCGCTAGATCGGCAAGAGAAGTAATTGCGGTACATAATAGTGAGATATTAGCCTCGAATTGAAGTAAAGGTGGTTTGTGATGTATTTCATAGTAGAGACGGATGGAGTGGTGAGTCAAGGCGGTGATTCTGGTGAAAGACTGAGAGCTTCTTTTACCCTCCTCCCACTGAGGTATATTAGCAGCCCTAAATATGGAAGTAAGACCCGAAACAAGATTAGGTGATAGAAGATGTGTGTAAGGAAATTGGAGATCACTGCACTCATACAGTACTCGACAAGGTAGAGGTGACATTTTAGGAGCGAACAACCACCTCGAAAATGAAAAATGGCACACAGAAACAACAAGAAGATATGGAGACTTTACCTTTCCAACTCTTGACAATTTCTTACCTCAATTCCTATATCCTACACGAAACATAAAAGAGTGATTCCTAGCATAGTTTCCACGCTCTTCCCCAATGTCAGCCCGCGCCAGCGACATATGCATATTGCAATTCCTCGACAGCGAGACCAACATATTTTCCAATCCATGCGACTTTCCGCCCAAGCCAGATATATTCCCACTCAACGGGAGCCCATGAGAGAGTCTCAAGCGGAATAGCAGTTAAATTCCGTAACGTTGGCACATCGGCACTCCAAGCTGCCCCTAGGAAACAACCCATCATCGAACACTGCACAATGAACCAGCTATACTCACCTCCTTCCACGCACACCCCATGCCCAACATCTCCTCATACAGCACCAAAATCCACCAGAAACTTCAAATCTACACTCTCCAACCCCTTACGCGTCCTGAAGCCGCACACTACACATCCTCCCCGAACCAACCACCGTACCCAAAAAACCTCCATCCAACACCCAAAAAGTCCCACCGCAGAACCAACTAGCCATGCACAAATAGTGCCCGCACAGTCCAAAAACCATACTACAAGGACCATGAGTATTTAATCTCCAATACAACATATACATGACCCAACATCCCGTACTGCATCCTGGCGCAGAGATAAGGAGATCTTGCGTTGGACAAGACGAGTCGGGGATTTCTGGGATTGCAGGGAGGGAAAGATGTGATAATTTGTATGGCGTCAGCGTCAGGAAGTTGTGATGGCCATGGCCAGGGCGAGACGACGTTGGATGAGAGGCTATGCCACGCTAGCATCAATCGCGTTAACGTGATCCACCACCGAGCGCCCACCCCCACCGAGCGCCCACTAACACTAAAATCACCAAATTTTTAACACTAAATTTCTTAACAACTATAGCACCTATTAATAACGCGCTTGTAGTAATTAAATCCTTAACTCTTAGAGAAGATTTTATATACTTAGAAATAGTAGAAAAGTATAGTTACTTATAGTTAACCTTATCTAGATACTACTAGAAAATTTAATAGGCGCGTACTACTACTTTACTAAATAGTTAAATACTTAATACTATATAAGAAAGCAAGCTTATAAAGTATATTAAAGAGCTTTATAGGCAAGGATTACCCTTTATATAGACTATTATTTAAAATTTTATAACTAAAATAATAGGGAATCTAGTAGGTAAAAATTAGGTATAGCACTTTATTAACTACTATAATATTAATCTTATCTCCTATTAAGCTACTAGGCTTAATTATAACTACTTTAAAGCTAATTCTACCTTTAAGTATAGCTTATACTTTAAGCTTTTATACTAAAAAATAGAGTAATATAATATTAAGAGTTAGTATATCTATAATATAGATAAGAAGGGTTTTCTTATTAAAGTACTATTAAAAACTAAATATATATTTAATAAGAGCGCCTATAAGTAGAGAAAGATTAGAGCTATACTCTAGGATAGTAATAGGGAGTAGATTACTACTATAGCTTATATATGCGCTAATAGTACTACTCTTACCCTTACCCTTATTTATTAGTCCTAATCTAGAGCTCTATAAGATACCTAGTTATAAGATTTTAACCTATTATAATACTAAGCTTTCTTTATAGGATTACTAAGTAGGTAGATAAGCTATACCTTAGGGGTATCCTAGCTTAAGGAGGTATTTAATTATAAGATAAAAGCTAAAGCTTATACTTTATACTAGCTCCTTATCCTTAATAGCTATAGATCTTATATAATAATAGAGTTTATTAAGTACTATAATAAATATAAGATCCTACTTATAATATATCCCCTTTATAGCACTTATACCCTTTAGCTACTTAATATTATAGTATTTGCTCCCTTTATAGCTTTATATAAAGCTTAACTATTTAGTTTTCTAGATAGCTCCTAAGGGCTTATAAGTATTACTAAGAGGGATTTCTACTAGTTATTTAATACTATATAGAGTAATACCTTTAAGGAAAAGCTAATATTAATAGCTTTTAAAGTAATAGGTATCTTACTACTTAACCCTAATATTATCCTTTTAAGGTTTAAAGTACTTATAAATAATAGTAACTAGCCTTCTTTAAGTAATAGTATAACCTTAATATTAAGTATAAGTAATTAAAGAAAAATAGAGTAGTTATTCTATAATACTATAATTAATATCTATAATAAATAATTAAAGAAGCTTAGCTAGATAATCTATACTATATTAGTAAGAAATACTCTACTTAACTATAAAAATAAACACCTAAAGGCTACCCTAGCTAATAAGAAGAAGTGTAGGAAGCGTAGTAAACCTCTATTATTACCCCCTAATAATAATTATAGTAGTAGTGCCTAATTTATTTTACTATTAAAGGTAGAGTAAGTATTTAAGCTTTAGAAGTAAAAGAACCTTAAAGAATAGGAGCTATAATACTAAAAAAGTAAGGTAATTAAGCTTTATAAGTAATAGAAGCTTGCTAAAGCTTAACTTATAGAAGAGCGTTACCTAAATTAAGTAATTACTAAAAAAGAGTAGGAGGAGAAAACTACCTAAAAAGCTACTACACGTAATAAGTAGAAAACTACTAAGTAACTAGAAAAGTAACTCTAAAATAATATTAAAATATCCTAAATAGGTAAGAGGTAAATCCTTAAGCCTCCTATTATTATACTAGCTAAGGTGGTTAATAAGGAGCTAGTAGAAGAGGATATAGTAGTAGAGGTAACTTTACAGCGTAGGCGCCTAATTAGACCCCCTAAAAAGCTGCTTATATAATCTAAAATATTTAATCTACTCTAATAGATCTAATAATTGCAACTCTAAGAAATCTTGTAATAATAGCTATTGTGGGTGGCGCAATATCCTTATTTAGTGGGTGGTGGATTTTGGTGTTGGTGGGCGCTCGGTGGGGGTGGGCGCTCGGTGGTGGATCACGTTAGTTAGGCGTTACATGTAGTTTAAGATGACCCAGAAGTACACAAGAAGTAACAAAGTCCATCAACATCCTCAACAGGCGATTCACTCCCCACAGCACAACACACCATCCAGACTTACACAACACAGCAGAAACCACGCAGTAAATCACACATACGACAATCTCACACATATTCCCCTCACAAAACATTTCGCCAGTAACGCGATGCATCACAGGTTACAAAAACAAGACTTCAATAAAATCTGAGATTCTGACGCATACACATTAGTCCTACAGAAACCGCGCAAAGGTCAACCGAGTGGGGAACAATGACCACTCGGGCCAAGACCAAAAAGATTTTCCTCTTTCCTCAAGTCAAACACAAGGAAAAGGAGAAAACAAAAAATCAGAGCCCCCCCCAATCCAAACGCCCAGTGCTCCTTAACTCAACGGCCAATACATGACCTCCCCACTCCCTCGTAGCTTAATTTTCTCATGTAAAAGTAACGACCCATCAATCGCCCAACCATCACGTCCAAAGAGCAAAAGAAACAAAAAAGTCACACGCAGGGAGAGAAAAACAAAAACACCAGTCCATGCGCTTCTGCATTTCCCCCTTCTCTGTCCCAGACTAAGCCAACCCAACAGTCCCGGATATCGAGCTTCAAAAAATTATCGTCACTCCCATCACTCATCTTGTCTTTCTCTCCCTCTTCTCATATTTACCCTTCCTGAGCAAAGAAAAACTTGGGTTCACATAGCCCAAGGCAACTGCCCAGGATACGGCACAGTAGCACTATGCGGCGCACCCCCATACTTCTCCTGAATGCTCTGCAGCTGCTGGGCCGTCGTAGTCGAAGTACCCCACCTCTGTGGTTGCTGTTGCTGTTGCACTCCCAGCGCTGGATCGAGTGGAATTCCCGCTACGTTCCTGAGCATATTGACCATGGCCTCTGGCTGGAAGCGCGTCTCCTTGTACGTGTGCGCGCCAGGAATGATGCCGAGCAGGAAGTTGATGCCGCGGGGTAAGGGGGTGGGACCGGCTTGGGCGCCAATGGGCGTGTTGCCGCTGGTTGCAAGGTTGCGGCGGGCGGCGTCGAGACGTCGGCCGGCTGCGCCTTTGAGGGGAGATTCGCCGCGGGCGAGTTTGCGGGGCTGGGCGGAGGCATCGTCGGCGTCTTCGAGGGGGCGCTTGGGAGAGGAGGTGGATGTTGTGGCAGGCATGAGGTTGTTGAGGTGGGGGGAGTTGGTGATGCCCGGAGAGGCGATGCGTTGGTGCTCCGGGATGAGCTGGGGTGGTGGCGCCGGCATGGATTCTTCGACGGAGGTCATGACCGGTGGCATGGCGGGCATGACGGGCTTCATCTGGGTCCTAGGAGAGATGATAGGGCGGACGGTTGTGGGGTCGAAGGTTGGGCCTGCAAAACGTTGGGAGAAACGGTGGAGCTGAGGATCCTCGGGAAAGAGTGTGGCCATGCGTTGTTCGATCTTGATGATCTGGGACAGCTCACCGAATTGCGATTCGTAGTTGTGGAAGAATACAAACAGCGGCTTCGCCCTGTGGACATTCTCCGGCTTCGCTGTCAGCTTTCCAACTACAGTCTCAAAGACTGCGCGCGCATTCGTTGAATCGTTGAGCTTGATGAGGTGCTGGATGTATTCCAAGGCGAAGTGCTCGTCCTCAGGGAAAAGCTTCATACCGCGCTCAAAGATCTTCTGTGCGGCGGGATCTTGGTAGCAATGGTGCTCGATGAGTGCACTAGCAACATATGCTTCACTCAACAGCTTACCCCTCTTGCGAGCCTCGGTGAATACGCCACGGAAGCCACCAATGTCTTCCTTTGGAGCGCCTTTGCCTTGAACACGTCGCATAGCTCGCATCAGAGCAATCCATGCATATGTGAGCGTCTTTTTGAGCATGAGCATCTGTGCATTATAGCCTGCAGAGATAGCCTGCTGTTGCGCATTGAAGGCATTTTCCTTCTCCTTGAGACGCTTCGCAGCTGCATCCTCATCCTCGTCATCTGCATCATCCGAGTTGTTCTGAGCGATGGCGCGGGCAGCCTCATCAGCCTTCTTCTGCGCCTCAAACTGCTCCTTGGCTCGTGCAATGGAGTGCTCTTCCCGCTTCTTGGTTTGAGTTGTGAGGTCGTATAGCGTGTCGAGCAGCTTCATATATGGCTCTCGCACAGCCTTGCCCTTTGCACTGACGCCTGCAAGACCGTCTTCAAAGTCTGTGCGTTGTTCCACTTGGTTGGCCTTTTTGAAAGCGAGCAAGCAGCTCTCGGGATTGGCTTCGATGCCATCGTTGAGGAACTTGTCGCCTTCGGTCGACAAACCGTTCTCGTAACACCATTCCGCCGCCTCGTACCACAACTCTGGCCAGAAGCGCAGTGCCATGAGGGCATTTTTGTATATGTGTATTACACGCTTGTTGTACAACTCTCTATCATCTGAGATGCACTCTACAGGGTCACTCTTCTCAAATTGTATCCAATTCTTCCAGAGCTTGACCTGGTTCATGTACTCATCATAGCCATCGAATCCTGGAGCAGGCGGTAGCTTCGGTAGTGTAGTTCTGTTGATGCCTTTCATGATGTTATTATCGAGGACGTTGATCGCACTTCGTGCAGTCATGTATGATGGTGACTTTTCCTGGAGATGCTTGCGGCCCTGTGGTTTTTGTCAAACTCAGCCAAAAAACCCATTGAGTGTCGCAGGAAACTTACCGTTGCCTTGTTCAATCCCATTTCGAACTTGTCATAGTCTCGCCAAATCTCCAACGTGGCATTGTGTGGTATCGAAACGGCGCGCTGGTAGACCTTGCGCAATGTGTCCATCTTCTGCATATCTTGCCAGTTGCTACCACCGAGAACGCCTGGGCCCGTCTTGAGCATCTCAATGTAATCGAGCCAGAGCCTTCCCGCACTGACATCAATACCAACCTGACCGAGCACAAACTCATACGCCTGAGTAATGATCTGTCGGTTCTGGCCATTCTGATCAGTAGTCAAGTTGTAGCGACGGCGAATGAAGTCAATGTATGAAGAGTAGAGCGGGACATAGGGAGCTAGAGGAACAGAGCGGCCAAAGATGACTTCGACTTTGGACAGCTCATCGAGTTCTGTCTCAAAAGCTATGTACTCGACCCATTGCTCACCCTGTAGACGTTAGCGAGATGGCATGAGACATGTCTCTGGCATGGCTTACCGCGGTGGGAATGAGCTTGAGGAAGCGTTCGAATACTGCACGCGCGTCATCGTACTTGTGCCGCCTACGGTGCTCCTCAATCAGACTCAGCCATGCTTCCATGTCACCACGTGGATCTTCAGCAATGCGATCTTCGAGGATGCCCACACGGTCTTGGGGAAGACGGGCCTTGGGCAGAGAGGTAGTAGTGTGAGCAAGCCTAGCTGGAGCAGCGGGCTGCGGCACTGAAGCAGCAGTCACTTGATCAGGAGCAGCCGGCTTAGTAACGTCTGCAACGGGCGTACTGCTATTAGGAACGGTAGAAGCAAGAGTGGAAGCAGGCTCATTGACAGCGACGGAAGCAGAAGCAGAGGAAGATGCAGCAGCCTGATCTTGTGCACTATGTAACTGTACATGTGGGTTGGGAAGTGTATTGTTTGGTGATTGTGTAATAGAAGGCTGTGGTGATGCTGCAGCTTCAGAAGCATTGGCTGCGTTTGACTGTTCAGCAGACTCCTCTTCCTCGTCCTCGCTCTCATCGACAAACCCTCCCACTGTGCGCGGTCGCTTTGCTGGCGTAGTGGAGCTGGCTGAGGCCTGGACAGGCTGGGGCTTCAACCCATTCTCGCCCTCGCCCTCGCCCTCGCCCTCTGCGGCCGGAGGTGGTGAGTTGGCTGCCGACTCGGGGGGCATGGATGCCGAGTTGTTGGAGCCGTGGCCGGAATGCGGCGAGAAGGTTGTGTTGGGATCGTATTCCTCTTCGTCGGGCGCATCCGTCATGGTGTAGCCAGCGGCAGGGTCATACTCATCCTTTTGCGCCTCGAGGAAGGCGAGCTCAGCGTCGTCCGCCATTGCTGTGGTAGCTGCACGGGGGACTCGAGGGTTACCTGACGGTCAGAAGACGACGCGCAGCAGCAGCGAGACAAAGTGCCAAGTACGGGCGAGCGGACGGCGTGACTTTTGGCGACAGACAATGAGCGAGCTCCTTTGTCGCGTGCTTGACGGGTCTGGGGGGGGGGGGGAGTCGGAAGCCGTGCAAAAGAGCGAGAGGTGCCTGCTACCGGTAACGTGTGCAGCAAGCTTGTCGCACTCGCAGCAATAAGAGCACCGATCGACTGTGTGGGGCGTGAGCGTGGGATTCAAGTGGGAGGGGAGTGAAGTGGGCAGGTTGTCGTGGTCGCGTTATGTGGCTGGCAGCGAGAGACTGAGGCAAAAAGGTTGACAATCGCAGGTCCAAGAGTAGCAGAGCAGCGCGAGTGAAGTCGCTGGGTTGGACCGGGGGCCGGCCTCCGCTTGGCGCCGGGAGCTGCCAACGGCGATGTCATCACATCCAGACTGACTGCTCACGCTCACTGTTCCCTTCTCATCTTCCACGTAGCAATCCAAAGCACTTCACTGCTTTTTCTTTGTTCTTTGCAACACTGCCCGATTTGGACCATGGGCAGTCGAGCCTTGCGATGACATAATCCCAGTCTGCATTTCCTTGCACCATATTCTTCTTTCCACACCCATCTACGGTACCGGTACGGTAGGTAATCTGCCTTGGTGGTGTGTTGCCCGCAACAGGCGCTTCCGACTGAAGGACACCCACCACAACACCACTCCCGGCGCATACCCAACCCGCACACCCCAAGATGAACCCACACATCCAGCTCCCACGGCCAACCGGCCAGCCGTCAAACTTTGGCTCCACGACGCCTTCGCGACGAACCGAAGCCCGAATGCCACGCTTCTTCAAGCGACTCTTCAAGTTTCCACAAATGGACTTTGAAATGGCGATATGGGAAATCATGAGCCTGATAATAGCGCCCAAGAAAGTGTTTCGCCAAATATACTACCACGTACGATCCGATTCTATACATCTCTTTCTCTCTTCATTCCTCACGCCCCCCCCTCTTCTCACACACACACACCCCCCCCAAATCCGCCATAACACAACTAACCCATAACCCCCCCAGAAACAAACCACCAAAACCTACCACCGCCCCGACCCCTCCTTCACCTACCTCCTCTCCTTCCTCCTAACCCTCACCTCTCTCGCCTGGGGCTTCGCCTACGCCCGCGGCTTCACCCAAACGCTGCACATCACTCTCGTCTTCATCTTCGGCCACTTCCTGCTCCTCTCCCTCCTCACAGCCACCCTCTTCTTCTTCCTCGTCGGCCGCCTGCTCGGCCCCGGCAACAGCCTGCTTCCCGGCCGCAGAAGGGGCCTGTACAACCTCGGGGAAGAAAGCGGCAGGGAAGAATTGGAATTCGGATACTGCTGGGATGTAGCGATTCGAGCCTTTGTCCCCGTCTGGCTCTTTTTATACGTGGTGCAGTTTCTGTGCATGCCCTTGGTCGGGACGGATCATTGGTACGTATCATGCCACTTTTCCCTTTCTCTTCCCCCCTCCCTTTTTCCTTGCCCCAAGACAACCAAAATTCAAAATCACATGTATATTCACACACAATACTAACATCACCACCCCCCACCCAGGCCCTCCCTCCTCCTCTCAAACACCCTCTACCTCCTCGCTTCAAACTACTACTTCATCATCACCTTCCTCGCCTACAACGCCCTCCCCTTTCTCCACCACACTGAACTCCTCCTCCTCCCTGTCGCTCTCACCACTATCCTCTGGTTCGCCTCGCTCTTCGGTTTCAACATGTCTCGCCATTTTGCCCCCGTGCTGTGGGCTGGCGCTACGCTGCGTAGGGCTGTGTGATGGGGAACGGGGGCACGGGGCGCGGGTGGGGTGGGGTATATGCAAATAGGTTGCGCGAGGGGATGGGTGGAGTAGGGAGCTGGACTCGGCTCTTCTTTTTTTTTTGTTATTTTCTTTTGGCAGCGGATGACGGCCGGGCAGGGCAGGGAAGGGCGACAAACGCGGTACATTAGCTCGCGGACGAGCAAAACATTCCATTCATACAACTATACATAGTACACGCAGAAATGGAAATGGGCATGGGATGTGGAGGTTGTGAATATATACACCTATTTACTTGAATGGTTGGATGACTGGAATGATGCGGCCAAACAGTCTTGCCATGTACAACCCCGCTCTTCGCTGTGCGAGTACATCAAACAGCATTGAATGTACACCTCTTGCTCTACTCTGCTCATTACATCCATCTCCCACACCCCTCCCCCCTCAAGTCCGCTGATACGAATACGACTCCTCCAACACACTCCGCACCTCCTCGGACAGGTTATCCCGCACGCCGTCGCTACTAGCGCTACTACTACTCCCCTCAGCATCAGCGTTGCCGTTGCCCTCCCCCGCATCCCTAGCTTTGGATAGGGCTTCGAGTGTGGAGGCGAGTGCGATGGCGTCTGCGCGGCCGCGATCGACGTTGACGAGGAGCATGATGGGTAAGGGGAGGCCGATGAGGAGGGCGAGGAACCAAAAGGCCTTTTGAGTATTAGTGAATGAGGTTTTGTGATTGGTTTGGATGGGGTTTACAGATACAGGCTGGGCATGTACATGTAGTGATGGTGTAGATCAAACACAGAACAAGAGGGACAAGGAAATCAAGGGTGAGAACATACCGGTCTGATCTCGCCAAACGCATCCGTAATGGCGGCTACGATGGCGGGTCCAAAGATGCTCGAACCCTTATCTGTGATGGCGTAGAGGGCATAAAAGGCAGCTTCGTAGCCTGGTGGAATCAATTCTCCAAACAGGGCGCGGCAGTAACTGCTCAAGCCGCCGAGGACGAAGCCGTAGACTGCGCCTAGTGGGTACATTTCCCACTGCTGCTGGAGTCCCAGATAGCCCAGCCGCTGAACGGCGGGCAGGAAGCCCAAGAGTCCGTACAGGGGAATCACTTCAAAGAGCAGGATGCAGCAGAGAATGGTTTGCGTGGGGGAGAGATGGAGAAAGAGAGAGATTCGCGCCCAGAGGAAGGCACCAAAGACGCCGGAGATGGTGGCGATGACGTTGATGAGGGCGAGCATGGCATAGCTCATTCCGAGCGTGGTTTTGGCAAAGAGGACGGCCGTGCCGGAGACGGTAGCTATACTGTCTGAGAGTAAGAACCATGCGGATAGGAAGAGGAGCACGTCTTTGAGATGGCGCGCGTGTAATGCGGTGCGACCGAGAGATTTCCATGAATAGGTAAAATAGGCCATGCAGATGCGCAGATTAGATGTTTGGGCAGCCGAGGAGATGTGCAGCGGAGGACCAGGTCGTGGACGCAGCCAGCGCGCCGCAGGAATGGTGAAGACAAACCACCACGCGCCGATTAGGAAGAGAACCATGCGTAAACCAAAATTGGAAGACTGGAAGAAGATGACAATGAAGATGCCTAGGGTTTGAACGACGAGGGCGGCAATGTAGCCAATGGCTATGCCATAGGAGGAAATCTTGGTAGCTAGCATCAGTTCCTGGGACGACACCAATGTGGTTTTGGGACGGGGCACGGCCAGGTCAACAGCAGTCGGGGTACTACTGGGGTCAACAGCGGTGGGGGTACCTGTGGCAAGGAGGGCAGTGGATTCATCCACGACTTCGTCTGGAATTGGTTCGCGGTGGGAGAGAGAGTTGGCAGAATTGGGTGCACCGGCGATTTGCGCTTCGCTGCCAGTCGCACGAGCGAGGTTGGCTTCCTCGTCTTCGTCTGCCTCTTCCTCGTCTTCTTCGTCTATAAAGGAGGTTGCGGCGCTTGCCTCTGCGTATTTGACGGTAGGGTGGAAGCGGACCAAGAGTGGAAGGAAGCTGTTGAGTAAGACGAAGCTTGCGCCAAAGCAGGTGTTTGCGATGATGGCCAACAGCGCACCCAAGAGGTAGACTTTGGGCCCTACCGGCAAGAACAACATGGTGGCTATGCTTCCGACAAAGGCAAACGATAGCAAAAACGTCTTTCGAAAGCGACCGTGGTCTGCAGCACCGCTCATGCTCACGATGAGGAGTGCTTGGATCAGGACTGATATACTAAACGTATACATGGCGAAGCTTGCCGTGTTGATCTCGATACCGAGGATGTGAACTACGCATTGGCCCTTGTCCGGAGCCGGGCTGAAGAGAGCACCTAGGGTGGAGGCGGAGAAGGATGGGGTGGGCAGGACGGCGGGTCGGGAGGCTTTGCATGGGGTGGACGGGTCGGAGACGAGCACACCATTTTCGCGGGCCAGTTGCTCGAGGGTGACGGGTATGAAGGACCCGATACCGCAGACTACGAAGACCTGAGGGTGTTAGAGGGAAGGCGAAAGGGGAAGACATGGGCGGAAGTGGAAGAAGGAAAAGGAAAAAAGGACAAGGAGAGGGAGACGAGTAAGGAACGGGAAGAAAATGGCAGAAAATGGCAGGGGAAGGGAAAAAGAAGGCAGGAGTACCTCAGCAGCCCATCCATACATGTAGAAGCCACGCAGCTCGCGGTCACTGGTCAGGCGGGTGTCTTCGCCTTTGTAGAGGGGGGTGTGGGCGTGGGCGTCCATGTCGGGGGCGTTGGCAGAGGACAGGCTCTGCTCATCGTCTGCCTCGTTGGACTGCGAGATGGAGGGGACGGAGACCTTGGACTGCGACGAGGCATTGCGCAGAAAGGAAGGTCGTGGATATGGCGCTGGGAGCTCGGGCACGCGGGGGACCATGCTGAGACGACGCGGTGGGAGGCCGCCAGCCACGTCTCAGGGTCTCCCCGTGGACGCTAGCTAGGTTGAAGGGAGGCGGGGAGGGAGAGAGGAAGAGGGAGAGGGAGAGTGGGGGCAAGCAACTCGACGTCATTGCCTGGTGAGCTGAGACATGGCCGTCGTGAACAACTATGTCCAGGAAGGGGGAAGGTTGGAAGCGAGCGAGAGAGAGAGAGAGAGAGAGAGAGAGAGAGAGAGAGAGAGACAGAGACAGAGAGAGAGAGAGAGAAGTCCAGTCGTAGAGGAGGGGGAGGGGGAGGAGGAGGAGAGGGAGGTAGGTGGTGGACCAGGGGAGGCGGCAGGTATAGTTAAAGGCGGCTGGGCCGACCAAAAGTGGATTTGTTGGGGGGGGGGGGGGGGGGGGGCACTGCGATGATCGATCCATGGATTGTGGCCCACGCCGGGGGGGTGTGTGTGTGTGTGATCGATTGATCAATGGATGGGTGATGGGGTGGTGGGCGTGATGATGGGTGTGATGGGTGTGATGGGTGTGATGGGTGTGATGGGTGTGATGGGTGTGATGGGTGAAGTATTGGCGGCATGACCTGAACAAGTTGATGGCAATGCAGGGTGTCTCTACCAACTAGCACACCAGCTACTCCCTATAGGCTACCTACGTAGGTACATACACATGCTATGATAGTGGCTAGTTTGCAAGGAGCTTGGATGGGTGTCCAGACTCTGGCCAGTGTCAGTATGGGATGAGAAATTAGAGACAAAGGCGGCTTTGTTGCTGCAGGACTGCCAAGTGGACTCAGCCGCTGACAGGTATTAGGTAGGTGTAGGTGGGCAGGTGGGTAGGTGGATAGGCAAGTCACTAGGGGAATAGGTGGTGGCAGACGGCCGCTAGGCGAGCTTGCATGGTCTAGGTAATCGGCTGTTCATTCATTCATGGAGAGTGGGATGGCATGCAGACTTGGTTCTTGATGTCTTGTGCAGTGTTGAATGTTGAATACAGGTACCCAGTCTGGCCCCGGTGTGTGTGTGTGTGTGTGTGCAAGTAGAGGCATTCATTCTCCCATTGTGCCAATGCACACGTATAGCATCGTCAGAGTCCCTTGTACATGGCCACTTCTACTTTGCCCTGCGCTGGTGGGTGCATGTATTGCTAGACATGTACTACATGTATAACATATACGCACGCATGGACTGGTTGGTCCAGAGGGGGGGGGGGGGATGCACGCACCGGGCAGGGCTTTGGGTGCCAAGGCAGGCCAAAAGGTCAAGGGCCTAACTCCTAGAGACCAGACTAACGTTCCGGCCTTCAAGGCTTTTGCCCTTTCCCGCCTACCTTCCGCCTACTTTCCGCCAACCTTTGAGCCTGGGCACTTCTCGCCAGACGACGTCCATTCTTTCTCTTTTGGCCCTGCCGCCGCCGCAACAACACCCTTTCCCCGTCACCCAACGCCTTTACGCCTACCACCACCACCACCACCACCACCACACTACCACTACCACCACCACCACACTACCACTACCACTACCACAGCCAACCCCCCCCCCTCGCTCACCCTCTCTGCGCCATTCCAATTGCGCCGACTGCGACTGCACCCTTCGCCTCCATCTACGCCCCAGCCATGCGATAGTCGACCATTCCCACCCAGCACTCACCTTCTACCTTCTTTCACCCTCGGCGATCGATCAAAGTCCTTGTACCTGGCCCTGCGCCCACCTTCCCTTTCGCCCCTCTCCTTCCTCGCCAGAGGCCTGTCTATTCTCACCTGCCCCATCACCTGGCCACAGAAGCGATTAGGTGCGCGCGACTGGCAGCGGCGACGGCGCCGGTGGCCTGCAGGACCGGACACGAGGCATGCCAGGCATTCTCATCATGGATTCCAGCAGCGCGCCCAACCCAGCGGCCGCGGCTCGAGAAGGCGACAGCAAGAAGCGCGATCGCGACGGCATCCTGCTCAATGGCGACCGAATCGAGGCGCGCCGAGACACACCAGCCGGCCCCTCTGTCAATGCCCGCTCGACCCAAGGCGCTGGCATGAATGGCGCATCCATGGCCGTGGCTGGGCCAGGTGGCTCTATGCCTGACCAATACCCGGAACAACCTCCCGAAATCCACCACATCCCCTCGGAACTCTACAACCCCCTCTCCGTCCTGCTCGAGCGGATAGCGCAAGAGTGCTACAATGATCTTACCGACCTCCTCACCAACATGGCCGACCTGCCCCTGGCTCCCACCTCCAACGGCGCCCTACCCAACGGACTGGGCAGTCATGGCCAGGAGAATGCCGAGGCGAACAAACGGAAGAAATTGATGCTGCTCAAGTTCGCTCAGGACAATCGGTCCAAGTTCATCAAACTGCTTGTACTGACAGAATGGGGCAAAAAGGCCGCACACGATGTCTCCAAACTCATCGACTTGTTCGCCTGGACCCAGGAGCAAAACGCGCACATGGAATGTCTCGACGAACAACTTCAGCGCATCAAGATCCATTCCAACATGGCCCGAGAGAACAACCCGGACATCAACACGGCGCTCGAGATCCTCTCCACGGCCAAGGCCTCTTGGATGCCTGCTCTCGACTACCTTCCCGCTGAGCCCATCTCTTCCGAACAGGCCCTCACGCTGCTGCAACACATGAACACCTCGCTTTCCATACGCCTGAACCTCCACGAAAATCTCCCACGCCATCTACGAAACTGGAGGATACATTCTGGACGCGCCACATTTGTAATCCCAAACGAGTTCGAGTTTGATGTCATCTCCTTTGTCGAAGATGCTTCCTCGCAGTGGTCCTTCATCGACATACGCCTACTCTTCTCTCCCGCCCCGGTCATCACCGTCGGAAGTCCATTTTTCATGACGCTCAAGTACAAGGCCGACGAGGTGTTGGGCAAATCCGGCCTGTCCGGCCTCTTCGATTACCTGCAAAACTTCATTCTCACGCACAAGATCTCCGTGCTCCGATCACAGGCGGTCGGGCTTGTCCGTTTAGGCCGCGCCGCATCCCTCAAAGTGGAGCCTGTTCATCGTGAGCTCATTGTACAATACTGGATGAATAGGCCGGGGAAGAAGAACTGGATCGATATTGGTGTATCTCACAACAGGCCAAAAAATGGCAAAGTCTCGTGGCGGGGTCCTCCACTGCCCACGCTCGAAGCGCGCTGGTTTCGTGAGGGCAAGGAAGTAAAGGACGCCGAGTTGTCGTTGGACTGGTCAGATTTGTCCATGGAACGAATCGTCAAGCAAATCACGGCACGCCACACCAACGACATACTACGAGCGACCCAGGAGAGCATCAAGTTGAAGTTGCGTGTCGAATTGCAGACTTCGGAGACAGAACCTGCCGACTGTAGGCTCAGGACCACCCTGGGACCAAAGTCCAACTCGCTTACCATGTCACTGGAACCCGTCACTGGCCGCTACCTTCTCAGGCCGGCGAATGCTACCACAGCACGCGCAGAGAATGCTTTCAACCAGGGTCGGGAGCCAGCTGCCATTGGCCACATCTTGACCCAAGCTCTGGCTCAGTCACTACTGCTCTCCATTCAGAGTGTAGCCAGCCAGCTCGGATGGCAGGCAGTATCGAGACGGACATTGCAAGCCAAGGTGGTCAAAGAGGCTGTGAATCTGGATGTCATCCAGTACTCGCTATACTGCCCACGCGGCTGGTCGGCGCAATGGGCGCTCGGTGCGATCATAGACACCAACGGCGAGTCTTGGTGGGTCTTGGAGTTGAATTCGACGGGTTCTGCTGTCGAATATGCAGAAGAGATCAAGATGAAGAGACCAGAGGGAAGCTCATTGTCCGTTGACCGAAAGACCTTGGCTAGCCTTGCCAGAGTCGCTGTGCAACTCATCTCCTTCCGTGTGACAGCACGACAGTTGAGCAAGGAAAAGAAGTCGTGCAGCCTTCGATACGAATTCGCGCGCGCCAGCACATCCGCCGTCACCAAGAACGTTGCTCGCGGATGGGCTCTCCACATACAGACCTCGGATCTCATAGTCACGCGATCTGACGAGCAACCCTGGCTCGAGTCCACCGTGGCCGTTCACTGTGAGGGACTTCGAGCAGGAGGTCAGCACGTCTGGCACATCGCCAGTGGGCGCATGCTGCCATCCGCTGCCGCAGACATGCAAAAACTCATGGCTGCATCCCCACCCTCGACCTTTAGCTTCTCGGAAGACGGCCGTTTCCGCATCCTCCTCTCCACTCCCTTTGGCCACAACATCCTCGACGAACTACGTGCGCGCCTCCGTGATGTAAACCGTCTCCGCTCTTTTGCCACAACCCTCCAGAAACGACGGATGCGTCTGGGTGCCTCCTCCTTGCAGAGGGTGCAGTTTGAGTACGGCCCTGGACCACTGGTCGCCGCTATCAACTTTGCCTCGGAGAATGAATTCACGGTTGAAATGTCCCCCAAAAATCCACACTACCGCATCTTACATCTCCTGACCGCCATCGCAAACGACCGAATGCCCGGCCTCCCCGCCTCATTAGAAGGCAGCGACACAAACGGACTAGATCGTTTCTGCACCTCGCTCATGCTCACCCGCTCCATGCTCAAAGTGCTCGCCGAACTGGAAACACGGACGCCCGGCAACGTCAAGAACCCCGCCGTGCACGTCCACTCGCTCTTCAAATACAGACTGACGTACGAGAACCCAGTCTGCACCTTCGACATGCGTCTCCAACCCAAAGACGACAGCGTCTTCTGGCTCATCGAGGACAACTACCGCACTCGCGGCCAGGAAACGCGACCGAGTCCCGAGCGCACACCCGGCCACCGTCGTCTAGACGACCTCCAGGCCAAGCTCAAGGAGCTCTTCAGCACAAAGAGCACAGGCTGGTTCGGCACGCGAAACGGCATGGTAGCCGAATTAGACGCCGTGCCCGATGCGCTACGCAAGCTCGACGCCTGTGTGCTGGAGTGTACAATGGAGGGCGGATACAAAGCCCCCCCGCCGGAACAACCGGCCTCTCAAGCGCAGATGAATACTGCACAGCCAGGGCAGCAACACTTGCAAAACCAACATGCCCATCACCAACAGCAGCAGCAACAGCAGCAGCAACAGCAACAGCAACAGCAACAGCAACAGCAACAAAAGCAGCAGCAGCAGCAAGTAAACCAACAACGCATACAACAACACCAACACCGCCAACAACAACAACAACACCTCCACCATCAACAACAGCAACAACAAAACCACACCCTGGCCCTCTCCCACGCTCAATCCCAACATCGAAAACAACTCCAACACCAGTCTCGCACTCATCTTCCCAACCAAAGACCACCCCCTCCACCACCGCAACAACAACTTCAACAACATCGCCCCGCCCCAGGCTCGGCTCCGCCTGGTTCGGCACTAGCGCAACCTCCTTCGAGACAGCCGGGGCAGAGTAAATCAGATGTCATTACTATTGATTGAGATTTTATGCATTGGGGTTTTGTATTGGGGTGGAGTTGGGGTGTTGGGGGGTTTTTTTTGCTGGGTTTGGGCGTTGTGCGTTGGGTGGCGGCATGTTTGCGCTTGTTTGAACAGTGATTGCTACGGGCCGTTTTGGGTGCGGAGGGGCTGGACTTGGGCGTGGTCTGTGTGTTTTGTTTTTGGCGTGGGATGGGGATGCAAGGGTTTTTGTTTCTTGGGTGAATGGATCGGCCGGGGGGTTTGGGCTTGGGGCTTTGAGATGTGGATGGGTTTGGGGTTATGGGATACGGATGGTGTATGCATGGAATAAGGCATAGATCAGGCATGAATGCCCTTGACTGCAGATACTCTTGGTGCGTATACTTGCTATATACATTTTCCATCTCCCTCTCCACCTCCCGTTTTCACCTTGCCTTGATTTTGCTCAATCCCGTGTCCGGTTTTTTGGTGGGATGGTGGTTGGATGTGCGGTTGGGGAGTCATGGTCATGCTGTGGTGATGTGTGATATGTGATGTCGTTTACCCAGGAGGGGGATTTTCTCTCCACGGGGGTCGTTTACCCAGGAGGGGGATTTTTTCTCCACGGGGAAGGGGAACAAGGGGGTAATATTTCGGGGTGAGTAGGGCTTGTGGTGTTGATTATAGAGATGGACATCACGTGCGGAGACGAGTTTCAGGCATCTGGTATAGGAAACAAGGGTGAAAGTATTCGTGCTTTGGCTTACCACGTTAATGGTATGTTGTATGTATGTATCCCCATGAGAAAGAAATCCTTGCAACAATCGTAATTATTCACGTTCATGTATTATACACCACCTTCCTCTCACACACACTACACACAAAACGCACCCCCCCCCCCCCCCCCCGCTGATTCTACCTTAGTCAGAGGAGATAATCTCGCCAGAAGATGAGATGGATGATCCCATGTCACTAGGGGAAGTCGTGCCTCCACTGATCGCATCACCTCTACCAGTCCGCCCAGG